ATAGGTATTAATAATGCTTTGTGGTGGTGTGGTTTAGATGCGAGATGTTTAAACCACTCCCGAAAGCCTTTCCGACTGAGATTTTCAAACCCATATTCAACCTTGGATAAAACCACGTCCAAAGTGCATGAGCAACACCTGAACCTCTGCCGAACTATGTCCGCAGCTGATAAATATATATGAATGCAGTTCAGACAGTTCCTTTTCCAGAATTTGAAGCCACTGCCTAGGTAACTAACAATAATACCCTATAGCTGCATTTCACTTCCTCCCATGGTCATCATCCATCGGATGCCCTTCATCCTAATGAGGCGCAGAGAACTTGAAAAGGTGTTCTTTTTCTCTACGTTTCCCCAACATTTTCGGAATCTGACAATGGTTTAACTTACGATAACTCTAAAACCAACCCCACAAATGCGCATCGACAAAACATTACTAGCAGTATTCCATTTCCACCGCCCTTCGGCATGTGGTTCCCCACTATACTGCAGCTGGCGGTTGCAGTATATAGGTGGTGGATTGGGTGGCCACGCCCGCTGTGGGCCGAGCCACACCACCACGCCCACGGGTATATATATCACTATGAGCGCAACCATTTAACAAATGGTTACGTTGGCTTTTTGCTATGGATAACCTAGTGGTCATAGTGCTATCTTATCACAGGCACAGGGTTCGGGTTAGAGGTGGGTTATGGTTAGGAATCAGGATCAGGGTTAGTTTCGGGGGTTGCTTAGAATTTGGCCAAGAATAATCTGTTTGTTGACCCGGCCATAGGTTTAGCACTACGACTCTCTCCGCGTGATCAACCTCCAGCCCTTGTGGCTTTGTGCAAAAGCGGGTAGAAGGTAAAAACTTGAAAACAAAAATTAAATTACAAAGTAAAAGTAAAATAAAATAATACATATAACTATGTAATATTTTAGAAAAAAGAAATTGAATAAAATCTAATTGGTTAATCCTTTTCTTCGGGGAACGGGAAAGGGGAACCAAACAAAGTGGAGGCCGCTCGCGGGGTAAAAATGCTTATATACTAGTCTAGGTCGCCTCTAAGCTCGGTGAGCCTCAATGGCGCTGTCATGGCGGAGACCGTAACGGACTGAGTAGACAAAAAGAAAAGAAAAAGTTTCTGGTGGAAGGTTGTATTTTGTGCGTGGGGGCGGTGGAGAGAGAGAGCATAGAGTAGAAGCGGGGTGGAGGGGTAAAAGAATAGTGAACTTTGTGAGCTTCCGGGATTTTTTTTTTTTTTTTTTTTTTTTTTTTTTTTTTGGCTAAACGGCTGAAGCTGTTGGCAACCTGTAAAGGAAGCTTCTTTTTTAAAAAAATTATTTTTGATTTCTTCTTGTTTTTTATTCCCGGACTAGAGTTTCCCTACCCCTCCCATCCTGGTTCCAAGGGGTGAGATGGGAAAGTAAGGATAGTACTGCGTAGTTTCGCTCAGAGCATCAGTCCATTACCCCGCCCCCAAGAAATGAGAAAATTCAGAGATGGATTCATGCTAGCATCCCGCAGAAACGGCAACATCACATCATCGAGCATCCAAAACTCCCAGAATCGCGGGGTTTGGTCCCTATTCAGCCAGTTAGCTTCGACCACAAGATAAAATAACGCAGCTGACCCCTCACTAACCGAATAAATTTTGTTTGAAGAAACAAGGGGAGAAAATAAACAAGGTTTCTGACACCCATTCTTTGCCGCCTTCTCCATCCAGTAGGGGACCATCAGCGCAGAAATCAACGGACTGGAGATTTCAGCGCCGTTGATTCTCCTTGCCCGTGTGGATAGGACTAAATAATGGACAGCCACCAACTGTGCTGCTACGGACCGGACGGGACCTAAGAGAAGGCCAGCTAAGGTTCCCGAGGCACTGAGTGCCCCTCAAAATGTCAAACAAAAAAGGAAGCTAAGCCATTTAAAGAAATAGGCGATGGGGTTTAATTCGATTTGTAATTTCTCGGAGGCTTTCATGGTGGTCGTTGCTGGAAAAGAATGGCCTGAGGGCATTTCATCATGGAAAATATAACTTTAGTCTAACTCGAGGTCGGAGGTTGCATTATGTCCCGTCGGAAAAATAGCAGGAAAACGAAAATTGAAAATAAAATCTTCTAGAGGTATTTAGCTGATCTTCATTCACATCCTGGTTATAACCTAGCCAGCAGTTTCAGATGTGATTATTAAAAAGCAAGCCGGGAATATCTCCGAATTCCAGCGCGTGAGTGTGTTTGTAACTCTCTGGCACTGGTGGGAAAACTGAGTATTGAAGGCCAACAAGCCCACCCACACAACTGCTAGAACACTTTGTTCATTTGTTGTTGATCTAATTAGCAGGAGTACTCTCTTAAGTCAACATGGGTATTGTAAGTTAGAGTTATAGCAAAAGAAACCTCCTTAGAACTTATCTCAAAAGAGCCCCTGATAGAAATGAGTTCCTTCATTGGAAAATCCTCATATTATTAGGGGGAAAAGGGTTCCGGGGGCCGGCACCTTGTGTGGGTTCTTGACTGGATGAAACTGAATAGAGCTATATGGAGTAAGATAGAATTAGCTGACCAGGCCACATTGAAATTTGCTCCCCTTTCTGTTTCAATTAAGTCAGGTTTCTGCTGAAGCAACAATCAAGGGAATTTGTTTTCGAAGCTAAGAGAGCTCAAAGCTCAAACAGCAACAAAGTTAGATAAAACCCTGTAGAAAAAACATCACAACACAGTTTGACATGGGTGATGGAGAACCCCATTTTGTTTTTCTTTAATATCTACAGCACTTTTATCTTGTACAGTACAAATGTGATGCTACTGCATTGTGACAATGAACACTTGGAAGATGAAGTTGCAGCAGGTTACACGTCGGCTGACCCCTCGGGTGACTGACCTGACCTACGCTAGTGTAGGTCACCTGACCCTATAGAAATGGTGACTAGTCAAAGGGTCAGTTGAGCTCCTTACCAACTTGATCTCTTACAAGCTCTTACCAACTGCCCTGGGCGGCTGGGCCTACTGCACCCCCATCATCAATACTAGTCCACTACTAATCACTCAATTTTATATAAGACAGACTTGTAGAGTGAAGTAAAGTCTCTAAGAATTATATAATAATAAATAAATTGAAAGAAGTATTGATTAGTCAGTGACTAGTCATTGATTAATTATAGAGTAGTAATTTAATATATTAAATAATTTAAATAACTATACTCTGTATATTAAATTTATATTGACTATTATCTGACTAGTAATATATCAGTCATCTACTAGTGCAATATTAATAGTTAATGATGAGTTTATAACTAACTAGTAACTTACTAGTCAGTAACTGATCAAATAATAGTAAAGAACTAGTTTTATATACTATATTTTCATTCATAGTTTATATATACTTCTCAAGTTAATGATATTCAAGATTTAATCAATTTCTATTACTTAAAAAAAGAATTATATTATTCATTTTCACAGTGTGTATTATAGATGTATGACAGTATGAGAAGGTAAAAGTTCATTTTTGTTTTATCCTCAACTGACCCATTTTGTGCCAAGAAATTATTTGGGTCAGGTGACTAGCACTAGCGTAGGTCAGGTGAGTCACCCGAGGGGTCAGCCGACGTGTAGTCTCAAGTTGCAGCAAAGTTACCGCTGAGTCAGTAATGACAAAGCAGTCTCAGAAAACTCAACCGAATGAAGTAACGATGCGTTATGGCAACCGAATTTTACTTGCATTAGCTACATTACATCCAATGGTCAGAACTATATAAGGAGCCGCGCCTGTGGCCCCTACCTGCGCAGATCTCTCGTAATACGCCTGTCAAACTCCTTTCTGTGCTCCGGTTGGTCACAGCGGCGATGACCAGTCGTTGGCAAAGTCTCCGCAGTCAAATTTGCTTACACTGCCCGGGATATTGCTCTGCAAAGCCCAGTCCACTACGGTAGTACAGCTTCTTGTTCGCCATCGGACCGCTACATATTTGACCTTTCCTCTATGACGATGAAGTTCTCATGGACCGCCCTGGGGGAATATGAGATACTTCATTCACTTGATCAATCTCACAATGCCAGCAGCCCACACTTACCAGTACTTCCACTAGCACAGATGGAACTCTAGAGAGGTGAACGGCCGATATGAAACGCTTGATAGGTCTGTGGATAGGTCTCGGAGGGGACTTATCTTTCAGTTCACCATCATCTTTGGTTACTCTTGACTGTCAATGTCTCTACCCGATAATTGGTTGTACCGGGGCTATTTTTTTTGTTACTTTATATCATGGATTGTGATTCTGGGTCTCGCCCTCAACGTACCCGAAATGTCGTTCATGTTTTAAGATTTCTTCAGCTTCTTGTATATATGAGCTGTCCACTCAACCTGCTAAACCCCTGTCCCCATCACCAACCAATCCCTCGGCAGATGAACCAGAAGGTGATGTTTGCTCCCTCTCTTTGTTTCACATATTCATGTATGGCACGATGAGACTGGGTGAATATGCTATTTTTATTTGTGAAAAAGAGTCCCATGCAAAAGGTTCCGTACTCTCCCAGAATATCCGTAATGATATCAATTCCAGCTTCCTGTATAACGAATATGGATTGCAACACTTCTCCACGGGCGCAAACTCATGATGGATAGTTGTAAGCATTCTAGGTTACCCTATGGAAATGGTTGAGATGTGACCAAGGGGTGGTGTCATTTCTACGATAAAGCACAAATCCCCTGACTGCTTGAGTATAACTTTCAACTGCTCCATATTCATGAGTCAAAAGAATACGTTCCCTTACAAACATCATTTTCTTTGGTATGTCCCTCAGACAAAGCTGAAAAGAAGAGAAGAAAAGAAAATAGCTCCTGGCAATCTGCATCATTGTTGATCCAGAGACTAATATCAGGAATTAATCTCGTTTAGACCTTGGCCTATACTATTGCCGTGGTAATAATTGCTACATGGTTCGACTCGAGGACATGATGTATCAGTCATTACCTCACTCAGCTCCGCTCTACTTGCTACTTTCTTCTTTTTTCGTTTATCAGAAGTCCTCACGGCATTTCTTCCACAGAAGATTTTTGGACTCCTGATGACTTCCTCTCAGCCAAGTCCTTTTCACTTGAACATGGCCAGCTAGGTAGCTCCGATCGAGATTCACCCAAATGCATTTTCTCTCCCCTCGTAATATAAGATTACGGCTAGTAGTAATCATCCCCTTGAGACTTGTGGCCGCTGGACTTGCAGTGTCGGAGATGCGATTTATTGTCAGAGTCGCTATCATCACTTCCTACCTGCCATATTGGACTGTAATTTGAGAAATGGTATAAGGATACCCGCTGAAGGTGCTGGGCCACCTAAGGGATAGTGTGGCTCATTATCACGAAAGCTTCTTACCGCTAGTCTAAAAGGAGACATCTCCAACATGCTTTAAGCTCAATTTAATGTCGAGACTACTCCGTACCAATTACCTCGTTATCGCAAAGAAAATGAAAACGCTTGTGTCTAAGTGAAGGGAATTGACTCAAGTTCACCCGATCCCGGCCGTACTCTCGATCACACGTCGACCAAACATATCATGATTCATTAATGATTGAAAAGCGCGCCCAGAGCAGCTCGTAATGCATCTTCTGACCGTCTCCGATGCATACTTCTACAGTCACACAGACAATTCTTCGTCAAACCCAATCGACAGCGGTTGATGGCAGGAATAGCATCGCTGTACACGACCTTCCAAGTTTCTTAAAAAAATACCCGTACCCCGCAGCAAAATGTTGCTACCTGGGAATTGGCATATGAGTTCGTCAAGGCACTAACTGTTGAAGAAGACGACCCAAGGGCTAAGATATTTTAATGAGATTTTATCTCTTGCATGCTAGGCCAGATAGTGCAGGACCGATTGACATACTTTTGATGCCAATAACATCTGTTTGGTTTCCTCCCTTTCAACCTGGATGTGTTCACATTCTCAATGGTTTTGCTTTACCACTGAACGCTCCACGTTGTAGCACGGAGAAAGAACGACGCCAAATAACCCTAAACACAGGTCCAATGATGGCATTCGGATTCCCAATACGGCTTGTCCGATGGGATGGAAACTGAAGGGGTTTAAAAGGACACAATGGTGGTAGAAGTTATCCGCAGCCGAACCTACCTTCAGTAATATCGGACAACTACAAACTCTTTTTATATTGGCTAATTCTTTGCTCCAGTTTCTTTTCTGCCTCTGCTCAACGCTGCTACAGGACTTGGGTACACTACACAGCACATCGTACTTGTACAACTGGAAGATGGAATAGTCTCGAAGACCCATTAAGTTTTCCATTGCTCACACTATTGTATCTAGCTGCTATTCGCCGTTTCATATAATAGTCTTTTTTATATCTTTCTTCACTGTTGTTAAGTGTGAACAGCTCCCTCCGTTACTCGATGGGGGATATTTAACGCACAGAATACTCAGCAAATCAGATTTCCTGAATGCTCCAATCAAGCCTATAACTCGGATCAGAGCAGATTTTGAGCCGATTTTGAGCTAACTCTAAGGATTCAACTTAGTTCCCACATCATCCGGGAATTATTCTCATTTCGTACTTGGAGACTGGGGGTTACCAATACGGATGCTCACTTAACAGTTCTTGTTACTACCCGCCGGTTCATTTCACGGACGTCTAAGAATTATCTGTCATCTCTCCAGACGGTTAGAATTAGGAATTGGAGTTCTGGCCACTGAATTGCACACGATATACCCCCCCTCCCCCCTTCGTGAGTCAGGCATCTTCAGTGGGATAACTTCTCACCTGTTCTATACTTTTTTCCCAAAGTTGCCCTAGAGATGAATTAGACAATTCGCCATTGTTCTACCATGCACTTTTGGCGAGTCTTCCCTTGAGATTTGACCAAGACGAATTATTGATGTACACTTTGATCTGATTTCCGCTCCCTCGAATTCCAATGCAACGCGGACCTCTCTCATCAAAATCCCTTGCAGTCGGCGAAAACTTGAATTATCTGTCTTGGTCTGGAGTGACTTGACTGGGTGTATCCAATAACGCTCCCAATTAACAGCCAGTGGATGACAGCATCCCTTGCCATCCCAATGCAAGATTTCGCTCTCCTTTGTCCAAACTCCACTATCTATACCCCCCTTCCCTATCTTGGGGTAATTGGACTTGATGTTAAAATCCGCGTTCTCGTTTCTGAAACCATGATCCCGTCTCGTATAAAATAGCCACCCTCTCTACAGCTATGTTTTCCTAATGACTAAAGTTTTGAAGCGAACTGCTTCCACGGACATATACCCTCGCGAACGGGTGATACTCCATTTTAGGGCGTCGTGCGTATCTCTTGCACCATGTCCAAATCTTCTACTCGGCTCCCTCTTGTCTCCCTTGATGGGTCCGATTGAGTGCTGGACTGAACCCCTTACTCCCCTGCGCAGCACATCTCGCACATTTTTGAATTTCTCCACCCTGGTTGCAGTAGATGTTTGGACTATATATTTTCTGCATCTTAAGATTGGGTAATGGTATTTCAACTATATATGTGCCCAAATCTGCTGAGTTAGTTGTCTTCCCGTTTCCTTGATATTTCCTTCACTGTCTCTGCTCTCTCTACTATCCCCTACCCCATCGGTCCCATTCCCTAAACCTCTGTATGCTTTGCTCATTGTTACTTTCCTCTCTAATTGAAGACCAGACAATTCCAACTGTCCCTCTGTTTTGTCTACTTATTTATAAATCCTCATAGGCGTACTCCGCTCGTTGGTTCTCATTATTGTTCACCTGTTACCGCCAAAACCAAAGTGTCCGCCAATTGAAAATAATATTTCTTTGGACATTTTTCAACATGGTGCCAAGTTGTGCTCCTGAGGGACTGGTACCACTGAAATCCGGGAATGCGGACTCATTTACCATGGCCGCTAAGCTCATGGTGTGCCAAAACCTAACCGAAATGCTTGAGTCGTCTGCCAGTTGCAGCAACGCACCTATGGAATTCCACTCTGCAGATTTAGCAATGCGATCCAAAGTTCTGACCACACAGCAGCTCTGGAACCAGGCTCATGAAAACGCCCAGTTTATTCATGGTATTCAAAATGTCACAGAGGATACGGTAGTGTTGATTTATTTCGGTAATCATGAACAAAATATTATATGGCTCTAGTCCGTGGTAGTAGGTAGCTACCTACCTGCGATATTACCGGCGTTCGTCAACGATCTAACTCAGCGACGAAAACAAATTTTACACCTAAAGTCACTGTTCAAAGAGCCACTTATTCTCACGTCGGACCGCCTGGTTCATGAGTTTCTGAATATCGACGGACTTAACATTATCACAGTCGAAAACCTCGTCAGCACTCTTCCAAATGTAGTCGACTGTGTTTCCAGGGCAAACTTCGGTCACAGAAAATGACCAGAGGATGCTGCAATCCTCATGTTCACATCAGGCAGTACTGGAAATGCAAAGGCCGTGGTTTTACGAAACAGCCAAATTAAAGCTGCGGTGGCAGGGAAGATATCTCATCATGGCACAAGAAAGAGTGATGTTTTCCTAGGATGGGTTGCCCTAGATCACGTTGCGTCACTCTGCCAAATTCATTTGCATGCCCTTGCTCTGGGTGCAAGACAGGTTTTTGTTGACAAGACAGATGTTTCGAACAGCCCAATGTATTTCTTGAACCTCATCCACAGCCTGCGAATCAGCGTGACCTTTGCCCCAAACTTTTACCCGACAGCGTTGTCAAATTTGCTTGAGAAAATGCAACCCTGTACGATAACAAGTACAGGCTGGGGTTTGTCATGCTTGAAGGTCATATTTTCAGGAGGAGAAGCGAATTCTCTGCAAACCTGCATCAATGTCACAACCCATTTAATAGCCTTGGGCGCGAGGAGAAATGTTGTGAGCCCGGGATTTGGCATGACCGAAACCTGTGCAGGTTCGATGCATAACCTCTGCTGCCCAAGCTATGATATCAAAATGGGTTTTGAATTTACCACCGTGGGTCCATGTGTTCCAGGTATGGCTGCAAGAGTTGCTGCTGACGACGGCCGTGTCATCGAAATCCCCAATGTCCCCGGCTCTCTACAGATTAAAGGGGAATTAGTGTTTAAAGAATACTTTAACGATCCGCTCGCAACGTCTGCCAGCTTTACTAATGACGGCTGGTTTATTACTGGGGATTCTGCCCTCATCGATGGTTCTGGCTATCTGCACCTCTGTGGCCGAATGAAGGATCTCATTATAGTAAACGGAGTGAATTACTACCCCCATGAGCTTGAACGTGCTATTGAAGAAGCCAAACTCCCTAGGTTGATCCCTACGTATACAGTCGTCTTCTCTCATCGCCCCAATGGCGCCTCGACTGAAAAAGTTGTGGTAGTGTTCTCTCCAGCGTGCGGTCATACGAGCGCCGGAAGCTTTGCAGCTTCATTCGATGCGATCTCAAAGATCACCGCTCGGTTACTTGGGGTAAGTCCGTACCGGATAGTGCCAGTTGACACATCACTAATCCTAAAATCGACTCTTGGAAAAATCTCAAGGCCAAAAATTGCGGCAGAATATCTCGCTGGGGAATACGATACCTGCTATGCGACGGCAGCGGAAGCCATAAGACTATACCGTCAAACCAATCTAAGGAGGCCTGAGAGTAAAATTGAGAAGTCAATCGCTGATTTGTTCGCGAACATGTTCCACACTCCAACTTCCGAGATCGGAATTGACACCAGTCTCCTGGATATGGGAGTATCTTCTGTTGAAATTATAGCTTTTAAATCAAATGTACAAAAGATTCTCCACCTGGATCAGGAAATCCCATTGATGTCTGTGTTGATGGACCCTACAATCCACGGTATTGCAGCGGCGATACAACAAATGCGGCAACCAAAACAATATAATCCTGTTGTTAAACTTCGTTCATCCGGCGAAAGGTCTCCTCTCTGGCTTGTACATCCCGGTGTTGGCGAAGTCTTGGTTTTCTTAAACCTCGTGAAGTACATCAATGACCGCCCGCTATATGCACTCCGAGCTCGAGGGTTTGAAGCATGGGAGGAGTTTTTTACTGACCTCCCTGAAATATGTACAACATATTTTTGACACATCAAAGAGACCCAGACCTGGGGCCCATATGCAATCGCAGGATATTCATTTGGCGCCATGATTGCTTTTGAAATCGCTAAACTCCTCGAAGCTAATGGGGACGAAATTAGGTTCCTAGGTTCTTTCAACCTACCGCCACATATCAAAGATCGTATGCGCCAGCTCGATTGGGTAGAAGCTGGTATCAATCTCTCTTATTTCTTGGACCTGATATCAGAGGAACACGCCCTCGAATTGTCGCCTAAATTACATGAACTCTCTAACGATGACGCCCTCGACCACATCATGTCTTGTGCTGCACAGAGTCGTTTGGTGGAGCTATCTCTAACCAGGAACAAGCTGAGGACCTGGATAACACTTGCCCACAAGATGCAGGAAGCTGCATTAGAGTACGAACCTTCTGGCTCCGTGGCAAGCATTGATGTATTCCACGCTATACCCCTGAAGCTGGTAGCAGCGAACCCAACCGATTGGATAGAGAATAAATTGAGCAAATGGGCTGATTTCTCAAGAGAGATGCCTCGAATGCATCAAGTGGACGGTGCGCATTACACAATGATGTCGCCAGAGCATGTATTTACATTTCAAAAAACTCTTCAGAAGGCTTTGCGTGACCGTGGGCTTTGAACCTACCGCCAATAAATTAACACCAGGGCCAGTCTTAGCCAAACGCATGTTGGAGCATTGTCACTGTTACCAAGGGCGAAGTCCGATGGTTCATGTTTGTATTTTGGGATTCACCTCACTCGTCTATGATTAGCTTTTTTCTTCCCGCGAATATTTATGTGTTTATGTGTCGTCAACCTTCGAGCATTCTTGATTCTTCAATTTACCAACGCCCAGCACTTTCCAGGCTTTTGTTTCCACTAACACCTCTCTTGAGTCCGTTCCCCTTTCTTTCTTTATACTTCTAACACCCACTAACCCATTCGCACGACCGGATGCGATCGGGGCGGAATTTGTACCCTCATTCAATGGTCACAGTGATCATTATTGTTAGCCAAATAAGCAGATTATATGTTTAGCAAACACTAGATTAAGGGATATATATTCATGATCTAAGGAAGCAAAGATGGGCTTAGGCAAGTAAATGGAGATAATGGTCCTCATTCCCAAGAAAGGTTCAGGAAATACACACTTCTATTCTTCTTGACTATTATATCACCAATGTCTCACAGTTACCAACACTTTTTCCTTTGAAGAAGAACCATTCTCTCCACTCCCGGACGGCGACGTGCTACGATCCAGCCTATTGAGTAGGCGCCATACGACCTTCCGATTCAAACCTTCGCGCACCGGGATTTTCTCCAGTGCATCTGTGCCGTTGAGATATTTAGTGAAAAGCGGCCAATGCTTTTGGAGCGAAGTATCCACATCGATGCTATCTTCTGGGGATGGAGTGTGATTGGTGTTGTCCATGTTTGCATGCTGGTAGGGTTCGGGGAATCGTGAGAGAATTTCATCTAGCCAATGGGATTCTAGCGATGAGGCGCGGTGAGGTCGCAAGATAAGAGAAGAAGTGGGCGGTCGTCTTTTCTGTTTTTCCGCTTGAATATTCTCCTCGTGGCGGTATTGGTGATTAAGAAACCTGGCTGGAACAGGAGTGGCTTCGCCGCTAACTTCGCTCTCAAGAGATGAAGAAGATGAGGATTTTGAATCGTCATTGTCGTCATGATCGTCGTCAACGTGCTTACTATAATGCTCCTCGGATTTAGAATCTGCTTTGGTGGGAGATGCTTCATTCCTTCTCTCTTCAATCTCTTTCTCCTTTTTCTCCCTTTCTAATGCCTCATCCACTGCCCGTTTAATCTCCGGATCCACTCTGACCCACCCAAATGTTCGCAGTTGGGTAACCCAACCCCCTCTCAGTAACCACGCCAGAATCGCATAATAAGTGTCCTTGTGATCCCTGCTAGGTATCAATCTAGAGTATGGTTTAGGTGTGTCGCTCAGTGCGTGGAGCATCTTAGGAAGACTGGGAAGTGTTGGGAATGCAGCTTCGTAAACCTCAGCTGCCTGCGCAAGCTTGCTCATGTCAGCATTGGGAGAAACGATATACGTATCCCGTTGACTGAGCGGGGGAACAGCTCTGGCTCTCCGCCAGTAGACGAGATGGCTGGCAAGCACTTGGATGTCACTCAGAGGGATTCCGGATAGGGCAGAGATTTGGGCAAATGATTTTGTGGGCTTTGAGACGCGAATGTAATGTGCAAGTCGAGCGCCCAAAGGTCCTATTGACTCCTCGATGTCTTTTAAGACCGTTGATTCGTCAGTTAGTAGAAGTAAGGCAAAATGCTTTGCTAGAGCCTGGTTGGGAGCGCTTGTGTCCATCCCTGTAGCATCATCGGTAGCAGAGAGGCTGTCGGCTGTGGTAAGCCATAAACCGGGATAGGCTTTCTCCGTGGCACTTGGAAGGTAGGAAGTAGACGTTAAGGGCGGAGCTTGAAGAGACATTGTTGCTTCGGGTGTAAGGGTAACGGACGCGATTCTGGAGTTGGAAATACTTGTGTAGACTGTAGATATTGCTCGAGCAAGGGAGGACTTTGAGGACAGTTCCGAATAAAGTCTAGACAAGGACAATTCTATGCTTAAACGTAAGTTGACGTCTACGAAAATACCCCAAAGTGAAGGACGAGAAGCACATATCGAATACATACTGTTTTCCTTTGCTTTCTCCCTGATGTTGATAATCGTTTGAGCCTCATTCCAAACGTAGTCTACCCTTGCCTGCTCCGACTTCAACCCTTTGCCAAACTTCTTGATCACGTTCTCATATTTCTCCCGTACTCGCAAGCCATATTCTAGCAAAGGTGGATTCAATACAAAAACTACGTTGAACATTGTCATTGAATCCTTATCAGCTTCTGGCGACCCAGGAAGTACGTCATCCTCAACGATTTTTTTTAGTTCACCGACAGGGCAATTGTCGCCTTCGGTTTCTGACGCTTGTTTTGAAGACATGTCATTATTTCTCAGATCACCCCTCTCTTTGTCCTCAACTCCTGGCTCCCCGTTCTCTCCTTGCTGTGTTCTAACTTTCTTCTTCCGCTTCCGTTTCCGCCAAGTCCCATCGTCTTTCACAAACACGGGCCATCCCACAAACACAAGGTCATTAACACCCACTTCAAATCGTCGCTTATGCCAGGCGGGTGACGGGCTTAGCAATTTCTCCCATACATTGGTTGGCAGTCCGAGTAAAGATTCCCATGGCGGGCGATAGAGATCTCCTAGAACCTCATTTCTTCCGGCATCTGACTGATTATCCGGCTTAGAATCAGGGGTTGCGCTTCTTCGCTTGAACTGCAGGGAAGTGGAGGAAGTATGCCCTCTCGAAGATGGGTGAGGTACTTTATCATTCAATTGCTCGCTAAGCCCGCTCCTCCCACTGTGCTCGTTGGCACCCCGACAGCAAGCCGAAGAATGGCCACATTCATCATCGTCTGAGCTTGACCGATCATCATCACTGGATAGGCTAGATTCGGAGCTTCTAGCACCACTTTTCCGACGCGAATTGCGACGGGATTTATTGCTTATGATTGTGGATGGGTTGGGAGGATAGTGATAGACAAAACGTGGGCCAGCGCGAGATTGGATTATAAGGATTATTGCAACGAGGCACGGATCTGGGGGTCGTACGATTGAAGACATTCGTGCCTACATGATCTGGTTCTCAGGAGGGAGGCCGGCTTCGAATACTAGTATGTTTGTCAATATGGCCGTTGGCCGAAAGCGGACGCGCAGTACTTGGCTCATTAAACAAGAGCTGAATTGAGTTGCAAACAACAATTCCACAAGGATGGGCAAAAGATCCTGCCCATCTTCGAATATGTTCGGTGCAGTGCAGTCAACCTCTTTGTTGGACGTCTCCATGGATTACATAAGCTAGCTAGGAGTCAAGAAGCATCCGGTGCAGAAAATCGAAATCTCAGAAAACTGTTGAAGTGAAGGGAATGGTTTGTGTGTAGGCAGTGAAAATTCTATGACTTCGATACGTTCCCCTCATATGCCATTTTGTGAAGATTGAAGCCCGCTTGTGGCATGATGCTGTGATTTCCACAATTCAACATTCAAAATGATCCTCAAACGATTGCAATTTTGGAGGCACTCATCAATGTTATTTAACTAATTCGACATGCTTGCATTACGAGCCGGCGTAATAAATATACTCACACGCTTCTGCTGTCTCTGTCCAGCGTTTTAATGAGCCAGGCTTTTTGTCGACACTCAGCAACCTCCGTCTCTATCCCGGAGAAGAAGGCAATGTCGCCTATAATGTAAGGTTTATCACCAGGAAAGCAAATACGGATGTGCGCGAGGAAAGGTACTGTAAAAATATGATGTCGAACATGCCCACGATAATTGTCAGGGCAGATATCGTACAGAAGTGGAGTTGGCTTTCTTCCATAGCGAAGTTATTCACCCAAAGATAACCAGCCGCAAACGCCTGAGAAGCGCAAATGCGATACCAACAACGCCAAATGATGTTTAATACAAAGTTCAAAGCGGATATAATCTCGGGATGTGATCGTTTCCGTCTCTAACATGTGGAACACTGTAATCAAGTCACGTCACGATTTCTTGCTCTCGGAAGGTGCCACCGCGGCTGCAGAAGCAGCAGGCTCCGTCACATTTTTCTTGTTGTTCTCATCAAACACAAGTCCCAAGTTCTCAAAACTGTCCGGCGCCATCAGATTGCTATAACGAATGTTAGTCTTCCAATGACCAAATTAAATACATATCCCATCCCACGGCCAGAAGTGAAGTAGGTGATAAAACATACTTGTCCATCCGACATGTTAAATAGGACTTAGCTAACTTGCGACAGGTCTCATCATTGACACCCCCACCTTTTTTCAGACACCGGAGATATGAAGAGATTATGTATTTGCATTCTCCTGCCAGATCAAAACGTATAAGGTCAGCAATGGGCGTACCAGTAATTGTGGATACAAATGTGTACATAGGGATATATGTCAGGACATATGTGATCCAAAAGGAAAATAGCCATGACGTACCATCATGATCGAGCGGAAAACTTCCACGTTCAGGCCTAAATCAGCGATAACAGCAGCAGACTTAGCAAAACTCATCCCAGCATACGCAGATATGGAACATGATGAAAGTCTCATATATTCTCCTTAGACGAAAGACGAAGAGATAGGGGCACATAAAGTTGACGGTCTGACTACATACGGTGTGGGCTTGATATTGACGGAACGACCGCCGGGACTGCCAAAACTCATGTTCAAACTGATGTCAAAAAACAGAACCTGCTATTCGCACATATTATATGAGACATGAGTTTAAGACGTTGATATAATAAATAGAAGTATCTGGTTGATGTTGAAATGCGGATTGTTCAGAAATGCCGAAAAATGCCTTGCAAACTGTGCAAACAGTATGCATATTAGCTATCTCCTCGTCTGGGGGCGAGGCACAATTAGCGCCCTTTTCCTCGCCGCCTTTTTTAACCAACCATCAGTTTGTCGTGGAAGTTACGCACCAATCAGAAATCAGAAAAGGGCGGCAGAACGTCTCGCGCTAATTGTGCCTCGCCCCCAGACGAGGAGATAAACGAAGGTCGTTGTCCGGCCTTGCTGACCAATAAAATTCCGCTGGTCGTCTAGTTGGTTTATGGCACTGGACTGTAATATCATTGTCTGCTATCCAGGTGTCGTCGGTTCGACTCCGACCCAGCGGAGTGACTTCTTTTTACGCTTCATTTGTTTGTATTTTTTGGCTTCGGGTTGCATCGAAAATGGGTAATTTCAACGACTCCTTCGGAAGGAGTCCTTCCTGTGATATTGGTTGCATAAAGCATGTAAGACGGCATAGTTATAGTATATTGAGAAGTTTTGAACCTTTCAATTGTTGTCAATACTCAATAGAATATAGCTGTGGAGATTCAAAATTTATATGAGTTCCTGTTGTGGGAGCAAATCTCGCTCAGTAGTCACTGTACCAACCAAAGCCTTGACTTGAGCCTTGAAGAAATCTAAGAACCAACACGAAGTAAGTTGGTACTTATTATGAAAAAAAAAAAAGGAGAGGGGTTTAGGAACAATATTAATAGGAGAACGAGGAGACAAGGAATGTTTCAAAAAAAAAAAAAAAATATCCTCCGCTGGGTCGGAGTCGAACCGACGACACCTGGATAGCAGACAATGATATTACAGTCCAGTGCCATAAACCAACTAGACGACCAGCGGCTGATTACTGAGGCATCGGGGACTGCTACGAACTTATATCCCTAAAGTAGTGTGCACCCTCGAAATCCTACCCAAAAACCCCCCCAACGATGAAGGAAGGAGGATCCGAATTTACAACGATTTGTTTTGTGAAAAGAACCTTGATTACATCACCCAAATATGCCTAACTATATCTGATATGCAGGGAGTTGGCATAAGCCGTGTTGCGTTGTGGCTCAACTTACTTACCCCTCCTCACGACGTCAGATGCCGAACCGGCAGCATGGAATATTATTGGGAAAAGGATTACGGAAACTCTTTTATGACAGCAATGCTAGCAACCAGGCCTTAAATAAAGGAAATGATCCTGACCCTGGGCCGTCGCATTGTATCTGGGCATTTTCTTAGAACGGGTTTAATTAATACTCGTACTCTCCAAAGACTCACAACGATAAGAGTCCCCACGCTCCCATCACGAAGACAGGTATTCTAGGCTTCCGTACTGGCTGTCAGTCAAATATGCCAATGTGAGTACATCGCTGCTATGTATTTTTGTAATTAATTAATTGTTGTCGATATATGCATACACCTCTATATAGACTCTCTCAGATATATATGCTCACCATACTTCTCGCTCACCTCTATATCGATTCGCCTCGTTTTCTCGAAGACAAATTCACACGCCTGTCCCCAGCTAATGAAAGCGTTATTACGTCCCTAATCACTAACTAAGAAAATACACAGGAAACTCGACGGAAGCTGCCAATGCGGTGGTGTACAATTTACACTTGACTCGCAGACGCCAGTCCCCTATCAACTCTGCGCCTGCAGCATCTGCCGCAAGGTAGGCGGATACAGCGGAAGCGTGAACCTGGGAGGAATTGCCGACTCCCTCAATGTGCTGCAGGGGAAAGAATTGATTAAGTAGGTAGTTTGTCTTTTTTTTCTTTTTTTTTTTTTTTTTTTCCTGTTTTTACTTTTTAATCCCCTCCCACCTACTCCATACAGGCGGAGGTAATGGTTCTACCCTACAAAAAACTTCATCATAGTCCCATCTGACAAATTCACCTCCCAACCACCCAAGAAAATACACTGCCGTTAAAGACCGCGGCACGCCTCGCGAAGAACTCTGCTCCTCCGAGCGTAGCTTCTGCTCAAACTGCAGCACTATGCTGTGGGTATGGGACAAGCACTGGCCCGAGCTGATACACCCGTTCGCCGCGGCGATTGATACCGAGCTGCCGGTGCCCGAGGAGATGGTGTGTGTACTTGCGGACTCGAAGCCGGCTTGGGTGCGCTGGCCTGAGGGAAGGAAGAGCGTGCATGAGAAGTATGGTGGGGATAGTTTGGAGGAGTATCATAAGAAGAATGGGTTGTGGGTGGACTGAGTGAGAGAAATGTAGATTTTTTGAAGGGTTGAGACGGAACGGACGAGGTTGCTGGATGTAGTGTGGAGTTTGGAAAGAGAACGTGGAAATTTGGAGATGTAATTTTACAAAGTATATATATGTTTCATTGCTCATTAAAACTATGAACTATCTTATGTATGCATGATGCGTGAGTGAGTATGCGACGAAACTGTTATGCCACTCACCCAGAATCAAATATGGGGCCTAAATTGAAATCTTTTACACCTGTTAGCAGCAGCAACGAACATGGTATTTCCAACAGTGTAACAAAAAAAATAGAGCAATATGCTGAAAATGTCATCAGTTCTCCAAGATGATAGTTGTCCTCAAAGTCAAGACTCGGTAAGAACACAGCGAAATATGAGTTCATCAGATGACTTCTAAGAGAAAAGGGAGAGATGGAAGCAGTGCCAGGAATAAGCAGGAAAATAGAAATAACATACCCATAAATGATAAATCGTCTACATTACTGTGAGTATTTGGGGGTGGTCCCTACAACCATGTTGGAATGAATTAGCGAAGGTTAGATCCAAGAAAACCGGGTAAAATCTCAACAGCGATTCCAAAAACAATGGCGTGTCGTCTGATTTCAGGCTTTGAGCCTATGAATTAGTTTCAATTTCCAAAGCAAGCAGTAGCGAGCATGGGCGAGGGGTATTCTCAGACATACCTCATTAAATCAGAATTTTCAGTAACTACGTTCATATCCCAAACACGATGGTGCCGGGTTCAAACAGTGTGAATAATGTTCATCATAAAATAGACGATAGCCAGTGGGGTGTGGCCCAGCAACATAAAAAGAAGAACGAGGGCATCCCACACCGAGAAAAGAAAGAATTGAATTCACCTAGATCATGCAGGGTTAGTGTTATCTCCCTTTCCATAACGATTATCAGCGGCAACGCGAGACCAAAAATGGGGTTATAAATCAATAATCAGCTGACGAATTCTCAACAAGCGATCCGACGGCTCCAGCACCCGCAGGAGTTTGTACGCTCTGCATATAAAGGATGACGAGCGCCGGATGCAGTTCTGTCCGCCCGTTCGTTCAGGTATTCTTCATGAGAATGGCACGACCCAGGTACATGACGAGGAAGGTAATTGATTCCAAGAAGGTGGAAAGAAACTTCCAAAAAGCATACCTAAAATCCAGGGGCAATGTTAGCAACGATGCTTGGACTGACTCTGAATATCAAAATTCTCGAATGGAAGCGATAGATTGAAAGGGCTGTAATCAGACAAGGCTGAAACTTATGAATTGACAGTTTCCACATGATAACTTAAGTTTGAGGAATGCCTTTTGCATGTCGTAGGGTCATCATAGAAGGGAAGGCAGGAATTGATGGGAGAGAAAATGGTTCTCAGGAGTTGAGAATAGTGCCCCAAAATATATACCTTTTATAAATTGGCTCTTCTTCAATCCACAACAGAAAGCTGCATAGCTACATGGAACGGAAATTACGAAACAGACTTCCTACAGGCCAATGGGTCAGTCAATCAGCAGTGTCCACGGACATAGTTAATAAATGAACAGTTAGGTAGCATATCAGAAAGGTCTACCAATAGCAATATTGGCATCCGTCATGATGAATAGGATTTGGATTGTTCATGTTGTAAATAAGGTCATCACATCGAGGGAAGATTGGAAAATTTGACTGTGCTGCAAAAAAGCTTACCTACTCGTAGCTAACGTGAAAACCAGGCTATGGCATTGAAAACGGTGTTATTCCTAAACTAGAGAAATGGCAGAACTCTAGAGGAAAACCTCCATCGAAACCTTTGATGTGTAGAGGCTGGTATTCTTTCTGGCGTCGTTGTTTGTGTTGGGAGGAAAAGAATAATATTTTCGGTTGTGGAAAAAAAAAAAGAATATATTGACGACGCTAAACTACGGGAGGGCGGTAGAGGCCACACGCGCACTCGCATATCTCCCAAACCCACGATGTGCGACTTTTTTTGGAATAATTATATCCTCTACTCTTCGCAACCACCCCAAGTCCACATAGAGCATGTCGTACATTTACAAACTAATATGATGAATTTGAAAGAAAGGTGTTATCTCATCAATGGCTGACGGACCTCGCTCGGCCTAGAGGAATGTAAATCGCACCCCGTGTCAATAATGGATGTTCATTCAGTTACTGGCGGATCTTGCCAAGTCGAAGATCGCACCTGAGCTATCAAAACTTGCGTTTCAGAATCCCTTGACGTGCATCATACATCAGCCAACGGTTTCTGATGATTATCTGTTGTACCCCTCGAGCAATTCGGAAATGTGCATTAGCTAGTTACTAACAAAATGAAAGGGGAAAAAAAAAGTGGGTGGGGGAGTAAGGGGTGGGTTGGACGCAAGGCGAGAAAGGCGATGTTGATAGAAGAAGATAACAGATACGGGAATGGAACGGGGAACTCATTGTCAAATACATGAAAAGTGTGAACGTCTTCGATATTTTTGTTGTGTATTTTTTTTTTCATTCTTTATTTAAGCATCAGTCTCGTTCGCTGCCCATGAACTAAACGTTCTTAAGTGAAATATTAGGACATAACAAACGTCACATGTGTAAGGCGGGCAAAAAAAAAAAAAGGTACACCAATGGGTTAAAAAAAACATCACTGGAAATTAGACCATTAAGTCCTATCCTAACCCCTCTAAACCCCATTGAGCTGTATACAGGCGAAGACCATTTTGAAGAAAAACAAAAATACAAGGATAAAAAGGTTCAAGGGATATCACTGAAGAGAAAAACGGAAGAGAGGGAAACAGCAAAAAGCTGCCCAGGGGCCCTGCAGCAGACAATCTCGAAATCGAGATAATGAGGAAGCGGCAACGTCGCAAAACTATTCAGCCATCCCCATGCGCTTTTCATCTCAATCACCTCCTTACAGCATAACAGCAAGACCCAGCACACCAGCAGCGCCAACCAGGCTTCCCATGATGGCACCGGTTGGCCTGGCGGCCGGAGCGTAGTTTCCGCTTGTCGTCTGGGTCGAAACAGCAGTTGGAGCAGCAGTGGGGATGACAGTGGCGAGCTCGGAGGCCTTGGAGCTGAGGAAGCTCTTGGCATCGGCTGGTAAGCTGGTGTACCAGGCGGGCGGGGTGCCGTCGTTCACGTCGCTGACGATGGAGTTGATGTAGCTTTGGATATTCGTGCCGGTGGGCGGGGGAACGGCGGTTGCCAGGACTGAGGCAACGTTTGGAGGGATGTTGCCGATGGCCGTTATCAGATTATTGAAGCTGCCTTTGATGCTGGAGGCGATGCCTTCGCTGTTTATGGGGTGGGGAGGGTTAGCTTTCTGCGGATTCTTGTTGTTTTATTTTTATTTTGGTTTGTTTATTGGGTTCTTTATTCGGAATGCATGGATGACAACTATGAGTATGATGATAGTAGGATACATACAGATCATCTCCAATATCGCGCTTCTTCTCGACAGCCTCGTCTGCTACGACGAAGGTGGCGAGGGCCAGCATGGAGAAGAGTTTGAATTGCATGGTTATTTAGCGGTATTGATTGATGAATTGAGGCGGAAGGTAAAGTGAGAAGAGGAGAGTGAATTGAAGCTTGTGATGAGAGAATAAGAAAAGCAAAACCAGGTCTGCGACGACAAAATGGGGGAGAACTCCTGGTATATATACATATATATGATTCGTACCCCCAGCAACCTTATAAGCCTCACCAGCGGAGACGTCTCACTCCAGTTCAGGGGCTTTTATTTTATCCCACGCCTCCCGGTCGCATTCCGCCATCGGGGACCCGTTTTGAGGAAGGCTTCCTGTACGCTAGCCAGGGCTAGTCAGCCGTTCTAGAGAGTGTGACTGCAGCCGACTTGTTCAAGCCTAGCAGCATTTTAGTATGTGGCAGCGTGCTGGTCAAACAATGCTAAAGATGCCACTAGATCACTATTGGCATAGTTTGAATGGGAGCCACCACTTAGGGAGCTGCTAAAGGACTAGTGGTTGCACCCTCAACTTTGACAAAATTCTTTGACTTTGCTACCGGCCGCACGCCTCTTGTCTGCGCTGTAGGTGTTTTGAGGGCGATGCCATACTAGTGCCTTGGCGAGTCGGAAGTTTTTGACAACGTCGTTCAAGAAGATAGCAAGGACCACTGTCGTCATCGAATAATGGACTCGCTCGGCAGTGGATATATACGGTGGAGCGCTAGGAGCTGATCAAACCTTAGCTTCAGCTCCAGATTTCTTCCTCGTATTTTGCCCTAGTTGATGGGCTGTGGCGTGATGAGGTTCCCTGGCATTGCATGGGTAGCAATCATTCTTTGAGGAGAAGACGAGAATGTACTGTGCAACAGTAACGGGGATTTTTAGGGCTAGAGGGAAGTGCGTTTCGCAACATAATCCGAAACGTATGTGATAGCTCTGATGAGTGATCCTGTTGATCCCATTTATCCCTGCTGTGCCCACAGATCATGGATCAGCCACAAAAATCGCAGGGCTCGGATGGGGCTTCACCACGAAAAGAATAAAGATAAGGGTAGTATCGGAGGGCGGGTTCCTTTGCCCATATTCTTACACCACATCTCATATTTCGGGTATTAGATATCGATACATCTGCGTTAGCCGTGTGCAGAACTGCAAATCCGAGGTGGGTAACCAGTTGCGACATGGTAATGGCGCAGGTAGCTGTGCATTTCACTGAATGGGGGCCATGCACTGCATACTGTATTTGATCGGGCTAATATTGCTATTCTTGGGAATAGTTGGGAACATAATTGGGCTAACTATTCTCGTCAATTATGCTCTGTTGGATTTGGTGTCTCGTGGGCCCAACTCCGCCTCAGCCACAGCATCAACGACGCACGTCACCACCTTGTTGGGAGAGCCGCATCATGTATGGAATCATGAAATGGAGCCTTGGTTGAATCCTGGGCACTGGGGCCCCGCTCTCAAGTTTAAAGTTAGAGCCGAAATCCACGCGTCGAGATACCCGCAGCAACTTTCCATCTTTCGACAAACCTTAATCAGCTTTCCTGCTGAAGTTTTCAAATGGGGCGGAAGCTTGGTGTATGGCTTGAGATATATCGGAAGTCCCCTTGTGGCTTGGCCTACTTCTCTTGATATTCCATTCTCTTCAAAGAAAATTAAGATGCCATCAGGTCTTGCACAGCTGAACGATCCAGGTAATGTGGCATTCGGAGTCTTTGGAGGAGCGGGAGAACGAGGACGAGGAGACCATATATTTCCATGTAACTACCTGATAGCAATCGATGTCGCCAACGACTTATTCTTACGCATTCGTATGGCACGCACAGCATAAGCAGTAAAACTTGAGACAGTTGATGGCGTATCCAACATTTGGCATTTGGGTGATGTAGGAAGCCCAATATCAGGGGCTACTATGACAGAGGCAGTGCTTTCAATCATGACTTGCTAGTCTTTGGTATGATGAATCGAGACAGCGAATATATTATACAGCGTCTGTTGGCACCTGGGAACATGTGGTGCACCTTACGCTCAATCGCTGGGAAGCAGCGGAGTCGAGGAAGACGAAGTTGGCAACTTTTGAATCATCCTGGCATCCTACTACGTAGTTCAGTGAATTCCGCCAGGGTGCAAGAAAAGATACTGGTGGGCCAAAACGCTGCCTCAGTCAAATCAGTTTCGAGGTACAGATCTGTACTACGAGCAGCGCCTATGAAGCACTGTTCCTACGAGGCGAACAACATGTTTATGTACTAATACTGTATGAACATTTGCCCCTGAGATTTGAACTTGCGATGTGAATGAAAAATTTCATCCATGGAAAGATGGGTGCTGTAGAACTTACTCTCTTCTATTTCTTCCTTTCTTTAAAAGCATCTGCATTGTTTATATACACTACCTCCTCACCACGAAATGATTTGATAATGCTCCACAACGTCAATAGCTAACCTCAGAATGGTGGCGAACGAAAAAAATAAGCAATAAATAAATAAATAAATAAATAACCCTTTTGCCTAAAAGGAGGCAACTGCTAATGTTGTGGAAATACTCTTTTCTAACGGTACGAGCCAAAAGAGGGCAATTTCAAGAAGGCCTTTATTCATGCCTAAGTCAAGGGAGTATTTGGTGAAGAGGACATCAAAAGTACCAGCTTCCAACTTCCAACCCTAAATGACGTCGAAGCCTAAATGACGTCGAAGCCTAAATGACGTTGAGGGGAAAGTATTAAATTTATCTCAACCCCATTCAAGGAATCTTTCATTTTCTAACACCGCTAACATACCAAAGGAAAAAGAACTTCCGTTTTCCATTTACTACTATTCTGTATCTTAATCGAACCTTGCAAACCATGGCCGCCTCACCAACAAAATTCAAGCTTAACACCGGCGCCGAAATACCAGCCATTGGCCTGGGCACCTGGCAAGACCAAGATGAGCAGGAGAAAGCAGTATTGACCGCGCTGGAAGCCGGATACCGCCACATCGACACAGCAGAAATGTAAGAAAAGAACCTAGCAACCCAATCCGTCTTACAGAACACAATAATGTCCTTCCCCCATCCTCCCGTCCCCTTTCTTCGTTTTCGCTCATCATATCCTTTTCAGGACCAATGTCGATAGCACAGGATGTTAAAAACATTAGTTACGGCACAGAAACTGCCGTTGGCAGGGCATTAAAGAAAAGTGGAATCCCCCGCGACGAAATCTTCATAACGTCCAAACTATGGAATAATAAGCATCACCCAGAGGACGTCGAGTTAGCTCTGAGCCAGTCGCTGAAGAATCTGGGCGTGAGATATGTGGATCTATATCTTATGCACTGGCCCGTTGCTTTTGCTCGAGGAGACGAACCCTTCCCTAAGGATGAACAGGGAAATCCGAAGACTGCGAAGATTGATTATGTCGATGTATGATTCTCTCTCCATAGGACGCTGTTGGGGCGGTTGGAAACCCAAGGCCTCTCCCAACCTCCATTATCCCATTCGAAATTCAATGCTGTAGAAATGTACTCAGACAATCTGCCCAGACTTACAACGCCATGAAGAAGCTCCAGAAATCCGGAAAAGCCAAGGCGATCGGGATCTCCAACTTCTCCAAGGTAGAGGTGGAGCGGCTACTCGCTAATACTTCTACTATTCCCGCTGTTCACCAGCTGGAACTGCACCCCTGGCTACAGCAGGAGGAATTTGTCAAGTTCCACACCAGCAAGGGAATTCACATCACACAGTATTCGTCGCTGGGTAATCAGAATAAAATTTATAGTAGTGAGAAAGTGGGAAGGATGCTTGATGATCCCGTCCTTAAGGAGGTGGCTGAGGAGACTGGAAAGAACTGTGCGCAGGTTTCGTTGGGTACGTGCAAGCGCATATATTACTGAGGTCGATTTTTGCTAGTTCGCTGACTGGGAAATTTTGAATAATAGCTTGGGGAATTTCGCACGGTCGCTCTGTGCTCGTCAAGTCCAAGACGCCGGAACGTATTTGGCAGAACTTGCAATCTGACTTCCATCTCAATTCTGGATATGTCAAGCAGATCGATAACATTGATAAGAAGCAACGGTTTAATGATTCGAGTGAGGATTTTGGGTATAACTTCTTCATGGATTTGGATGGGAAACAGAAATGAGTTGTCAGGCGGGTCATATTATGTCCGTGCCATCTATCCAACCAGTTTAGCTGCTATTGTGTATGTGTGTATAATATATACCTTGGAATCTTTTATTCGAGCCAACCTGGACACGGATTGTTAGCGTTGTTGTACATGTACATACATGTACTACATTAACCACCAGGAAGGCGAAGCTATATTTCTTGAAAGTCCCCGGGGCTGTATCCTCGACTGACCCTGATCAATGTATCCCTCTCAGACTCACAGAGTCGACGGGATCGAAAATCCCCTTCAGGAAGTTCATCTTATCAAAAACTTGGGCTTGAAATACTTCTGATACCTCTCTAGATCAAAAGCAGGCCCGTCAGATAATTCTGAGCTATCAGGATCTCCAGCCCAGACAAATACCCGACACTCGAACCCGCTCTCCGCCGTAGAGGTGCACACAGTACCATCTGTAAACTCTGCAACGCAGCGATGCCAGGTGTAAGCGTTCGTCTCATACCTCTCCAGTAACGTGAATTGCGCCGGGTGTTCGACCAGATAGAGTTTGCCCGGAATAGCATCGTCAACACCCTCGCTTTCGTTTCCTTTGCTAACAGCGGAGCTAGACGAATTGGGAATGAGGGTGGGATAGGGCCCCCACATCTTCATTTTGTAGTTTCTTAGCTTTGCAGGCCGCAGAGGGGGCGGGGGATCAGGGAGTCCCAAGATATGTTGGAGCACATCGAGATCCATGAGGGAGCCGTAGAAGAAAAGGTAGGTGGGTTTCCATGGCGGGTCGATTTGAAGTGCAGGCGCAGCTTGAGGTGATTCCATGACGAGCCCGGGTTACAGTTGAACGTGGTTTATTCAAACATGAACGTGGTTTTAAAAAAGTGGGTCTGAAAAATAAACCATGCTCAGCCCTTCACTCCCTCACTAATATCTTTTAGTTACATATCCTCAGTATATATATTATTGATAAGTTGTCATAGTTACTTCAACATTCAGAGCTCTTCAACATCTGAAAAGTAGTTATGAGTTAGAATGAATGATATAGAGTTAGAATTCAGGTTAGCTAAGGAATAGAGATCTGAGAAATATGATAAAATCACTGTGTCTGATGCATTTGAAGATGTGTGAGATATGTATGAGGCATGACTAGCGCATGTAGTTTTAATGGGGGTTGACGTGGTTTATGGTGGCCCGAAAAATTAACCATGTTCAACTTTTTATTAACCACGTTCAACTGTATGCCCGAGTGAGCCGTACCTGGAGTATAGCGATTTGTGGAGGGTTTGGATTGGTTCGTCCCCTCAACAACCAGCATTGGAGATCAAGCTTTACTGTCCCATGGCCTGACATATCCATAGCATCGGAAGCGTGGTCTTGGCGCCATTGGAGCAGGACGCATATAAGCCTCCTCCTTCCTGCCACCTATCGCGTGCTTTCTCGGAGCTGTTCAACCAACCTCAAGGACACGCATTCTCTACTGTGCTTGAGGGTTAGAATGAGTAGGGAGAGCTAGCCCGTAGTTGCAAACGGAATTTCTTTGTCACTATCTCTGAAGCCATCTGCAGAGCACTCCATTGTTTCCGTGCGCTCTCGGGTCTCCACCTTAATTCTATTCGCTTCAATCGTCTGGATTCTGCTTCGATAGCTTGTCCGCTCTCAAATAAATCTACCATTTTATTTTATATCTTCCAAATATACCTACCGTATGCAGTGCAAACATTACAATCCAAGTTAAATGGCTATCGCGAACCTAGTCGCATCCTCCCGCCATGACTGGCGATTCTCTAAGCGGTTAATCCTCTCATATGTGCTCGACTGGATATTAATCTTGTGCGTTATCTTCGGGAAACAAATGTCCCTTACGGCAAACTTCTGCTAACTCTTGCAATGCAGGGCGACCGCAGCCGCAGGCCGCATTCTTAAGTTCGCGGAACCGAATAGACACCCATTTTCGCTTTCTGACCCAAGCATATCCTTTCCATTTACCGTTGATGAATCAGTTACAGTTACAGTTTTGGTTCTCGTTAGCCTCGTCGTTCCCGCAGCTATCATTCTTCTGGTGTGCGTTTTCTTCATCCAAGAGCTTACAGCAGATAGAAATGCGCCCAAGGCGCGAGTATGGCAACGCAAATTATGGGAGTTGAATGTTGGATGGATGGGGCTAGGCATCGCTTGTGCTGGGTCGTATGTGTCTACAGAGGCGATTAAACTCATATATGGAAAACCACGGCCGGATCTGCTTAGTCGCTGTATGCCAAATCTTTCTGATATTTCAAGTCATGTAGTTGGAGGTCAGGGGCAAGTTATTGACGGTGCCCCGATTCTGGTCTCGTATACAATCTGCCAGGAGACCTCGGAAAAACTCACCAGAGAGGGCTTCGTTAGCTTTCCTAGTGGACACTCCTCCTGTAAGTGAACCCTTGGGGTGTAAGAGAAGGAAATGAAATGTGGGTATACAGAGAATTAAGCAAATACTAATACCTCCTATCCTGCAGTGTCTTTCGCATGCCTAACCTACCTGTCTCTCTGGCTTTGCGCAAAATTCTCCATCTCAATTCCCTACCTCGCCCCAAGGCACTATACCCAAGATACCAGTACCCAACAAACTGCTCGCTTAGCAAACACACACACATCCATCAAAAGCGAACATGACGGCGAACCAACCCACTCTGACGCAAACCTCATTCCGATCAGAAAGCAATCCGCCGCCCCGCCAATTTACCTCCTTATCATCGTCGCCGCACCCATCGCCACCGCAACCTACATAGCCTCCAGCCGCTGGGCTGACAACCGCCATGCCGGCTTTGACGTCCTCGGCGGCAGCCTGCTTGGTATTTTCTTCGCCTTCTTGGGGTTCCGCTGGTATCACCCACCGCTGAGTGCTGGCGGTGCCGGCTGGGCTTGGGGCGCGCGTGCTCCTGAGAAAGCATTCTTTGCTGGAATTGGGGTTAATGGGTATGTCAAGCATGAGGGACTGGAAAACGGCCGGACTTCTTCATTGAGTCCGAGTAGCTTGCGCAGGATAGCGCAAAGCGGAGATAATAATGTCTGAGAGCAGTATGTGGACCGGTTGATTTTATGTTTCCTTTATTATGACCTTGTATAGATTGGTTGGCTGTGTCGTGTGGATGGTGTCAGGGTGTTTTCCATGGATTGGGGAGTGATATATTTCGGCGATCCGCTCTTTGTTTCAAATACTTCGCATGTTTTTGTTGATTTACTACAGATTAGAAACTGTGGCATATGAATAAACTTAGAATTTTTTTTCCCTTTTTTTGCATATTTCCTCCGTTCTATGCTGAATACGTACGTATTTAATAGTGTAGTTAGTGCATGTACTGTACATAGCTCTCCTGATTCTAGAGTTGTAATTCAACACCCGTTTCTCCTCCTGCTCGCGAGCCGCAAACCGGACGACAATATCATATCAGTCTGGCATATAACACGCAGTTGGTCGGGATATCGGGGGCAACTCGGCCTTCTGCAAAATTCCCAGCAAGCGGAAAATACCCAAACTCCATACATTGGAAAGAGGGAAAAATAAAAGTAAAATAAAAAACGCTCCATCGGTGCCAAGGACATTCAACGCCGCCCAGCAATTATATTCAATTCATCTCCAACCCCCCACTCTCCCTTCATCCCACCTAGCCCTCATTTCCCGCCTGCTCTCCAACCTCGCCCCTTCGGTCCTGACCCTCTTGACCCACTCCACAACCTCCCTCTCGCTAGCTTTCTCCTCACTGCCCTGCTCACTCTCTAAGAAGCTCTCCTCAACTGCTCGACATACAGCTTCTTGCTCCGCAATGCCAGCCACGAGTCGCTGATACAACGCTTTGGGCGACCAGGGCTCCAAGGCAGAGTCCATCTCACTCTGCTTCTTGCGCCAGGATAGTTCGAGGGATTGGTGGTGGAGGAGGAGAGATTCGGTGGAGGCGCGGAGGTTTTGTAGGTGTACTTCGAGGGAGACAAGGTGTTTGGCTAGTTGTTTGATGGCAGACAAAAGTGTGGTGAGGTGGGTTTGCATAGCCGGGTAGGAAGGGTGGGTGGTTGCGAGGGCATGGAGGAGGGTGGGGTTTTGGAGAATGGAGTGGAGGTCCGGGGTCCTGTGTGCGGAATGGTTAGTTAAATGATTTGTGAGATGGCTTGGGTGGCCATGCATTGGAGGGGTTTGAGCTATGTGGACAAACGCACGATTTATCTTTCAGATTGTCTGGAAGCCAACCGTCCTCTACTTTTGGAGGTTGTGGAAGGTTGTCGGTGGAGAATGCGTCATCCGGCAAGGAATCAGGCGGGCGGGCTATTGCTGGATCGCCATGGAGGCCTGGTTGGCCTTGTGTAGTAGAAGACTCTCGATATGTGGAGCTGGGTAGTGCGGAGGGAAGAGATAATGGGGAGCCGGTATGGGGTGTGCCTTTACGACTGGCTTCATGACTGCTTGGTTTCGGGGGCGGCGGGGGAGGGGTTTCGGTGCCGAGGGGAGCGTTGGACGTTGGTGGATTCCCCGTATATGATGAGGAAAGTGTGGAGCGTGGTTTAGGTGGCAGAGGCAGGGCCATGTCTGTAGCAGTGGAAATGAGACAATTGTTGGTGAGGAGGATTGATTTATTGATAGATTCAAGTTGTTGCTGGAAGGAAACCTTTGGAAAGCCGTGATGTCACCTGATCAAGCTGCTTCGAAATCCTCAAGCTTTCCCTATCGGTGGACAAGACTGTAAACTACGGCTGGTATTGTATACGGTCTCGGCTTATTGCTGTGGCATTTAGGGTCTATGATATACTGTCTGCATGCGAGGGATTCAAACGGTATACGTCCGGCATTCGTAAATCATAAATATTGCCCTTTAATCAGTCCGTCTCCTAACGCCCCTCTCCTGTGTGTCTGCATTCACATCCTTAAGTGCGTCCGTAACTAATTGACGGAGTTCCCGCTGCCCCTCTTCAGTATGGAAGTTTTCCCTTGCAGCAAGCTCCTCAATTCTCCTCTTGAATTCCGGGTCAGGGCCCCCATCCCCGTCGGCAGCTGGATCAGGCATGTTTCCAACATTGACAGTCACATTTGGCGGAATCGATATAGATGATTGTAGGAGTTGGCCCGGGCAATCTCCAGCCTGGCTGCCTTGTAGGTATTCAATCAAATACGGAAATTCCCCATCACTGGCAATAGACTCCTCCGCCTTCAAACCAAGGTGGTTCTTGTGATCCCGATCTACGCCAAGTTCCTCGATCAAACAGCGGGCCACGTCGACAGATTCCGTGACAAAAAGGCAAGTTTCTCCGTCCTCGTCTACCAAGTTTACGTTTACCTGGAGTTCTTGAACGAGGGCGCGGAGAAGCTCGACATGGCCGTACGAAGCAGCAGCATGTAGCAGGGAATAGCCAGAGTCGTCCTGGGACGAAGCTAAAGCAGGGTTTGACCGAAGGAGTGGGAGGAGGGAAGGCGAATTGTCTGCTGCAAGAGTGTAGATGTTGGGCTGGGAAGGGGACATTATCGGCAGTTTTAAATATAAGATCAAATCGTAGCGTTCTTGAATAATGAGGAGGAGGGGTTGGGGCAATGTCCACCGAACAAACAAAAAGCAAAAAAAAAATATCAAACAACACTGGGGGTTTTGCCCGATTGAGCTAGCAGCCCCCAGACCAACGTACCTTGCACAACGGTCTGGCGATCATGATGAAGAAATAGATAGCCAACGACAACTCGTTCGATTACTTTTTCTGCCCTGTGGATTTTGAATAAATTGTTTCATAGATCTTCTCCAGCAACTAGAGTAGCGACCCCGCATAGTACTTTGCTTTTGAACTCGACACGTCGTTCCCCTACCCCGCATGTTGGACAGCCTGATATCTCACTCGTTCAAATATTCATTTCATACGTCAAAATCATGGTTCAACAAGATGTCCACGAGGTTACTCGGCTTGTTCATAGCTTAGAGGCTGCAAGCGGTAAGAAGAAACAGCTGGGGAAAAAGACATTTTCCTGCAAGAAGAGCACCTTTCCTGTTTCGGGATCAGATATCAGTGTGGACTCGTGGAGGTTCCAGGATTGGGATTACAAGCGGGATGACTTGCCAACCTATGCGCGTGGTTTGTTTACGACCAGGAATGAGAAAAATCAATATGAAATCGCTATTCGAGGATATGACAAGTTCTTCAACGTGGATGAAGTGAATTTGACACGATGGAGAAACATTGAGCACAATACCAGGGGACCGTATGAGCTAAGCGTCAAAGAGAATGGTTGCATTATTTTTATATCTGGCTTGGAGGATGGCACGCTGCTTGTATGCAGCAAACACTCCACGGGCGCCAGGACTGATGTCACCCTCAGTCACGCAGTTGCTGGTGAGAACTGGGCGAAGCGACATGTAGCCGCTGTTGGTAGGACGATGGCAGATTTGGCTAAGGCATTGAGAAAAGCGAATTTAACTGCTGTTGGCGAGCTTTGTGACGACCGTTTTGAGGAGCACGTTCTCCCTTACGACGAGGAGGCCTCCGGTATCTATCTTCATGGCCTGAACTACAACGTTCCCGAATTCGCTACCCTACCTAGTCTTGAGGTTCACAAATTTGCCGATGAATGGGGATTTAAGAAAGCGCAGTTCCTCATGAAGGATTCCCTTTCCGAAGTAAAGGCCTTCTTAGAGAAGTGCGCAGAGACAGGGTCGTGGGACGGTAGGGACACCGAAGGCTTTGTTATCCGGTGTCAACTAAGTGAAGGAGGTGTCGGCCCATATAGAGACTGGTTTTTCAAGTACAAATTTGAAGAACCATACCTCATGTACAGGCAGTGGCGTGAAGCCACCAAAGCAATAATTGCAGGCAGACAGCCAAAAATCAAGAAGCATGTGGCTATTACAGAGCAATATCTACAATATGCTAGGAGGCAACTTGCTCAGGACCCTAAGCTTGCAAAGCTCTACAATCAAAATCATGGCATCATCTCGATGAGAGATGGCTTCTTGAAAGAAAGAGGAATGAAGGGCTCAGATATCATTGCCATGGAATTAGCGCAGGGAGAAGGGACTTCCCCTCTTGCTAAGGTGACACAAGATATTGTCTTAGTGCCAGTAGCTTCAATCGGGTGTGGCAAAACCACCTTAGCCCTCGCACTTGTTAAGTTATTTGGCTGGGGCCATATCCAGAATGATAACATTCAGGGACCGAAGAACCGTCCGAAGAGATTTGCACAGGAGGTGACCTCTTCTCTTGCAACTCATGGGGTCGTCATCGCAGATCGTAACAATCACCAAAAGCGGGAAAGGAGCCAGATCATTGATGATGTTCTACGAGTTGTACCAAATGCAAAATTTGTTGCGCTCCACTATGTCCATGAACCCAAGCAATTATTGCTCCATGATATTAGAAAAGTCACTCAGGCAAGAGTTCTAGAACGAGGGGACAACCATCAAACGATCCAAGCCGGTAGCAAAGACCGGGACTCCGTAATTGGGATTATGGAGGGGTTTTTGAGTCGATTCGAGGCTGTGGACACCAACCTTTACCCTGACGACGGTTTTGATGAAGTGATCGATCTGGATGTGACCACCTCTTCTCGTGAAAATCTGGAGAAGGTCGTCTCAGCCCTACACTCCTCATTCCCAAAACTCATGGAGGGCAAAATGCCAACTTCATCAGACCTAGACAACGCCATCGATGAAGCCATGAAAAACTACAAAGTCGACACAAAGCACGACCTCAAATTCTCGAATAGCAATAAGTTCTCAAAACAAACAGCACCACGAGAATCTCCCGACCAGCTCGCCAAGCGCATAGAATACTTCAACATCTCCTTGAACTCAAACCAAATAACCACCCTACTCGCCTCGCTCTTCTCATCCTCCACCATCCCACCCGAAAGGAGGAAACTATACAGCCACCTCAAAAACTCCCGTCGCATCCAGACTTCCTTCCACGTAACCCTAATCCACCGTGCCTCCCAAAAAACCCACCCAGACATCTGGGCCTATTACACAAACCTCTACAAAGCCGCCATCCAAAAAGAGCAACCGAATCCTGCAAACGGCTACGTTCTCGAAACACCAATCCTAGGCACCACCCGTGTCCGCATCGAGCGCCTCGTCTGGGATGATAGAATTATGGCCTTTGTCGCGCGCATCTGCCCGCGGGAGGGAGATTCATGGCCATGCGCGAATGATATCCCCCATATCACAGTCGGCACGGCGGCGCCAGAAGTGAAACCGAAGGAAAGCAATGATTTGTTGAAACGTTGGCTGGAGGTTGGAGCTGGGGCTGAGACGGGTATTTGGGAGGCTGAGGTGCCTTCTGTCACAATGTTGGAGGGGAGTGTTGGGGAGGTGCTGATGAAATGAAAGGGAAAGGTTCGGGAGTTGGGGAGAGGGGGGGAGAAGGGCGTGGGGCTTTGCTCTGGCTTATTGATATTGAGGTTAAACAGAATTACATCGAGAAAAGTAGAGTCATATATTCATTCTATGCGATTCAGACCTCTCTCTTTTTTGTGCTTTGTAGGCGAAACATAAGCAGACAAGAAGAGTGACTGATTTTGATTTTTGTTGCTACAAATATTTTTTCAATGTGTCTGCAATTGTTTATCTCCTTTTGAGCGTTTTCTTAGATGATTGATATGAATATATATATGGAGTCGGAGTGGTTGTGAAAAGGATTGGAATCTAATTTGATTTTCTCATATCTCTGTATCCTCGATTGTAAATGGGTATGCATCTATGGGATCGCCGAGAGAGATAGAAGGAAGGGAAATATGAGGTATTTCGAAGCGAAAGAAATCAAAAGAGAACCAACCAAGCAAAATAACCAAGCAAATTTAAAAATAAATAAATAGGAATTAAAAAAAAAAAAAACAATCCAAAAATTGCGGCCCAAAATTTTATTCCATTTCCAATCACTAGCAGAAAACAGGGAACATAAGGAAAGGAAATGAAAGCACGATGAAAGGGATGCCAGAACAACAATAACTGCGGCTCTATATGGAAATAGGAGAATGTATGAGTAAACGTAGCCGTTCCAAGTTCGTTGAGAGACAAAACATAAATCAATTAAAGGTGGTATTACATATGCATTCGTTACGCTGCTTTCCCCCCCGCTCTCTCCATCTGCCTCGATCTACTCAATCACTCATCCAAGCCGCAACCCTACCTCCCCCAACACGCGCTGCAAGCCTCAAACCAGTGCTGCCCATAGGGAAATAGCTCACGAGATACCAAACGAGAGCAATGAGTTGGAAAATGCAGGAGATCAGGGTGAGAATCGTGGAGTGGAGCTGCGCGGTAAAAGTTAGTCTCGGTCAGATGGTTTGTCGTTGGATATGGATTTTAGGCTTGTGCGGATAAACCGGAAACGGCCCATGTCTTCAAGAGGTGTATAAGTTTGCAACATTGGGAACATGGGGAAAATTGAAGATGGTGTAGGTGAATGGGAGGGGAGCTCAAGGTTGGAATATATGGAATCTGGTGGCGATGCTTTCATTCTCTCCACGGGACCCCTTTTCTCATGAAATCCACGAGGAATTACGGGATGTAAGTAGAGTCCGGAGGGTAATAGTTGGATGGATGGAAACATTTTGTTATGCAGGACGGAGAATACCGGGGCAAGGATATTAGGACAATGGGGGGGAATTTCTGGTAGAGAGGAGAAATGGATAACATTTGTAAAATGAAAACACAGTGAACACTTCCCTAATGGGGAAAGATGAAGGAAAATCCGGAATATGCAGACTGAAAAAGTGGACTTACTCCGATAGCAAAGTAGAGAGTTAGGCCAATTGACGTGAAATAGGCCCCAGTGAATGGAAGGCGAGGCCCCGATGCTAAATGCTTGACATATGCCATGGGGCCCATGAGAACAGCCCAGGAGATGAGAAAGAGAACGGATCCCACAGACCACCTTAAGGGAAAAGAATATATTAGCTATGACATCACGTAAATATGAGATATGCAGAGATGCAGGCGGATGCGCAATGAGCTCTAGACGCGGCCAAAGACAACCGGAGGATCTCGGAGGCCGGCACAAATGGAATAGTAGATGACATAGCGGTATGTCAGGGATGACAAGCGTGGGGCATGGTTTAACAACAAGCCGACGTTGACAATCGCATACAGTTATTCAAGGTTTGAGGCAATGCAGCCTTTTCGTGAACCCATTATTGTGTGTGGGTGAGTAGAATTCGGCTGCATACGCCATTGCTGAAAGGTTTCAAGGCAGTCTTGAGGGGAAAAAGGGGGTGGGCGTTATGTGAAAGAAAATTAAACTCACAAAACTGCAAATTTCCTTGCCCTGAACATCAGAGGGAATAATATGAGCCCTATGCAAATACTGAAACACACAAGAGCCCCAACGATACACCCAGCAAATATCAGCATGCGGTCCCATCGAGTTACTGCGGAGCAAATGGTTGAATAGTTAGCACGTTTCGAACACCACAAATAGGAAGCTGAGAATGATGCATCGACTTCGCCTTGCTGCGGAGAAAGAAACTCCACGGCAGGACATGCATGTGAGTCTGTGCGGACGCAGGAACTGAGGTGTGTCACTTGTACGTTGGCCATAGAGATGACACGAAATAGACAAGACATCTGCGTCAAAAAGGTGTGTCATGAGACTCACATGAAAACCATGTTTCGTCCTCCTCTCGCCTTGTTGGAGCCGGTAGAGATGCAGCTGAATCATCTTGTGCAGGAAGCTGAACATAACCCCGATCCGCAAAAGGGTTAAGTGACTGAATGCTCGCGAATACCGACTTTGAGGTTGTTCGATTGGTAGATGCAGTATCCGGTTGCCCCAGTGTCCATCCCAAGGAATTCATGGAGTCACGAAACGACGCGGACGCCATCTTCCGCGATAGCCGTTTCTGTGGTGGTCAAAGTGTATTTCCTTTTGTGTCTCCTTGCTTAAACTTCTTATTTCCAGTCTCGTTCAAAATGAAATCCCCGACGTCATTCAACAAAACGGGTAGATATCGGCTCGCTTCCTCCCGAGAGATCTGCATACAGATACAGGCCGTAACTGAAGGGTTCAACTTCCCACAAAAGCCAAGATATGTATGTAAGTATCTCTCGCAGATGATATGCAGCTAAAAAGCATGTGTGGTGTGGGGTAGCTGTAGGTCAGATGGTTATCATAATATTCATTGGGCAAGCTATTTTAGAAGTACAGGATACTGAAGGAGGGGAGCAGTCGAGATCCCAGAGGCACACCAAGTCATCCTTGCCCTTCTGTAAGACCACGGGTATGATGTAATGTGAGTGGACTTACCCCCGTGTCTGCTGGTGTCCCGGTAGGAGTAAGTAAGAGTGTATACTAGCAAGGAAAGTCGATGGCACAGGGAGCCGACGTAGTGGTGTGGTGGTGGTGGTGCGTAGTGCGTGTTGATGGTGGTGATCAGTAGCTTGAGATGGAGGGTTCGCGATAAAGGTGGCAGCGATAAATCTGAAGGGTCCAGTCCGAAAAGGTGAATAGCTAAACCCTCATCAGTTAGCTTCGGGTCAGCACCAACTAAAAATTTGTATCAGATGATCACTCAAGCTTTAGTTTTGGTTTTGACAGAGGTGGTGTATGATAAACTTGGATGGGATGCACAGACCTGTGGAGCTGCGCAAAGGAAGCTTCCCTAGTGGATGCTGTGGAGAAGAAATGCAAAGGGAACCAGATAGGATTGACACAGGGTCCTCGCTCGGTTGATGTCTGAAGAACAGAGTCTGTCCTCGTCGCCTGAAGGCCTGCTACAGGGAAATCAGGAGTGAGGAGTGAGGATGAGGTTGGATGGACGGCTCGGTGGAGGCGAGCACGCTAGTGGCTGAGTCACCCTGAGCCTCGGGGTCCCAGCCACACCCCGCTAAAACCGCCAACTCCAAGCAGGCATCAGGAAGCTAACGAACAAGCCTAACACCCATCGTGGTGGAGAAACCACGGGCAGCCCCGCTACCCCGTAGCCAACAGCTGCTAATCAACGACAGGCCGCTCCTCGTTTACCAAAGTCCAGAGATTGGGTGGAGATATTTATTTAGCCCCCCTTGATCTCATCCCGAGAAGTATTTCCCTCCGCTCCTTGGAGGCAAAAAGCTTGTGCAGAGCTTCTGATTCGTCCCCTGTTGATCGAAAGTTGCTGGTTCCTCGCCTATCAAGCAACTCGGTACCCATTCAGAGGAGATTTTCCTGCTTTTCGCTAATTGTCCGTTCTCCTTTGACGCCAGAATCCAACTATGAACCTGCAATACTGTCCCAACCCATGGGCAAGGTTTAGTATTTGGAGAAAACATGCAGTTTTCCCGCAAGCATGCTCTACAGTGTCGTTGCCTTCTAATTTGGTGTTGAATATTTTGAAGAACAGGGCTACTAGTTATTTGAGGGATATGACTAGAATCACTGATTAGCTCGCTGACGATAACAAACGTCATTTAACTATGCGAATATAGTCTCACTGCCCCCATTGACGAATGTCAACTGAGACACTGGAGTTGCCTTGAGCCAATCGATGAGTTCACAAAAAGGAAAACGAGAGAACCCTGCCACATTGTCCCAGACATGAGTCCTACCACATCCGAACTGACACACAGGGCATTGATCGTTGGTAAACGGCCCCGTTATACCAGTCCCCTAGATCAAAAACCCAGACAAGGAAAGAATAGGAGACTTTTTGCGCCCATCCAAATTGCATCCAAGAACTACGCGACTTAGGAATCTTGATTTAAATCTGCGCCATGATTGGAGTATCGGTATGCCGTTTGTGCCGCTGATTGTGTAGGTCTTCCCTGATATGTGAAAGAATGGGGGACAGTGTGCGACATGAAAAACAAGGATCTTCTCCTCGGACTGCCGCCACACCCCGAGTCTTACGAGTATTTATTATGATAACGAGCGTGTGCAACTTGCCCAGAAGAAAAGGAGGGCTAGAGGCACCCACGCCAGAGGAAGATGAGATGACGACACTTTTTTTTTTAAAAATAAAAATCTGAACCCAGAAGCAAGTATCGATTCTTTGGAATTAGCAATAAGAAACCATGATTTCGACGTCCTTTAAAGTTGCCGGACGGGAACCCCGTATGCCTCCCGCAAACGTCCAAGCTTGCCGGCCAACAAAAGCAAGCTCTGGAAATATTCCGGGGTAATCCTGGCCCCTTTCAAATTTATAATTTTTTGAATAAATAACAAAAGCAATGAACCGATCTCCTTTCTTCATATGATGAAAGCTCCGTTCAACAGAAAGGGTTTTTCAGATTCTTTCTCCGTGGCTGACGCCCAAGATCGCCAGGAATGGGGGGTTGGTCAATAATGTGAATTCTTGGTCTCCCTCGAAAGTCCCAACTAGATATCCGGATACGAGCCGCCTCCACACCTCGTTCCGAAGGTACCGCTTCTGGGAAAAGTTATTTTTTGTTGCGGGGCCAGCTGACAAAATGCCATTCCCTCAAGACGCGAATGTGAATGCCCAAGAAACCTTGGGTGTGGAGGGTGCTCTATACGCGCTAGATCCATGATCGCCTACCTTGCGTGAAGGTAGTTTCTAGAATGCGAGCCAGCCCAGGAATTTATCAGCTCATGAAATGCGACCCTCACCTCCCAAACTATGCAGTTCCATGTCGCCGATCACTTTAAAGCATACGTTGGGACAGGCTATGCAGAATATCAAATATAAGACGGCATCAAAGGATGCAGTTGCGTAGTTCTCCTTCCCTCGTCGCTCCAACTTCCTACATAGTTATATTTAATGCCTAGGAATAAAACTTCTTCCAACGACATGTTTTGTACTGTACAGTGCTAGTACGCTTATCGTACTCCCTTTCGCACACTCGGCATGGTAGAAGGAGATGATCAGAATCAAGACTCCCGTTTAGTCGCCGAAGCATCTTTCTTTACTTTTCACTCTCCGCATATTCATCACTGACACACCATGCCCCAGTGCCCACTCCATGATCCACACACACACACACACACACACGCACACTCACTTACTCACTCACATAACTCCTCCCCCTTCCCCCACCCCCTTTTATTTTCACTTTCACAAGCCAAAATGCCATTTCTCTTCCGGAGTCGCGTTTGCCTTTTTGTCTCCGCACCCAACCCAGTTGTGTGAATGAAAGGGAGGGGTTGAACTATTTCCAGAAAAATACTATCTCCTGATTATACTTTGCCTCCAAAGTTACTCCCTACAAATATCAAGAGATACGGAAGGAGTCACATTGCCCAGGCAAAGACGCGACAGCTGACGACGACGACGATAGTGGTGGTGGTGATGCCTCGCTTTTTTTTTTTTCTTTGCTGCCTGCTGGTCTGCCTGTCTGCCTGTCTTGTCTCGTCCATGGGGCTTGATTCTTGTTTTGCTTTCTCTTTAGCACCTCCGCTGGTTAACCCTACTTTATATTCTGGACGCTCACCACCCTTTTAATAATAGTAATATTTGTTATTGTTATTGTGGTTGTTGTTGTTCTCTGGGAACCCCATCCCCCCATTCTGCCTCCCTCTTCCTTCAGCGTAGCCCCAACATGATTACAGTAGCAGGACGCCGTTAGGTAGGCAAACAGCAAAACCTGATTTTCTCTCTCCTGGGCTATTATAAGCAGGGTTAGTTCCTCACGGTGTGGGTGTGGGTGCGCGTGTCGGGAAGCGTAATCCCTTGCTCTGTGAATCTATATAAACTAGCACACACGCTTCAGCGTGCCGAATTAGCCCTACAAGACCATTTTGTCCCCCAAACCAATGTATCTATACAATTTGTATGACGTTTGGGAAAAAATAAAATAAAAATAAAAATACAAAAGCAAGCTAGTTCCAGAAATGCAAAACCTCGTGGATATGGATATTAAATGATCGACGCCCTGCATGACCAGCGCCGTCATTCGCAAATGAGAGCTGCAGCACACTGGCGCGCCCCGCTGGGTCATAAATTTGTTTTAACCATCCAACCCCCCTCGCCCAGCTCCCAGCTCCTTCCCCCTCGTTCGCTGCTGCATTTCATTTGCTTTTCCATCTCGTTCCCTGCCGGAATCCGTGCATGATATTCGATCTCGCCGGCCCTTATCGCTACGCTTGCGCGCAGGAGAAAGGACAAAGACAGCTTTTCACTGACTGCAAAATCCCGTTTCTCTGATTCGGCAAATGCCTATATACTGCCCGCCTGGGCCCTCTTATCTGGTTCTTTTTTTTCCCTGACTATTATTAACATCATTTGCTCTGCACAGCAGTTAGATGGTTTTCTGTTTGGACGTTCTTCTCTACTGCATCCTAGCCATCGAACCATCCAAAGGATCCTGCTTCAGTACGCACAAACATACAGAAACCTCAAAACGGCTCTTCCAACCACCAACAACAGCGCGTTTTTGTCATTACTATTAGCGATTGCGCGATACAGCTCGCTTTCTTCCGTGGCGTCAAAATAGACACGGGGTAGCTGGGTGTTCTTTTTTTTTTTTCCTCACGCTCTCAACCTGCTCCACAGTGCAAAGGTGAACATTGAGTTCCTTTGTCTGTGATATTGCCGCCGTTTTCGCATCATATCGCATCGCACGGAGCAAACAACCAAGCCAGCTGCACTGTTTTGTGTGATACCGTACACCCTGGCGAAGTAACGCAAAACCCCGCAGTTTTTGATCTCTGCATATTTTAGCTCCCTGCATCGGCGGCTATCTAGATTTAATCGAGTCAGTGAGTAATGTTCATTTTTTTTAATTGGAAAAAACACGTACACATTGGTATCCTATATATATATATTTCTTATTTCTTATTTTTTTTTTATTTTTTTTTAAATAAATACCTGATATCCCACATCATCTTCATTGTCAGTCGAATCCCCTTTTTCATATATATTCATTTATTTCCCTTGTCTTCTCGCTGTGTTTCTTCGTTCATCCCGATAGTCCTGATCCCCTCATCCATATGAAGCCATGTTTTGCCCCGCGCCAGATCTATTTCTCCAGGTTCTTGATGTCTCCGCTCGAGGCTTGGGCCGCTGTTTTTACAGGACCGGCCCCATTCCTCGCTTCGTTGATTTTCTTTAGCGGCAGCCACACACAACAACCAACAGAAGATCTTGGCAATAAGGAAGGGCAAAGAGGCAAAAGCCTGAATTGTTAAATTTGGAAGCTGCTCTGCCCAGCCGGGGGCCATTCTCGACCTCCTCACCCCTCTTTGATTGATCACTATTCTCTGGCCAAATCCGACAGAGAAAGAGAGGCAGGCTGTATGGCTAGCCAAGTGGATGATTGGCGATTGATGAGTTGAGCTCGGGTTGCAATGAATCATTGACTCCAATATCCGTTGTCGTTGTTGGCGGGGGGAAAGGATGCCTTGGGCTAGAAATACACGTCCCAAGCGGGCGGGCGGGCGTATGGTACCGTACCGTACCCTGGTTTCCAATGACCGCCTCCTGCCAACGCGTATCTGTCGTATTTTTGGGTTTTTTTGCTGTTCCTTTTTTATCTTCCGCATCCTGCCACAGTGCTTCCTCCCACTATCTGTCTGCCCCGTCGAGCACCTCATCTCTTGTCTCATCACACCCGCAATTGTATATAGTCATCAACGCTGCACTCACCTATCGCTGCTGGCTACTCTCTCCTCTCTACTTCTATACACACTGCTTTTCACGTTCATCTCCGCCTATATTGTTTCGTTTACCACTGTTTACCCTCTTACCGCCTCTCTTCCCATTCCACAAGCTTCCAGTGAATGCTCCCACCCCATGTCATGCATCCTTGATCAGCCATGACAACTACCTACCAACCACACAGATACACCTGACTTTTACGTAGCCTGCCGTTATCTCGACCTTCCACTTACTCCTTACTATCTGCAGTTCCAGCGATTGCGCCACGTTCTGACTACCGCTTTTCTCGCTGTTCCTAGACTGTTTCAGCATCCACCTTCGACAGCCTCGTTCCTGTCCACCACCTCGAGCTCTCCTGCACGCATCCGCTAACAGGAAGAGGGGAACATATTGTTAAAACCCCTCTCGAGTGAGCTCTCTCGAATCGTTTGCATATTATCCTTTACGTTGTTGTGTGCCGTGACGAGGGGATAGTTAGTTACCTAACGGTATGTAACTGGCATATCATGAATGTGAACCCGTGTGTGGACTGGAAGAAATATGGAAGACCAGTCCCATATATATATCAACGCTATCCTTTCAACATGCTACCTGATGATATATATTATTTTTGACATGGAAACTGATGAATGAATGTAGCACCAGTGCCACCGTACCGCTTGATCTGGCCACTCTGCGACACTCGGAGGGATATCGTTCATAGTCCCCCTTTACTGGCTCGCTTTTACTTTTCCGTTTGCTGGTCTCGAAAACCAGCACCCACAGTGTTAGATTTCACCACGAGATTCTCCCTACATATCTGCAACAGTCATGGCTGAAACCACATTTATTAAAAACGAACCCGAAGAGCAGAGCAGTAATCCACATCAATTTGTGATGTCAGGCTCAGCATTTGGGATGCCTAGTCCGTCATTCGGATCTAATTTCGGGCACTCCGTCGCCAACGACGGTATTGACCCATCGGAACTCACAATGCAAAATGGAACTTTCATGTCATATCCGTTCGGCTCCCAACAAAACTTATCATCCAGTTTCAATCTCGGGAACTCCAGCATTGATACAGCGGAGCTGTTGGATCTGGAACTCAATGGGCAAAATGGTGTTGGACGGGATAACAGCATAAGCTTTGTTCAGGATCAACAGCGTCAACCTACGGGTATCTCCATGAGCCATCAAGGCCAAATGACGCATGTCTACTCCAGTACCCCCGATGGAGCGCCTATTCAAAGCCCCTTTATCCGCAACAACTTCAACTATGAGCAGTTCCGTGTAAACCAAGGACAACAGGCCCATTCGCCCCACGTGAAAATGAATACTCCTTTTGACCAACATTATGCCAATGGGCTGCCAGGTTTCCATGGCGTTGATCGCAACTCTACCGATGCCCGGAGCCCAATGACTCCAAAGACCCCTGCAATTGCAGGACTTAATATTGGGACGCCCGATTCGGGTAGTTTCTCCTCACAACCAATGCGCGCTGTGAGTTTACACAATCGCCATCAGAAAACCCTGTCAAGTCAATGGGATGGCACCCCCGGTAGTGCACAGTCATTGATCGATTCTCCAATTTCATCCCCCGGGCATCCCTCTCATCATACGGGAATCTCTGAAATATTGAAATCCGGAAAGCATGCTTCGTTACCCACCAAGGTGGACTCAGTGCATGGACATCATCACTCCACGAGCGCACAGAGCTTGGAATCACAAGAAGCCAAGAGACGACGTCGACGTGCGTCGCATAATATGGTGGAACGCCGGAGACGTGACAACATCAACGAACGAATTCAGGACCTTTCTCACCTCGTACCCCACCATCGTTTGGAAGATGACAGGATTCGGAAGCAGCTTGCCAATAACTCAGCTCTCGCTAATTCTGGTGGATCCGGTTTGAGCCCTACAAACGCCGCCACATCGCTGCTTGCCGGAGGAAGCGGACGCCGAGCCACAGCTGGGAACATCACCATGGGTTTGCCGATTGAAGAAAAGGAGAAGGGCCCCAACAAGGGTGATATTTTAAACGGAGCTGTGGGTTGGATGAGGGATTTGATGTGGGTTATGCATGTCAAGCTCCAACAGGAAGATGAGCTCGCGGAGCTGATTACCTCTCTTGGTGGGACTTGGCCATTTGAGCAAACCGAAGAGGAGAAACGCATGCGCACTGAACTTATTGATGCCATGGAAAAGAATGATCCAAACACGTTCTCTTATAGTCGAGCACCAGGAAGTGGCCTCCGCGTTCCCAAACATACGAACATTGCAGGAGAAGCTTTACAACCTGATACCTTAAGCCCGCAGAGCCTTAGCCCAGCCTTTCACAGCGGCGGGAGCGGGACCAACAGTGGTGGAACTCAGCCACAATACTGGAATACCTCTGGACATGCCGGGATGAGTTTTAAAGAGGAAGACGAATACTCTATGGAGATGAATTAAGATCTGGTCGCATCTTTGGTATTTCCTCTTCTCTTTATTCACGATCTGGATCGGTTCAAGGTTGCATGGCTGGCGTTGATCCGTGAGGTGGCAGCGGGTCTTTTGTTTCTTCTTTAACGGACTGGACTTCACAGCATCAGACTCGATTCTCCTTCTTAATCTCTCTTATATTACGATTCGACTCATCAGTGTTTTCGTTATTGATTTTTCCCCTTACATTTTACGTTGATCTCTTACGCACGTTTGCTTATTCATTTTTATTTTGCCTGCTCCGATTTAACCCTAATGCCTCCTTGTTGTGTCTTTATTCAGTACTGGGAGGAGAAGACGTTGATTTCTCATTGATCCCATTCTCATTCTCCTGGTTATGTTTCACCCTTCATTTCCCTTACGCTCTCGCATTCCGTCCCTTTTATTTATTATTCTCCACCGCGAAACCACGTTGTCTATCATTCTTACTTCTATCCTTCTTGACTGCGTTCTTGCCAATTTTTCTTTCTTTTTCACGTTTACATGTTTAGTGTTCAATGATGGGATTTGATAATCGACATGGATATACCCTACCTTCCTTTGCCCTTTTGCCCTGGTTGATGAACTTGCAACATCTTGTCACATTTACGCATCTAGTTTCTCTTATTTTCGTATTTCAACCTTGCATATTTCTTTGATAATATATCTCTTTATATATCCTTCTGCGAGCATTCTTTCTACCTATGTCCTATTCTGTAGGAGGATGATCTCTGTCCATTTGTGAATCAGCTTCCAGTATTATTTCTTCTTTTTCCCTTGTCTTTTTCCTAAGAGTAGTGGAGCTACGGTTGTTTGTTTCCTTGGGGCTGGTTGGTACTGAGTTCATAGTTTCTTTCCCCCCTTTTTTTGAGGGGGTGGGTTTGTGTGTCACTTTCAGTTTTTGCTATGTCTGTTCGGTTTATTTTATTTCGATTCGCTTTTCAACATATATTTTATCTTCATCATTCCTTTTCGAACATGTCTCAGTGTCTTGCTACAGCGTTTTTCATCATCCCCATTTGACATATATAATTTTTCATACATAATCACAGCATTAAATATATCTTAAGCTCTTTCTCTCCTTAGATATTTGCAACATTTTCTACTCTTTTCTATCTGTAAAACTTATCAGATGCGGCAGGGAAAATATAATCTATGATTTCGGCTTCAGTCAAAGCCTAACTAAGTTAAGATCGGCTTTCTTCCATGATGCAATTTTTTTAGCCTATGATATGCCCTTGTCATTCCTAATCTGCGACCTGATACTCGAGCCGACCGAGCCGCATCCTCACAGCTATTCCGCCACACCTTGCCTGTTCCATGCCATCATACAGCACTGGGAGATATGGTACGTGGGGGTGTTACGACCCCGTTACAATACTTTGCCGTATGGGACGGTTTAAATGAGTTTCGTATTGATTTTTCTTTATCTCTATATTTTCCTTTCCTTTCCTTTCCTTTTCTTTTCCATCCTACATACATAACCGCTTCTAAGAGATTTCAACATGACTCATGCATCATACAGATCTAAGTGGTACCATGCAATAATAATAAAGAGAAGAAAGGTAAGCTATAAGCTAAAATGTATGTATGTATTGATCAAGGAGAATTGGAGATATATGTCTGCATTGAATTGGAAACGATCTATCGAATCTATCTATGTATGAAACCAGCTAGAGAACAAGAGAGCAATGTCCACATGGATATCAAATGGTTATACACACATATCAGCAAAAAGTTAATTTTCAATTCGACATGTGATGATGATATGATGAGCCAAGTGGAGAGGAGAGATAGTGATGTGACGGATCAAATCCAAGCTCTGTCAGCATTTAAGTTGGTTAACTATTTTCGATTCTTTGAAGTAAGCAGGATGAGCGGTGAAGGCAAGAATTGGACAAATCTTTACCTTGAAAGTTGAAACCCGTTGAGTTTTAAAAAAAAAATCTTGGTTTTTCTAGGAACCGTCTTGTGCTTATTCTTTGCTTCCAGGTCGGTAAGCGATAAAGTTGTTTCCCCATCTTCCAGAATCCTTCACATGAAGTTTAAATTTCAGAATCATCCATTGGACGCCTGAAGCGAAATAATAATGGGGTCTTCGAGCGACCATTCATACTGTGGTTCTTCTTCGTCCTTTTTTTTTTTTTTCCCCTCCGGCTTTTTTCCTTTGCCTTTGATACGAATTTTTGGTATGGACGATGGCGGTACCGTGCTGTACAGTACATACAACGGCCGGTTTTTATATGATATGCCGTGTTTCCTAGCTTTTGATTTTGACTGCATGGGTGCTTTGGTCTTCCCGGATTATTCCCAGTTAATCCCGGTGAAGATGCAGGGGGTTGAGCAGAGAATACGGAGGGGATGGAGGGGCGGTGCTTGGGCTGTTGCAGTGCAGTGCAGTGCAGTGCTTTGCTCTGGCATTGCGCCCGTGGTGTTTCTGTGCGTTTCTTAAGGCTGTGTCTACGCGCGACATGTACTGTTGATTGAATACGCATGCTTTGTTTTTTGTTCACACTTGGAGAATCTAGTTTACTGTGTATGAGGACGGACGGGATAGTGATAGCACTGGTGGTGATGGACGTAGGGATGATTGAAGTTGATTATCGTCTTGCATGGAATCATGGTTGGTTTGTTGGGTATAGAGTGGGGCTGCTGGGTTTGAAGGGAGAGGGGCGCTTTGGAGAGCACGATGACGAAATTATGCAGAACTACGGAGTATATGTGGGGAGAAAAAAAAATCCCATTTCAGGCGCAAGCTTTATTCTTATCTAGTCTGTGTGTGGTTTAGCTTGCTCTTTTGCTCTTGAGGTTCTGCTTTTGTGATCTATATATGTAACAATATATCTCTTCTTGGGACTGAATGTTAACACACGCAGACAAATCAAAATGAAAATAACTCTTAAGGAAATCTAAAATGGAAATAAATCTGTCCATGAATGAACGCGCAGGAAAAGGACTTGAATGAGAAATGACCAAACACACTTTCTCTCATGAGCAATCCTGGTGCCTGTCGTAGAGCACTCCAAAATTGTCAGACTGGGCTATTTTTCAAGTCCAAAGCCAATAACGATATTTTCTTTGAGAAGGCCAGCTAAGCAAAATATGACGATCAGTTATGCCGAGATAAAATAAGCTGACCCAATTGACAAAACGACATAGTGGAAGAAGAGGAAGAAGAAGCAGGGGAGAATGAAGGATGTGGAGACGAAGTGAAAAGTCTATATGAGGAATGTTTGAAGCAGGAACAATATCACGATGTAAGAATTGAATGATATATTGAGAGATATGAATATGTTTTCTTGTTGTAGCGGTGTTTCGGGGAAGTCGGGTGTGATTGAGGAGAAACCAAGGAAGCTCAACGGCAGCAGCGGCTGCATAGATATGGAAGCCCTGACTTCGTCCAAGGTGTGTTTTTAGGCCAACCCCCACCACTGCTCCTCTATATTGTCTTAAAACACGAACTCGCTAGGATGGCGTCTGTCCCAGTAAAATTCCAAAACATTTGCGAATTCGGTCGTCACGGTAAGGGAGAAAGAGGGTCAAATGAGAGATACAACTCATATTTACTCCCCTCTCAACTTCCGAAAGAAGTCTGTGACAGTGGTGAAAACAACAAGAAGAATTCCTCCACCGGGACCAAGTCTTAGCACCTTAGGAGTGAATCCCTTATAAAGCGCCCCGAAACCTTCTTCCCTCATAATGGTGCCTAGAGCTGGCCATGCCCAGTTGTACTTTGGCACTGACCCGGCAGTCTTTGGGCTGTTTTGGATGCGGGACTTGACGACATCCATCGGAGTATTCACAAGGGTTCCAGCAGTTCCCCCAATTGAACCTGCGATCAGGTCATTTCGCATCTGCTGGGTCTTGTTTCCTGGTTCTGGCTGCGGTAATTGGGAGCGGATCTGGAAAATACAACCGAAGTATCCAGCGTTCCAAAGAATATGACGCCAAAGTGTAGATTCAAGACCATTGTATAACGCAAGAGGGCCTTCCTGCTTCACTATTTTGCTCACTACGTCAAGCATTCCGCTGTATTTACCGGCGGATGCTTTGTCCTGTAGACGAATCTTGACGAGCTCAAAGGGAACGACGACGAACGATTCCGTGGCACCAGCGGTGGCGCCAGTGAGGACCGCGAGAGGTTGGTTCGTCTTCTCCATACCGAAAAGGTTTCGATAAAAGGAGCCCCAACTGTCATTTGCAGCGAATTTAGTCGCTCGCTTTGGGGCCTCCATCAGAATAGGGGCCGTGATTCCACGATATAGACGGGAGAAACTACAGCCAATAGTTTATCAGTTTGTGTGCAAACATCGGCAAGCGTAGAGAGAGTCACCCTACCCTTCATTTTTAATAATTTTGCGGAAGCAGTCTACCATGCCTTTGTATGCCTCCTCTCCTGCGCCGGCGCCTTCTTGAAGCTGACTATATAATTCGTCAGAACATTAATTCTGACACAACCAGGAACGGGGCGTTTTCAACAGGTCAATGCTTACACTCTCGTCTTCACAACATCCAATGGATACCTGATACGATTATATTGTTAATACAACTCATAGTATTGTGTACCTAGCAGTACCATGTTCCGATCGGGGATATCATACATTACGAGAATCTAGAACGAGAATCTCAGTCGTTAGTTGTTAATTGACCGTCGGTATTCCAGGAAGGAGGAAACTAACTTCAGATATACCAGCCACTGCTCCTGCAGCGAACTGGTATACGAACGGTAGAGGCTGCTCTTGTGACATATTGAGGCCACAGCTTTAAAAAAAAAGAAAAATGCTTCTGAAAAATTTTTGCGCGACAAGCCAGAAGGGAGCTGGGCCAAACAGGGTCCCTGAGTGTACAGTTGGCACGGAAAAACACGATTAAGAGCACGGACGTCTGCGCAAGAAAGGGGCGAAGGAGAATTGCCGTGGGGAACAGAGCAGCGAGGAGGATGAGGTTGCCGAGTTCGGCGGATCTCGGTGAAGGCGCCCAACATGCACTGGACAATGTTCCGCCTCTAGGCGCATAACTGTTTCTGGAGCGGCTATTTTTAACGCGCTAGGCGGCAAATTGGTTTGTTGACCGAGAGTTGAATATTACATAATGCAGGTACGGCCGCCTCTTGGCGTGCAATTTACGCGTCGGGCGTGTTTTGATCACAATATCCATTCAATACTACGTCGTCTCCTCACGAACAACAATAGGTTCACGGGCTCTCAGTTTTCGGGATACCTTTCCACAACCGCCTACTCAACGGTCCAACCGCGGGCAATTTGAATGGCGTTTCTCTATCTATAGAGCCGGTCTCCCTTTCAAGGGGGAAAACGCGTCCAACCCTTCCATTTCGAGCAGCAAGCAAATGACTCCGTAATGCCTGGCGATGTTTTCTTGATATCATCAAATTCGAGAATAAAGTTAAATGCCTTTCGCTATGTCCCGTCTGTACAAGAGTGTTCCCATAACATGTCAACCATTGACCAAAATCGTGACGATCTGGGCACGATGGATACGAAAGTTTTAATGGCAGACGGCGACTTACCAGCGCCCGCTACGCAATCGAACGGAATGATATGCCAAGAGATCCAACCCGAAAAGATACTGCCTCAAACTCCAGCACATAGAATCCCCCTGGCTGATCTGATCAGCAATACAGAGGAAGCTTTCAATAGAGCTCCAGGAAAAGCTATCACTCCCGAAGACCATGTGTTTTGGAAGCATGAGCCATGCAACACAAATCCTAGAGACGTCTCAGGCTCGCCTCTTGCAACTGGTAAAAAGCGCCATCGAAGTGCATCACCCACCAGTTCCCCTCTGGGAGTGGATCCGACACACAATGTGTCAAGCCCACAACCCTCTCAGAGGTTCCTGAGAACGCCCCAGCATGACATCGCCGCGGACCTTTGGAGCAAATATATCGGAAAAGTCACGGGAAACCCTGGTGGTGATGCCCCAAAACCTCAGTTCTCCCATCTCATCGCCTCCTCACCGCAAACCCCGGTAGACGTTCGAGCAGGTAAGGATTTGTCGACGCTTCGCAGATCAAATAGTTGCAATGTCTACTGGCCGACGTCTAATACCAAGAGAAGAAGAGTCGACAATGCACAGCAGGCTGTGAAGAGAGTTCAGGACATTTTTGCTGGATCGCGCAACTCGCTCCTTGGGGCGGGCACTTCAAAGTCATCCAAGATTAGCCTCCTGGTCGGGAAAATACAAGAAACTCTCTTGAAATCGCCGAGAAAAGAAATTTCAGGCCCATCTAGCTCCACTCCTTTACCAGAGCGCTCTGATAATATAGCGGAATACTCAGGATCATCGCTAAAATATACGAATGATAATGAAAACAATCCAATTGATACACCTTCTAGAAGCTCGAGAAGAGTAGTGTCCAGTGATCCTGTTCACACAGACGCTATGGACAACGTACAAGACTTGAATGCGATGTTGTCCGAGTTTGATGAAGATGGTCTAGATGATGATTTTCTTGAATTTGCTGGGGCAGCTGGCAATCAGCTTAATCCCATCCATTCCGGAATTGGTCCGTCTCCCGATGCTCTACAGAATGAAACACTCAAAGCTTCATCCACTGTGCATCGCCAACCTGATCCTAGTATCAATTCCCCCAACAAACCTTATAAGCACTCCATGCCGCCCACCTCACACGCCCATACAAGTTCCGACGATGTTGAAGAATTTCACGATAGTGACAACGAATTTTCTGAGGCAATGGAGCAAGTTCTCGCACGTTATGACTTGAGAGAACAGACAAATGCAAACAAACAGGAAAGCAGAATTTTAGAAGGGTCCCTTGCTCATGACCTCGGAGAAGTAGCAGCTTCTAAGAATGAAGCGGACACCTCTACTTTGGACAGAGCGATATTCACTTCCGATGACGAATTCGATGAGGATATCGACCTGGGGTCCATTGGGATTGCATTGCAAAAGACTGCTGGTACGAATGTTTCGAGTCAAGTTGGTCATCCCGTGTATCAATAAGCACCTTTTAAAGACCTTTACTAAGTCGTGGAAAGAATTATAAATCACCGCAGGCCATTAATCGGTATCTCGTACTTGACTCGGCTGAAGATACATATCTCAATTGCAAAGGCCAATTAAAGCCTCAAAGAGTATGATTTCTGATATCCTGTATACTCAATTTATCATATGCTAATATGAAAACAGGTTCTGTTTGTTCAGGAGGAGAAAACGAATAACAATCGAGCTATCAGTTTGCGGGAATCATGGTATGATACTCCATGCGCAAAAGGCTCTTATATCCACCTCATCGGGAGCTTTGATCTCATGGGACAATGCGTAGTGGATAATTCCGAGAATCTGATAATCCTTCACCCTGATCATCTAATCTCAGCAACGGTGGTGGCGGATTCATTTACTTGTCCGCGCCGCGCTGTTCTCCAAGACCGCGTTAAAGCCACTAGCGAGGCCAACAAGCCGCAAGTTTATGGCCATATTCTTCATGAAATATTCCAGGCCGCCGCGAGCGCGAACCGATGGGATTTAAACTGGTTGCGTGAAGTTATTTCGAGCACTTTGGAACACTATGTGGAGAGTTTGTATGAGATCCAAGTCGAATTTTCCGAAGCCACCGAGTATTTAATGAGCAAAATGCCGGCTCTCCAAGCATGGGCAGAAACATTCATGCGATCTCACCCTACGGTATGAACTGGAACTTTTCTTTAGATTGAAAATTTACAACTATGCTGACGAATTTATAGAGAGAGTCGATTGTTGAAGACAGGAATGGAACAAGTTCGTGTTTGAGCATCAACAAACTTCTTGAAATCGAGGAACATATATGGTCTCCTATGTACGGATTAAAAGGCAATATCGATGCGACAGTGCAAGTGGTCGTCCAGGAAGGGACAGGGCGGAAAACGCTTACTGTCCCATTCGAGCTAAAAACTGGACGGAACCATTCCAACGAGGCTCACAGGGCACAAACGGCATTGTACACCTTACTTCTTTCTGACAGATACGGTATGTTTGGGGGACACAAGTGAGAATTCAGATTTGCTAACCAGTCACGTATAGATATTGACGTGACTTTCGGACTACTTTATTATCTCGAATCAACTAAGACATTCAGAGTTCGAGCTATCCGAAACGAAATCCTCCAAATAATACAGCAGCGCAACCGCCTCGCGGAGTTCATATATAAAAATTCAGAATTACCTCCAATGCTCAAACAGTCACGGATATGCAACCAGTGCTACGCTAAAAATGCATGCTTCATCTACCACAAAGTTATGGATGACGGAGATGGGGAAAGCAGCGGAATGGGAAGTAGTTTCCTTGAAGTTGTTGGACACCTTACACCCTCTCACCAAAACTTCTTCAAGAAATGGGATGCGCTTTTGACCATGGAAGAGCGAGATATCATTAAATTTCGAAGGGAGTTATGGACCATGCTAAGTAATGAACGCGAGGGGGTTGGCCGCTGCTTCGGTAATGTTATGGTCGAGCCGGGCTCTGCCTACGAAGAAACCGGTGTACCAAAAATTAATCGTTTTAGGTATACGTTTTACAAGTACAAACCACCTTCAAACTTCACTTTCGGGGACTCACAGCTCAGTGTCGGGGAGCCTATCGTTGTTTCTGACGAAAAGGGCCATTTCGCACTCGCCAACGGATACATCACGCATATTAGTCGTAAGCGGATCTCCGTTGCAGTTGACAGGCGTCTCCATAATGCCCGAATGAGGTGTTCAAATTTCGATGCGGAACGACATCAAGCCTTTACGGGAATCATGGGGATTATTGAAACCGGCGGCTCTGAATCGACGATTTTACTAGAAAGGGTTGAAGACACGAATTTGTACCGCCTGGACAAAGATGAATTCAGCAATGGAATGGCCACCGTCCGAAATAATCTTGTCTGTATGATGGATAGGAACATGCCCCAAACTAGGAGACTAAGAGATTTGATCATTGATGGCCATGCTCCTTCATTCAACTCAATTTCTTCGTCAACCATACCATGGCTTGCTGGAACCGAGCTAAATATTGACCAAAAGGGAGCGATTGAGAAAGTAATGAGCGCAAATGATTATGCTCTGGTTTTAGGGATGCCAGGAACCGGGAAAACAACTACCATAGCCCATATTATACGGGCTCTCGCATCTCAAGGCAAAAGCGTCCTTCTTACCTCTTATACTCATACTGCTGTGGACAATATTTTGTTAAAAATAAAGGACGACAACATCCGCACTTTGAGATTAGGTGCCACAACAAAAATTCACCCAGATGTTCGAAAGTTTGCTGATTTGGCAGCTACTCCCAAAGAGACGATAGAGGAGTTGAAGGATATTTATGAAAATTCCCGGATCGTGGCGACCACATGCTTGGGGATTAATCATCCTATCTTTAACAGCCGCATGTTCGATTTCTGTATTGTTGACGAAGCGTCCCAAATAACTCTCCCGGTTTGCCTAGGTCCTATTCGTATGGCGAAAACGTTCATCCTTGTTGGAGACCACTATCAGCTGCCTCCTCTCGTTCAGGATAAGCAGGCCCAGGAGGGTGGCTTGGATGTCAGTTTGTTTAAACTTCTCTGCGATTTACATCCAGCCTCTGTTGTTAATTTGGAGCATCAATATCGAATGTGTGAGGATATCATGCTCCTTTCGAACATCCTTATATACTCCGGACATCTCAAGTGTGGAACACCAGAAGTTGCCAAAAGTTACCTCAAAATCCCCAACCTCCATGGGCTAAAACAACACCATGTCGACCCATCATCGCTGTCTCCCAACCTCCGAAACTCCTGCCTAGGATCTCGATATGGACGGTGTTGGATCCGCGATCTGCTCGACCCTGTCGCAAGAACCAGACTTGTCAATACTGACCCTTTGCAACCTCAGGCCATAGAGTCATCCAAGGGTTCCCGTATCATAAATCACATCGAAGCCGTGCTCTGCGCGCAGTTCGTCGAATCTTTCCTTTCCGTAGGTATCTCAGCTCAGGATATCGGTATCGTAACTCTCTACCGGAGCTCAGTTAAATCCATCAGATTCACCAATCCTTATCAACTCATGATTCGCAGAAGCATCGAACAATAACAGAGTGACTACCAGTACTAGTAACTAAAATCCAGTAAAGAATTTCACAGCACACGATTATCACAGGCTCAAAACTATATATATATACGTGTGAACGTCGCGTTTACTCGCGCGCGAACCAAGTTGCTCATTGTGGGAAGCAAGAATACGCTCCGTGATGGCAATGAACTACTAGGAAAATTCGTCCACCTTATGGATTCGAAGGGATGGACGTATGATTTGCCGCGTACGGCTGTTGAAGAACATGTTTTTGAAAATATGGAGAACGGGCTGACGCAGTTGAGTCCGCTTAAAATCACGGAAGCTATGCGATCAAATTCAATCAGTCCAAAGAAGAAGAAGAGCCCGGCTAAAAAAAGCTCCGATCCTGATCAGAGTCCTCTGAAGGCTAAACATCGCATGGCGTTGAGCCCAGTCAAGAACAGACAGTCATCTGCTTGCCAAAAGAGGCCGCACAAACTGGGGGGGAAGCTCTTGGACGGTGCGAGGATTGTAGCAACGAGACCGGTATTGAGGGATGTGATGAACAATTTGACATAGCGTTTCTAGCTTGATTGCCTAATTGGGTTATGATTGATATCGTTTTTTGGTCTTATCCGCCTTTGTATTTTGGTCTAACTAGTATCTACACGTTGGATGATAATCTCAGCTCGATACTCTTCCTGCGCTGTTATCGCTTTTCGGCCAATCTGCCAAGGCACTTAGGGAGCTTCGATTTCCGTTTTATATAAATCATCACAGTGTAACATTAATGCCATGCGACTCACAATATAGTCCTTATCTTTGTCATTTCGGCAAATATCAAGCCTCATTAATTCGATTAATCATACGACGAGCCCCCTGCGTACTCCCAACAGATAAACTGATGCTGGGGTCTCTCTCCGGCCGCGGAAGTTTCTGATTGTTGAACTCCAGTAGGTTCTTTATTCAACGGCTGGTACAAAACAGTATATCCGTCCTTGCTTTCCACCGCCTCCCTGCCTAGCGCCAAAGATGTAAGAGCAAACCACCCATCAGTCTTCGAAAGCCCAAAGGTGAATTTCCGCCTGTTGGTCACCATTAGCGGATTTCTGGAAGTAGAAACATGTTTTCATGATGATAAATTGCCTATTGAAGGATTCGGAAGTGGGGGCGGAGGGATGTGGGCAGTTCACCAAGACTTCAGGTTTGCAATGCGATCGACCGCCGGATGAACAGACGGCAAAATCATGGGATGAACTCACAATGTAAATGCAAATAGCTGTGTTATCCACGCTGAATGGAGCAATCCTTCCCAGGAAATTCTAACCAGATCGACTGGCCGACATTCATCTTGGTTCGGAGGTGCGTAGCGACTCAAGTATGGATCAATGGTATCGTTGGCATGCACGCGTGGAGAATTGAGAAAAACCAGTCCGAGCCATTCTTGAATCTCGTCGCAAGTTTCGTGGAGGAACTCTAGTCCAGTGCCAGTTTCAAGACCTGATAAAAATAACGGTGGAACAGTGATCGACCCGAGGATATTCACTTCAGGGGTGCACTGCAATATCTGAGGATAGTGTTTTTTTATCGGTGCATCTGTGTGGGAAATGTTACGACAAAGAGGAAAAGGTAGAGAGCCAGAATAGAAGAAGAATTTTTACCTTCCTCTGAGTAAGTTGGTGACGGGGTTAAGTCGCAGAACAACCAAGTTACAGATGTTGTTAGTACGTTCTTGAAAGCCCAAACGATCCGCTCGAAGCCCTTCTTCCCATGAAGCATTGATGGGAGTCTAAGGTTGATTTCCACGGCTAGATGTGTAAATTAGCCAGCAGTTCCTGGTTAAATGAAGAAACGAAATGAAAATACCGTATCTCTCTTTGACGTGTTTTCTCCCCCCACTACGGATTGGTTTGCCGTCGAGGCCGGCGCGCTCAAACGAATTCTTATCCAACTCTAATCGGAGAACTCCTGGAATGATGCGTTAGTATTGTGATTGTATTGTGGCTCTCTAGTTATAAAAGGGAGAAGATGACAAACCATTGTGGAGGGTGTACACATTATCCACACCGCTTCTGCCTTCGGAGATCAAGAGGATATCGCCTATACATTGACATTAGATAACAAAGCACTGGGCTGCAGTGGTTGGTATTAGGGGACATATCCGGATGAAATAATGGGAAATCTCGAATACCAATTTTAATATAGCAATTGAAAAAATCACGCTCCACCAAAACCGACAACGGCATGATCACTTTAGCATATTGGGGAGTTTGAATTCGGCTGGATATGGAATCCCAAACCGAGTCATAAATTTCCTTAGGTAGGATGAGAGATGTCTTAACTGCATATTAGAAACTAACTCCATAGAAATTGCTTTTACATGCTGACACTGAAACATTCAATTGATGGACTGAGAAGGCCTACTTACAGAATGCACGAAAGGGTGTTTAGAGATGGAGGAAAAGGGACATTTTTTGACGGGCGGCTGCCGGGGATCAACAAAGGGAGGTAGTTTCCCAATCGTGGTATAGCATTTCTCTTTTTGTAAATCAGGGTCATCTATTTCATACATCCTGCTAGCAATTGCCTTCCTATTTTCTTTGTCTGTTAGACCCTGAGATGCTGACAATCGCGAACCAACAATTGGTATCAGAGTGTGAGTGAGGTCAAAATTAGTTTGCGCGGGAAGTCCTAAGAATAAGCTTAAATTTAAGCATTGTTCCCTCCAATTCCATACTAAGCCTCCATCGCTTTCATTATTCTTCTACATGAGTTATTGAAGTGTCGATATAGTTAATTAATGCATTTCAATACAATATAAGATATGGACGCTCCGGCCCCAACCGAGACAAGCTGTACATATTTAGCTGAAGTTGTTGCAAGAGCACCCTACGCCGCAAATCCTGGCTTCAAAACGAACCCACCATCAGTTCGACGTTTGATGGCTTCCAAGAGCTATCATTATATACTAGTAACCATAACTCCCTTTGTGAGCTGCTAGGTCACCTAGCCTCAGAGCATTAATTGTGAATGTCATGCATGGCAACGAAGAAAAAAAGGTGAATTGTTTGAGTTTTCACCAAAGGTGCATGGAGTCTTGGGATAAATTTAACATTCGTTTGTTCTCGTTACGCAGTCTCGAACAAGCGATAAGCGCAAGCGCCAATGGCCCTATGGGCAGCATCTAACCGAGCGACCGTGCCCGCGATGTTTCCAGAAGCTCTCGATAAACTTGACACCGAAGAAGAATCCCCAAACCCCGCTGCCATCGCGACAACGTTCCACAACCCTTTCTGTAACCATGAGCATATCCTAACGTACGTTGCGAACTTAACGCAATTTCCCGCCCTTTATATTGTTGAGAGGCATGGGCTTCTGCCATCCACCATCATGCCCCCAGCCCCATCTCGACGGATGGTCCCAAAGGACCGATTTGGCCAATTGTTCGGCAGCTTGAAAATTCAGAGCTATTATGACCCTGCAGCGCGAGGCCCGGGCTCTCATACGTATGAATTATCAATGCTTCATTTTTTTTTTTAGGGCTGTCTCTTTCTGATTGATCTTGAAGCCTTCAACCTGACTCTGGGCCTCATACAGCATTCGTACCCTTGCATGGAATCCGACGGGCAGCTTGATCGCAACCGGCTCGGTGGATCGCACCCTACGCATCTGGAACCCTGAGCGCACACATGTAAAGTACTCGACGGAGCTGCGTGGACATTCTTCTGGTATAGAAAAGGTTACCTTTAACCCTGTCAAAGAATCGGAATTGGCAAGCTGCTCGAGTGATGGAACTGTCCGTTTCTGGGATGTACGGTCTAAAACGTGTATTAGCCGCGTGGATGTAGGAGGCGAGGCATTTACGATGGCATGGACTGCTGATGGAAGCGTAATACTCGTGGGCAGGAAGGTTCGTTCGCGCAGATCGTACAGTCACAAGCGTGACTGATTGGCTTGCTTTTTTGCTCAGCATCATTCGGAGCGCAAAGGGCGCATTTACATCATGTTCAATTGGCTTATATATCTGTCCCCTACCTACAGGATGACACATTAATACCCATCTCAGTCGAGTCTCCGTCTACCCCCGCTCTTCAAACACCCTCCGGAACCACCGCCCCGACCAACATTTTCAAGGCACTCACGCCACATCCACAACCAGTCCAAACCAACGCTACCGCATTTTCACACTCTCTTAATACTTCCGATCTCGACCTCTTCCTCACCACCGGTGACGGTACCGTAAAAGTCGTCTCCTACCCGTCATTCAACCTCCTCCACACAATCCATGCCCACACATCCGCGTGTCTTTCAATCGCACTCAGCCCTACATCGCGCTACCTAGCCGTTGGCGGAAGTGACGCTTTAATATCCCTCTGGGACACCACAGACTGGATCTGCAAACGCACCGTATCAAGTGCCAACGGCGGCGCCGTAAGGGGCGTCAGCTGGAGCTGGGACGGTCGATTTATCGTGGGAGCTTGCGACGAGCCCGGCTGTGGCGGCTCTGGGCTCGAGATTTTCCACGCTGAAACGGGAGAAAGTGTATATACCATTCCTACAGGAGGACTGGGCTCTGCGGCTGGAGCCAACGGGGTAGCTGGAATTGGAAGCGGCCCTGGAACTTCTGTCGGCGTCCCCGCTGTCGCTTGGCACCCGTCTCGCTACTGGCTTGCTTATTCTGTCACCGCTGACGGGATGGGGAGTAGTGGTGGTGGGTTAAGGATTGTCGGAGCGGGGAGTGGATCGTTGTGACATGCAATAGCGTCGGGCTATGGGAGACTTATAGTAACCAGTTGAAATGGCTTCCAATTCCTCAACAGGTTCTTCGATAGAAGGGGAAAAGACAGTACAAGCGACGAGCCAGATAAAATTGAGGGATGACTTGTTCTAATCTTCTTGAAAGCAGGTACATTTTTCTCCCCCACTTCTAAGGGAATTTATTCAATTATTTATATTATACATCTAGATATCACAATATACATTCATGACGCGCTATACATATGAAAATCGTATTTTTACCTTTTCGTTTTAGCCGATGTGGTTCAAAGTATTCCTTGACCCAAGTCTGAGGATGTAAAGTTGATTTGGACGAAAGGCCTTGTGATCGACGCACCTTCACTTTTTAGTATTATTAGAAATAATTATTAACGTTCCTGGGAGTTTCGAACGTAAAGCATTTTCTAGCCGCAGAGAAAATGTATACGATGAGTGAAATCGAAATAAGCAATGACCAAAATTAACAGTCAGACTCCCCTCATCAGTTCTACATAACTTCATACGAGCATACCATAGTAGGAAGCCTGGCCATTGTTTAAAACAGACAAACAGAACGGGCGAGATATGAGTAAACAGCTAGTTTATTCAGAACCAAACCATAATTCGTTACGTATTTGATTAAAGCCAGCATAGAAGCAAGTAAATAAACCCAGTCAAAGAATAAAATGAGAAAGAAAAAGGAAGGGGACAAAATTACAAAAAAGAGATATACAGAGCCTGCAGATTCCGACTCTCTTCCGTTCAAAAACAGTCCTCCAAAATCGCCTAAAGTGAATATAGAATCCGAACTTGTACTTTTTCCCAATATTTATCCTGACTTCCATATAAATTGATATAAATGAAGGTTTGCTGTCTTGATAAAGGGCCGGGGAATTGAGAGCCACATGGTCCAAAAGGTGGGATTAGTATAATACAACAAGTATAAAGAAAAGGGACATTTTCATTTTTTTGTAAAAAAAAAAAGAAAGAAAAAAAATTGTTAAAGATAATGAGAAAAAAAAGGAAAGGAAGTGAATGAACGAACGAAGGTCCAGGTGCAACCTTGAAATTAGTCCTGATAGGTTTCCCAGGGCAGGGGATCTACTCCACCAGGCCAGGTAATATTGTCAAGGTTTGGTATATGATCAACGAGTCCTGCAGAGGTAGATGCCGAGGATGGCTGGTGGGTAGCCCGAGTGTTCCATCCAGCGGGAAAGGCGAAAGGGTTTTCAAATCCAGCGGTGTTTGGGGGTGGATTTCCCGGTGTAAAGTAGTTTGCATAAGCAGTTCCAGTATTGTTGTCAAGGCTGGATTCAAATTGGGAGGGAGGGAGGTCAGGGACATATGCATTGGGATTTGGTCTCTGGAGCTGTTGCCGTTTGTGGTGTTGTTGAACGGGGGGTGATGGTTGGTCTATAATACGCGGTGAAATCGAACTGCTCGATGACTGGTTTGTGCCTGGGGTCGGATGGTCAGAGGACAGGTACTGGCGATCGCTTATGGTGCTGGCCTCTGACAAGTCCATTTCCACAGCCATCGACTTTACGAAGTGCTTATCTGTGGGAAGCGAAAATGACCCGACGTTCACTACATGTGTGTGGTTATCATTCCCGGAAGCTGACACCGATCCAACTGATGGTTTTGACCGATTAGGTAGCGAGGACATAACAGGAGGGGCCGTGGTCTGCTCATATGACGATGACACGGCAAGATTCTCCGGCGGTTGAAGGTCATGTTCCTGAAAAATCGTTTTCAATGATCCACAAGAGTCATTCATTTGTGGAGATTTCTAAACGGCCAATTGTTAGGTTCTAAACGCAATTATATCACTAGACGACATTATTCCAGGTCGCCAGAATAGTTTGCTCGCGCCCACAGGACTTACCTCGCCGCACCGTAGACCAAAAGCGAACTTCTGTGTTTCAGATTTACTACTACCTCTAAGTGCTTCAAGGTCCGCATCGAGCTGCATGAGAAACGATTCTGTGAGAGGGATTTTATGTTTAAGAACATTCATGGCAGCTAGTAAGAATTGAAGGGATGAATGAGCTGATCCGTCATCTGGTCGGCACTTCAGGTACTGCAAGAATACCCGACATGATACATACAAACAGAACGCAACGAAAGGGTTGATCTAAAAACGGTTAGGACAGATATGTTAAAAGTGTCAACTACGGCACTCACTAGTGTTAAGTCAATATGGCTAGCCATTTTCATTATGCTTGTTATCTGATCTGCAGCAACTATGCTTCGTCGCTTTCCCTCTGCTGCAATTTGGCTAGGCATGTCATTTTTCTCCGCTTTGAAAATAGCTGCTTGGTGCAGGCAGATTGTTGAAGAATGGATGCAGAGGTTAAGGAAAACGACGCTCGAGTCGTTGATGCCTTCTGGTAATCGCAAATGGCTAGGTAATGCAAGAGATGTGTTGAGGAGGATGTTATCCAAGGCCCTATGCCTTCTCCAAAAGCCGCCATTCAAATCGTGATCGGTATCATCTGGTGTTGTCCGGTGAAGATGATGGAGATTGCGGCCAAAAATGCATGCGATTAATACAAGGCCCGCAAGAGACGACAGCGTTGAAATATTTTCACCAGCCGTCAAACTCGCCAACGTGTAAGTTTGCTGCATTTTAGAGTTGAAAAATGCTTCATCGGAAGCAGGAAGATTGGTTAAAATCTAGCATCGCTCACTTGTCAAAGATTTGTTTCGCGAGGGACACGGATATTCCTTACATCTCGTTCATCCATCATCATGGGCCATCCCGTTCCCACACTTGCATATCTGTCTTGACAAAAAGCTATCCAAAAGGTCCTTCTCCGCTCTTCCTGCTCAGTCCAGTCTCGTGCAGGCCCAAGGCACATTTTAACCGCGGGACCGCTACCATCGAGACGATGTAACCCCATCATCATACACAATCTCATCGCATGGCCTGTACTAATCCATGCACGTGGAAAGAACATCATCCTGAACTCGTAGGAAGACAATAAGATCCAAGTCTGGGCGTGAGCAACGGTGATCATGGACTCGCCAAGACCTCTCATCTGGTCCAACTCGGCATATTTTCGTGCACGTTGATAGAAATGTGGATGCAATGTTCGATACTTATCCGTAACAGAGGCAGCCAAGGCCCACATTACATATCGTAAACATACGGGAGGCCGCATGTTAGGTGAAAGATTCATTGCAGCATAGTATCTCGGTCGGTGTAAAATCGGCATTGAAGGGTGAATTTTCTGGAAATATATCTCATTCCTGGATATCATCCGTCAGGCCATATTTTCATGTGGGATGGCAGGCTGGAGCTTAGGGGTCGCACGTACAGCTCATCAATAACATCCTGAGCTGGAAGGGGTTCTTCCAAACCCAGTCCAATCATTTCCCATGAAAAACCCCCTCCAGAAGTAATGCTATCATCCGGCAAATTGATCTGAGTGGAATTTAAGTCACCAAACAGGTCAAGGGGAACTGTACGTAAATTTTCTGTTGGGTTGGAGGAGGGGAAAACATCGGTCATGCTATTAACCACACTGCCAGATGCAGGAGGTCGAGGGTTGAAATCTGTGGGCACGGGAGACTTTTGGAAGACATCCCCGGAGTCTTGAGATTTGAGTAAGGTTTCGACTTGGGCTAAAGCAAGGAGGGAACAAATACATCAGCAATGGCCCACAATTAACTGTGATTAGACACAGGAAGCATGGGCTCGGAAAAATGGTGATACCTAATCTTGCTTCTAATAGCTTCACATAACCCCTCTTTGGGCCACTCTTTTTCCTCACTTCATCGTAGGCACAATCATGGCCCAAGCGGGAACATGTACCGCAACTTGGTTTGTTACCATCACATCGCAGCTTTCTTTTTCGACATATAGTACAGGCTATCCGCTTGGGACGAGGTACCCAAGCAGTGCTTTGGTTTGCTCCATTGGCTCGAGGTTCTGGACTGCTATCGTTTCCAATCTGTGTGGGAGGCTCCGACTGATGAGCCACGCTATCTTGTCCCGAGGGACCACCTTGTTGTAGTTCTCCTGACCGAGCATCAGATAATTTAGTTGGTGGTGGGTTGACACCGTCCATGACGATATGGAGCTGAGACTAGAGGCGGCATCAACTTCGCGGGGAAGAAAAGTAATCGGCGAGCGGATGGAGCTAAGATGCCTGAGCAGGCAAGGATTGACGGCGAGATGGTCGCTTGTCCAGGATCTCATCGAAAATATAAGGACATGCTTTGCGGGGCCCGTTTTCCACGTTCAACCAGAGTTGTTGATAACGGTGCTGCCTTGGGCGCCCTAAATGTTCCTCCAAGCGCATGTTTTTAGTGCTGCGCTCGTACTAGTATCTGTCATCAACAATCTCAGCACTTCCAGCCAGTACCAAGACACCATAGGCGCGCTAGTGTTGCCTTCATTACTCTTAAAGGACGTCATCGTAGATGCCTTGTCTTTGTGGCACTTGGTGGTTTCTTGACCCGTCCATCATGTCAACAGTCTGTATCTGCTGCGAGGGCTTACTGACTAATCATAGTTTTTCAGCATCCATGGATCGAAGACTCAAGAAAAGCATGACATTTTCATTCCAGAATTGGAACGAAGGTAGCAAGGCCTTTTGGGGATTCAATTGCGTGAAAGTCCACCTACACAACTAGCCATTGTGATGGAAATGGCCCAAGAAGAAAACCCGTGTAGATTCGAGATATCTCATCATTCCATTCCTCCTCCCTGCTGACCCCCGTCCTTCAAGGGACCTTATCTATTCATCAGCTACAGTTTTCGGTAGTAGCAATGTGGCAGTGATCAATGCCATTAGATCCCAATCTTGCATAGTCATCAGGGTCAACTCCGCGCTCAATAACTGCGAGTTAAAAATAAGCAGAAGCTTACCAACCTCAGGCGGCAATTCTCCCTACCCCTCAGCGAAGTGGGCTATTTACATTTCGTCCAACTTATCATATCAGCCTTTTCTATAAATATGTCCACTTGCGGCCGCTGGGATTAAAGACTAAAACCAACAGCTCTTGGGTTAATAGCGTTGTCAATACCAAAGGCTGGCGATATATTTCTTGTCGATTCTCCCGGTGTGGCAGTGTTTTACATTCTTGAGGGCGGCCGAGTATCTCTACAAAAGCCACTTGATCATCACGATTGAATAGGGAGTAGCGGCTATTAGAGAACTGTCTGTGTTCCATGAGAATACTAAGGAAGGGAATTCCCGAGTTGAAGGCGTTGGGGTCGTTGTAAATAGTAGGTTTCTGAAATGTTAGAATGAAGAAGTAAAGTTTTGTGAAGGACATGTCTAACACTCGAGACAAACTATTTACCAGCCGTTTTGTGCACCCATACTTTTCTGACTATGAACCGGCTTTTCCATTTCATACCAATACTACCGATCAAGTGATTCTAGAAGTTGCAAACGAGTCTGGCGAAAGGTAAAATAGCCTCCGGTGAATACTAGGCAAGTTTATGACTATCTTTCTCGGGTTCACCCAGTTACATATCCGAATTACTTAGATACAACCGGTGAGATTGAGGATGGAAGTTACTCATTTACCGTACACATCCTAAAGCTACAGATTCAACAAAGTGATTGTATGCAAGAACCCGTGTGGGTGGTGAACGATGGATGCCCAAGGTAGAGAGCGAAGCATCTTTGGGTGATCGCACTGTCAAAGCATGCGGCCACCAGGGATGCGCAACGAAACATGATCTAGCAGAAATTTACTGTCAGCTCAGCAGGTGAAAGCCGTAAATATGGAAATGGCAATATATGATTGTATACAGGGATATTTGTGATGATGATAAAGATCGCATCTCCTTGTTTCCTGAGATGGTCGACTGTCCGGGTACTTTCAAGTACATTTGATTCATTGTTGGACAACAAAAGAGTGCGGCAGAGAAACCAAAGCCAATCATACCAGGCAGTCAGGGTAGTTAATTCTACGTGGCTTGCTTGGGGATGAAGAAAATATATCCTCTTTGCCATCCTTTGGACCTCGCAACAGAGAAGCATACAGAACCTTGCGAACTTACGTTGAACCACCAATAGCGCTTCAACACGCAGCGGTGCAAAAGATACCTGCAGCGCTGCCTATTTTAACGCACTTATACGTGTTCTGACCGCAAAAAGCTCCTGCCAGCAGCTGACCTGCTGGCCAGTGAGGCTCGCCAGAAGACAAGGCAAATTCTATGCTACACTGGCCGAAAGGCTGTGATGCGGCTTTCTCAAAACTGGCATCGGGCGAGTCCAAGATACTATATTTTATATTCGGTTTGCTCCCGCTTCCCTTTGGAAGCCTGCAACTATTTTTCTTCTCCCTCCGGCTCTTCCCAATTTGGTGCCAGAACGTTATGGTGTGAGTAGATGATACTGTGATTTCGGAGCTGGCGCCGAGCAGCCCCCAGCGTCAACGTATCTCCACTTCACACCCACGTCAAGAACTCACGATGTCGACAAGCAAAACTGGACCACGTCTAGAGCCGGTGTCTGCTTCGTGGATCTCGACCTCAACGGATCACCACGTTGCTGTAGATGACGATGTTGTTTCTTTGCATGACAACCCCAATAGGACCTCACCATTTGACCACGACTCTGGACGATATGGAAACGCTGATGGGATAACCCAAGAGCAACCACAGGAGGTTCGTAACCTCTCCACCATAAGACAGGTTCATAGTGTGTTGGTTCGGCGGGAACAATTCTAATGGCTAACAACACGGTCAATATTAGATATTCGTTTCAGAAGCATTTTTGCATGCGCTTACATTCGAGGTTCCCCAAACGCCGCTTGAGTCTGATAAAATATACAAAATCAAACTTAAGCAGGATTACTGTGGGGTGAGATTTTCTGTGCTCTTCCTTGACAAGAGCGTGATAATGTTCAAAGGACCAACCCTCGTTTGATTAATGTGTGTCTAACTTCGCGATGTGGTTGCAGCTTGAATTTTTGGGGAAGATCCCGAACTTTTCTCGACCTTTCCGCTCGCTGCCATCAGCGCGAGCCAAAGGCAATACACCTCCCGGATCCCAGACCATGGGGAAGGGGCCAAACTTTCAGGAAAGCAACGATAATATATCCTTGGTTATGCAGGAATCAGAGGCTCTGTAAGTCAAACAAGCTTCACATCTCTGTTTGATGGATTTAACTCATTGCTGTACAGTCTAGACCACCCTGACTCTGAAGCCCAGTCTTTAGATCACTTCCAGAAGGAGGTCTCGAGCAGCACTTCAGACACATCCATGACACTACGAGATCTTAATGAGAATCATCACCAGTTAATACAGCCATGTGGCCAACCTCTGCTAAATACGGCACACCCATCCGGACCACCTCGGATCCTCAATCACTGTCCCGACGGTTATCCAAATGGTCCAAGTAATCTAACTCCTCTCGTTTCTCCTGAGAATCCTGAGAATCCTCCACCGCCAGAACCACCACCCTTTGGACAACGACCATCGAGTTCTGCGCCCAGGACGCCAAAGCATCTGATGGATCATGTACACGCATCCCATAATAAAACCTCCTCAAGAAACTCTAATAACTCGTCCACTCGAAGCAAGCTCCAAACAATGGACATGATTCAGAAAGCAGAAAAAAGCCGAATATCATCGTGGTCAAAGACTTTCAAGCAAGTCTTGAATTATCTTCCGCGAAGGCAAAAAACAGAATCAAATCACGAAGACACACCCCAAGTTGGGCATGTCGATACCGATCGCGAAAACCGGAGAAGTCCTACGAATATCTTTCAAACGGGGAGAGCAGCCCATGGTGAAAACCAATCAATTACGTCGGACGTTTTCACAAGGGAGACAGAGCGCTCGACCCCAAAACCACCAACATCCGTTTTGTCCAATGCCAGTTCTTCCATCGAGAAGCCTCGCTTGCCTCTTAAAGTAGCAACAACGCCACTCACCACTTTAAAGGAGTTTCATTGCACGTTCTGCCTGATCCAATGTGAAGACAAGGGAGATTGGCTCAGGCATGAAAAAAATTTCCACCTGGAAGACCTAGAAAACTTCAGCCAACCTTGCAAAGGGAAAGAAGCAAGGCCCGATGAAACCAACTCCTTGGGTTCGAGGTTGAGCAGAGGTAAAGATAGCCGCCGGCTTCTAACAAAATCACAACCCCAATCATCCAGCTCCTCTCCCCGCCGCCAGCCTAGCGCACAAAGCGCTGGAGTCAGTGTCTACTCCAATCAACACAGCGGGCGGTCAGGAGCCGCCAACATATTTTGGAATTGCGGCTTCTGCAACGAACTTCTCCGCTCTTGGGAAGACCGACAGATCCACCTTGCTGAACATTTCAGCAACGGCAACACCATGCGACTGTGGGATCCCATGAAATCACCATTCCCGTGGCGGAAGGGGTCAGCCATGCCCGTCGACTCCCCACCATACTGGGATCTTCAGTCGCTACTCACATTACAGCGCCCCACGCTACAAGATTCCATAAACCAGATCGGTACCTCTGCTGACCAGCGGGGAACAGCAGCAAAGCCCTGTAAGCTCTGCCACGTGCTGCACCCCAGCCTCGAGCATTACGATCTATGGCACCAGCCCAGAGACACTTACACGTGTCCGCGGATCACTGATTTTACAAACCTTGCCGATTTCTTCGATGAGGGTGAGGATGAACATGGCGAGCTGGTTGTGGACTGGTGCAATGCCTGTGACGAGAGGTTCGATAGGCCCCATTACCTCGACAGGGACGTGCGCATGCAGCACTTATGGGATTTCCATGCCTTCGGTGATTGTGCGGGTTGGCATAGCTGTCTCGATGAGGGCCAGTTTGTGTTGCATCTAGCGAACACACATGCTGTTAATATCGAATTCATCAGGAAGCTAGTTCACCGGTGTAGGGGAATTGGGGATACGCCAGCATCGATGGCGATGGGCAGCGATTCATGAGACGAAAAAGGAAGGGGCTGCGCGTGGGGAAACTCTGGTTTGTTGCAATTTTTACTTTTGTCACCACCATCTTTATTTCTGAAATCGTGTTTTATTGCATAAGCGCGGAGTTGGGTGATTCGCTTCTTTTGTATTATATATGTGGAGTTTTTTTCGTAAACGTTCTCTCGGCGCAGAAGATAAGCCCCTCCATCTGTTTGTTTCTGTTTCTACATACCCGGCTTCTCTATTGTTTTATTCTATATCTTCGAGCTAGTTTCCTGCTATGGATATATGTATGGCTGAAACCTAGGGCGGGCCCGCACCTATTACTTAGATCTATCACAATGTACTCTACATCAGGTCTGCAAATATAGGAATTCCGTTTCCGCCACTTCTCGAACCACTAGAATGGCCCTGTTTTATGAATGAAATACCATTTGGTTTCTAGTTGAAGACGAAAGAGAAAGTGAACAAAAACAAACAAGCAAGACGTCTATCAGGGGGAGGCATTTAGGTGAGGGAGGCAAGACAAAATATTGTACAGAGTTTTATCGTGCATTGCATCGGAAACGAGAGGTTTGAGAAGTAAGAAAGTGCAATATTCTCGATGGGAAGACCCCGCTGAATGCGTATAACACACACAGGCATCTTAGAGAAAATCAAATACCAATGTTCATTCCTCCCGATGTAAATGGAAGAGCAGAGCAAAACCATGCATCCGCTGATCATAACGTGAGCCAACCATGATTGGTCATGGGGAGAGGCAAGGAGTAGCCTTAATGAATAACAGAACTCCGGGATCTCTATAAGCAGGAAATGACTATTCTAATCGGCCATTCTAACAAAGAAGGGGTAGATTCCAAACCAAATAATTGTGATAAAATGCCTTTGGTAATATAAATATACAGTTTCCATATGAATACAAGCATGTTCGAAATGGGTGTTGGGAGGCCGGCGAGGAACTGGGACAGCTTTGTATATTTGTAATACAACAAGAAATAAAAGGTCGGAAATATATGGGCTTGGACCTGGTGGTCCGATGGGAGCGCCTTAATTGTATCCTCTGCGACGCTTGCCTTGGTTCCGTACGCGCGGGATAACGACAGCCTTGTTGACGCGGTGCTTTGGTCGAGTTTTGTATCCGGATTTGGCCTGTAATTCGACGTAGATGAGAGAGAAGAGGGTGCCAAATCAGTAAAGAAGTAAAGATAAAATGGGGCTTGTATTTTAAGAAGACAATTGGGAAGGGAACGGAACATATAAACAAGGGACAACCAGGGGCGGGATAAAACATACCGGTTTGCCCCAGGGACTTTTTGGATGGACGTTGCCCTTCGACTTTCCCCGTCCACCACCGTGAGGATGGTCCTTTGCGTTCATGGCGAGGCCTCGGACCGTCGGACGGATATTCAACCATCGACTTCGTCCAGCCTTTCCAAGGGATCTATATTTGAAATAGGCATTACTTGCGACGCCAATGGTTGCACAGCAATCCTTATGGATGAGCCTAACTTCACCGCTGGCAAGGCGAATGGTGACATGGTCCGCAAGCTGTTTGAGTTTGTGTCTCTCCTGTAGGGTAAGAAGTTTCGCGTCTCCTTCTTCTGAAGATACGCTTTCCGCCTGTTGTATTTCTTCAGGCAATTCTTCGGTTGCTTTTAGAGTGATCGTTGCAAAGGTACCAGCGGCCCGGCATAACTGTCCTCCCTTTCCCGGTTTTAATCCGATATTATAGATCAATGAGCCGACAGGGATCATGTGAAGGGGGAGGCAGTTCCCTCGCCACGCGGTTCTGGCAGCCAGCACACCGGGATCGACTGTGCCGCCCATACTCTGCCATAGCTCGTCGGGGATACCTGCTCTGTAACTCTCGACAACATCACCTGCCCTCATGCCCTCAGCAGCGATGATATAACTCAATTTGCCTGTCTTCTTGGACTTGATAAGAGCAATATGCGCATTTCGATTCGGATCATGCTCGATTCTCTCAACCATATGGGGTCCTGGTTCCTTCCGCTCGAAATCGACGGTGCGTATTCTCCGTTTGTGGCCTCCACCACGATGTCGAACAGTCACTCTGCCAGTGCTATTCCGGCCACCTTTGCCATGGCCTCTTTTCGGGAAGGTGAGTTTGTGCACCGGCCTTCCTTTCCACAAGTGGTCGTTGATTGGTCTTCGCAGATGCCTGAGACCGGGCGTGCGGGGTGTGTAAGACCGCATACCAAGCCCTTCCTTATCCCTCATAGGAGGCGGAGCAAAAGCGAAGCTAGGAGTTTCCTTTTCCGGTTCGGCTGGTCCATCTGGCTTCTGGAGGAGTGTGCTAGAGTATGCGCGAGCGGTGATTGATGAGAGGCATCTACAGGAGTTCTGTAGGCTCCTCAATGTGAGGCGTGGTTGGAGCATGATGGGCGGGAGGGAGCGGAGGGTTCCAAATTTGCTGGCAGGTGTAAAGAGGCAGTCCAATTCTCAGACACACCCAGCAAACCCAACTGATTGGAGCAAAGGGAGTTTCAGTCCCTTGCCACTGCAATTAATGCTGATGTGCTGGGACTGTTTTCTGGTCAACGACAGTTGATCTGTTCTGGTTCCTCACTGCCCAAGAACATTTCCTCAAGGTCCAAAAAGTTCGCGTGCAGCGTGTGTCACATGATCAAGAGAGCTGACAGGATCTCCAGCCACAGACGGGTCGCACCGCCACGGGCCGGTTGATTTTTTTTTGGTGGGGTAATTTAAATACGGTATATTACAGGTTATTCGTCGTGTCTGGCGCCGCAGCTGGTATCAATACATTACGAAACAAGCCATAACCAGCACGTGAGCAGCATTGTTTCCCGGCCAACAGCCTTTGTTTAGAGCCCAAGAGGGACTTCTCGTACCGTACTTACAGTTTCTTACCGCGACGGACACCGGAATTGAGTGTATTTTTTGTACTGGCGCGGTTTGTTACGCTTCAGTACCTGGACCCGCTATACATTTCGCATACCATTTAAGTATCGCTCCCGTCCGCAACCACGCACATTACGGGCTCCAATTCCTGCTCCCATGTGTGTGTTCTTTCTCTCACCTCCATCACCGTCCCCTCGCATCTGTCCAGGTAGTCCTCTCGCCCACATCACATCACCTCAGTATACCTCACCATCCCATCCCAATTTACTGCTTAGCTGTTCACTTCATATCACGCATCATACTGCTTATTCTACTCCTCTCGGCTCCTACAGCCTCCGTGTACGCGTGAATGCTCGTGGAGCGGCTCTTGAATTCTCTTGGCGCCATCGACCACGCGAAAGAAGCTCCAAACACATCGGACGTGCCAGTCACTGTCACCTCATTTCTACTTCTAAATATATAGTAAGAAGGCTCACATCTCAGCCATTGCCCCCGTCTCCTAGTTCTCTTCAACGTTGGAATTCGTGTGCTTGGGGAAAGTTGTGCCTGACAAGGCTGTCAACAACCAGGGCTTGGTGAGGACCAAGGTGTTGCTCTGGTTTTTCAGGGTGTTGTTGCAACCACAACAATACTTCCATCCGCCCCTCTCAAACCACGACGTTTTCCCCATGAAATTTACACCACAACTGGTGCGACATAGTCCCCTCATACGTGTTATCACAGCGTCTTCTCTTTCTAATACCCCATCGTGTTGCAGAAAGAGTAGCAATTAGACGGTTGCACGTAACGCCATTCTTAGTCCATATTGGAACGTACAATTCAATTTGACGCGTTCCTCTTAGCTTTTTCCATTGCCCAGGATGCCACCTGTAAGTCCCTTTCTCCTCTGCTGTTCACTCAAGGGGATATGACAAATGACAATGACACATCGCCCTTTTCATGATAATTGCTTCTGTGGTTTTTGTATTGATACCTCTTGCCAGGCCCGGGCTCTTCGCCAGCGTGGTGTCACGAACGAAAATGACGAAAATGGAGCGACAACACGGCTAACACGGGCAAAGACTGCTACTCTCAGCGTCCAAGATGCTCATTCCTCAAACGGAGCAATTACAAAACCACTGCAATCCAAGAAATCTGCTGCCAATACCGCCAACACTACCACTCGGAGACGTCCCGCCCTGGGGGATGTTAGTAATATGGCAAAGATGGATAACGTAGATGGTACCAAAGAGGCGAAGAAGCCAGCTACCTCACGCGTTGGTTTGACTTCCAAAGCCTCCACGCACAGTGCTGGGGTTCAGAAACTTGGTCGAACAAACACATCACGGTCTGCCCTAGCTGTGAAGGATACCAACAAACAACGAGAAGCAACCGAGTTAAAACGTCCGGGTAGTGGTTCTGGGGTTTTGGGAGGCACAAAAACGAAGCGTCAATCAAACCAAAAACCAACCCGAGCCGAACCTGCAAGCGCTATTGAGGAGCCACCTCGAAAAAAGGTCGATTTGGAGAAGGCTGAAATCGAGAAGACCGAGAACGAGAGGGAGGCCGTTTTGGAGGAAGCTCTCGATGGAAAAGAAGTCGCGCTGGAAGAAGAAGAGGTCTTGGACCTTGACACTGAAGACCTCTATGATCCTATAATGGGGGGTGAATATGCAATTGAAATCTTCGATTATCTAAAAAAGATTGAACCCCAGACCATGCCCAACCCGGACTACATCTACCACCAAGAAGACCTCGAGTGGGGATTGCGTGGCGTTCTTGTTGACTGGCTCATTGAGGTCCATACCCGTTTCCGCCTCCTCCCTGAAACTCTCTTCCTCACTGTCAATATAATCGACCGCTTTTTGTCCGCTGAGGTTGTCGCGTTAGACAGATTGCAACTTGTTGGAGTGACAGCAATGTTCATTGCTGCCAAATATGAAGAAGTTTTCTCACCTCACGTGGCCAACTTCAGTCATGTTGCCGACGAAAATTTCTCAGATAAAGAAATTCTCGACGCTGAGCGACACGTCCTCGCAACCCTCAATTATGACATCAGCTATCCCAATCCAATGAACTTCCTGCGAAGAATATCCAAGGCAGATAACTATGACATCCATACGCGAACTCTTGGAAAGTATTTTATGGAAATCAGTCTTCTGGATCATAGGTTTATGGCTTACCGACAAAGCCATGTTGCTGCCGCCTCCATGTATCTAGCACGGCTTATCCTCCATCGTGGCCGCTGGGTACGTTTTAAGTCATGTGGATTTTGTTTGGACATTTTCTAACAAGTTGAACTGTATATGTATAGGACGCTACCCTTGCGCATTACTCCGGCTATACGAAGGAAGAAATTCTCCCTGTTTTCCAATTGCTGATTGATTACCTTCACCGTCCTATATCCCACGAGGCATTCTTCAAGAAATACGCCAACAAAAAGTTTATGAAAGGTATGTTTGGCAACGTGACCCGTGTTCCCATAAGCCCTTTTACTAACTTCATTTTGATAATCAGCCTCGATTGTGACTCGCCAATGGGCGAGAAAATACCGCTCTCTCTACCTTGATACTGATACTGCTCCCTTGAATGAGGGAAGCAAAACCACCAAGTACAGTCGATAGTGACACAAGTGGTCAGTCTCTTGTTATATGCAACGATTGTGTGATATAAAATTTATTCTAGTGCCTCAACCTGTATGTATTTCTGTCTGGCAGGCCGGCGCACTTCCTTCATTTCTCATTTTTGGGTCCCTTTCTCGAGTTCATGACGGAGTATATAAGGGGTTGCATTTTTGTTATGATGGCATCATTATCACCACTCCGTGATTATCTTCTTCCTCCCTTCCCCTTTCGTAACCCCCGTCTTCTTTGCTTCCCTCACGTTTGCTACCCTAAGGCGCCGTTTTATACTTTTGTTTGTGTTTGCATGTCTTTTCATTCCGTTTTGTTATTTTCTTTTTCAAGGGTACGAAACGCAAACGAAAGGACGCCCGTAGTGTTTCTAACTCTACTTATTGGCGGATTTTTTTTTGGAGCTGCCTATTTTTTTTTAAATAAATTTCTCCTGCGACTGGTGTTAAGAACATGCGTCAGCGTTTGGAAAGCATCTTTGCCGTTTTCTTTTTCTCCGGCTTTTCTCATTTTATTATTCTCTATATTTGTTTATTGTGTTTGTCTTCTCGTCGTTTGATTTCCGTTTTATTCCCTTACGTTTCCCTTGATTTTTTTTTCTTCCAAACAGTTGTTACTCTTAATATTCACTTCCTTTTGCTGCTTGCTGCTGTTGCTCCTGGGTGAGCTCTTCCGCGCTTGTTCGAAGAGAAAAGAAAAATACCATTTTTCCGTTTTTTATTTATATTCATAATGTAGGGAGGTACGTTGTCCACTTGTTCTCGGAAGGTATTAACCATGATGTGTATGTTCATCACACGCCTCAATTAACATACGGACTTGAGAAGGCTATTTTATTGCCCATGAACCCTTGCCCAGAACTTCGATATCTTGGATCTATCCCGATATATCATTGCCCCCGGGCGGCCGTGTTACAGAGAGAGACGGGCGCGACGAGAACTTTTAATTAAGAGTGCAACAAAGAGAAAGTGGAAAATGATTATAATAATTTTGCGACAGAGCATCTTGCTTCTTTGGGCAATTGCAGGTAGATGTTGTAGCTACGGCAACAAAACCATGTTAGCCAGGCGTCATGAAAATAATTGCTTCTCATCTACGGATATATGATCCGATTTTGATTTCAGACGAGCTCCCCGGAAAATCGACATTTCTAACCACAGCACATGCTGACCATCAACAAACATAGTTAGAACTTGATAAAAGTTTAACCTCTTTTTCTATCTTCTTTAAGATCTTGCAGTCCTATGACATTGTAAATTATATTTTCCTTATAACTAGATGTAAGCATATGCTAATCATTGTCAGTCATCTAGAAGAATATCTATCTAGGTGATAGAACAGTCTAGGTGATGGGCACTGTTGCATGGGGCCATCTCATTGAACATGGATTGAAATTTGTAAGGCGATTCTAATCATGAGACGAGCTAATTTTCCTAAGTGTTGTAGGTAACAATTGGGTTGGTCGTCTTGTCTGGATCGATGTGATGATAACATGCATACTGTACAGTACAAGCATGATAGAAAAGGGGTTCTATCCAGGGATGATGAAGACGTCAAAAAAAATATCCGCCGCTAACCCCTCCAAAACTAACCCTTCAAAATGGAAGTCAGAGGACCGCCACTGGTTATTTTGCTGGGGATTAATGAATTGCGATCTTTTGTTCTGAATGTTTCATACAAATATATATTACTTTTCATTGACTCGTGCGTGGGGGTGGTGATAGTATGTATTTTGCTGAGGGAGCCGGATGATTATGAAGGAACACACACACACTCAGCCTCGGCTTCGCGGGCTGAAGCGCCATAATGAGGGCATTAGCCGTACGCTGTGTAGAGGGTCGCGGAGACATCCGCTCCAACATTTAGTTATTTCGTTCTCTCCATCTTAAGCTGTGGAGAAACAACGTCTTGAGATTTTTTCATTCCTTACACTTTAGGTCCCGGGAATTGCGTTCTGAAGCTCTCTCTCTCTTTTTTTTTTTTTTTTTTTTTTTTTTTTTAAATTTCTGCTATCCTTAAAAAAAAGGTAAACTTCACTAGATACTCATCTATATATATACAATGACATCTCAACGAAATCAATAGATGTACGAATATTCGTACATAAAATAAAATAGAAAAATTGGATACCCTCAACTCCGCTCTGGAAACCCCGCCCTGGATTTAAAAATGACATCTCCAGCAACAATCTGGCCACCCGCATCTCTCAAGCGTGCTAAATCATCCCGCAAACCCACCACCATTCCCAGTTCTCCAAATTGTCCCTTCTGCGCCATCGCAGCCGCTCATCCACCCTCTCCGCCTTCTCGTGTGGATGTACTGAACAAGTCACATACGACGACGGCGAAGCCCGATACCCGATCCCCAGCCCCTCAAGCTCACCTCATCCTCTCGACGAAGCATGTGCTGGCGTTTCTAGACATCATGCCCCTGACGAGAGGCCATGTGCTCGTGATTTCCAGGGACCATCATGAGAAATTGGGGAACGTTGGGGTTGAGGTTGGGAAGGAGGTGAGCGTTTCAGTATTTATCAATTTTCCCCTACCTTTTCTTTTTTTTTTAAAAAAATTCTGCGTTGTTTTTGTAATTACATCCATTTTATTTTTACATTTTTTTCAAAAATTGTTGCTCCTTGAAGACGGAAGAAAGAGGTTAGGAGGAGGGTGATTTAAGTTGTTGTGCTGATATGAATGATATGAATTAAAGCTTGGTAAATGGCTCCCGATACTTTCGCGAGCGGTGACAAGGACAGTGTTGGGCACTGAGTTAGATTCGCGCCGTGAAGATCCAGCACAGTGGAATGTCGTGCAGAACAACGGTATGTTGCCCCTGCTGCTGGTTCTTTTGTTCAGCATAATGCCACAAGGCATCATGAATTTTGCAAATTGCTTATTGTGCATTGGGTGCCGTGCATCTCTGTCTGTCTATTTCAGTATTCATCAACTCCCTTTTCCATGTTTTTCTAATATTTCTTTTCATTGTCGTGAACGTTCATTTGCTCACAAACACTACTCCAATCCATTATATGGGCTTGCCTATAAAAAAAAGGTCCGAGAGCGTCACAAACAATTCCCCATGTCCACTTCCATATCATCCCACGGCCACCTCTGGATACGGACACTCCCCAAGAGGGAGGCTGGTTGATGTTTGGCCGTGGCCAGCGGGAAGAGCTTGACGATAACGAGGCGCAGGAAACAGTAGCTCAATTGCGCGCCGAGTTGGCGAGGGAAGTTGCTCGGGTTAAGGAAGTGGAGGGTATCGATTTAGATCTCGATGGAGAATTCGGGCAAGCGAAGGGGAAATGGAGAGGGTTGTCGAAATTGTGATCCCCTGTGATGGCTGGAATAGATGGATTGTAGATAATTCCTTTTTCCGCTGCTAAGGTCGCGTATTTTAAGCTGTTCGTTTCATGACTGCTGAGGTTTACGAAGGGATCATTCATTTTCTTGCGCCGTTATACTCCACGAACTCTATTCCGCTTCTTGTATACTTGCGTTTGAATTGATAAGACATGCGCCTATAAATTAATCATGGACTGGTTCCTCGTCATCCAGTAATAGTCAATAGGCAGGAGAGTATTACCGAGGCCATGGGAATGAGCGTCGAGAATGATGGCCCCCTCGGTGACTTCATTGTGTTGCATTATTCTCAGAGCTATTCTTGAGGGGATGGTTTGGATTTTGCAAAGTACTATATTATAGACGTTAGTTTTGACTATTTGGTATTCCATAAGTATATAAGAATGAATATTTTTGTACTTTTCTTCTAAAAGCATTCAAGTCGTTAGCTTTTACGCCATTTACGTTCCCCCTCTGTCGTCGTGGTTCAGAAGCGGACACTTCTCCACCAGGAAGTCGACGGTATGTAAGTAAGCGGCGAGACCCTGGGAAAAATTACGTATTAACTAGACGACCTAATGGCAATAATCACAAAAGGTTGGGACTAAAAAAAAAGAAACGCTAAACAGATGTCGAAGGAAAAGAACTCACAGTGGCCAAAAGGTTGCACGCAGACGCTTAGAAGTTCTAGATGCGGATTGCTTGGGATTTCAAGTTCTACATCATCTTCATTGGCAGTGGGCATCCAAAGAGAAATCCTCCCATCTGGGACAAGGGTGCGGGCCGCGAAGTCGAGGATATCGTCTAGCATTGCGTCGAAGCTGTAGGGCCTTTTGGGTGCGATGTACCCGTCTAAGCTGATCGTTAAGAAACATTAATAAGTTAATATTTGACCTATGTAACTCTCTGCATTGCATGTCGACATAGGAACAGTACTGAGAGGAGGGGGGTTAAGGCAGAAGAGAAAAGGACAAAAACCCTCACCGATAGCTTGGGACGCCATTTAACAGAACAGGCTCTTTCTTTTTACCATCCTTGCTTCCCAGAACCTTCAATCCTTCTCGAACGCCGTACGGAGGGTCGCAGATGATGCCATCTAGAAACTGCGTCGTTCTGACTGGCGTGTTGGTCAGGTCTGAAATAAAAGCATCCAAAAAATACTGCTGTATGCCGTATTGTTCAAGGTTCGAGACGAGACCCATGGATTTGCCCTTTTGCCTCTCTTTACCACCGAAGCTGCGCCCATCAATATCAGAACCCAACGCATGAGTTCCAAAATGCGCCATGGCAACACAGAAGCTCCCGGTCCCCACAAAGGGGTCAAAGAACACTTTTCCTGGCGCTGCCAGTGCCATGTTTGCTGTGACCAGCGTCAACTCAGCATCCATCGACGTGGTACTAATATAGTTTCGTTTCTTCAAGTCATATTTATCTATAACATCTCTGCTCCCGCATGCAATCCACCTACCGAAATAGATCACGTTTGGGTCAGGGCGGGCTTCTCCTGGCTTTACTGGGCGGCGTGGGTATTCCTCGAATAAACAGAACTCCTCGTCCGGGTCAGTCATTCTGATAGGGCCTTGAAAATCCATGTAGGCGAATGAATGGATTATTTGAGTTTTCTCCTCTGCTGAGCGTTTCCCGGCATATGAGTCTACGGAGAATTTGAATGACTTGTCTTTGAAGTCGCTCCATCGCGCTGCAGTCCGCTTACTGATATCTGAATGGAGGTCTTCATATGTTTGGCCTTGTCCCCAGATCTCATATATGCCCTTTGCAAGGACACTGCGAGCTATGACTGCTCTCGCAACAGCTTCATCTTGGAGTTTAACAATGGCAAATGGTGTCTGCGGGGAAGAGTTAGGATTAGAGTCGTAAAAATAACAGGGAAGGGTAGGTTCTATTTTCTCTTTCTGCGGGTAATCTTTCTGGGATAACAGACATTTTCTGTATATGATAGGAATTCAACATTGGTCCCAACGAGCGCCGCGAGAGATTCAATCTCCGGCTTTCGAAACGACTCGTGGACTTGTGCGAAGCGAATCAAATACTCCATTTTGCTCTACCGTTTATTGAAATACGTGGGCAGTGTCGCCCAGGAAATGCGCTTTGGGCTTTGGTAGGTAGTGGGGTTCTGAGCGCCTTCAAACATAACTGGGTTATCCTTTCTCTTCTGATCTGATAGGGAATGGGGTAATGGGGTTTATTTGCACTAAAATCGATATCAATTTGAGAAGGCAAAATTCAGTAAGGGCAAAATTAAGCCAATAAGCTCTTGAGATCTGTTTCCGGCCTGACTAAGCAACAACTCCCTTTTCACTTCCTCACCACCTTACCTTCTTTCTACTTCCTATCTTGCTCAGCAACCCTTCCCCCGCCCTAAGAAAAACCTGCATTCCTCGACATGTACCCAAGGGTGAAACGAGTGATGTCACAGCTTGCAAAGTGTGCGGGGCAGATAATGTGCCCAGTCTGATGGTTCAAGCCCCGTCTTCGATAGATGCCCAACTCGCGCCCGGCTTAATGCTAATTAATTCATAATTTTGTCAAGGGTAGTGCATGGTACCACAAATCTACGATGGGAATCGTATCGGTTTTCTCTGGGGATCCCAGGCCGGTTGCGAATGCGGGTTTCTAACATCCAGTACGGTTCAACCATATGCACATAAGAGCTCGTGAGGCAACTGAACTGGTTGTTTGCAAACCACTCGGGATGGTAGGACTTGCAACGAATATTTGTTTACATATAATTGGCTTCAAAAAGGCACATGTGAGCAGCATTTTCCAGGAACTGCAGAAGAAGAAAAGGGTATCGTCATCATGCATTCCAAGAGGCTCTGGCACAAATCGTTCCCATGAGGACAACTCAGGCTGTCGACTAATATAACCGTATGATACCTGCGAAGAATGGAATTTGCGCATTGTCCTTCTTCTTTTGAATATACTAAACAAGTAGGACTTGATTTCCTTTCCCCATCCTATTCTCCTACTAGTACGCTCCTCAATCTATTTAGCTTTTGTGTTCGACGGGGTAGATATTTCGAACAATGACGCGCCGCTATATACCTCCTGAGACTATTATCATCGGCATTGATTTGGGCTTAACCTTTACAGGTATTGTTTCTTTGTATTATTATTATTATTATTATTGTTTTCATGCTTTGTTTGGAGCATCGTGGTTCGATGACCGTGGTATAGTGACATGCACAATGCGGTTTGTGTGAGTTGACTTTGAACCGAGGCGTTGCCTAATGTCCTGTTAGGAGTCGCATTCTCGACCGTGGATATGGAAACTCCGATTTCTGTAGATAGATGGCCAGGAACTACGAAGATAGCAAATAAAGTGCCAACAAAACTCTGGTACCGAGCGGGCTGCAGGAAACCCATATCATGGGGATTCGATGAACCGGATGAGTTGCATCCTGGAATGGATGTGGTGGATTGTTTCAAACTATATCTTGACCCTGACTTTGATTTTGCCAATAGAGCTGAGATGTTCTGGACACATGAAGATGTTCAGACATGGTTTGTCGATTTCTTTACCGCCCTTCGACTACACATCATCCAATATATAAGAAATTCAGAGTACCTACCTTATCCGGTGGTGAGCGATTGGAGACTACACCCAGTAGAATACGTTTTTAGTTTCCCGACAACCTGGCAAAATCCAAAGGTGGTTGATGCATTTTGCGGAATTGTGAGGAGTTCTGGTTTTGGAGACTGTGAAGCCCACTCAGTCGAGATTAAGCTGAATGAAGCAGCAGCAGCAGCAGCTTACTCAGCCAAAACCTTTAGACACCAACGGGCTGTCCACCACCGTGAAGGAAGCAGGGAGCTTCCACCTAGGAAGGAGAAGCCTCTTGAAGTTGGCAGCGTAATTCTTATTTGCGATGCTGGAGGCGGAACCACTGTCAGAGTCTTGCTCCATTGTCGTCGGTGATTTGCCTGCTAACGTCATCCACAGGATGTGGCCGTCCTCAAGGTTTCATCAATCGAGAAATATACGGTTCGAGGTCAGCGAGAAGATGTGCTTCAGTTAGAGCAGCTCGACTGCGTCAGCGGTATCTTAATATTCCTTCCATTCTGCTCCTGAACCGCCGCTCATCGTTAATCTGTGTAGGAAAACCATTTGGTTCCGTGCAGATCGACCAGGCGTTCCAAAGGGAAGTTGAAAGCCGTTTGGAAAGGATCCATTACGAAAGTGATGACCACCATTGGTCTCCGAAGTTTGCAGCACACAAATTGACAAAAGGCGATTTTCAAGCCTTCAAGTTGAATTATGGGTGTAGAGTAATGACAGCCTTACGGAAACGTGCCCTTCGCATCCCTGACCTTCCAATATCCTACAGCAGCCCAGAAGCGGGTATCGAAGATGGAAGGATAGTACTGGAAGAGTAAGTTTACCAACGTATTTTATGTTTAACTATAGCCAGCTCTTCCGAATTATCTAACTATTAACAAGGGATGATCTGCGACGGCTGTTCGACGAACAAATTCGACATATTTTTGGACTTATTGATGAGCAGCTTCAACGTATTGGAGATATCACACCCCCAGTAGAAGCGGTACGTTGCACGTTTTTTTTCTTTTGTTGTTGTTGGAATGTCGGATCCGGTTAACTGTCAACAGACACATATGATCCTTTCCGGCGGCCTAGGTTCCTCTCGCTACATTCAGGATTGGTTTATCACCAAGTATGGTTACGGGAGAGAAGCCAAAGGGATTTTAATTTCAAAGGAACCGTGAGGAAGCGATTTAATATCATTTTTTTTTTTTAAAGAATATGGCGCGCTGACCTTCCCTATAGCCAATTAGCGGTCTCCTGCGGACTAGTAATCGACCGAGTTCACCGTTTGAGGCATGGACACTCCGTCCTATCCACTCGCTGTAGTTCCAGCTCCTATGGCATAGTGGTCAATACCAGAGTTCGCACAGGTAAAGCTCCTCCCAGCTACAATAGCCATGTGAAAATAAGCCCCTATGATGGGAGGCGGTATATCGTCAACCAGGTCCAATGGCTTCTCGAACGAGGTCAAATTATCCAACACCGATACATATGCCAGAAATTGGATAGGGTTTTCGAAGCAACCAGTTCCGAGATAGACTGGAAAATTTTGATCGCCATGTCCAGGTCTCCTGCTGCCCGCCTCCCACATACAATCGACGAAGGTGATGCTTGTGTCATATGTGAGATCGAGTCAAGAGTAGGCGGGGAACTTCTACGACAGCATGCCCAGCCTGCTAAACAGAAGCGGTGGAGCTCAATCCGGAAAGCAGAACTTCAGAAAATCCAGTATGAAGTGCGTTTATACATCGAATCGTCGTGCCTGACAATCAAAGTCTGGTTGGGGGATCAGGTGATCGGGAGTAGTGACGAGATTCCCGTCGCTTGGCAGTATACCAGCATAGATGAGGCTGACAACGAGGAGACCCAAACTGAATGTCCAGTGGATTGGTCAAATTGTGGACTTGCGAAGGAGGTTAAAGATGACACCTGGCCTACATTTCTTCGTTGAGTAATTGATGCTTCTATAGAATGGGTTTGAGGATATGGCTCGGTTGTAATTCCGGGACCCCGACGACCCGGCGAAAGCTTAAGGTGTGATATTCGATGGAATCTTTCGATGACCTATGAGGAGAATACGAGCGGTTTTTGGTTGAAAATAAAAGGATGTTCTTCCCTTCCCCTCCTTGGTAGAATTGGTAGAACTGGTAAACATCTGCAAAGAACACACAATGAAGTAGCTCCTACATGCCCAGAATCTTAGTGAGAAGGCAGTCCTGAGAATTATCACCTTAGTTTCCGCATCTAGGCATGCCACGTCAGAACTCTCCTCGCAGTCCACCGGATGCAGGACTCTGTGTGCGACAAATTGAAGAAAGTAACAGAAAGAAACAACGCATGGTTACTTGGTATTGTTGGGCATCGGCAGACCTGTTTAGGACAACAGAGCGGCTGTTAGTGCAGAATATGCGGTGAGACGTTTTTGGCGGAGAGGGAGGATGGTTTCTTCCATAGGGGGTTCCAGGGCTAGGGTGTTCGGCCAGGCTTTGGCCGAACAGTAACAATGACTGGCGAGTGGGACAGAAAATGGGATGCCTTCTCCGAAGGTGAGTTCCATTGTAAGGTGTGACAGTCATTGTAAAAATATTTACCTTCCGACGTTCCTAAACATGACTGAAAAAGGGAGCTACCGGACAATTGTAATGCACTCGTTTCTTACCTTTTCTTGCTATATTCTCGCGACCACTATTTCCTATGCAGGTTACACGCCGGCTTGACCCCGGTTACTCCGCTGACCGATCTAGGCAGAGCAGTTGGTAAGAGCTTGTACTTGCAAGAGATCAAGTTAGAAAGGAGCTCAACTGACTCTTTGACTAGTAAGCATTTCTATTGGGTCTGCACTAGCGTAGATCAGGGGAGTAACCCCATATCTTAGTGATTAACTCCGAACCACTACGCAACTACCCGCTTATCATCTATTGATATCATCATTAGTTATAGGTGGGTCGGGTTACGGTGTGTTCAAACCCAACCCTCACAATAACCAGGTTATATGCGGAGGTGCAGTCACTCAGCCATCAATGCCACTGTATATAACCTGGTTATTGCTGGCATGTGTTCAATTTCATGTTCATATGTACAGGATACTTGTATTTAGTAAGAGAAATACTATTAAATTCAGATACATGTGACTTTGCACACAGAAAGTTATATAATCACTAGCTAAATAATCTGCTTGACTTCATCTCTACTAAAGAGCTACTGATCCCAGGTACTGTATAGAAGTGCAAGTCAACTGTCTGAGTGTTGTACACAGCTCATACAACTAGGCCTAACTCTATAATAATAATATATATATATCTATAATAATAATGGAGAAATGGAGATCAAAGAGAGAGAACAGAACAGAACAGAACAGAAAAATGAAAACTTCATACATACTCTATTCAATGAGAATGAAATTATTCTGTACATCAGACTGAGTATCATGACTCACATCATCTGCTGCTGATACTTATAGCTGTGATGACTGTCTATCATAAAAATCATTATACATATCAGACTGATTCACAGAGTCATGGAGAAAGCAGTGTGCTGCATGATCACATTATTTACAGTTGGCACATACTTCTTCAAAGTAACTGTATGCACAGCAGCACAATGAGAACAGTTTAAGTTCAGAGAATATACAATACTGTGTACAGTCTGTGACAAGAGTTCTACCACAGAATTGAATCAGAATGACATTGATGTATGATGGACAATGAAACAATACTTGATCAGCTCTGATATATGTATAAATATATAATATATCAAAGTCAGAGACAGCAAGCAGAGCACAGAATTGAGAACTATAACAAAATATACCCAGCTGGGAATTGCTGATATATATTATGTCATACTCTGACCATTTCTGCCACTCATCTTGATGTTCAGCAGCTGAATAATATAAGTCAATCAACTCAGTCTGAGCCAGATTCTGCTGAGTGATGACAGAATTGTATGAAATGAGAGCTCTTGCATTATAATCAGCTTTCTATACTGTATGATAGAGAAGCAGAGAAATACTTACATTGTTCACAGAGAGAGAAAGAGAGAGAGAATACTGTTGAAGAGCAGAAGAAAGCTGATCTTCTTTTTTATAGAAAAAAAAAATTGAAAATCTTCTCTGACTATGTATACAAGTCTCTGTCAGTGTTCTTCTTCTTTGATATGATGAAATGAACATCTCATACAGTGTACAGAGTGGGAAAAAGACAGAATGAACAGTGGATGAGTGATCTTGATGAATTTCAACAAGAAAATGATGAATTCTGATGCAAAAGAGATTGTATATATCAGTGAATGATGATGAAGAAGCTGAAGAGAGAAAGAGAAAAGAAGTTGAGAGAAGAGATAGAGAAAGAGAGGATTTTATAATCAACTTGTTGTTGTTATTAGACTGGCTGTGTGACCATGCATGGGACTGGGACCAAATTTTTCCTCAGTCCCATTATTAGATATCTTAGTCCTGGTCCCATATAGTGTTTAGCAAATTAGTCACTTTACACTGTTTATATTATAAATCTAGTCCCAGATCATGTTTTACTAATAAATTAGTGATTCTGGTCCCATTTGGTCCCATTTTACAAAATGGGATCAAATGGGACCATGATTTACCCTATATAGGTTGGCAGTGATAGATAGGTTGGCAGTGGTAGGTAGGTTGGCAGTGGTAGGTAGGTTGGCAGTGATAGATTAGCAGTGATAGATTAGCAGCAATAGATTAGCAGTGATAGATAGGTTGGCAGTGGTAGGTAGATTGGCAGCAGTAGGTAGGTTGGCGGCGGTGGGTAGATTGGCAGCGGTGGGTAGATTGGCAGCAGCACTAAGCAAGATAGGGGTAATATCTCCACCAATCATATCATCAGATTGATGTATTATATAATCATCAGAATGGGACCAAACTTGAGTCAAAATCATGATCAGTCCCAGATCATGTTCTGATTTTGATAGTCAGTCACTTTACATGAAATATCAAGATTTTTTAGTCCCATTTCACTCATGTTTTGATAATTCTAGTCACTTTACACTCCCATTCTGGTCCTGGTCCCACTAAAATCATGCCAAGAAATGGACTGGGACCAAACCAAACCAAACCAAATGTGTAATTCATGGTCCCAGCGGCCAGTCTAGTTGTTATTGTTGTGAATGAAAGAGAAAAGTGGAAATGCCTTGTGTATGAAAGAGAAAAGAGAGAAAGAGAGAATGCTCACTCTTGTGAATTCTGCTGAGACAGTCTGTGTGTATAAATAAATAAATACTCAAGATTAAAAGATATATAATATAGTATAGTTAATATACACAGATTATCTTCTTGCTCTTCTGAGGAAGACAGAGAGCTTATTCAGACTCATTCTTAATTATATATACATCAACTCAAGCTCCTCCACAATCTCTAGAATAGATCTTGATTTCATCATACAGTGGCAGCTGAGTATCTCATCAATGATCATCTTTCATCAGAAAAAGAACATACACTCACTATTCTTCTTTCTTCAGCTAGACTCATACAATGACTTCAGATGCTACACAGAGGACTGTTTATTCAACCTCTATTCTCATTTCTTTCAGAGATTATTGATCAATTGAATTATACAGAAGAGCTGATATGTTTAAATATTATTCTTAGTTGACAATGCTGTAGCAGAAGTGGTGACAGCAGCAGCAGTAGTTGATAAAGAGAAGGATGAAGATACAGATATAGAGATGAAGAAAATCTTAACAGTATCTTTCTGTACACAGACAGAAACAGAGGCAGACTGAAAGATTTAGAATTCAGTTGTTATTGTATCAATTTCATACTGAATTCTATCAATCTTCTTCTTCATTTGTACATCTCTGATCTTTATCTGATTCATTATCACATTAATCTGTCTCTGTATGATGCTCAGACTCTTGAAAATCTGTGACACTGATCATTGAAACATCATCTTCTATGAAGAAATGAAAACTGACTCTGCAGTCTATACAGCATCTGCAAACTGCTCATACTCTGCATACTGAAACACTGAGTTAGTTCACAGTGAATGAATTGAAAATTCTCTCTGAAGAAGAGTAGAGTTCTGTAGTATCATTATATAAAGATAATCTAACAGCTACAAAAACCTCTGAGCTGCAAGATCATCTGAGTCAAATAAACTTCCACTATCAAGCAGCTTCAGACTCACACCAGAGATCTCAGAAGAAGTGATATAAGAGAATCTATTCTCAGAATGAAATTAGATAAACTATTCATTCATTCATAATCAGAGGGATTTCTTCAACAGCTCTGATGAGATGACTGTAGCTTATAAAAGATAGTAATTATTTGACAAGCTAGAATTAAACCCTGCAATCTCTTATACAAACTTCTGATTGATCTGACTGAGATAGCAGCTGATCAAAGAGTCATTATTTCATTGCTCAGCTCTGCAGATGCTGCTTTCATTCATCTTATTAAGCTCTGCCTTCTGTGCATCTGTGAATTGTTCAGTATAAGTCTTCTTTATCATCTCTGATATATCTGCATACATAAAGAGCTTGTTTGTTCACTTAAGATAAGTTCTGTAGAAGATCTGCTTATACAGATTCTTATTCTTAAACAAGTGGATATTGTATCAGAGCTGATAGTAGTGGAACTGAGACAGAGGCTTCTGTATAATATTTCATCTATAGAACAGATAGAATGCAATCTGTGACATTGAATAAAGAATATAATTCTTATATCATACAACAGTTGAATATTCAAGTCTGTTGTTCTAATTTATCTTGTCATTACTCATGATCTGAATAAGAGGTTAGCAGAGTGTTGATTTCTCATTTAACAGCTCAATTATAAACAGATCAGTCAACTGCATCTCTTATCTGAACTACTCTCTCAGCAGTATATGATGACTCATGAGAAAGTCAGCTGCTGTATGAAAAAAAGACTCAACTGTATGTCTTTCATCTCTCTGTCATCTCTTTCAGTACTGATGTATAAAATTCATTATATTCAGCTCAGTATAGCTGTTCATTAGAGTGTCTACATCTCTGTTTACAAACTCTGTATATCTCTGTATATGCTCTATAGATCTATGAGTCTTTAATATATCATTCAAGATCTGATCAACTGAATGAGAATGGAAGTTCTTCTATCTGCTCTGCTATATATGATACAGATCAATAAAAACTGCTTAATACTGCTTGATCAGATCCTCTTCTATTGTCTGTACAATCTTTTCTCTCTCAGTATTTATATACTTTCTTTTGAGATAACTCTCTCTGAGTGAATAATTGAGAACTCTTTCATTAAAGAATCAGATTGTCTTCTACTCAGAGACAATCTGATCATCTGAAAACTTCTTTTCATTATATTATTTCTATTGTACAGATAGTGAAGATTGAGCAGCAGTGAGAAGTTAGTCTATCAAATTTCATCTCTCTTCATACACAGAAATAAAGAAGAAATAGAAACAAAATAAATCTATATATTACCATTCATTCATTCTGCTTCTCTGTGTATGCTATCTGTGTATTCTTTGATCTGCTTTGTCTGCTGATTCTCAGTACATTCTCTCTCTGTGCTATCATCTCTACAATAAGATTATGCTATAGCTGCTCTTATACAGCAGCTGCTTCAACAGCAGTATCAGCAGCAGAGATTATTATCAGTCTTTCTCACTTGTACAGAGATGCAAGAGTTTCAAAGTAGATGAATAAGAACAAGAATAGTTAAGAATAGAAATCAATACAAGAGCAGGGGGAGAAGAATACAGTAGTGGGGTGATAATTATTAAATACACATTCAGAGAGGGGCTGATACAGTCATCATATATAATATTACAGAAAAGTTACCTCTTTTATATGATCAAAGAAGATAGCTCACTGTACAGAACATGTATGGGTTATTCAGGGGCCTTGGCTGAACACCATAGAAACACATGTTTGAACACAGGCAAATCCACCTTCATATAACCACTAGTTATTATCTCCACTTACTATTTTCTTCTATTCACTCTTCACACTGTTATCACCCCTCATATAAAAGTAATGCCAGAACACCAAACATATTAATATTCGTATAAAGAAAGATGGCAATATTGAAGCTTCATGTTGTCAAAAAGCCAAATATCCACTTTCTGTACAGCCCTGGCACTGAATGGACGAGATCAACGAACATTGCTTCTGGATTAACTAGATCAAATAGATTATAAATTCCACTAAATACACTAATACAGCCGATCTCTCATATTGACCAGTAGTTTTCGTGTACCTTCTATGCTAATATGCACGCTAAAAATATGCTAATTGTGTCGGTGTATGATTCTTAGGGCCTGTTCCGTAGACCTGCACAAGTCCAGATTAGAGACCTCGCTTCGCTCCGTCTCATGGATGTGGAAGATACCTTGTAACTAGATATCTAGCGGGTAATGCCTTGTTTAAATAGGTGTGATCACATGACATTCTAGCGAGCGATCCATGGATATTGGTTGCCAACAACGCCCAAATGAAAAAACAAACAAATGCTCAGGATGGGGTGCGGTTCAAGCAAAGTGCAGCGCGACAATGACACTCCAAATACCAACTATGATAAACCTCGCACAGCACGCCATACAGCAACTCGTCCACGGTCACAACGAATAGGATCCCAAGGAAGGCTTGCCACAGGCACCGCGGCTGGAAATCGGGTTAGACCTCCACCTACACATCTAAAACCATACCAGAGTGATTATCCAAGAACACATTCGCGAGCGACACGTCCGAGATCTCAGTTTCAAACTGAATCGAGGGCCGGACAGTCGAGAGCAGGTACAAGTCGCCGCTCTCCTAAAGCACGGAGGAAAATCCCCAGCAGCCAACCGTCAACAGATGACGAGATTGAGGAGGTAATTAATTCGTTTAAACTGTTCATTGATGGGCACTCGATCAATTTCTATCGCACGCAATTCGACGACAGCGGGGCATCGATCCCCAGATATATTGCGCGGACCATCATATCCAATATTATAGAGAAACGCTTGGATGGTAAAGTAGAGCCCTTCGTTATTCTATGTTATTAACGTTCTTTCATTTCGGAAACTATCGCTTAAACATGACGTAGAAACTAGCGTTGCCCGGAACCTAAGCAACGCCCTCGAAAAGTACGCTGAGAATCCAGCAGACGGGAAGCGGACTAATCACCTCCTCGTTCTGTGTCGAATGGCGAGTGAGATAAGGAGCATGACAGACGGACATCCCGAAAGCTGGGTGTTCAATTGGGGCGAAAATGCCGATATCGTATTTCCTAGTGTGATGCGGGGAAAAGAAGAATATATGGAGGCAGACATGGGTACATAAGTTTTTTTCCTTTGGTAACATTTGTTGTCCCGCAGCCTCTTCGAATTTTGGCACTTCGGGTTTTCTGCTGTTCCCTTTTCTCGCTTTATTTTTTCTTTTTCTTTTTGAGATCATGTCAATCAGCCTTCAAGTAGTAAGAAATCCTTCTGCACTTCTCCAAAGTAGTCAGGCTCAGTTTATTTACAACAAATGATAGCTATATCCAGGTGATTTTTGTTTTCGAGAGCTCAATTTCACTATGAAGGCAATACCCGTAGCGCATACGCAAAAGGCGACCCACATAGATATGGTGCTAACAGATATATTGAGATATAAATCACGATGGGATCGACTACAACCTTTTAATCTCGCATACGGTCAGTGTTGTAGCGTTGCTGAAGAAGCCACGCGCCCAAATCCCCGGGATCGTAGTAACGCGGGGAGCCTGTAAAGGGGCTACTCGTGTAGGATAATGAAGAGAGGGGAGGAAATCCTTGTCGAGATTGCGAGATTGGGGGAGTGTATTGGATACCATTTGTGAACTCGTCTACTATATCCAAAAACAATCAGTTTCTGAGGGGTTAAACACAATGCATTTTAAAAGGCGATCGAACCTTTAGCCCAGGTGAGCGCTCTAGGTTGACTGTTTATATCAACTGGTGATCTTAAACGTGGATTCGGAAATGTTCTGAGTTCCACACCAAAACGATCCGTTGCCCAGGGCATTGTGCTCTCCAAGAAGGCCAATTCGGAGCGTATCTGCAATAGCGTGACATGGTATAGAAGAAGTGCAGTTAAGCACGTCTGCAATTTTGCTTTGTTTTTTAGGACCCAGCAGATGTCGTTGATCCGTCTTTTCCCCGCATTTTGGTCCTTGTTATCAGATATTATCTTCTGCGCCTTTTTCACCTCTCTACCAGTGCGGTCGATCTGGCGTTCGGTGAATCTTTTGCGTGAACGTGGTAGATGATCTTGAAGCTTCTCGAAATCGTATTTGACGCCGATAAGTAGGTCAGAAGTGCAACCTACAATATCATCCGCAGTTCGCATTTCTCCTTGTGCGCCAACCAGCCCATTTATATAATGGATTAAGTTGAGAAATGAAACAATAGGGCCCCACACTGCGAAGTCCGGCATGGTGGGCAAGAGAGGTGGTAGTTTGTAGTTGATGACCTTTTCGACAAAGAGAAAATTTTGCTCTTAATAAATGACATGTAAATAGAAAGCGAAGTTGTAATGATAGAAAAGTGGACAGTGAAGATCCCTTTTCATGGATCTTTAAAGACGCCCACCGTCCGGCACTTCATGGCTTTATAGTATGCCGTTTCATACGCTCATTCCGTAATTGGAACCACATGTAACACGCCTGTTTGGGATGCGGAAACCCAAGTGCTGGCTAGGCGTATATGGAGTCGACGAGACAACTGAGATCCGCTGAAGTTTTTCACAGTCGAAGAGGCTGTGTGTCCCCGGTGGACAGCCCCAGAGTATTGCATCGCCGCTTCGCTTCTTGGGTTTGTTGGTCGATGCGGAAACAGTGTTTAAAATTAAATTACATTTAGTGAAGCCTAGCGACTCTCCGCGCTTTGCTGAATGAATGAGGCTCAGTGATATATCGGTGGACACAGATGCAGACCTAGGCGGAGGTGTCGGGCACCCATAAACAGAATGAAACACGAATCATATGACAGGAATTGGAAATTGTTCAGTTTCAGATATCATGCACTGTAGCAGACTTGGCTATGGATCTTGCCTTTGGACATTCACAACACAAACCCACTCAAAGCGATACCGAATATATTTTGAGTGTCAATATCATATCGTTTTCCAAGTGGTTATCTATCTGTTGGCATTAAAACAGATTCCTGGCTTGGACAGGTGAACAATGAGAGGTTTGGAAAACGCCCGAAATCTTGGTGTCGGGCACTTGTCAAAAGGCGCAGTAATGTCCGGCAGAGTACTAGACCAATGAAAGAATATCAAGATGGATTGTCTGAGAGCGCGTTCCTGATTTGATATTACTAGCTATCAAACAACCATCAGCCTTGGATCTTAGTCAAGAATTAGGTATCTCAACACAATAACTCGATAAATACCTAAAGATAGCCAGGCTATCCGCGGAGCTGTTGCGAAACATTATCTGCATTCTACTTTAGAAGGTGAAAATACTTTGCTTTTCCGGTTGTCGAACGCCCGGGCTATCGCATCCATGGATACGCTCGGGCTTTCGTTATGGTTACAGACGGCAAAATCTGTGATAATGAAGCGCGTAGTTAACAGTCCGACCAGTCTCTGCAAGACTGCCACAATATGACCCGCCAAACGTTCCCGTCGACTCATCCGAAACCTGGGCCAGGTCCAACCCAGCGTCGGGTTGGATTCTGTTGGAGGGATTGGATTGGGTGATTGGTACCCTCGAAACCACCGCGGCGCTGGTGGTAATTGAGCTCTTTTGCCCTAGCGGCCTAATAGATTCGTGGTCTTAGCGCCGCGGTACGATGACGTGAGGCCTGATTAGCCTCATTAGTCAGAAGGCCATGTATGACGATTAATAATTCTATTTTTTTTTTCCCGAAGCGTTTGGAATAGACATTGGCATGCGCTAAACTTTCAAATTGATCTATAAGGAAGGATATGTCCTTGCAATTCTGTCTTTATGGTAAACTGACGATACATCTTGCGACACGCCTCTCACGCTTTAATGGATCGCATTGAATCTGCGGAGGCGGCGGCCCCTCCTGAATCTCGTCCCTCTCCAACGCCCGGTAATGTTAGAAATGCATCTCTAGCCGGGCGATCGCGAAGGCCGAGTATACGGGTGCTACGCTTCCCTTCTAGTTCTACAAACTCGGAGACGCTTCGAACCAACCCACAGAACGACAGCAACAGAGATAGACAAGATGTGCCTGAAATTACCACCCGCCGTCGAAGTAGCTCGGATCCCCGGCCATTTGTCAACCATGGGACTGATGTAGCTCCAGCTGTGGCAGGAGGCTTAACACTTATGCCTTCGTTGGTGGAGGAACAGTCAAATGAAGAGACTGTCCCGCAAGGAAGTGCGCTCTCGCCTCCGCGTGGTAATTTAGAGAGATTGCGGAGGACGAGCGCTGCTGCAATTTCTTCCCTGGGGTTAACTCGTGCTGCCACAGTCAGTGGACATGAAGTGGGCACAATTGAAGACCAAGTGGTTGATCTTCTCGACGTTATTGGTATGAGAAACACCTGTCCCGCAGGACTTTTTGGCGGCCGGAACTAACCGGTATGATGTGATAAAAAAAAGACCCTGAAATATCTACTCTCACCACCCTTACGAATGTTCAAAATTCCCTCTTCGTACCCGATCTTGGGCGGTTTTTAAACCGGAGACCATCATACCTGTTGACTCCTCGAACTGAAGGAGCCCCCAAACTGGAAGAACCTGAGAGTGATCGCGAAACACTGGAAGGAGAGGATACAGATATTTCAGAACGATTGCGTTTACAAAGCACTAGTTCAACAATGATCGATGAACTCTGTTTCGCGGTCTTGCCCGACGGAGAAACGCTGGCTGGTTGGAGTGAGGTAGATAAGCTAGAGCTCAACGATCATGTTAGACACATGCTTCATTCGCGGAGGTCTAAGTTCAAACGATCAATGAAGGGTTTTGGGCAATATGTCCGGAAACGTAGGTGAAACCGTTGTCTTCCCTGATGCGTAAGGTTGGCGCTCGGCTAACCATATTCCATGTGCAGCGCTTGGGTTTCTAGTCACGCTTTATGCGACACTGATTACCCTTTTTGGACTCGCATGGGTCTTGTTCCTGATAGGTGTGTGACGTAATTTCCAAAAATATTCTATGTCCACAATGTGTAAAGTCTCAGAACTAACGCAGTATTCCTTAAACTAGGATGGATCAATGTTGGCGGCCGTCAGCTTTATATTATCAACGTCATAGACAATGTCTTAGTCGCTCTATTTGCCGTAGTCGGAGACGGATTAGCCCCATTTCGTGCAATAGACACATACCATATGATTTTTGTCGCGCGCTACGCCCACATGACATGGCGTTTGCGCAAGGAAAAAGCACTTCCCAAACTACATAATAAAAATGACCTTCCGAAGAAAAGAATAGACGACGCAAACCAACAAATCGACATGGAGATGAGTGCCACGGACGAAGCTAGTGACGAAAAACCCAACGATGAAGCCGAACTGCAGGAATATTCCGTTCTCAACGCAAAACAGCAGAAGAGCCTTGAACACCACCAGAAGAAACTTTCGAGATCACACACATTTTACAAACCGCACGAAACAAGCACCCACACAGCCTTCCCCCTTCGCCTCTTGATTGCAATTGTCGTGCTGCTGGACTTCCACTCCATATTCCAGATAGCGTTGGGCGCATGCACATGGGGCATCTATTACAAGGTCCGCCCATTCGCCCTTACAACTGTAATTCTCTGCTGCTCGATTACGTGCAACGTAATGGGTGGTGTTTTGATTTGGGTTGGCGACCGTCGGTCGCGAAAGAAAGATGTTATTGAAAAAATGTTCCGGCAGGAGTTGACACAGGAGGCAATGAAGAAGGTAGATAAAAGAAGAAGAAAGGATAGAAAAAGAGAGAGTATGGATGAGAGACGGAAAGTATCACATGAGAGTGAAAAGCGGAGGATAGAAAGAAGCAGTTCCGACATGAGATTTTCCCCATAGAGTTTTTCTACGATCCATGATGGATGCAATGCGATATACACCTACACCAAGTTAGCATTTTATATATATATATATATAAAACGGGTACATGTAGCTGCTTTTGTGAATAGTTGCCTAGGAACATACAGGTTATTTTAAAATATCAATATTGTACTTTAATGTTTAAAAACATACCGTTTTTCAATGAGCTCATGAATATTGCTAGATAATCTCCATCTGTTCATTCCAATCCCTTGACTCAACTTCCTCGCCACAACGTAAATCCACAGCATTTGAACTAAGCAAGTGAACCAAACATAAATTGAAATTGAAACGGAATAATCAAACATCTCTTCACCCATCTCTGCGAGTAGGACAAATGAAACAAAGACCTTCCCGGACAGGAAAACAATAGCCATTCCATCTAACAAATAAATAAGTCATCCAATCCATTGATACAGAAGAAGAAAATATATGAGAATGAAGAATCACAAATGCATGGAGATATTGGTACAAAGGCGTCTATGAGAGAACATAAGCAGGGTGGTGGCAAACGAACTTTGGGTTTAAGAAAAAAAAAAGGATTCTGACCCGAACCAGGGATATATGGCATGACAAAGAAAAAAAAAAATCTATCAACGATTCCCAGGGGAGTGCTAAGAGGGTCAAGACTAACAAATGCGGGTTTCGAATGGAAAACAATTTGTGTGGCAATGACGAGAGAAAAACGCGGCAAAAGCAAATGTGGGAAATAAGGGGTATCTTGCTTATGGCTTCACAGCAGTAAATCGATATCGTGAGACGTAGCCTTCACTCAGTGAAACCTCGACGGTTAGGTCTTTGGGTATCATTTCGTGTTGCAAATCCCAACCAGCGCGGCGGCAGAGCTCGGAGACCACAACGTCGCATTCACCGAGCATGTCGATATCAAAATCAATATGTGACACCGGCTGTGAGGTAGGGAACGAGTTAGCTGGATTGTTAGGTGCTTGTCCTATGGTGATGCTTACGTCACGTGAAATTAAAATCTGAGGGACATCCCGAGGTAATATGCCTGGAACTTCGGCCACCGGTGCCACTTTCAGTGATGTCCCAATCACAATAACTAGGTCTGCCAGTTCGCGATCATGGTTTATCAGACGTTGCGAGAACGCGCTCGGAAGATCTTCACCGAAGAATGTGATATCAGGCTGCTTGATTGTTAGGAAGTATCAAAAAAGGTTTCATTAATGGCAGTGTATTAACAATAACGTACCTTCATCACGCCAGGGGTGGGGATTTCATAGTCTTCGCCCTCTGAGCTATCGTCAAAATCCTCCCTTTTACGACTTTTTTTTATGGACCCATTTGAACTGCGCTTTCTTTTCATCCCGCACGGCTGAGCTGCGAGTAGGTCTTTGCAAGCAGCACATTCAGGAAGTGCTCCCTTTCGGACATGTTCGAAAATTTGCTCACCGGGGACCTGGTACTTGCACTTGATGCAGGATGCTGTCGCGAAAGAGCCATGGCATTGGATTAAATTCTCAGGCAAAATCCCCGCATTTGCTTCCAGGTTGTCAATATTTTGAGTGAAGTTCGTCAGTAGCTTTCCTTTATCCTGAAGAAGTCGGATAAATGCATGAGTTGGAGAAAAAATTTTCTCCTTCGGAAGGATGTCCTTCGCAATAGAGAAGAAAATTTTGGGGTCCTCGTGGAATAGGCGTATATCGAAAACTTCTTGAGGGTCGGTCAATCCCAGATACTCTAACTTAGAATATAAGCCGGTATCTTTCGAACGAAAGTCAGGAATACCGAGACTAGTGGATATCTAGAAATCTGGATATCAGTATGGTTTTATTTTTCTTCCCATGGCAACTTTATCAGTGTGCTTACGCCGGCGCCAGTTAAGACGATAATATTCTTTGATTTTTTTAGCAGCTCAACCGCATCATCGATAGTATTGTACTGTGATAGCTTAACGCGTCTTGAGTATTCGCGTGCAATTCCTATAATAAGCAAGGTATGATAAGCCCTGTCTGGAGCACCTTCAAGAAATGTGGGCGGCATGATCCCGAAGGCAGTGCAGAGTTTCCTGGCAGTAATGGTCCCCTGCCCTATTGTCTCTTCAATGAAAGCAGCCTTTCCGATTTCGTGAAGGCGCCCACGAAAGGCAGCGGCCTCCTCTGGCGTACACGCATCTGGAACTGGATCATTATTTTATCAGTCAGTGCTTTGATTTCCTGGAAAGAGAACGCCAGTTAAAGGGCGCATTTGGCCCCAAAAAACAAAAAGACAAAAAAAACCCTAAAAAAAAGGACAATGAAAAAAAAACAGTTTCCCTTACCGTCGTGTAGCTGGTCATCGCGGACAAACTGTAATGAATCTTCATAAAGTGACTCAGTCTCCCAGTTATCATCAGAGTCTTCAGAATCCCCCGAAGCGCCAGAATCGCCGTCCTCCGTGTCGAACTCGGGGTTTGACACGTCCTCGCTGACATCAGGCGCGCCTGCTGATATCACTCCGTTCTCCGTAGCGACATCGACCACCTTCACCACGGCAGATTTCAAGGGAAGCTCCTCTTTCGCCAGCACCGGCGCGACATCCATCTCGACAAGAAGGACGACGAGACCCAACCAGAAGTAAGCTCCGCTCCGGTAGCTTACATTGGTGGAGGTTGTTGTGAGAAGGCCGTCGTGTGTCGCAGTTTGACCATGAAAAGTATTAATAATACCAATATTTCCGAGGTGTTCGGAAGTTTATGATAATCCGGCCAGGAACAAAGGGGCCACAGCGGATATGGAAATAAAACACTCCTTGCTATCTTTACAGAATCCATTTAATTTTCATGAAGCCAGTTCGTTTATATATATGTATCTCTAGTCGTTTCCATCATCCTACCATGCGAAAACATAACCAAACCCATTTCTGCTCTAATTGGTATCATAGATAGAATACGGACACGAGGATACTACCAGAGCAGTTTCCTCGCTTCTCTGCATTACTCCTTTCTCTTAATGCCCTTTCATGAGTCCGTCATTTTCTGATCTTCGTCTTTGCCATTATCATTGTCATCATCTAAACCGTCGCTTTCATCTTCCCACTCTCCGTCCACGTCTTCGCCATCATCGGTATCGTCACCATCCTCGCCCAGCTGATTCTGGAGATCTTGGACGAGTTCCTCAGCATGTTCCTTCAGCTTCAAATCCTCATACTCAACTAGTTCGTAAAGCTTTAAGCTCTGTTTTAGCCAGCTCCTGCTGGAACGTAATGTAGCTTGTCGGAGTTCCGATTCTGATAGGCCGTCCTTATTGGCGGGAAGCTTTTCGCCCTTCCCGAGCAAATATTGACACCACCCGCCTAAATACCACATCTCAACGCTATGATCGTCTTCAAGAGCCATTCTTTCTAACACTTCAAGCGCTTCAATTTCCATCCGGACTTCCATTAATAATCTAGCAAGACTTATCCGTGTGGGGAAGTCTGGCACCAAGGGGCTTTCCGGTGGTAAGTCTTTCCATAATTGAAGGCTTCTTGACAGCGCAGCCCGGGCGTCGTCTTGTCGGAGTTGTGATATCCTAACCGAAGCCAATGTTTGCAAGCATTCCGGGGAATCGGGGGCTACCAAAAGAGCCTCTGTAACCAATGCTTCGCATCGAGCTTCCGCATCCTCTTCCCATCTGGTTTAGAAGGTTCACTTCAGCATTGGCATTTTATTTTTTAATGAATTTTGCGTACAATAGGAAACTCACGATAGATCGGTCATGTATATTTCTACCACTCCACATAAAGCATGTGCCAACTTTTTCTTCTGCTCTTGCACAGCCAACCCATCATCCAGTTTGCGGCTCTGCTCTAACGATTGTATGTTCCGTCTCAAACTTGCGACTCCCTTTTCGAACCAGCTTACACTATCCTTGCCACCAGTTTCGCTCAATTGCGCAAGCCATAAAAATTTCTCTGCACCTCCTCCTTCCGATTCAGGAATTTCTCCGTTCGGATCTAGAGCAACGGCTTGCATGAATTGTTGTCGCGCCGCATCGATTTCTCCTAATTCAACATATATTTCGCCGATCAAGTTCAGACCTATTAACACAGCAGGTGATCCGGCTGAAGCTATATCTAACCCGCGTTGTGCAAGAGGGAGAGCGGCTTCCGGTTGCCCTGTTTGGAGGAAAATGGTGGCTTGGTCGAAAAAAATTGCCGGATCTTCATTCATTTTCCTCCAGGTAGATCTGCTGCCATCACGAAGGCCAGATTTTGCTCTTTTCTTTGAAGATTTGTTGGGGGGCCGCGTTTTGGCCATATGGGATATATTGACTATATATCCTAGTGACGGAGTAAATAGCGGGACAGAAGTGATCAGGTAATTATTGTTTGACGTAATTGACTGCCAAAAAGTAAATCTTGTATGCGACCGAGAAATAGTATTTATATTTTTTCAAAAAAAAAATGTTTGTTTTGTTTGCATGTGAGACGGGGAAACTTGATCTCATCAAGAAAGGCCTTGGGCTAAGTGCACAGTTAAAGAAAGTATCCTCACCGTCCGTGTTAAAAAATAAATTCGGAATTCGTCCTGAGTCGCACATTTCAGAGACATTGCCTGTTAACACCACCAGCAACTCACGTTTGATCGTTTTGACATATTACTCTGGAAAAGGGCATTGAACCCCGTTTTACCCCTCTTGCAAGCTTCGCGCTTGAAGCAAAAGCATCATGGGAATCGAAGATCAGCAAGAAGAAAGGGAGACGCTCAGGTCTATTTTTCCAGACGAAATCACAGGTGATTATTTCAATACAATCGCCTTTTTGTTCCCAAGGTCTTGTTACGCTCGTAACTAATACCTACAGATATATCTGATACCACATATCGAATATCAATAACATTGGATGTTACCCCCCAGGGAGACGATGATCAAGAGCCTCCCACCCTCATCCTTCAAGTTTCATACCCGCCACAATATCCAGACGTTGCTCCAGATCTCGAACTCTCCACGCCGCCTAATGCACCCAAACACACCCACTTTGATATACAAGAAGACCGTGACCGGCTCCTGGAGTCGCTGCAGTCCACCATTGAGGAAAACATGGGAATGGCGATGATATTTACTATTGTTGATACGTTAAAGGAGGGTGCCGAGCTTCTTATATCCGAACGACAAGCAGCCGTCCAAGCATTGAAGGAAATGGAGTCTGCCAAGGCAGAAGAAGAAGAGAATCGTAAATTTCATGGCGCGGCTGTGACGCGGGAGTCATTTCTGGAGTGGAGAGCTAGATTCCAGAACGAGATGGAAGAACTAGAACGAAGGAAGCAGGAAGAAAAGGAAGCAGATGACAAGAAGAGGAAGGTTACTAGCAAGGAGGAGAAAAAACTTACTGGGAAGGAATTGTGGGAGAAAGGCCTAGCTGGTAAGGTGGATTATGATGAGGACTATGTTGATTCTATACCAGCCAGTATGGAAAAACTGGAATTGGTATCGTAACGTTTAACTTTTGATATTTTCCTTTATACTATACAAGTCTACTAGATGTTGAGTTGGCATCATGGCCCTTGCAAGTTTGCGGTATTAGGTGAAGAATATCCCCCGTAGCCCAAGGGCAAATAACAAACTCCCGGACCTATTCTTTTCTCCGGTTGCAAGGCGATATGCGCGAAAGTCATTAATCGTGATGTTACTGCATTCGCAAAGTTCCGAAGGTCTTTCTGAATGCTTGTGTTTTTCTTCTTTATTTCGCCCTGCAGGAACTGATGATGCACTGTTGCATGGTCTGCATAAGTTGTACCAAATCTTCTTCTATGTACCTTAATTCGACGTTTGCGGCGAACTATATAGCTTAAGCAGAAGTCTCTGCTTTAAGATCGGGTTTCTACGATTCTCTGAATATTAGCCGTTACAACCAAGCCTTGGGTTTGGATGGTTTAAATCCCTTCCAACATACCGGCTATGTATCTCGCGACATCCACACTAACTTGCTGAAGTACCCAGATGAGAGGTATCTCACTACAAGGGGCGAGCCTACACATATAGAGTACAATATACACCTTCTCAGCATCACCGTTAGGGGCGCTTGTCATGTTTTTCAGCTGCAATATCTTCCTTGCTCCCTTCAGCAGCGATACCCTTCACTTCATGCTTAGATCCGCGAACCGCTGCAACCCCACTGACAGATTCTGTCTGTGCTAGCTGCTGAATTCTGAATTCCTCCTTCTCCTTTTCCGCAAGCTCCCGTTCCTTCAGAACGACCTCCCACATCTTCTGCGCAAGCTCTTTATTTTTCTGATCCTCATGCTGTATTGTTTTGATAGTATAATCAAGACACTCGGCAACAGTTGTCTCCCAGCGGCCATCGTTGTTTTGATCCACGATAGCATCCCACTTGTCCTCTTGCTGCGCGAGGTAAACATCATCTTCCAACTTGTCCCGACGAAGGATCTTCTTCCACCGTGCGCCTAATTTACTCCTCAAGACGCGACTCAAACTCGGAGGCTCTGGCTTTTTGATTCGAAGGAATGGAATCCCACGGGCATCGACAAGTACGGGAACACGGCGAGGCCCATTGATATGCGCCCTTGGGCGTGATAAAATCGGTTCAGTATCAGGGTGTGGACGGAGAGCTTCCGGACGCCTCCTTGCTCTGCCTTCGGCTCTTTTCCTTAGCGCGTGCGTGTTGCGGTTCTCCGGACGGTGTTGGGCAGCTTGGATTTCCCGGTTCCTGTGGATATTGGTTTTGAGATCGAAAGCGCGCTGAACGATTGATTCAAGCCGGTCAATGCTCTCTGGGTTTGCCTGGGTGCACGAATGGAGTAAATCCAATGCCTTGCGTAACATAAGTTAGCATGTAAGTGAGGTAGAACTGGTTAGGTACTGGATGGTGGTGTTAACCTCATAGCCGGCCTTCAAAGCGTTGGCGATCTGGCTGGGACTTTGCAGGGCTTTATATTTGTGAAAGTTAGATTTTATTAGGCCCTGTATTTCCGCAGGTTGGAGTTGAATTAAGTGCAGGCGGGCGGATTGAGACAAGAGAGCGTGGTAGAGTGAAAGACCTGGAAAGATTATGAGTTGGATGATTCAAGCACATATACAGGGTAAGGAAAACCTACATGCTAGTCTATGGGCGCCCGAGCTCTTGGGTAACAGAAACCTCGGCATTCGAATAAAAACAATCGAATTCTTCGTTAGCTTTGCTTCAACATCCTCTGGAATTTTTAACCCCACAGTTTTTCATTCTAAAGTTGGAACTGAGATCCTGGATGGATGCCTGGGTAGCTTTTAAATCACGTGATCGGTTTTCCCTACAACCACATTTGCATGGTATAAACGGAAAGGCTTTGCATGGGAACAATCGCTTATAGATTTGCGGAAGAGAAAATGGCATGTTCGCATTCCATAAACTAGAAGTTTATGTCCGGTCATATTTGGTTACGCTAAAGTCTGCCCCTAAAATGATCATAAAACATATGAAAGGCTAAATGCATGCAAAGAAGGAAAACAACAACCTCAAAGCAATGCTCCCGTCGCGTCATAATGGGAGCCATCTTCAAAAATAGCCACTTAAAAGTTAGATCCTTCCGGGGGCTGAGGGATTTTCTTGTTTTCCGGTAGAGCCATGAATCTACAAGGAGTTAGTAAGCACGGATATCCCGCGGCATCTCTTTATAGCATTTTGCTTGCCTTCTAATCTCAAGCAGAATGGTCTCCATCGTAAACTCTCTCTTCCATATAGCAAGTCGGGGTAGCTTCGTCAGATCGACCTAGTGAGCATCAGCATCACACACTCCGTCAGACGGATTTTCTAAGAGGGGATAACCACATACTTTACCGTTTCGCGGATCGACGCAGGGAAGGTTCACCTTGGAAACGAAGTGGATAGTTGGCGGAAGATCGGGATAATTTTCACCACATTTAATATTGACGCTATATATCCGGTTCTCATGCACACTCTATTTCACAAAATGTTAAGCTGAGCTGCCAGTAATACCTGTGGTGAGGAGAATTGGGCGCACATGAGGGGGACCTAGAATTGTTCCATTCCAATTCGTCATTGTTACGTCGTCCCCGTTGGCAAGGCCATAGGAACATGCTTCTATTAATCGAGAGATTGAACATAATGAGCATGAGAGATGTAATGATTTTACCTGGTGGACCATACATACCTGCCCCGCGTCCTTTTTCGCCATTCTCAAGCTCTTCTAGTAAACGGAAGCTCCGAGGAACCACGGCTGCCATCTCGAGGAAACCTTTCAAAAAAATTGGTGAAGGTAAAGTTGCAATATCACAGTAGAGAATATGGCATTAAAGAGGGGTTGCATGTGTCGCGCATGTCCGTTCGTCTATAACGCTTAGTGATTAAGCGCGAGGCACGTGCTGCGTCATATCATGTGACTCTAGCGCCATTACGCAGATAGCTAGCCGCGGAAGTGAGTCCTAAATGCCACTGTACAACATCAACACCAAGCATCCTTAACCTGGTTTCCACGGTATCTAGATGTCTGCAGGCTTGAAGTGCCTTGCATTGTTGAACTAGTTCTAGCTATTCGCTCTTCGCTGATGCCGTATGTGGCCTGGTCTCGCACTCCTCTCTACTAAGAGCTGGGTTGCTTCTGGAGTTGCGAGAAATCGCGCCTGATAACACTGAGCGCAATTTGATATCTGACATGACATCCCATATCCTGCAGACGGAGCTCTCAAATTTGATACAAGAGTCGAAACGGAAGAATTCAAATCTAAAAAATGTAAAACTACCTTCCATACTTCCAAAATGAAAATTTGCTCACACTAGATTTGCAGGCAGCTGAGCAGTCCCTAGTGGATCTCAAGGGGTTACCATCAACTTCGGAAGCCCAACTAGCAGCAGGTTTGCTTAAAATCAAAAAAATACAGATTTATTCCTATTAACTAACGTTTCAAGAGATTTAATTCGGAAACCCCATTTTGTAAAGCCATTTGTGATTGCTTGTCAAACTAACCATGGTCGGCTTGCGGCAATCGGGGTGGTCGGCATCCAGAGATTGGTGGCATCCCGGGCACTACCGCCAGAGGGTCTCAGAGATGTACTTGATGGGCTTCATCAAACAACGAACCTAGGTTACTAGTCTTTTCTCTTAGTTGGTAGCTGTTATACTGATGCTAATGACTTGACAGGGCTCGATGTCCAACTTAAGGTTCTTCAAACTCTCGGCGCGCTATTTCAGTATTATGCGATTGAGTTGAATGGACCGCTCCTCGCAAATACGTTGGAAATATGTGCCACACTCCAGAATAGTAAGACGTCGTCTGTTGCGAATACAGCGGCCGCTACAATGCAGCAGCTTGTGGTTTCTATTTTCGACAAGGTTTCAAAAACGGATGGTATGTCAGCTGGCCGTTTGCTCTATCTGGTTTCGATATTAATTTATATCGTATTGACACTGTCACAGCGATGCCAGATTCCGTTCTCAGCTTTCCTGTAACAGTATACGACCAGCAGATCCATTTAACTTCCGCCAGCTATGATGCTTTGAGGGTAAATTATAATTTACAAGTTGGAAAATACGAGCTTCGTTACTAACCTTCATCCTAGATTTTGGATGATCTCTGTCGCTTGGTTGAAGGAGAAAAGTTAGAATTTCTCAACATCAAATCTCTTTCCAAGATTTTCGTCCTCGAATTGATCGAGAGTATCCTGGTCAACAACGGTCATATCTTTGCCAAACATCCAGAACAAGTTCTCGTTCTTCGTAACCGGCTGATGCCGTTGACCGTGAAACATTTTTCTGGGCGGTATAGTTTTCCTCTAACGGTTCGTGTGGCTAGGATATTGCTCCTTTTACTCAGGGAGTATCTACTCCAATTAGTCACAGAATGCGAAATGGCACTAGGGCTTCTAATCCATTTACTTGACGCTGATGCGGCAGTGCCCTGGAAACGTGTTCTTTGCATGGAAATCTTCAGGGGATTATATTCCGACTCCGGACTTATCAGACTTATTTACATATTGTTCGATACTGAAGAAGGTCGCAGAAATATCGTCTGCGATCATATGGCTTGCTTGGTGAAGCTGGCATCCGAAAAGCCATACCTTATCGGTGTCAGTCACCGATCAACCTTGCCAACGGGTCCATCAAACTCAAGAAATATGATGGATGAACAAGTCACCCTTGAGGCTGTTTCTGTCGCTGGCGTTATCGGAAGCCCCACAACAAAGGAAAGCACGTGTGGTATCAGCAGCCAGTGGAGCCTTGTTCGGACGCCATACCTCGAAACGTTAGATAAGATCGATGCTCCAATACTCCCTGAGACATATATTTACAGTCTTGCCCTCAACTGTATCAGTACGCTATCGGAGAGTATTGCTAAATTTATCCTTCCGTTGACCGCTTCTGAATCTAAAAGCAAACGGAAGCACCGAGCCTCGATATCGAATAAAGCAGGGGACGAATCTGCACTTCAGCGTAAAAACTCCGGCAGAGCCTCGAATAAACTATCTGTTCCTATAAACCCGTTGGATCTCAAGTCACATCCTCAAATCAATGACATCCAGGCTATCACGAGCATGATCGACACCTGCTGGCCTGCCATTCTAGCCACATGTTCTACCTTTCTATATGCCGCGTTAGATGGTGAATTTTATCACAACCTTGTCCGATCTTTCCAGAAGCTAACCCATGTTGCTGGACTCCTGAGGTTATCTACACCACGAGATGCTTTTCTCACTACGCTAGGGAAGGCCGCTGTTCCAGCCGACCTTAGTAACTTCACCGTGTCACTAAATTCTCCTGGTATAGACTCCCAGGATGCTCTCGCTACCGAATCATCTATGCCCAAGTCCACAATAGCCGCCGACGCGTTGGCTTCGACGGCTGATAAAACTCCTACTGCTCTCAGCACTCGTAATTTACTATGCCTACGAGCTTTACTTAACCTAGGAATCGCGCTAGGACCAACCCTGGATCAAGCTGCCTGGTTGATAATTCTTGAAACGCTTCAGCATGCAGAGCTAATACTAAACGTTTCGACCATGGCTACCCCGAAGCCTGCGTCTATGAACAAATGGAGCGACAGGAATACACCCCTCACCCCGGAGCCTTCCAAGGCCAACCTTGGTGCCGAGATAATAGCTGTTGAAGCAGCAGCAGCTAAAATGTTCGAGAGCACTGGAGAGTATCCTAGTACTTCGTTCAAGAGCCTTTTGTCTGCTCTTTTAAGCCTCTCTGAAAAGACTGATAGGGGTATACCAGATGTTAGCTCTGGAAAACATCCGGTACCATCGCAATTCACCCCGTCTTCTAAGGCACTGGGGCGTATACATCAGAACAAACGCAGTATTTCTATTGCTTTGGGAAAGTCGAGGATCCAGGATGACGAGTTGAAATTCGTCTTAGCCAAAGTGAACGATTTGGCAAAGTCCAACCTCGAACGACTAGCTCTCCCCGACGATGAGGAAGGAATTTGGCGCATTTTAGTAGGGGATCTCGTCTCAATTACTCAAAATACTCAAATCAATCAATCTCTACGTTCAAATGCAAGCCATGTTCTTGACAACATTGTGTTCCACTCCATCAAACTGGGAAACTCCGATGACCCGGGCATTAGGAACCAGGTCCAACTTCGTGGATTGCGCGCCTTGAAAACCCAGATCTCGACATTATATGACTGTAGTTCGAACTCAAATTCTTCTCAGCGTGCGTCCGATTTTGAAATACATGAGATTGCTCTTGAGGCTCTAAAATCAATTCTTGAAGAGTGTGGAGAATCATTGATTGCTGGATGGGATTTGGTTTTTGACTTGATATCAAGTGTATTTGATGACCTCAGGTGTATTTCAAAGAATGGGGACGAATGCGCCTCGTTTAACAATGTTCACAAGCCTAGGGGAAATTTAACCGTCAAGTCCGCAAGACTCGTCAGAACAGCATACAGCTCGTTGCAGCTTGTCGCTTCCGATTTCCTTAGTTTGCTATCGTCCTCTTGCCTCTTAGAGCTAGTGAAGGCATTTTCAAGCTTTGCGTCACAAGTGGAAGATTTCAACATATCTCTCACTTCCACGACCTCGTTTTGGAACCTTTCTGATTTTCTTCGCAGCCAGGTCGACAAATTTTCCATCGAAAGTCATATTGAGGTCTCTTCTAGCGAGGAGACATTGACCGAATTAGCTAAATCCTCCGATCTCTTGATTTCGAGGAACTCATTATGGTTAGTTCTTCTGTTACGCATTGCCGATTTAAGCACAGATAGCCGCTCAGAGATTCGTAATGCTGCAATCCAGACCGCACTGCGCATTTTTGACGCGTATGGCCAACAGCTCCCACCAAAAGCTTGGCATTTGTGTTTGAATAAGGTTCTCTTTGTTATGACAGAGTCGGTTCAAAAGGAAGTTTTGATGGCGCGACAGACCTCAGAACCCCTTGATTCAAACGAGATGAAGACATGGATAGAAACAGCTGTGATTTTGACTAAAGGATTGTCTAATTTAATTGCTGGGTACTTCGACACTATCGCACAGGATGAGGGATTTTCTCAATCGTGGAAGCGACTCCTAGATTACCTCGAAGCTATTATCAAAATTAGAGTCCTCGAGTTGGACGAAGCTGTCTTTTCCAGTTTTTCAGAAGTCCTCTCACGAATTCGTGGCTACAATGATATCAAAATGGAATCTTTGGAGTCTGCGTGGGCTGTCTGGGTTAATGGTCACCCAATTGCGCTAGATGAACAGCCCGATTTGGATGTGCAAAATCAAGATGCGTTGCTAGCCTATCTAAAGTCTTTTAAGCAACTCTACCGACTCCTGAAGGACATATTGACCGACACACAAATTTGTCAAGTGCTTGAAAATCTACAAATTTCTGTTTGGAGGTCTGTGTCCTCACGCTACACCCGAGATGTCGACCACCAGTCAGAACTGCAGTCACTTACTATGGAATCCTTGAAGACAATATGTCTGGAAAAAACGTCTTCTCAACCGGCCTTAGTTACTTGTCTTGCAGAGTTTTCTGATTGCGCGTTGACGAAATGGTCAGCTGGCCAAGATAATAGAAAACCAACATTTGTGGCATTCTCGAAGTCTGCGATGCGACTTCTTGGATGGTATGTTGCAGAACATGGCATTCTCACCGACATCTTCTCGAATGGTATTTTGACGAGGGCGCTTGAGCACCTCTCGAACCAAATAGCTCATAAATATAAGTGGAATGGAAGCGACCACGACCCCGCTCTCTGGCGGGTGGCGACCTCCGTTTCCCTTGATATCCTCCAGGTTGCCGTTCCCTACGTTGAGAATGAACAATCTAATTCCAGCAAAAAAGAGCTTGTTGATTTTTGGAACTGCGTTGTTGACATCTCGAGAGGGATTGTTTCTGCGTTCGACTACAAGAAATCGAATATTCAATCCAGAGTAATTTGCGAAGATGAAGAATTTGATGTAACAGCATTCACCCGCCTCCGTGACATAGTAATACCATCACTCGGGTCACCTTTAATCCCTGATAAAACGAGACGACAATTCGCCTGCGCGCTTTTCAGCTCATCTTTTGTCTATCCAATACAGCATTCCGATCTACCGAGCGCGACGCTTGAAAAAGAGCCGCTGCTGGATTTATATAAAATTCGTATGGGACGCACATACGACCCGCCTCCCACTCTCCGATCAAAAATGGCCTTCTTAATGATCGACTCGTTGTTTGACCTTGCAGCAACACATTCCAGCAAATCACCTTCCCACAAAGCTCGGGTATTGGCACATCCGTCGAAACTAGCACCTCAGGATGCAGAAAACCCATATGTAATCCTCGCGAAATCCGCATCCCCATATCTAATTCTCCGTTGCGCAATATCTCTAAAATCCTATATCGCCGACCAACCGCTGCGCGGACTCATGCCCCAACCAACCCCGGCGCAGAAGGAATTGTTATATCTACTCCATCGGCTCGTCGAGCTCAGAAGCGAACCGGCTGCGATCCCCGATGCGGGTCCTGTTGCACCACTAGGAGGTGGAAAAGGTAGTAATAATTCAGGGATGTACAAGAAGCATCTTGGTTGGGTGTATCCTTTCGTGGTGAGGGCGACGGGTGTTGCTGGGAAGGAGAGGGATGATAATAGAGTTTTAGATGCGTTGCAGAAGGTATTGGTGAACCTCTCGGGAGATGGACTGGGTGGCCATGATGAAAATGATGAGGCAGACGCAGGGGATGATGATTGATTTACCGATTGGATCCAACATACAATCCTAAACAAGGGTGCTATTTAAACAGTATTTTTTTTCTGCAACTGTTATCCCATCTATTTTGTATAATATCATTTCTCTTGTTTTACCGTCTTTGAAGTTATGCTTTCTCCGTCGTCATGGGATTGTATAAAATTCCATTCAGGCATCGATACCCGCTTCTGCCCTGCTAGCACGCATGGATCATCGTCTATGATTTATATTAGTGGCACTAGCAACATTATCGCATGGACAATTAAATTGGAACGTGGTTAAAGGGCTCTTTTAGACGCCTTCCATTGTAATACCATTTTTTTTAAAAAAAAATAAAAAATAAAAAAAGGTATGATAATATAAACAAACCACGGTGTAGTAATTCGTGATAAACAGTATGATTGTCCATACAAATGGAAACTAACAAATAAAAGACCAAAGACCACGAAACCAAAGCGCCAGTCGATCAAGCCGTTATCGTGCACTCTTTAACAGTCCTTGCGCCCGCTTCATTCTCGTTTCTTTCCGCCCACCTTCATAATTACGCCTGGGCCGCGACTTGCTGCTTTCCAAACGACGCCGTCTGCATGTCTTTTGTTGGGCCTGCTGAGGTAGTAGGCTCACCTTGGAGCTGTTGCTGTTGAGCAATTTGCTGCTGGGCAACCTCAGGGGTCAAGCCGATTTCAGGAGCTTGACGGTAAAGAACGATTTCAGATTGCTTGAAATATCGACGTGCATCTAGAAAAATTCCTTGTTAGCAATTTTATACAGCGATACATTTTTCCTTCCCTTGATTATGTGCACAGGGATGGCAGCGCTGAGACTAAATAACCGGAGGTCATATTTGTTGGATCCCGGTAATATATTTTGCAACAGGGATAGAAGGGATATGGAGAAAATAACTGGCTGCGTGGGAAGCGAGGGAGAGGAATCTTTAGCGTGGGTGCGGATGAAACCACTAGACGTGGGGGTCATATTGGAGCCAACAGGTCCAAATGACTGGCAACAACCAATTGCATCATTTAAGTGTGCTGTGAAGAGCATATTTTCAATAGCCAATGACAAAATGTTTCCACCAAAGGCAGGGATAGGGACAGTTGGTTGAAACCCATGTTCCAAATTGGCAAAACTAAAAGCAATCCAAGCATCAACTCGAAACCCACCTTCGTCTATGAGCACCAAGCTTAGGTAGTATCGGGTAGAATACTTCTTATTCACATCGCGGAAAGTTGGGGTCAAATCAAAACCACCCAAGAACAACCGGATGGGTATCGTTTCTCCTATTCGTGCGGCAATAATAGATGTTAGCCTAATCTGAATGATATGTAGTGGCATTTCAACAACGGAAGGAAATTATTGTGGACTACATCCACCGGAAGAGGATTGTCTGACAAACCTCTTGATGGGGAGCCGTCCATAATCTACAAACAAGGGGGTTGTTAGCAAATGTCACATTTTCGGCAGGCTTTCCGCAGTGGAATATCAAGCTGAAGCAACAACCCCATTTAGGAAAAACATAATTGTAAAGTACCTCAAACCGCACCAGCGTCTCGCTTTCATTGTACTGATTCGGTGGCGATCCAGTTGTTTCGCGGCGGATAATCGATAATTCCATGTGTTTTATTTTCAGCCTCACAAGCAAGAAGTATATTCTCCCCACAATAACATCTTTGAGATGGTACTTGGATTTTGAATACTCGAATTCGATGTGTAAACAATCTTCAATCCCCACGTCCATTTTGATAGGGCTATTTGTCTCAGGAGGCATGCGGTATGAATAAACCCATATATCCTTCTCCCGCACAACATCCGCTATCCGCCGCGAAACCGTCACCCTGACGAAGTATCGCAGTTTGACATTGATGCCGTTGTAAGATTCATATTGCTTTTCGACGTTTTTGAAGTTGAAAGGGAAGGTTTGCGGGTGTTGTAGCTCGCCAGGGGCAGCAAGCTCTTGACCAAAAGAGAGGAATTCGTAGTGGTTTCCTCGATCGAAAAACATCTCTAAGCGGCTCTCATTGCGTTAGATGGAATTCACATTAGACGGATATTAAAGGGAGAAGGATTGACGCTTTCTCTATACCGATTGTTCCGATGAATTGGACCTTAATTCCCGTATGCTCCAATCGCTTCCCATCCTTAGGCCGCACTGTTACTGCCCCCTTCACGGACTCACCATCCATGTACAACGGCGCCTTTTCCCTCCTGTTCTTATCCAGCTTGATGTCGACGGTTTCTCGTTCGTCGCTATCCTCCAGAACGATGTCGATATCGACTGGGGTGGAAAAGAAGAACGACGACATGGCGTCGGAGGAGGGACAATGGGGATATGGGTTAACTTCGCAGGGTATTGCCAGATATTATGAGCGCAACTATCATTCAACTGCCAGTTAGCTGTATCTGTCACTGTATTCGGTGTCATTAACGCGGATAGTTTATGTATGTCGTTTATGCTGCGGCTTCAATAAAGCTTATCCGTGAGATACTGTAGTTAACTAGTTAGTTATCCATCTGCCTGCGTGATTATCTAACGCGATCAACCACCCTTTTGAACTCCATTCTCTCATACCAAAAGGAGATTCTAAATAGGAATAGTAATCATATTTTTTTTTTCTTATTCGTAATTTACAATCTCCTAGACATTTTATATATCTCATAAGAAGTATATAAGAATTGACTAAAAATTAAACGCATAATACACAATGTAAAATTAAGATACTATCTTGTATAAATTTACATGCATTCGTATTCATATTACTAGTGTTTTAAGATTGATTTATATGAGAAAAAACCATACGTTTGTAATATATCGATAATTTCATTAATATATGTGATAGCTCTATTATTCTTAAATTTTAAATACAAAATAAATATTTATTTTTCTATTTCGTATTAGCTTTTGTATAAAATTGTAGTGTACTTTCTTTGATAACAATACTGAGTCTGCAATCTTCATACACTCATATAAATTCATGCGTACTAGTAATTTTTGAAGAATTGAACTTCTAATACACTTCTTCAATATTTTTCAATGAAAATGAAACGTATGATATTATATATCTTCTAGCTTATGAATTACACTGTATATACCAATTATAGAGTGTATATGCGCTGAGATATTTACTCAGAAACCGAACTCTTCAAGTCCTACGAAATGGAGTAAGTAGGGCGGCGGATCACGTTAAACCACCAGCTAAAATGGCTAGGGAGGAGATTAACTAGCACCTTCAGCATCGACAGCACGACCCGTAGTCTCTCTAGGTATCTATTTGGGATACGGGTCAAGCAATCTACAGCTCTGCGTTTCTGGGTGTGAAACTGGTTGCACCTCGGAATTTCTCCTCCCGTTCGCTCGCCTACAGGATTAATGCAAAATCATAGTTATGTTGATAAAATTAGTCCAAATGTCATCCAACATGCGCTCAGCATACAGCTGAGAAAACAGGTTGCTGGCCGCGCTGGTTTTCACGCTGTCTCCGCGAAAATACCTATCCAGCTGGATGCCAATTCCTGGTGGGACATTCCAGCTTTTTGTTGGTAATGGTTCCTCTGGCAGATTTGATATTATCGGGGTCATTCTAAAGGCGGAATGCACATTTGAAAAAACAAAGACAGCCCTCGACATTAGCCATGAATTAACGAACTCATTCTTGAGTCATTTTCTAACAGAAATAAAAAGCAAAATTGGAATCAAGGGAACTTGCCCCGTCCGCGGGTTACAGTTGAACGTGGTTTAAAAAAAGTGGGTCTACAAAATAAAACCATGATCAACCCTTCACTCCCTCACTAAAATCTACACTCATTAAACATCTTTTACACACCCTCACTGCATATTACTAATCAGCCCTTATTTAGTCCTTCTACTTCAACATCTGAGGCTCTTTAGCATCTGAAAAGCAGTTATGAGTTAGAATTAGTGATCTAAAGTTAGAATCTAGGTTAGCTAAGAAATAGAGCTCTTGAGAAATATGATAAAATCACTGTATCTGATGCATTTGAAGATGTGTAAGATATGTATAAGATATGACTAGTGTATGTAGTTTTAATGGGGGGTTTGGCATGGTTTATGGTCAAAACCACGCCGAAGGTTATTCCGGCCCGAAAAATTAACCATGTTCAACTTTTTATTAACCACGTTCAACTGTATGCCCCAGTCCGTGCATTTTAAACAAATGGCCACAATTACAAATAACGCCCGATGGCGGCGGGAAGCAGCGGTATTGATTGCTCTGGAGATGCGCCATGGGCGCAAGTCTAATGCAGCAGCCCAGTCATCCTTGTCTTCAATCGGAGTGATGTCATACTGATACTTGCATATGTCGCTCAGATCTGCCTTCAAATCAATCCTTGTTGCAGGATCGCCGCAATCGAGCAACCTGCGCTCCTTTTCCAAGGCCATTTTGCAGGATGGGAATACGTATCAGTGATAAGTAAGGCATGAAAACATCTCGCATGCCCCAACCATTGACCAGATGGTGCAGGCCTAATTACGCAGAGGAAAGATTCGAACCTGCATGGCTGCAAGCCTATGACGACATCTTTCATGTGATGCACACAGTTTCATTCTTGTCCTTCTTCCACCCAATGCTAAGCGCGATCGAGCAGCTGAATTCGCAAATTTTCAATCCAGTCCCAATCAAAAAAGCACGGAGTTATCCATTGATGCCCAAGCATGCGGCTCGATTCCAAGTGAGCTGAGAAGATTACTGGTTCAACAAAGGGCTGCGGGTTTCAAATCCGAAAGCGCCAGAGCGTCTACCCCGCATTTCAAAGACCATTATATTCATTCCATCATGTGGAGACCCCGTTTAAAGTCGAAGTTTATCAGCACCGAGCCTAAGAGGGGAATTGGCATTTTTGGGAGGCACCGGCCAAGAAGGGCGTTGCTTCAAAAGTAGTAACTTCAATACTTCGAGCCAATATTATCAAAGAGAGACCTAATCTACGAATCCGTCGAATTAAAATTGACAATGTGGGCTGATGGACTATATTAATATAAAACGATGAAAAGAGAGAAAAACAAAATCAAACGGCTGAATTAAGAGTAGGAATATCTTCGAAGCAAAGCCCCCTGAACCCAATCCTGTGTAAATTGAGGAGCGGGGAACAACTGAATCAACCAATCCCAAGTCAGCTTTGAGATAGCCTTTTGCAGGCTTTCACACACGCACACACACGCATTCAAAGATTTTGGGATGCACCATGAGTGATGTCTGTTTACATGAAATAAATGGGTCGTACCACCGTTGGTGTGTTTTCCTGGGCCATGTGGGGTACGCATCATTCCATATATTATAAACTCTACATAATCGGAGTTACTAGCGATGGCGGCGATAGGCTAGGGTTAACCACTTTGACATTAGAAAAAACTTCAAATATTTTGAGACACGTCTATCTGCGAGTGCTTTGAGCAGATTGGTACTGTGCATGTGTCCAGCAACACCTGTGTCCAGTCAAGAAGCTTTGTCTGAGTGCCCGACGGCAACACTTGAGAGCTATGTAGCAACCTCACTAAGGATTTGAAAGCTGTTTTTTTTTTCTTGGGGATCAAGTTACAGCCCAAACCCTTCAGTGTCCTTGTTCTTCTGCCGCATAAATATTCCCATGTCATCCGCGGTAATTGCGGCTTGGTGCAGCCTCCGGAATAGCCGAATAGGCTACTAACGAGTCAGCCTCACAGAGGTCAACTTCTATGTAAAAGCATTGATTGCAGCACATCACGTATTGCTCTCATTTGTATCCTTCTCCGCAATTTCTTTCAACCGATCCAAAGTCGTGGTTGGCGTAATGCCAATCTAGACAATCCCTATGAAAAAACGGGCTATAAAGAGAAAGTCGTGGGCAAATTTATGGTTGATCTGCTGGAGTTGGAACGAAAAGAGAAGAAAAGTGTCTAGCGCATACCTTCAAGTTGCTAGCTCCTTGCCCAGGTTGCACGAAAGTGACCTCCCTGACTCACATCATTCAATACACCGATCAATCCCAGATTGGTGGGCTACCTACTCCCGGCGATTCTATCTACCCAGTATATTAACGCATCCTCAGGCAGATATAAGTTTTAGACCTGACAGCCCTAGGGATGCACCGCATTTTCACACATGAAGTTCTTCCAACTGTATAGCAGATTTCGGGAAGCCCTTGAATAGATGCCAGTCGGTTACCCTGCCCAACTCCAGATTTCATGAAGCCATCACATTCTTTTCATCCAGTCACGATATTGCCTTGAATGCAGTTATGTAGATATATTATCTTGGTGTGCCCTCATGCGTTTCGGTCTAAGTAATCGCCTATCCGGGCATTGAGAGCTTACTGTTTGCTGTTGAATTGAGCTGCTCAATCTGCAGTCTCGCAGGCCATTATTACTAGTATGGAGAAGCTGAATGCTTATTGGTATTTTTCTCCAGCAAACAAAAATTCCTTCGCCCAGCAAATGGCTACCATTGTTTCCTGTCGAATTTATATTGATGATTGATGTTACATAGAATGACAGGTCACATATGGGCCAATATAACCCTGCTCACTCCTAGTCTTCCACGGCAAATTTAGTGTGGGGTTTGGCTTGACGACTAGAAATTGGGAGAAAAGTCTTTGGAAGACCTGTCCTGTATTGATCAAGCATGCCAGGGCCGTTTGCCTTATTTAGTTATTGTTTAGTGTTTGCGTGCATAACCTTTAGGAGGGCAAAGATGAACTCACTCGGGCCTCCCTCTGGACATTATCCCATTCCAAAACCGCCAAAAAAGAAAAAAAGGAAAAAGAAAAAGAAACCCGAAATCGAGCAGTCGAAACGATGGCCGTCCATGAAACTCGATCTGTTCATCGTCTGAACCGCGCCACAGCTTGTGAGGTCGTTCCCATGGATCCCAGCATGGATCCCCCATGGCTGTCCTCAAACTGCGTCTTACTCCCTCGAACTTGGGCATTGTGTTTGGAGTCCATCCTTATCATATTTCAGATTCCTGTGTATGCTGCCGCTTACTTTCATGTCTGGCATCCTGTCAGTGTGGCTGCATCACCCCTCTCCTTGCTTTCCATTTATGCCTAGCCAGTCAGTGATTATGCGTTGAGACTTGGGCTTAGGATTGTCCCATCTACGCCATTATTGGGTTCCTGGGCCACTTTTCTCGAAACCTGACGGTTCATGGACGGTTCTTCGGTTGTGGAGTACGCCTGTCCGCGCTACTATCCAGACTGAACCTGGATCGACTCCCAACCAAGGCACTCAATAGTTCGACACCGAGTGTTGAGTTCGTACCTATTTCATTCTACTCGTGTCTTGATTCGTCGCTGGAGCAAACTAAATTGCAGTGGTTGACCATGGCGTCAATCAGGAGCACCCTCCAGGTTCCTGTGCCTTGGAAGGGGGAGCTTAAATACCGAGCTGTCCCCATACCGCTAAAATAAATAGAAGAAATATCATCCGGCCAGCACTGGCACTTATCGGTTGGTTAGTTGGCCTTGTTTTTGTTTTTGTTTTTGTTTTATTTTATTTTATTTTATTTTCTGCGTTGTTAAAGCCTATCTAGTGAACTTAGCTCCTTCAGTTCGCGTGCTTTCAGTTGAATCCGCGCCTTGCTTCGAACGCCTTTCCTGGGGTTTTGAATACTTCAACTGGCCCATTAAATCCCCACTCAAACCTTCGCCGGTCCCAGAACCGTGACGGCGGGCCCAAAAGTAGCTTTCCAAGGCCCCCAAATTTCCAACCGGGCTTGCGCTTCCCCACATTCTTGCCCCAGCTCCTGTCTGTAGCAATTGGCATATATATCGGTACCCTGTCCTCGTCGCCTGAGTTCAAACTTTTGTGAAACTACCCGGTGACCAAACATATTTATACTCTATACACCCACCATTCTCTGGATCCATCGTCATCATTCTCCCCTGCTCAGACACTAAGGTTATGCTTTTGTCTACCCTGCCTTGGTTTATTATTCCTTCTAAGTGTCTCTGCGCGGTTTATGGGTACTATCTCTACTATTTCTTGAGGCACTAGCTGCTGTTCCTTCATTTGCAGATTGAGCGCCTCGCTTTTATATTTATCTAAGAGGTTCAGCGAAGGGAAACAGCTGTTTGCGGGACCAAACTTTAAGCAACCTAGATCTCAAACCTAGTCAACTCTCCCATAATACACAATCATGCTCTCTGCACAAGATACAAACCGGCGTGTATACATGCACCCTACACCAGCTACTAGTATACCCCTTACCATTCATCCACGACATACCCCTATCTCACGATGCAACTCTATTTCCAATATTCCCTATCCAAGTCAACGAGCCACGGAGCAAGCCATGAGAACACAAAACCACGATTTACAGCACATTTGGATCATCACAGGCCCTGCAGGCTGTGGGAAAACGACAGTCGCCAAAAGCTTGAGTAAGAAGCTGCAAGTGGAATATATTGAAGGTGACGACGTCAGTAACTACAACCTCTTCTTCCCTAGTCTCACCACCTCAAGGATGTCGCTTCACAGCATATGCCTGAAGGTACTGCAAAGGATATAGTTCCGGAAAACTAACAGTACTAAAACCAAAGTACCACCCAGAAAGCAACAAGCAGAAGATGAGAAATAACATCCCGCTGGACGATGGGGACCGGTGGGACTGGCTAATCGCACTGCGCGACGCCGCTATAGAGTCGCTTCAACGACGCTCAGCCGTCGTGGTGACATGTTCCGCGTTAAAGAGGAAGTATCGTGACGTCATGCGGGTCGCAGCCTACAACCACCCCACGGTCCAAATCCACTTTATCTACCTCGACGCCGAAGAGGACGTGCTTGTCCGGCGAGTTACGGCGCGGAAGGGTCATTACATGCCGCCTACGATGGTCCATTCACAGTTCCAAGCTCTGGAAAAACCAGTGTCGGGCTCCGAGGGGGATGCGATAACCGTGTCGTGCGACGCCAAGCCGAATGTGGTGCAGGATCGTGTGAATCGCGAGGTAGATCGAATTATGGAGCAATATAAGTAAGAAAGCCTGTTGGAGCTTTTTATTTTTTTCGGGATTATAGGCGACCACAGCTTCGTTGGGGATCCCCCTGCCATCACCACCCCCTCTATCCGGAAGGGATACACGCGGACAACGAATAGACGCTCTCTACTCTGCGAACTACATCCAAAGCTGGAGCAGGCAAGGCTGTTGGGCTTCGATCCCGCATACATTCGTTTTATTTGACCGATAACGAACGTTGAAAACTCAATCCACTGCGACATCCATTGCCTCCTGCTTGCCAGAGAGAATCGATATCCATTTGATTATGACTCCTTTCCATACAAAGGTGAAAGAGATTATTCTCTTCCCGTGTGACCCAATTGATTTCCAACGTCTGACAACAGAAGAAAGCCGATGGAAGTTCCACACCTCACAATTTCAATCAATCAGACACTAGCACCATACCCGCGGACAATTAGACTCAAGTTCCCGCTCCGCAATCTACTTGCTTCATGACTTCTGCCCATTGCCTTTTCTCATTTCTCATGTTTTTAAATATTTTTTCAATTTGTCTCTTAGCTCCTCGTTCCCTTGTTCTGTGATGAATATTCCGGCGTCATAATTTTTTTTTTTTTTAGTTCAAGCACTAGGGCGGGGTGCTCTTCTCACTCTTGATTTTAAATCTTTGTTCTGTCTGTTGCGCGAGTCCTAATTTTTGCCCCTCTCTTCTCCCGTTCAGCATCTCCGTCCACAGAGTGGTTTTGCAAGGCGTGTTTTGGCATATTCAGTGTAACGAAGGGCGTTTCTATCTCTTAAGTCCTAACAAGATGGGAAAGAGGATACATTTCGGCGTGAGGAAAGACTTTGGAAGAAACATTGTGGGAAATTAGCGTTTGGGTCTACCTGCTTCCTTGCTGTTCTCCCTTTTACCCCTTCCATTATTCTCCTTTTTGATTGTCGTTCGATCGGTGCTTGCTATTCCTTGAGATTATCGCAATAACATTATTACACACCCTCCTTCCATTTCCCCTCCCCGCTTTCTTAAACTTAAACAAGATAAAAGACTTTAAATAAAGAATATAAACTCATCTGCAGAAGAGAGCAAAGCCTTCTCAATATTTTCAAGATAGCGCTCGATTTCACCCCGCATCACCGATGTTGAACCATAGATCGAATAAATCATGCTGTATACACATGTATATAACATATAACAGGATATAACAAGAAAGGACCCCCAAATAATGCTCGCCTCATATTCTCCGGGAAACCAATTGGATGATCTCCGTTTTCTTTTCCTCACTATTCCCTCACCTGGTTACTGACTAGTTCGTCACATTAAATTCTGTTTGTACAGTACAAGACATATGCTGGCAAACGGAACAAAAGGGATGATTGTATATTCTATTGTTCCAGGGGGGGTTTTTGAGTCCAGCAGTGGTGTGTCTGCTGCATGGTTTTTTCTCCTTATTAATATATACTGAGCTCCCGCATAATTTTTCTAGGTCCAGCGGTGTAGGAATAATAAATAATATATTCTATTGTGTGCATAGTTTTTGATACATTTATCTATCGACATGTACTGCGAGCCATTCAACCTTTGCATACCCTAATACCTTTGGAGACAGAACAGAAAATATGTGTAAAAGCCATCACACAAGCCAAAGGGGGTTTGAAGATTCAGCGTATATACCCGTCGGTTTTGGAGAGGTAAATAGAACGTGAGAAAAAGTTTTTTTAAAAAAAAAAAGAAAATAAAACGCAATAAAACAAATATAAAAAAAAAGGCCACCCTTTTCTCCCTGTGTATAATGGCAGAAAAAAATATACTTATGTTAAGCTCGATTTACCGAAATATCCTTATCTGAGAGCTAGCATCATCGACTCAGGCTCCTCCAAATACAACCTAACCTTATCTGCCATCCTGGCCATCGTAGCCCCATCCACAACTCTATGATCCGCACTCCAGCTAAAATTCACTTTTTCGCCCTTGACCACATTACCAGCCTCGTCAAAGACGGGAACGGTTTTGGCCCTCCCGACACCAAGAATAGCAACCTCATTCGGCACAATGACAGGGCCGACGTAGGTGCCGCCAATATTGCCAATGTTGGATACGGTGATGGTTCCACCGTTCAGGTCCGTGGGCGTCAACTTGCCTGCACGCGCCACTTCACTGAGGCGAGCGAGTTCTGCCGCAATGTCGAGAATGGAGCGGGCCTGGACGTTTTTGATATTGGGTACTAGAAGACCTGTTGGAGTGTCCATGGCTACACCGATGTTGTGGCTTGACCGCATAACTAGGGCAGGCTTGGTGGGGTTGGTGGTGGTGTCAACTCTTGCGTTTAGGAGAGGGAAGGAATTTAGGGAGAGGGAGACGGCTTTGATGATGAAGGGAAGATAGGACAGTTTAAGCGGCTCGGTTGGGTGTGTTGCAAGTTTCTTGCGGATGGAGGATAACGATCTAATGTTGAGTTCGTCGGCGTAAAGGAAGTGAGGGATGGTAAGTGACCGGGTCATGGTCTTGAACATTTGAGACTGAATTGGAGTTAATGGGGTGGTGGTTTCTATCTGTGTGGTGTCAACGCCCGACACAGGTTGTGTAGGTTGGGGTACTGATGGCGCTGTCGGGGCTGGTGTGGCGTCTCGCTCCGCGACGTATCGGAGAACATCCTCTTTCAGAACTCTTCCATCCTTGCCGGTTCCGCTTACGCTTAATATATCCACCTTCAGCTCCTTCAACATACCGCGGACAGCCGGTGTTGCAAGAGAAGCGAATTTGAATGGGGAAGATATGGCTTCTACAACGGGTTCTGATAGTGCTTCCGTAGCCACATTGACAGCAGGAGGTTTTGCAACCTGCTCTGGTATCGGGTGTGGGGGCGGGGGTTCGTTAGTTGGTGGAGGAGCGTTTTCATCGGGATATTTCGATTCGTCCACATCAATATCGCACAAAGCCTTAGAATCGCATTAGCCATTATGATTAGCATAGATTCGTTTTGGGCCTCATAGCATACCATTCCCGTTGGCACAGTATCATCGGCCTGGAAGTGCAATTTCTTTATGACCCCATCGTATCTCGACGTTATCTGCAGAGATTGGTTAGCACGAACCAGGGCGCTAGAGGCGAATTGGCCTGGCCAAGGACACATACATCGTCAACAGCTTTGTCAGACTGATACTGGCATAATGGCTTCCATTCCTCAATCTTCGCTCCCTCTTGCACATACCATTGTATGATCTGGATCTCGGTGATTCCTACATTAGGTATACGTTAGCGCATGTTTCTTTCGTTTCCAGCATCAAACGGAATAGCGTACCTTCACCGACATCCTTCAGAATCTGAGACCTGAGTGCGCATGATGCGGGGGACGTATGAAATCTCTGGCGGGGAGAAATGCTGGAGATGCGAGAAATAGCTGGCACCAGACGAACTGGAGAGCTGTTTGAGAGAAGCGCTTGGGCAAAAGACCCTCTGCAGCGTAGAGGCATCATGTCTCCGGTTGGATAGAAAGAAGAAAGGAAGCAATTGGGAGGATGCTGACCTCTTTAAGCCGGCAACGTTGTTTATGGCGTTGGGGTATTGCGCCGAGAACGGGGTTGTCCGCGCCGCGAGTAGCCGTTGCCGGGTCACGTGGAGAACGCCGACTGCCGAGCATTCAACGTTACTAAAGCCCGGTTAAGCTGGTTAACCGCGAGACCATACAATATTTGAGTGCTTCAGAAGGGCTGTAGGGGCTCAAGCGGCGACTTGCTGCTGAGGTTACTTAAGGCTAGCTTCTGTTGCAGCTGCCTTCAGAGATTCGCAGACAGGATGTTGTTGCATCGTAATTCTGTCTCAAAATCTGTAACAGAGCCCGTCATTGTGACTCAAAATTAAGGACTGACAAGACCACTTGGAGAACAGTGTGCTCTCTTATGACTCCCGCCAGTAATGAGTTCTTACCACAGCTGGAGTCATGGACGGAGAAAGCGAATAAGAAGGGAATGGGAAGGGGTTTAGTACATGTACCGTACCTCAGAGCTTCCAGTTGAGAAAGACGATATCTACGCTGCAGCAGCTGATATGAACGTTCCAGTCGCATTTCCCATACTTCTGATCTTTAGGCTTTATTGATAATTATAATTGCATAAATTGTTCTTGTTCTACTATGAACCCTCTTTCGGCCCAAGAACCTGACTGAGAGCCTACACAAAATTTTACAGTCGCTCGTCTATGAGGCGGAATATTTGTACAGTACATTTATCAATCATCATCTATACCAACATATAGTACAGAAAGAGCAAGTAGAACCGTATAGCGTTCATTTACGTGTACTTTTAACAGCACTGTCGAAGCCCCAACGGCATCCACTACATCCAAGGCAGCGTTTGTTGCGTCGTCGACCAAACAAGGGAATGACGAACAAACCTGCTAGGGCGAGCTCCCGTTATTTTTTCCGATCTTGTTCCTCCCGCCAGCGATCCAAAGCATCCTCCCATCTTACAGATAACCCACCACAACGCTCTGCAACCAATTCCCACGTCCTCGATCGTATAATGCGTTCAACTCCGCGCTCATTTCTCAGCAACATAGCTAGCGATTCCGTCCTGGCTTCTCGCGGGAAAAACCTTGCCGAATACGGATCCAATCGCTCATCAACGACTCTTTCCCTATCCTTTGCCGATTCCCCCTGGCGCAGAAGAAGTTCCGGGTCGTCCGGGTCTGGGCTCGTTGCCACACCAGCGCAATAATTCAGGACGTCGGATCGGTTCTGCCAGGAAGGGAAGAGAACATTATTCTGGAACGACTTGCATTTTTCCGGCTCTATTTGACCTTTACTTTCATAGTCTGTCTGTCGGGTTGTTGTTATAGAAAGGTCAAACCCTTTCTGTGCTGGAGTCAGGAGGGCATTTAAATTCTGTGTGATGGAGTCGTCTATTGTAGATCGTGAGATGCGGAGGAAGTCTACAGATAATGCAGAGGAAGGGGTATATCCGGTTAGTTATTGTTTCTATTTTTTTTAAACAGAATCTAATCTAGTTGGGTTTGCTGGGGTAGCGTTCAGTATTTTACCTCTAAGTGCTCTCTCATTGAAACAGAATTGCGGAGACAGATATGGCTGAGAAAGGGGCCGGGACATTTCCCTTTTTGCCAGCATCGACGGCACGTCGTCTGATGGGGACAGCTTAGCCCAAAACCAATTCCGCATGAACTTTGTTTGGACCGTTCAATCTGTCAATGGCCAGCTGAGGATGGGATTGTGTTATAGCAAGCCCTCAGCCTCAGGGTTGGCTGATAAAAATTTTATATACGCCTAAGGAATATTTTATAAACTGAAAAACACAAGAGAATAAATTAGCACAGTAAAAATGGTGTGTATTCGAGCCGGCTAATTGTTTGTGAAATTTTACAGGGAATAAGTCGGAAGTTGGCGAATCTCCTCTATACGTCAGGTCACATGATTACGTGTTTAAAGAACGCGTCCCACTACATCCCTGAAGTAGCCAAATTCATCTGACGAATACCTTCTACACGACAAATCGGTCAAACGCTGGGTGACAGAGAAAATGCTGCAAACCCGAATATTCGAGGAGCTTGTCATTCCCGGTTCGTCCAAGCCGCGATTAATTCGGCATTGCTCCTGCTGACTAATCCGCCTAATAGCTTCCAGGGTTTAGTTTTGATGCGTCTGCCTGCAACGACACGAACCCATAATTTTCTGGAATCCCTCATGTCTCTGATCACTGCGTCACTCCCCAGCGGTTCCTCCCGTTAAGAGTCATTAGGATTTTTGTGCTGTGCTCTTTTTGAAGGAAATTTAACCTGTTTTTCTGCAAGCTGTCAGGTGCTGCCCCAAGATTCAATTTACAGAACAAGGCACATTCGTTCAATTTTCATATCATATTTAAAATATATTTAAATATACAACGTCGAACTTATCGATACACCTCAAGTCCTATCCTACATTGTTTCAGTCATGCCTGAGTTAGCAGAAGTGGCGCGAATTGTCCACTACATTCGCACATATCTTGTTGGCAAAACCATCACCCGAGTCCACGCCCAAGATGACCCCATCGTCTTTGGCAAAGCGGGAACCTCAGCAGCGGAGTTCAAGAAACACATGGAGGGTAAAAAGATTGTGGGTTCTGGGCAGCAAGGGAAATATTTCTGGATAATCATGTCCTCGCCGCCCCATCCTGTCATGCATTTCGGCATGACTGGTTGGCTGAAGTTCACAAACGTGAACACGCATTATAGTCGAACCGCCCCGTCGCCGAAGAATGAAGAACCGGTGTGGCCGCCGAAATTCTGGAAATTTAGGCTCCAACTTGATGATTCCTCGAATTCTGAAGCTGCATTCGTCGATCCACGACGGCTTGCACGAGTGCGGTTGGTCGATTGCCCTGGAGCTGAGATCAGAAAACATAGTCCGCTGAAGGAGAATGGGCCAGATCCCATATTGGACAAAGATATCATGACGTTGGATTGGCTAAAGAAAAAATTGGCAAGCAAGAAAGTTCCCATAAAGGCTTTACTGCTTGATCAAGCCAATATCAGTGGCATTGGAAATTGGATGGGGTTCGTTCGATCCATGTAGGCTTCTGGATAGAAAGGATGACACTAACCGAAATCTTCCATCAGGGACGAAATATTGTACCATGCCAAAATCCACCCAGAGCAATACTGCAATACCATCCCAGAGGCCCAGATCGAACAGCTCCACTCCGCAATCAACTACGTATGCTCAATGTCAGTTGATCTCCTGGGAGATTCCGAAAAGTTTCCCGCCGACTGGCTGTTCAAGCATCGGTGGGGCAAGGGAAAGCAGAATCGTTCTCAAAAGTTACCCAATGGCGACAAAATTGTTTTCATCACCGTTGGGGGCCGCACCAGTGCCGTAGTGCCATCTGTACAGAAAAAAACAGGCCCAGTTGCAGCGGATGCAGAAGATGAGGTTACAGAGATCGATGAGTTACCGCCACCTAAGAAGAAGAGAGGCGCCGTTGCAAAGGAGAACAAAGGGGCAGAGAACCCTAAGGAGGAATCTTCCACCAAGAAAGCTGCAACTAAGAAGTCGAAAGTTGAACCGACAGTAGAAGGTGATGAGGAGGCACACGGGCAGAAGCAAAAGGCAGTTGCGCAAACTGAATCATCTTCAAGGCGTGGGAAATCCTCTCGTTCGAGGAAGTGATTAGGGAGGGATTCAGGCGCATGTGATGGTTCACTAAGCAAAAGAAAGAAATCGTTAAAACAGTTTCGTTATTTCATTGTTCATGAGTATATTTGTTTCAGTAGTATTGACGGTGTGTGGCCGATCATCCGCATCCATTTCTTGTCAAATTTTCTACTTAATTCCGTCGGTTTTCGATAAAACAAAGGGATTCTTCATGGGGGTATGCGCAAACAATTCTCCTCTAGGAGTTAGGGGAATCTAGGTACAAATCAATCTTAAACGAAGACTCCATCTAGTCGTTTATAGAACACACCAAAATTACCATCCCCATCTTTCCCCTCATCACGATCATCCATGACAGCAAATATGATGCTTTCCCACCACCCGCCACTGAATTCACGCTCCTGAAAAACCTCGCCCCAGCAATCCGCAACCTCCTCCTTCGGATTCTCAAACGCCCCACAACCCAGAGCCCCTAGTACCAATCGCCGATGCTGATTCACAGCTGCAGTCCGCAGAACTACCCTCATCTTCTCCTTCATAATTTCCCGATCTGCAGGGTCTTTATAAACCTGCCTAATCCCCACTCCAGGCACTTCCCTTGTCCTAACTTCAGGCAAACAGAGCGCTGCCACGGACACCACGCTGACCACTGGTAGCTTGTCTGGCTGCTCTAAATCGAGCAGCTTATGTTCGCCTTCATCCATATTGGCCCGAATCACCAGCACCGTCGGGGAGTATATTGCCCCCATCTCTGGAATCGGATAGTATCGTAGCTTCAACGAGAAGCTAAGACTACTTCGATAACAGAGCGCTTCTTCCTGCGCCAACGCCCCACGCTTCCAGCCGCCACCTGCATTGTTTGCATTGGCCATGTTCAGGATGCAGACGGGCTTCTTGTCCTTGATTGTGATGTACTTGGAACATTCCGCCAAGCCAATCGCTGTGTCGAAGGTATCCGCATCGTGGATGCGGATTGTTGTAGGAGGCAGATTCGGGCAGAAGCGAGGGGAAAGACGGGGCGGTTTTGGAGGGGCATATAGGTATCCTTTTGGAGGAGCATGAGGGGCAGTCGCGAGAATATTCGGAAGCAAAGCCGTGGTTTCAGCGGCTATGGAGGAGAGGTATTTGCGACGAGCCCTGATTGCGTGTTTACACTCTAGAGCGGCTTCGTGGATGGTGGATATACTGCTAATGGATGACTCCTGTGGCTGTAATGTCGAGGGGCTAGGTTGTATATCCTCCATCTTGTCTTGTGAATCATTTTGCGCACGTCCGTCTGTTGTATCGTCATTCGGGGACTGGCGGACAAAATATGGGGAGCGGGAGCTTCCCTGATCCCTTCTCCGCTCGGGGTGGAGATTGAGCACGGTTTGCACCAGCTTGCGATTTGGAGGTTCAGCCATCCTCAATATTTAGCCAGGATTGGAAATGAAGTTGAGCAGATTAAAAGCATCCCGCACTAAATCCCTCCCTGTCGAGCAGCAGTATGCCTAATATATAAACCTGAATGCTAACAATCCGTCGGGCTGTATGGGCGCCTGACTCAGCCACTTAGGCAGCTTTCTGAAGGCGGTGAGAGCGATAAGAAATTCTGCCGGAAGCAAGAAGCTTATCTCGAACGATCAGGCCAGATTAGTACTAGTGCGGGGGCGGTTGGCCCCACCTTTTCGGGCCCAAGCCGAATGCCGGATTACTCAGCGGAACGGGTGCTTGAATCTTTTTTGCCTCGACATACTTTTATATCGTTTGTTTTGCGCTGTATCTCTATTGATTTCTGTCTTTAGAGCTATTGCCATTTACTTCAATAGCTCGTGCTCACAGATTTGGTCAGACGTCTTTACGACCATCTCAGCGTCGTTCTGTTGCTTCACCGTCGTCATGAGTGCAATTCTGTCGGCAGATGACTTAAATGACTTCATCTCTCCAGGGGTTGCCTGCATAAAGCCCATTGAATCGTTGCCCCGCAAAACTGATAAAAATTCTAAGGTATGTATATTTTTAACCCATCCTAGCGCCTCCGAGATACATAAGGAAATAAATAAAATCAGCTTTTCCACTGACATGCTTTTCATATGTTTGTTGGTTTGGTAATAGGATGTATATGAAGTTGCAAGGGAAGACAAGATCGAACCTGACAACCTACCCTCCGTGCAAATTTCCCTGTCGGATTGTCTGGCATGTTCAGGATGCGTCACATCAGCTGAGGCCGTTTTAGTGTCCCTACAGTCGCACGCTGAAGTGCTTAATACATTGGACTCGTGCGCAGAATTACGAATCGACGAACTGAACGAGTGCAGTAACGCTCAAAGGTTACGAGAAAATGATGCCGGTTTCTCTGCAGAAGGCGAGCAAAGGACAACAGAAAGTGGTGGAAAGATATTCGTTGCAAGTGTCAGCCCGCAGGCCAGAGCAAGCTTGGCCGCAACGTATGGAATTTCTGAGCGCGAAGCCGGATACTTAATTGAGCAATTCCTGAGTGGGCCCGAGGGGTTAAGGGCTGGAGGCGCCTATGGCAATGGCTTTACCTGGGTGATTGATACAAACGTTATGCGGCAGGTCTGCTTGGAACTCAGTGTGAGCGAAGTTACGGAGTCGTTGAATAGCTCCAAGGACACCCTCACCGAAACTTTTCCGGCCCCGAAGCGACCAGTTCTATCCTCTGCTTGTCCAGGATGGATATGTTACGCTGAAAAGACTCATCCACATGTCCTACCTCACATATCCCGCTTAAAATCCCCACAAGCCCTTACGGGGACCTTGGTGAAAACCGTGCTGAGCAAGGCATTGAATATCTCATCCTCACAGATTTGGCACTTGGCCATCATGCCTTGTTTTGATAAAAAGCTGGAAGCTAGCCGGCAAGAATTAACGGATGCTTCTTGGCAGGACGCTTCATCTATGACACAAAAAGGACATTCTCCAACGGAATCATATTCTCCCGTGCGAGATGTTGACTGCGTCATCACTTCCCGCGAACTCCTCATGTTAGCGACCTCCCGAAATATCTCTCTCAGAAACCTCCCATTACAGCCATTGCCTTCACCATTTGTCCCGTTATTCCCTGATCCCTATTTTGCGCCTTTCTTATTTCCTAAATCTAGCCAGTTCGTCCAACCCTCCGCTGCTGGCACGTCAGGGGGCTATCTCTACCACATCCTCACAACATACCAACATCGGAACCCAGGAAGCCAAATCCAAACGCAGCGTGGTCGAAATTCCGATGTGATAGAATACGCCCTGATCTCTCCGTCAGGTGCTACCATTATAAAGGCAGCTCGGTACTACGGTTTTCGTAATATCCAAAACCTAGTCCGAAAACTAAAACCCCCTCGCGCATCACGGCTCCCTGGCGCCAATCCTATGATAGGTCGCAGGGCAGGTGGCGGATGTGCGGCTACAGTTAATAGCACATCAGCCACAGATTATGCTTATATCGAAGTAATGGCGTGTCCGGGCGGATGCACGAATGGTGGTGGTCAAATACGCGTCGATGACGCGCGAGACATCGACACGCTGAGGCCAAACGAGCAGCACCAGCACCAGCACCAGCACCAGCACCAGCAGAATCAACAATCTACGCAAAAGCCGGCACCACAGGAACAGCGAGCCTGGCTCGCGCGAGTCGATGATGCATATTTTTGGGCCGATTTCGATTCCGATTCCGATGTCTCTCCCAACCCGTCACAGAATAGTGATGACACAGATCACCACACATGTGACGATATCTTATCCCACTGGTCTCGCAGCACGAATATCCCCTTGGAAAAGCTTGTTTATACTACCTTCCGAAAGGTAGAAAGTGACGTGGGTAAAGGCCGGAGTAAGGATTCGGGTGCGGCAGGAGATATGGCTCGAGTTGCGGCACTTGCTGGGAAGGCCGGCGGGGGTTGGTAGACGCAATATACGCTCACATCTCGTCTTTTTTGCTCTCTATCACATATATACAATAAAAAAGCCAGCAAGACTTGTGTTCCATGGAAACAAGCAAACGCATCTTCTCCCTTCTTACAGCGGAAGTGTTTTTGGTTCATATTTTTACATACATTTGGCCTTGTTCGGCCCCATTTGTATGTCCACACAACATGTACAGTATTTTAACTCTATAGAGGCGGGAACGGTTGCATAGCTGGGATATTTATAAATTTTGGCGTCTTTATATCTAATCGATTGGTTCTCTAAACTAGGCGATGAACTTTTTTGTGTTCATCTTCAATTCTCAGAAGTAAGGTGTCCAGTGCCAGTTATATTGATGAGAGGAAAAGGGGCGGATTTCTCATGTTTGTTTTCCATAGCCAGGGAGCCGCTGCTCATGAAACGAAAAGGGCGCGAAGCCAGGGAGGCCCACAAGTGCATGCTAACCTAAATAGCGCGTGGATCAAGGGAACGTCTACTAACTGATCATCAACGGCAGCTTTACTCCGATATTATGTATCTCCATTTACATAGAAATTGCTGAACCATCAATACCCTAACCGCTCTCCCCTTCGTCTTATTGGTTGTTTTGATCACGTATGCAAAATCCATCGAGATTGAGAAGATGAAACGTGGAAAGTGTGGCCTGGAGGTGAGTATGGAAAGAGGAACTACAAAAGGCTCCAGTTAATTCGCCAGTTGGCTGCTATTACATGCAAGTTACGTTAATTGTTCATAGAAATCCAGCACCGGGGTTACGTTGTTGCGTCTTTGAAACATTCAAATAGGTTCTCTTCCTCGACGAAACAAACAATTGGAATGCAAAATGTGGATACAATGAGTGAAGGACATAGAAAGTCGCGGTGGTCAATAATAATAGTCAAAAACAATGTGAAATCCTAAAGAGAGTGAAAGGTTTAGCCCACTCGGGGGAGGGGCTTCTGTACCGCGGCTCTTGTGGGAAGGAACCTGCAAAAATTAACATCGCAATACACTATCTGAGATGCAGCGCCAATCGCAAAATCACTGCCGTGGTCGGAAATGGAGAAATCGATGACCAGACGAGAAAAAAAAATTCACGGAAGCTCAAAAGGCACACAAAAATCGCACCTACGCACAGCTGCCACATTGGGGAAATTGGGAAGAATGTATTTCATCAACAGGCAAATCTGGCTTTTGAGGCGTAATCTGAAAAAGTGGGAAAGCGCAAATTGGTGCCCCAAGTGGTTGTTGCACAGACAGGGAGGTATTTCTTCCAGTTTTAGCATCAGCGTCCTGGCCACATTGACAGGGCAGTGGGCATGAACAATGAGGCTGACAAGCGCAATTTTGTGAGTTAGTCATAAGTGATTTGGTTGATATCCCAAGAGGTGGTTGTGAGGAGGGAGTATTTGCCATTCTCATTTCAACATTTGTGTCTTGCCCACATTGACAGGGTGATGAGCATGAACAATTGGGTCGGCAGGCACAATTTGGTGGGATATCTGCAAGAGGTGGGACGGCATATCTTTTCTGCCTCGTCCCATACATCCGCTGGTAGCCAGGTGTTGTCGGGGCAGAGTATGGCTTTTCTGACGACTGCGATATCTCAGAAAGCGTTTCACTGTGGTGCGGACGGGGACCTTGCGTGGTTAGAGGAGCCTCAAGCGGTTTGTGGTCTACGCCGATTTGGTAAACTGAGTCGGGCTGTCCTGTGAAATGATCAACTTTGACTCTCTTTGGGCGGCATCCCCGGCAGTTCGAACTGTACGGAGAATTTTCGCAAGGGTCGGATTTCTCAGTATAAGTTTTCACCTGTTGGCTGTAACAGCCAGCGGGTAAATCGAGCTTGTTTTGGCACGCATCTCCGATATTTGGGATTGGCCTTTTCCTCGGAAACGAGTTGTCTGAAGCCACGCTTGGAACGAACGTATCATAAAAGCCACCAAACTCGGACGTGCTCAAAGCTGGACCCTGTAGAAGCTCACAAACTGGCATGGCAAAGTATGTACAGTTACCGTTACAGCTCGCCGGAGGGTGGCTTTTCTGGGTATTGGTGTTGTTTGGAACTAACCCTTGCCACGTCAGTACCCAAATCATCCAGAAAGCTAGTAATTTTGACGAACGAACCTTGACTGTCTCTAGCAATACCAGGGCCTTCATTTTGGGGGATGTTTTCTTGACTTGCTGTAGTCCTTCCTTGGCCACTTTTATTTTCATCTAAACCGACCACGGCCCCTCCTGAATCGATACGATCTATCATATGTCCGCGGAATGGGGTTCGAGGCGGATCGGGGCTGTCACCACCGCCTGGAAGGGACGCAACTTGGAGGCTACCTTCGGAATCCTGATTTAGCTGGCGGAGTGGTTTGGTGAAGAACTTGTTGATGACATCGCCGCCTTCTGGATTAATATCCGAATAACTTGCCTCTCTCTCGAGGTAGCTAGCGACCAAGTCCGCTATGCCCTTCGATTGTCGTGAGTGTAATTCGATCGTTTGTAACAATCGCGAGAACTCGTCTGTTTCGGTCGTGCTCGGCCTGTGAGTTAAGCCAAACCCAACAGTCATGGGATAAGATTGGTTTTGACCTGGCACCAAACTGTTGGAATAATGCCGCTGATTTGCTTGAGCTCTTGTACACTCTTTCTGGGATGGATAAGTCGCATAAAGGCATGAATCTGTGTGACTGATCGTGTCCGAGGCAAATGGGTTGTGCGGGTTCCTAATCACCCAAGGCTCCTTTTCAGGGAAAGCTGCAGGTGCAGCCAACGTTTTCCCCAACCAAAGAGGAGACTTTGTAAAGTTGAATGGGGCACTCATAGTGTCGGTAAACGTGGATTCCCTGGCATTCGGCGTAATCATCTGAGGAATATTGGCGGACTGTTCGAGAAGGCTTCCCTCAGAAGGGTATGGTTTGATAGAGAGACAGGCTGCATTTTGCTCACCACTACTGGCGGAACTGCTTGAATGGCAGAGTTCACGTCTCCTGCCAAAAGGATCTCGACCAAGTAGTTGTCTTGCAGAGTTACGAGCCTTGAACCGCAATTCGGAGTGCCTTATGGGCTTTGGAAAGTTATGACGACTATAATACCGTTGAAGTGGATGAGAGGGCCGGCCTGACCTGCGCCGGACTGCTGCGCCATGATGCGAACATTCCCGGGTTTGCGTAACGGGTGCGTTGACATCTATAGACTCAGGAGCGGCAGGCAATTGAGGAGACATCGTAAATGATACGATTTCAACTCGAATGACAAGTGAGTTTTCTTTGATTTGCACCAGTAAGATGGAGAACGTAGTGATTAACCACGATTCCAATCGGCTGGGAAACTTATTTTAACCGACACAGTACATAAAACTAGAGAAGACAAAACAAGATAGACGGTGCAGAAGAATACACGGAAGAATATTGAGATAAAATATATGATCTCCGTCAATGATGGCAGTATCAAGACATGGGCACATAGCACGAAGATGAATAACTCTGGAGAGTTGGAGGAAGAGGAGAAAAGACAAGACAAAACAAGACAAAACAAAACAAAACAACAATAATAACAATAGCAGCAGCAGCAAACACCCCGCCATACCAAGGAAGGAGATCAGGAGGAAGCCTTCCTCTCCAGGGCAAGGCCCTTCGACTTGCGACATTCCCCCAAGGAAGGAGGAATACTGAGCACTAGTATCCATGAGAGCCGGTCGAGCGTTGTAGCCTTGAAACAGATGTTATAGCAGCCGGAAGCCACCATTCCTTAATGTGTGCTCCATAACGCAAACTGTCTACTATGCACGCGATAGGAGAGCGCTAGGAGAGCCGTTCCTGTAAATAGGGAGCGGATGGCCAAAGCGGGTGGATGAAGACCCAGGATCGGCCTGAACTTAGCGTAGAACATGCTTTCAAAGGAGCAACCCCCTTGAGAAACAGAAGCTGAATCTTGGAGACACTAAATAGGAAGAATCGAATTGCGATCCATCATCACTCAAACCGATATAGTTAATCAGATCGTTGAAGCTGTTAGGTGACGTCTCAAGCTCTCGATCGTTCTAAATCACATGACAACGGCCAATTGGAACTGTGAACATCTGTGCTTATACGCTAGTCCATAATAGGAAGTCGGGCATAGAACCACCAAAAACTTCTCGATGTCAAGAAACTTCTCCCCAACTCAACATCACACGTTCCAGAGTCTCCTCCTCCCCACTCACGCGCATATCACTTATTTCCATTAACAGCCATGTCTCGCGAAGCCTACAAAGTTCCCACAGGCCAAACTGGGTATACTGGCGCAACCGGTATCGTCGAAGGAACCACCAGCGATGCGGTTTCCGTAACCTATGTTTGTGGTGATTGCAACTCCCGCGTCTCCATGAAGCGTGGGGATCAGATCCGCTGCAAGGAATGTGGGCACCGTGTGCTGTATAAGGAGAGGACTAAGAGGTTTGTTTCAGTTTCCCTCCTGTTTCCGATACAAGCTTTCAGGAGCCTTAGAAACTAACAGGTGCCATCTTGTGCGTGTACAGAATGGTGCAGTTTCAAGCCCGATGACACCTACCCACGTTCCCTTACCGGCGTTTCCACAGTACCATAGGCGATCATGAGAATCAGGTCATTGCAGGAGAGGGTGTGCTTTTAACATTTTTTTACGCTGTTTGCTTGCAACAGCTTCGTCATGGCGCTAAGGAGTGGATGTTTGATTTTGATTTTTATGACCAAAAGAAAAAGCTTTGTCGCCAGATGGGAGGCGGGAATTCTCGGATAGTAATCATGATAAAAATTTCTTGCGTCGTTTATTGTCGCATCGCCAGTTGAAATCATACCCGAGCGCAGCGTTGTTGTCATCCTTCAAGGGACTCATCCGTTAAGTTTCCCCGAAGGAGAAAAAAAAGGATATAAATATCAATAAATACAACGTGGTCCATTCGAGACCCGAAAAGATATGACCAAAAATTTTTTTTTCCCAATTTCCTCCTTATTCCAGTTACAACGAGTTTGATACCTCTATGAATTTTTCCAAGCTGCTCAGCGCCCTCCCACTTTCGATCGCCCACCGCGCTCGCCGAATACCCTCCTTCCAGCGTCCACCGCCTGGACCAACCTCTTTTATAACTTCCCCATTGTCACCAGGACCCATATTGCTTGTATCAGCGTCGCAGATGCCAGATATAACCAAGAGAGCCGCGACGTTCATGAGCACGAACTCCAAGATGGGATGGTCGCGAGGCATCTCGTTGCGGAGCATACTCATGAGTATCAACGCGTTTTCGCTCGGCATCTTGCCTCCACCAACTTCTGAAAGTGGGCGCGTAGAGAACCCAAAATCCGAAGGCTGAAGCTGGAAGTGTTCGATTTTTACCAACGTCTTGGACGGCGCGTCCTCATCCAAAGCCTCGTCATCTTCGGGATTGCTATCCGAGCCGCCTTGATATTCAGGATTGAGATATTCAGAGAGTTTCCAACAGTTGGTTTTTCCAGCACAGCTAATTTCATCCAAATCTTCTTCGCCGCATACTACCAGCGCCCTTTTAACCCCGCTAAGCTTCAGAACGTTTGCGAATATTGGGCCTAGGGATTTGTATGCTACGCCAACCAATCGAGCTTCAATACCCCAATCAATTGGGTTTGCCAGTGGTCCAAGGAGATTAAAGATCGTCCGCAAACCTAACCCTTTTCGAACGGGAGTTGCAAATTTCATGCCAGTGTGGAAATTTGGAGCGAAGAAAAAGCAGTAATTTGACTTCTCGTATACCTTGAAGACATTCTCTGGTCGAACGGCAGATAAGTTCGGTGGGTTCGGAGTGATCGATGTCAAGACGTCCGCAGAACCCGAGAATGACGTTTGCGCCCGATTTCCATGCTTGGCAATCATTAGCAATGGCGACGCTATAATGGAAGAGGTCGTAGAGATGTTGAATGTGCGGTGGGAATCTCCTCCTGTCCCAACAATGTCACACTGTCACCGAACATGCTGTTAGCTTGCTGCTTCACTTATTCCCTAGAATAAAAATTTTTCATTGATTCCTTCACTCACAAAGCCACCATTATAAGATCCTTCTTTTCTATCTCGCTCCTTAGCCAGCGCCAGCAGTGGTGCTCGTTCAATTGGCTCAGCAGCCTCTCTCATTCGAGCTGCGCATTGGGCTAACACATCGGCATCCCTATCCTTGCCAGTTGAATGTAGGAGGGTGAGAAATGCAGCAGTCTGAATGAGAGATAATTTATTCTCGAATATGAGAGAAAAAGCACCAGCGATTTCCCCCGCTGTAACCTCATATGGGGCTGCATCCGGATATGCGAGCCTTGTAAGAAGCGGCGAGATGGAAATCGAAAAGTCTTGCTTGTCCGACGCCATAGCCGCGTTACTGTCGAGTTCCCCCTTATAAGCAGAATATTGTCGGCCAGGATCCAGGCGACAAACTCACATCTAGGCAGATAAAGTAAAAAGAAATAACAGAAGCAATTAAAGCAACAATTGTTCGTTCTCGTAATGTTGCCCCGCAATGGTTACTCACATCCTCTGCTTGTCCAACTAATGAGCTTGGCAAAATATTCACCGCTTTGGATAGCAACCAAAATACTTTCTGCAGCTAAAAAAATATTCTCTACCAGACTGAGCATTTCGGCTTATATATTTATCGGGCTCCAATTATGAAACACATGGCAATTGCACAGCATTGACAATTTGACGTATTCTACGTTCATTTCAAATATTCCAATTGTCATTTTTTCGCTCCAATGCCTCCTCGATTGCGCCTCTCCGTTTCCGTCCTCTCACGCTCGCTTCCGCATGATGTCCTCATATATCCTCGACGATATGCTAGCACAGCAGCAGCAGCAGCCGTTACGACATCAACGGTAAATCAAACATCCCAATCGAAATCCGCATCGTCACCTGATGCTGCATACCCATCATACCAACCCTCATCGCATCGCCGGCCCGAGTTCCGCAAATCCCAGCTCCATCGCCAATACACCTCCCTGCTCCGCACAACACCACTGATCCTGATCTTCCAGCATAACAACCTTCAATCCGTAGAATGGGCCGGCATCCGTCGCGAGCTTACGAAAGCTTTGCAAAAAGTTGACGAAACAAACGCTGCTGTAGGCAGAAATGAGCCCCCCATAGCCTCCCTCGTCCAACTAAAAATCATCCAAACCAGAATTTTCGAGGTCGCTCTGCGTGTTGTGGATTTCTTCCGGCCCGGCGAAAAGACACCTCGCGGCCCTGGTAAAATTGCAGCCGCTAAAGCTGACCCCAATTTAACACACGATCTCTCTCGCACTGCATACGCTGCCGTACTCGACAAAAAGGGACATCATGATCTCTCCAACATCTTGGTTGGTCCGATTGCTGTGCTCAGCTTCCCCTATGTTTCCCCTGAACATTTGAAAGCTGCACTGTCAATTTTGGCACCCAAGCCACCACAATTCCCTGCTCCAGGACGGAGGGCGAACCCCGGCCTGTACGACTTGCCTGTGCAGGAAGGATTGAAGAAATTGATATTGTTGGCCGCGAGGGTGGAAGGCAAGGTGTTCGACCAAGATCAAACAAGATGGGTTGGTGGGATCGAGGGTGGTATGGCTGGTTTGAGATCTCAGCTTGTGTCGCTATTGCAAGGAGCTGGAGCAAGTGTTACTACGACGTTGGACGCGGCGGGTAAGAGTTTGTATCTTACCCTCGAGAGCCGCAGGAGTGTTTTGGAAGAAGAGCAGAAGGAACCTGGGACTGGCGTTCAGAGCGCGGGTGAAGGGAAGGCAGATGGTCCAAAAGAGTAGGAGATAATTGGATCCCTTTTCTTCTTCGTTTTTGCTTTATTTTTTTTTGGTATCATTCTCCCGATACATACCGACTTTTTGCCTCTATATCTATTGTACAATATACACCATACCAGACATTTTATCCAATCCTGGTAACCAAACCAGACAATAAGCTGACATCTTTCCGAAAATCAAATGTAATAACCAAATCCAAAGGGAAGAGTGTCCATACTTTTGCTCGGCACAATTTATCTCTGCTGCATCATGAGCCTGGAGTTCATACCAACGATACACCTCACGAGGTCCCAGTCCCCGTCTAATCCAACCCAATCGCACACTGCAATTCCCGTAGACCAATCCCCTTTCTTCCCATGATGCTTGCGACACAAATAATCCACCGCCGCAGGATTCACTCTTGCCGCAATCTTCTCCGGCCAAGTCGTAACATTCCAAAAGTTGCTCGCGCTTAGGAAATTTATATAAAACGGAACTCTGTGATCTCCACGATCATCATTATTAACTCTTTCTTTTCCGATGACGCCAAATGGATAGCGCAGCTCCGCCGCCCTTTCAAATTGAGAATTAACATAGTCTATTTTCCGCGGAATCATCGTTCTATCAAGTACCCGGTAGAAGTCCTGAATGAATAAATCTCCGCTTGGACAAACTGCAAATGGGGTGTTATCTGGCAAGTCTTCAGCATCAATGCCCCAGCCCAATCCTCCCCATTCTTTCTTCAACCGCTCCTCTAAACCGAACCGCCGGATCAGCACGATCTTGCCCCGGGATTCGCCAAGTGTTGGGACACGAGGCTCCGTGTACCACTTACTCCCGTCATACGCGTAGTGGTCCCAGAGAATGCGACTAAGTTGCTCATCAGTGTGGTTCCCCGGCCCTTCCCGCTTCACAGACATAATGAGAGTTTCAGAAGGGTTTTCCGTGATGAATGATTCAACTTCGCTAACGAGGTCGCGGAAGTATTTGGGTCCCGAAAAGGAGATTGGGAATACGCCATGGACAAGCAGCAGTTTGTCCTCGCTTGGTTCGTTAGGGAATCGGGGCTGCACCCGAATATCAAAAAATCGAATGCCATTTTCTAGTTGTTCCCGAGAGCTGACAGCCTGGCAACGGACTGAGGGTGCAGCTAAATGGTATGCTGAGGAATTATGCGTACCGGGAATAGAAAGGGCAGAAAGATACGTTTCATCAGTGAACTCGCGCATCCAAGCATTGAGGTTGGCACAGGGGTATATCGCAAGGTGTGATTCCGGGATTATATAAATTCCAGTAAATCGGAAACGGGGACTGTCAACAAGCGGTTTCGATGTGGCGGACTCCAAAGTGGGTGCAGTGATTTGAATTTGATGATTCTCGCCTTCCGCTTCAAATATCAGCTGCAAACGCTCCTTATCTGACTTGTCGAAAGCCCGGATATCCGTTTTCACAGAGTGGAAGGGTTCGATCCGAATTGACACGTCCTGTCTAACAAAAGGATCGGAATTCTGCGTCGAGGTGTCTGCAACTGCTGCAGATCCGGTCACACTGTTCTTCAATTCATTTTTCACCTGTTTAGTGTCGCATTTTAGGACGTTAAGGACCAGGAACCGATCAACATGGTTCAATATTAGTGTTGTTGGTGTGAGGTTCCGGACGGTCAGGTATTCTGCGACCATGATGCACACCACCACTATCTGGGAACTAAGAAATACCCTCCAAGTTCAATATCTTGATAACTGCTTGTATTCTAAACATCAGTCTCGTAACCCGGTATTCTTTGAAAAATTGTTCATAAATGAGATAAATAAAATACCCTTCAACCAAGTTCGAACTAACCTGAAGTCATTGAGCGACAAATAACCTTGAAATTTGAACTTCTTTTTATCTTGAGCTTGAATGAGAGAACTAGTAGTCACTCCATATGATTGAATGATATTGACACTGGTTGCCCGCTTTTTTCAGATGCCCGTTTCATCCATCATCAGGCTCAGGGCTCAACGTGAATATAAGAAATCATAGGTCAAGAAAAAATGAAGCACGCATATTCTAAAAAAATATGGGTTCTCAGATTGACAAAATTGAGCCTGGGTCAATCATCAGAACTCACAGTGTCCAACTCAATCCAACGGACTGGAGGAATAGACAACAGAATAACTGGTTACGCCAAGGTTCGAAGGATTTCCCTTTGCGAAATAGCTCCACATCTCCCCTCCCCAACTCGGGGTTTGGGGCATCTGAATAGATTCACTGATATGTGCCGAAGTAAATTACGTTGCACATGGTTATTCTCATAACAAGAACAAGGGCAAAGCTCCTGTTCGCGTAATCCACATATTCTAACCGCAGGCCGATATACTTGGGCGGGCAGGTGCAGATAGATGGTTTTGAATTGCAGCTTCGAAGGCACAATGTCACATGATCGGCCTTTCCAAAAGAAAAAAAATGCTTTTAAGCCTCACCACCAGCAAGCATTTTTGGATAACGTTGCAGACTTCATGGCGTCCGGCTTCATGACTATGCTCCTCTAACTGCCACTATTTCTACCAATTGAAGCGGCTCCCTCTCCTCTTGATTCCTACTTCCTCCGGGCAAGCTTTGGACGCCATCATAAATTTATCCCCTTACCACTGGACGGCTAAAAACCGTCCAGCCGAAGCCAATCGTCATGGAGCCGCCCCCGTTGAGTACAAAGGACCAGTCGCTCTTCCGTCAAGTCGTCCGCCATTGTGAAAGTAGACAGTATAAAAAAGGTGCGTGACTACCTTATAGGCCAATTTTTACCTGCGCAGCTTTCTGACTCCGCGGGACACAGGTATAAAGGCTGCGGATCAAGTCCTCCGAAGAAACCCGAAGCATGGAGAAACTCAAGCCATGAAAGCCTTGATACTCAGCAATCAAGGACATCAAGAGGAAGCGTTTTCATTGGCAAGGCTGGCGATTACAAATCATTTCAAATCCCACATCTGTTGGCATGTCTATGGGTTGTTATATCGCGCGGAGAAGAATTATGACGAAGCCATCAAAGCTTACAAGACCGCTCTTAAGTTTGACTCGGAGTCCCAAGCTATACAGCGGGATCTGGCTCTCCTCCAAGCCCAAATGCGCGATTACCAAGGCTATATTCAAAGTAGGACGACTATGCTGCAACAAAAACCAGGTTTCCGCCAAAATTGGACAGCTCTGGCCATTGCTCATCACCTCGCGGGAAATTTGGCGGAGGCTGAAAACGTTCTTGCAACTTACGAGCAGACTCTGAAAACGCCTCCGCCGAGATCGGATATGGAACATTCGGAAGCTGCCCTCTATAAAAACTCTATAATTGCTGAAACCGGGAACTTTGAGAGAGCGCTGGGGCATCTAGAAGAAGTGGGCAATAGTTGCTTCGATGTCCTTGCAGTAATGGAAATGCGTGCGGATTATCTGTTGCGACTTGGGAGGAAAGAGGAAGCGGCCGCGGCTTATGAGGCTCTGTTGGAAAGGAACTCGGAAAACTCAAATTACTATGAAGCCTTAATCAAAGCAAAGGGCATCGATCAATCCGACCATAAGGCGCTGAGAGCCATATTTGATGAATGGGCCGAGAAAAATCCAAGGGGTGATGCCGCTCGCAGAATTCCTTTGGACTTTTTGGAAGGCCAGGATTTCCGAGAAGCGGCGGATAATTACCTTGAACGAATGTTTCGCAGGGGAATCCCATCTACATTTGCGAATATCAAATTTTTATATACAAACAGCGATAAGAGGGACATTGTCCAGGAACTTGCTGAAGGATACGCAAGCGGACAGCTTGGGTCGCAAATGAATGGTTCAGCAGAGAAACAAACTAACGGGGATGCTTCTATGTTCGAAAGCTCGGTTTACTATTTTCTTGCGCAACATTACAATTATCATCTCAGCCGCAACTTGGGAAAGGCCGTTGAGTATATCGAGAAAGCAATCGCGTTATCTCCAAAATCTGTGGATTATCAAATGACCAAGGCCAGAATATGGAAACATTATGGCAACATCCCGAAAGCAGCTGAACTCATGGAAAAGGCGCGGTCATTGGACGAAAAAGATCGTTATATTAACTCCAAAGCAGCAAAATACCAGCTCCGGAACGATGAAAATGAAAAAGCGCTTGACAACATGAGTAAATTTACTCGTAACGAGACAGTGGGAGGGGCGCTCGGTGATCTTCACGAGATGCAATGCGTCTGGTACCTGACCGAAGACGGAGAGTCCTACTTACGTCAAAGAAAACTTGGACTCGCGCTGAAGAGATTCCACGCCGTTCACAATATTTTTGATGTATGGTATGAAGACCAATTCGATTTCCACAGTTTTTCTCTAAGGAAAGGAATGATCCGCGCATATGTCGATATGATACGATGGGAAGACCACCTGCGTGATCACCCATATTATGCTCGCAGTGCGCTCGCCGCTGTCAAAGCTTATATATTACTCCATGACCAACCAGATCTAGCTCATGGCCCAATCGCTCGTGGAATAAATGGGAACCAGGAGGGAGAGATCGATAGCGCGGAGCGAAAGAAAGCTCTCAAGAAAGCCAAGCGTGAGCAGCTGAGGCTTGAGAAAGCGGAAGCGGAAAAACGGGACCTCAAGAAGGCGAGCAGCACTAAAGGAGGTGACGGGGAAGCAAAGAAGGAGGACCCTGACCCTCTAGGAGCAAAGCTTGTTCAGACCCCCGAACCATTAAAAGATGTTATGAAATTCTTGACTCCCCTGTTAGAATTTTCGCCTAACAATATAGAAGCGCAGACAGCTGGCTTTGAAGTTTACTTCAGGAGAAGTAAGTTTGTAGAATCTTTTATTCCAAAATCGTTTTTCCATGACTAACTCCAACGCTCCAGAAAAATATCTCCTTGCTTTAAAGTGTCTGCTCGCCGCCCACTCCATCGACCCCCAAAACTCCATTCTTCACACTCAAATGGCCCGCTTCAGGAAAGCAATTGACACACTCTCCGAACCCCTCCCCTCAGATGTATCTAAGGTCATTAGCGCGGATTTTGATCCGCTGCTTCCGAAAACCCAAGACCTGACAAAGTGGAACGAATCATTCCTTTCCACCCACAGCTCTAGCGCTCCGCATGTCCACGCCGCTCTATCAGTCCGCCAGCTCCTAAGCCCTGACTCGAGATCCCAGGGAGAGGAGCTGCTCCTCTCTACAGTTGACTTCAAAAACACCTCGCTTGAGGATGCCCTCGCAGGCCTTCAACTTCTCGATGACTGGAACAGCGGTCAGGATGCCAAGATGGCATATATAAGTCAAGCTCAGAAGAGATGGGCCGAAGCATCGGCATTCCAGCTGCAGCATGTCCAGTAGAGACATGAACGACAAGAGAAAGAAAAAGAAATGATGAGGTCTTACAGCTTCATTCATCCATCAACTCTATAGTCTTGTCACACAACGTGGAGAAAATATATTGACGATTTATTCCTACATCTCTTTCAACTCCTACATGTGTTCTCACAATGTCATTATGTTTAGAAGCAACCTTGGTCTCAACCTTTGGAGTATGAGTCTCATGTTTTTCCTAACGGCAAACTGCGTGGTGTACTGGGATAGCCAAAAAACGGAAATCATGATGTGTGTTGACTTAATACATGGATTTTTTGCTCCATTTTCCGTCATTGGGATAATTTCTTTGTGCAACATATCTGCACCTTGCGAAAACCGTGATATGTTGAGACTCGAGAGGGAACATTTATCTCCCCATGTAAATTAAATTGCCAGGAAGCTATCCTGTGCAAAGCTTGATTTTGATACATCTCACATGTGAGACAGGGCTCACTTCGTGCTTGAGACAAAATCTAATTTAGCAGCATATAGGGCGGAGGAAAATGCATACCGACTTACACCCTATTCTCAACATTTATTCTTCTACGGTCATGAAATGCAGCGCCTACATGACCACCAGGCTCAGCACCCATCCATGTTTGAAAAAAACGAGACATAAAACAGGAAACGATTATATTATATTGTACACAGGATATCTAACATATGCGCCCATATATGCAGATAGGTAAACGAGATGAAAATGTACGGAATACATCCCTCAAATGCTATATCGAACCAACCAAAACCATCTATCACTCCCCATCCACCTCATCCAAGTTCCCAATGATGACTTTCGGCCGTCCATCATCTTGTTCACCCCATCCATACGTATTCCAAATCCGTTTCCAAGCCGGGATATGAACAGGCATGTCCTCCCCGCGAATCCATTCCGTCCCTTCACTGATCCGCTGCGCTCTATCTTCCTCTTCGGCGGGGAGATCAAATTTGCGCATGCGGGATGCAATGCGAGGATCCAAGACGATATCATCTAACCATTCTCGCTCCTTAACGTCTGGATGTTCCTTTTGCTTTCGTACGGATTTAGGCCATTCTTGCTCCTCGTTTTCGAGAAGGGATTGTTGTTCGTAATATTTTGAATGGGGTTGGGCAAAGGAGGAGGATGAATCTGGTAATGGCGGAATATCGTCAGCAGTCGTGTGAGAGGAGGCAGCATATCCGGAGTCTGTCGCGTTGTGATTTTCTGCGTATGGTCGGGTTGATGCGGCCAGGACGATAGCTGCAACGTCTCGACCAATGGCGTCAGCAAGGAAGCGTTGGGTGAGGAAGCGGTATATGCGAATCGGCGTATTAAGGAATCCTAATATATGGGGGAATGCGACAGGGGATGCATCAATTTCCGGTGGGGTAGAAGCTGCGAGCTGTTGAGAGGGGTAGGTGGCGGGGAAGATATACGCTGGGGTAGGACCGGTCGGTTTTTTGGTTTCATCTTTCTTCTCTTCCGGTTTCTGTTCCAGTGTAGGCTCTGTCTCTTGGGCCCCTTGAGGCTGCTCTGAAACACCGGAAGAGCCGTCGTCCTGAGTAGCTGGCTGAGATTTCGCATCTGTCGGCGTTGCCTCTAGATAGGGAAAGGCATCTGGTTCAGTGGCCGGGGAAGCAATTGGTCCTAACCACCCTTCGTGAATACCACGGATATATTCCTTCCATGCATGACGACCGATTACCACATCCCCCTTGATTACAGGCTCGTCCTCGATGCCGAAATTCTGTCGAATTTGTTGAAGGAAACTGTCTGCCTCATCTTCCTCAATGGGGTGCCCTTCGCCAGCTTGCCGCCTTGTTTTCCTGATCCTGTTCGCAATGGCTGCACGGATATCTCCTTCTCGTCGACCCTCCAGCACCTCATAGTCCAACGCCCCAGCAACTAAAATGGGTTTTATATATTCCTTAAAATATTCTCGAGCGCTCCTCAGTCCATCACCCGGCGGAGCAGCAAGGAATATTGTAAGTTTTCGTCTAGCTTGATTAGGCCGTAAGGGTTCCTTAGCAATATGTGCAACTAAGTTGGACCATTTTTCTTGCGCTTTCCGTTTCTGTCTGCGGTCGTAGATCAGGGCAGTGGTAAATGAGCCGGTAATGGACAGGAATATGAGCCAATTTCTCGATGGCAACTTGAATCGGATATTTGGCAGCCCTATTTTCAACGATATTAGTACCGTTTAGGTTACAAATCCAGGTATGTTACATACCGAGCATGCGGAGGGCAGGATTCTGCGGTTTTGGAGGGGGGGTAGGTTTCGTGGTTGATTCCGCCATATCGCTCCCAGAGAAATAGCAGCACAGTTATGTAAATAAATATATATATATATATTATATACAGAAATTAGCACAAACCGTGGAACGACCGGCAAAGTCAAAGCCGTGCGCTATTCAATATCATCAGCTTCCTGTTTCCACATCCAAAAAAAAAGTTCTTTTGAAGCTCCAATGCTGGAGATATTTTAATCCGGAGTCCGGGAAACCCCCGTGACCCCGTTTACCCAGCCAATAGAAGGCGTAGCAAGCCCGGGTAATGCTGACGTAAGGCATCTTGTTTACCGCGCGCCGTGATGATCGGCTCCGCGCTACTTTCGCAGCACTCAGGGGCCCAAAGCCTAAAACCTCAAACTCCACCCCCTCATTCCTCTCCTGATCTGCTTCTCTGAGCTGTTCGATACCCCGGGTTTGTTCGTTGTCTTCGTTCTACCTGCATACGATCCTGTCGGCTTAGGACGCGATCTTATTTGTTCGCGTCAAATCAACAGTGCGAATTAGGATTTCGTCTGGCAAAGCAACAAACCCCGAAGCAACTGGCCCCTCACTACTAGTAGGTTTCAGCCTTTGGGCAGCACAACAAAGGCTCTTTTCATTATCTTCCAACATAACCTGTTCCACCCGTTGAGTACTCTGCCAAGATGGAATCGAACAACGGGAACAACAATAACAACGACAATAACAATAACAGCCGGCTCCATTTGAATTTCGGTTTCAATGATCGTCCGTACACCGCCTCCGCAAACAACAGGGCTTATCCAACCACGCCTTCGACCTTCCCCCAGCCGATGTACCCCGGTGGCCAGGAGCATGTCGATTCTCAGAGCCCTCATACTGCCGTGGGGGGCCAAGGCTATTTCATGAACAATCCGTATGCTCCCCAGCAACCGCATGCTCCGACTCAACAGTATGGCCAACAAGCCGCGCCTTCGCCTCAGGCAACCTACCAAGCCCGTCCTGGCTACCAGACAAATGATGCGACAAATGGTCTGATTCAGCAATTTTCAAACCAGGATTTGGGAGGTGCGCCTCCTCGGGCTGGGATGTTTGGCCGCAACCCTGCTTCAGGACAACGCCCACGTACTGCCGGTGCCCAGCCGTCGCCCCAAGCCTCGGGACACGGTGGTCCGCCAATGCCAACCCGTAGCCCTAAACCTGCTGCAGAGGAGGAAGAATTGGTGAGGTGTGTTGAGAAATACTCGGAGAATGTGCATAAACGTGGCAGAGCGGCGAAGGAGCTGGTCAACGTTTTCTTCCGTGAGAACATTGAACGTGCCCGTGACCGTAATCTCCGGTGAGCTTTATATGTTTAGGAGATGCGCTTCTGCTTAGCCCACGAAGGTATTTTGTTTTGCGACTAATAGAATATTCTTGTCTCTACAGAGCTGTCAATCTTGACAAGGTCTTGACGAACCCAAGCCTTCCAGAGGCGCGCAAACGCCAAGAAGCGGAAACTGTGGCCAAAAAAGAAGCAAATTTCCTTCGCTTCATTCGGACCAGAGAAACGCCAGCCAACTTCCAAACTCTAAAGATCATTGGCAAAGGTGCATTTGGGGAGGTCAAGCTTGTGCAGCGAAAGACTGATGGAAAGATATATGCCCTGAAATCCTTAGTCAAAACAGAGATGTTCAAAAAGGATCAACTTGCTCACGTCCGTGCTGAGCGCGATATTCTCGCCGATTCAAAAGATAGCCCATGGCTTGTGAAGTTGCACGCGTCCTTCCAAGACAAGGCTTACCTTTATTTACTTATGGAGTTTTTGCCTGGTGGCGATTTGATGACTATGCTCATTAAGTATGAAATCTTTTCTGAAGATATCACAAGATTCTACATGGCGGAAATCGTGATGGCTATTGAAGCGGTTCACAAGCTCGGGTTTCTTCATCGGTAAGTTTTCTACAGTATTTCCGACTGTTCAAGGATCCTAGGTACCTCTCCTCTCCTGGCTAAAGCCTTTGGTTCTAATATGTGTTCTCTAGGGATATCAAGCCGGACAATATCCTCCTAGACCGTGGTGGGCACATTAAGCTCACCGATTTTGGTCTGTCCACTGGTGGGAAAAAGCAACACGACAATTCTTACTACCAACAGCTTCTAAAAAACACTTCTGCATCGAAAGACAAGAACCGGAACTCTGGCTTCTTCTCTGACGCTATCAACTTGACTGTGTCCAATCGTGGCCAGATCAATACTTGGAGAAAATCTCGTAGGGCTATGGCTTATTCGACCGTCGGAACCCCTGACTATATTGCACCCGAAATATTCAATGGACAGGGCTATACCTATTTGTGTGATTGGTGGTCTGTCGGTGCGATCATGTTCGAATGCCTCGTGGGGTGGCCCCCATTCTGCGCCGAAGAGCCTACGGATACGTACCGGAAAATCGTAAACTGGCGCGAGTGTCTCTGGTTCCCTGACGAACTGACACTCTCTCATGATTCGGAACATTTGATTAGAAGGTAACACCATTCTGAACGACCACCATTTTCGGAAATTAGGAACAAGCTAACAAGATTGGCCTAGCTTCCTCTGTGACCCTGAACACCGCATTGGTCGAGAAGGCGGCGCCCAGTTCGGAGCTACACAAATCAAAAACCATCCGTTCTTCCGTGGTGTGGTCTGGGACCAGCTTCGCAAGATTCGTGCACCATTCGAGCCCAAACTCACCTCGAATGTGGACGTATCGTACTTCCCAATTGATGAGATCCCACAAGAGGACAACTCAGCCCAACTCCGTGCTCAGGCTCGCGCCATGCCAGAAGAGCAGGAAGCTGAAATGAGCCTTCCATTTATTGGATATACATTCAAGGCCTTCAATGCCTTCCAAGCAAGCTAGATTTAAAATGTATTTGTTTCATTTTTTTCAAGAGTTTTATCTAAAACCAAATGAATGAATACTGGTGGTAGTATGAATCCATCTGCTTGAGTTGCGGCGTTGTTTCTTATTGCCTCGTTCATTTCCTTTTTTTTATACCATTTTATGGTTGACACTCCTTCCAATCAACGAAGCCTTCGATGACCACCGAATTACGACCAACGACATACTGCCACTTCACGAACATGTTTTTATCCTACATTCCTTATTTATCTCCTCTAGGCCTCTCTGGCGCATTTAGCTAGGTTTTCCGTCCGTTCATGTGAGGTTAATCTGTTCAGCGAGGTACGGAGTGTTTTGAACAAGCTAGGTGCTTGTCAATGGTCAAGGCCCTAAGCTTTTTGCATGTCTTAAGCCTCCTGGTAATAGAACTTTATTCAATCGTAGCCTATTTCATAGGCCATCCTCACTCTCTCATTCGGAGTAGATGGTATCAACTATTGCAACACAATGAATTTTCCCTATATATGGACATAGCTGTGAATAGGACTGTGACCCTAGCAGTTCCACTATCATCGCGTCTCAAGCAAACGAAGTAAACTTTGGAGAAGCAAATAAAGAGTCATATTTGGTGAGTTTAAATAGATCATCCGCATATTAGGGTATTTGTAGGCCACAATTTCAATTATTTACTGCAGGCGCCGAAATTCCATTGGCAAAACTCCACAAAATACCTAGAACTCCATTGGGGAAAAGAAAATAGGTTTTTTAAAAAAACACAGGCTCAAAAACCAGGAAACTCCCAGGAAACGGACCTCCCAAGACAAACACCTTTGTCTCATCTTCGTACAGGCGCAAGACCCGGCACACCAGAATACCGCTCCTCCCTCTCCGTTTTGAACATAACCTGTATCCAAAACTCCTTGCTATCCTCGTCAAACCACGTCCAGAACTTCCCCTCACTTCTATCCACCTCCCTGGCTTGCAACTTGAAGCCGCATGTCTGATATGGCTCCGCCGCAACCAGCAAATATTGAAAATTCTTATCCGGAGGATCGTCAACCTTCTGCTCAAAGGCAGACATAAACCGTACTCGTGGCACCTCCCCCGGCGTGATTTCCTGATACTGCAGCTGGAAGAGCAACCCGTGCTGTCTCGTGAGCGGATCTCTCGTCTTGGTGATTTTGTATCCGGGCCGGCCGATCTTGACTGTGTTGCGCTTCACCTGCACCCCCATGGCGGCGGGCAGGAGGGAGCCATCTTGGCCCTTACCCTCTTTCTGTTCGCGGGCAGCGCGGCGGGCAAGATTGGTTTGGTGTTTGCGGCCCTGGGTGTGTGCGAGGTAGGAGCCGTCGTTCTGATGGACGGTCAGACAGAGGCGGCATTCGAAACTGCCTACATGGTTTTTGAAGAAGTAGGGATCTTTTTCGAGGTCGATGTTTTCGAGCGCCAGTTTGCGGAGTCGTTCGCGCCGGTCGGCGTTGGTGGCGGAATGGGAAGCAACTCCTCCGCCGCCGAATTTGGAGCCTGCGCGATTCTGTTGGAGAATGGTTAGGAATTTCTTGAGTTAAGAGCGGCAAAAAGAAGCTGTATATAGGTTTTAACAGACCTGGTAATCCATGATGAAGAACCTGAGGGGTATGCTATTATTATTTTGGGTTATCCCAACCTTGTCCGTTGTTCTTGCAGGAGTTCAAAGATTTGGCTAACTTTATATCACGTGGTTTTTCTTGATGCCTCTCGGATTACTCGATCCAGGTTAGTGTAGCCACCAAGTCCCATTAGCATTTTGGCCAATGATATATCCTCCAACGTTGTTAATCTTGTCTGCAACTATTATCGACAGCATATATCTGCCTCAAATATTCTTTTAATTATTTCAAATATTTTCTTTTTGGATTCCCTATCTCTGTAGCTTCATTTCCTGCTCTTACAGAAACCTTAATGACGTATACTTATTGAGATATTGTATTACGAGGATGTGATATTGAGATGCTGTTTTGGGGAGATTTTGCGCTCTACCTACCTCCATATTATATATGTACTAGCATCTATGAATATCTAGCGGTATTGATTGATGATATGAAAATCTGTGATATACAAATTCCCCTTGCTGTCTTCCTGCATCCATACGATGTAAAGATCTAGTGATATATATTTTTTGCTTATATGAACATTGTTGTACCAAAAAGGTGATATTATTCAACGGGATACCTCATTTCTATAATAGACATTTGGCTATAGGAATCAGTTCTATCAAGAGATATATCAACTTTTCATAACTTCTCGTAGCACAGAATTGTTGAAGCTACGAACAAAGTGTAGTTCTGATCTTCATCTTGGCGGGGCATCAGACATGTAATAAGCTAGCGCCAAACGCGCGGACGCTTCAGCATATCAACAAACTTCACGAATTCTAGACTTATAGTTAACCAATTCTTCAGTAGTAGTCTTGGATTGATTGACCTATTTCCATTACTAAATACCAGAACCCTTTAATACCCTACAACTCCATTTTAACTTTAAGATTTAAACGGCGCAGCATGGGCATCTCACTCGGCTCCAGGCTTTCCTTTGAGGGCGGACTCTGCACAGTTCGCTATATTGGTGAGGTCAAGGGGACGAAAGGGCAGTGGCTGGGTGTAGAGTGGGATGATTCAACCAGGGGCAAACATTCAGGAGAACATGACGGGGTGAAATATTTTCAATGTATGGTATAATCAGCCATCCCCCGCCTGTCCCTCAACGATAGAGAGAGAGCTTACTAGTTTATTTACAGGCAAAAGCAAGCATCCAACAGCGGGTTCTTTTGTACGCCCAACGAGACAGGCTGATCGAAATCTGAGTTTCTTACAAGCTGCAAATGAGAAATATGTTTCAGAACTTGAGCCCGTGTCTTCTGGTCATGAAGACCTCCTATCATCCAAGCCGATTGAGATCAGCGGCAAAATTGTTGAAGAAGTCGGTTTTGAAAAAATTCGCCGGCTGCTTGCAGAATTGCAGGAGCTTCGAATCGTTCTTCTGGATGGCATGCGTGTTTATGGCGTGCTGGCCGGTGAAGGAAGCCGAGAAGAATACGAAAATGAGCTTAAAATAATCGCAAGGACTTGCCCGAAAATCGTCGAGCTGGACCTCAGTCGTAATGTCCTTCGAAGATGGACCGATGTGGCAGCTATATGCGAGCAGCTAAAACTTCTAAAGATTCTTAAGTTGAAGTGGGCGAAAAACGAATAAGATCTTCCCAAAATCGCTGATACCTGCTAATTCTCTCTCACAGCGGGAATCGTTTTGACGAAATTGGCGAAAATATAACACTTGACGGTATTGCCGAGTTAGCCCTGGACGAAACTCTTATGGAATGGAAGGAGGTAAGATCTAAAGAAATCCCCAGTTGAACATGTGCTTAATATCCTGTTTTAGGTCGCCGCTGTTTCGAAACAGTTTCCGTCGTTGCGGTCATTATCTGTCTCCGGAAATGAATTTACGTCGCTTCCATGTCCAATATCAAGCACAATCCAGGAGCTTATACTGGAATATAATGGCTTCGAGTCTATCCATTCCATTCGGCAGTTAGCCTCCCTGTCCGAGCTGAAGAAGTTATCCCTTCGCGGAAATATGATTAGCAGGATTGGATCTGACAATCCACCAACGATTCCAGAAAAATCCAACATCGTGTTTTCATCCACTCTTACTTCCCTTGACATATCATTTAATAAAATAAGCCACTGGTCATTTATCGACATGCTTCCTAGGGTGTTCCCTGGGCTCGCTACTCTTCGAGTTTCCGATAATCCGCTATACGACCAACCACCGGCTCCTTCCCGCGTCACAAATATGCCCGAGTATCCAATGACTGTCGATGAAGCATACATGCTCACTCTCGCCCGCCTCCCTCGGCTCGAGACTTTAAACTACAGCAAAATCACAGACCAGGATCGCAATAATGGCGAGCTATACTACCTGTCTCTGATCCGGAAAGAACTTGCTGCATCGCCACAAAGTGAAGAAAATCACATCTTAGAATTGCACCCGCGATACAGAGAGCTATGTAGTACGTATGGAGAGGTCGAAATAAACCGAGAAACAGAGAGCTCTGGAAGTGGAATACACCCTCGATCTCTTGCGGCTCGACTCGTCACCTTTAACTTCTACCTACCCGACCGTCAAAACCAAAAGCCCATCTCTCAGAAACCAGACATGACTGCTAGTGCTGAATACAGTACAAATATTCCAAAGTCGTTCGATGTCTACCGCATCAAAGCTCTTGTCGCACGGCATTTCTCACTCTCCCCCCTCCGTTTCAAACTAGTGTGGGAAACAGACGAGTGGGATCCGATCGAGGAATCCTGGGCTGATGATGATGAATGGGATAGTAGTGATGAAATCGACGAACCTGGTCCACAACACGGTAGCTCAGCCTTGAAACACGAGGATGGCAAGAAGCTCATACGGCGTGAGGAGGAGCTAGTGAACTCAACGAGGGAGGTTGGGTTTTGGTTTACGAACGAGACTCGACAAGTTAGGGTGCGGATAGAGTCGTTCTAGATAGCTTGGTTGTTGTCGGCTGAATTATAGATATATTGCCAATGTAAGTGAAGGAGAATGCACCAGTACCTTCCAATACATGTCCACCGAAGCACCACCGCAATTTCATTTTAATATCAATTATATACATAAACATATTTATATGAATATTTTTTCACTCTCTTTCCTTAAATCAGTGAATTGGGTCTTTTGCTCACAAAAAGGCAAGTGTTTTAGTCTCCTCGTTGACTGATGAATTAGTATTATATAAGCAAGTACATGCCTAACACGCCTTCCTTACCATCCGTCAACCATCGCCACGAACGTTCGTCCTTGGCATCCTTCTCCGAGCACGGGTTCAATTTCCATACTGACAAATGATTGCTTTAATCGAAGCTTGTCATGTCAGAATACTGGAAGTCCACAGTAAGTTTGCTGTCTTTGTGCTCCACATCTCCCAAAAACTTTCCCTCGGCTACATGGGCAGGTAGAAACTAACACGAATTAAACCTTCCAGCCTAAATACTGGTGCAAGCACTGCAAAACCTACGTCCGCGACACTGCCTTCGAGCGCACCCAACACGAAGCCACAGGTAAACACCAGGGTAACCTCAGGCGCTTCCTGCGCGATATCCACCGCAACAACGAACGCGACGAGCGGAAAAATCAACAAGCGAGGAATGAAATCGAGCGGCTGAAGGGTGTTGTCTCTGGATCGTCCAAGACAGGAGAGCAACAGCGCCCACCATGGAAACATGGGCTAGGGGGCGGTTCAGGCGCAGGTCCAGCTACGGGTGCAAATGCGGAATCGAGCGCATCTCTCTCTGCAAACGCAGAGCAGCGGAAGCGTCAACTGGCGCAGTTAGTGGAACTCGGAGTTGCTATCCCGGAGGAGTTTAGGCCGCATTTGGCGCTCGCGGGAGATTGGAAAGTTGTTGAAGAGACAACAGCGGAGGAAAAAGGGCACGAGCAGGATCCTATGGCTGGGTTGAATATTGGCGTCAGGAAAAGAAAGTTTGAAGGACAGGAGGAGGAGGAGGCTGCGGGAGAGACGGTGATGAGGAAAGGGTGGGGATCGACGACAAGGGCGTTCCCTGATGATGGGAAGGATATTGACGCTTTGTTGGAACGAGCGACGGAGCTGAAAAGGAAGGGGCCAAAGATGGAGACACCAGATGTTAAAGCGGAGCGGGAAGGCGTTGTCGACGGCAGTATCGACATTGCGACCAGGAAGGAGAACCCAGCCGCTAATGATGGGGATGTTCCTCCAATTAAAAGAGAGGAAAGAGGAAATGGGTCGACGATTGCTGGGACCAAAGAGAAAGGGGATGCGAAGGATGTATCACGATCGGCTTCAGAGGCTTTGGGGGAAACTTCTGAGGGCATCGTACCTGCCGTGGTTTTCAAGAAGCGCAAACCGAAGCATGCCAGGTGATTTTGTTAATTCGACTGGCTACGTAACAACGTTCGCATATCTCTATTTACTTGGATGAAATTGACCTCCATTCCCCGGTCAAAGATACTACGACGTGCCCGTACCTTCATGGTATATAGCAATGGGGCTAGAACCCCATAACCTGGGGACGTGTCCACGGCGCTTCGATTGTCCACTCCTGGGCTATACCACTTGACTAGACGCCTCCCTATTGTAACAAACGCAAGACAGTTTTCGAGCTTTCTTTGTGTATTACAGCGAACTAACCGGCGCACCTAATACCGTGGAACAGCACCTACTCGTCCCATGCATGCGTATGGGGACTTCCTAAGTGGAATATGTGTGCGCGCAGGAATGAAAGCCCACCTTTGAGCAAGGGCAATCACATATTTGTGAACGAATGTATGAAGCACTTAACTCCATTGCAAGCTTCTGCTAGAGTTTGTCAATATAGTGCTTTGAGCACCTCAGCAGCTCGCATCAATGCATTGCCAATTTGTTGATTAAGAATCCAGGATATATAAATATAATGTAAAAAAAAAAAAGTAACAACTGTTTGCACGCAATTAGATACTTGTCATCGTATTTTGAAGTTGTTGAGATAAGTTCTGTTTCAACTCGAAGCCTGAAAAGTAGGTTCGCCCACATAGTTGATATTTGATTAATTCCTGCCCAGCCAAACCATAACCGATGAAACCATAGATAAAAAGCCATTTGCCCATGCAGATATACAGAGCAGCTGTCGTTGTCCCTTCCCTTCCACTTCCTCTCTGCCTTCGTCAAAAATTGCCACTTGGGTTTTTCTTTGCGATCTCTAGCCAGCTAAGTTATTTAGTTGCTGTAACGATCTGCTGCCAAATATTGACCGTCGCCCGCCGTACTCGCCGCCATCACTTCGTCGATCTGGTAGAATATCCCGCTGTGGACACAGATCAGAACTTCTGTGGTCAGAAGAGGCCTCGACCGGCTCGCCTTCGCCCTTTTTCGCTTATCTTGGATCCATTTCCCCCAGGTACGTTGGTCCATAGAGACGGGAGGCTGCTGTGACTTGGCTTCTCGCTTGAGCTGCTCGCTTCTGCCCTTCCATTCTCCTGGCCCCAATCAATATCTATCCAGCGAGGTCCATTTCCCTCCATCCCATTGCCCCTTCCCTGCTATCGCTGCAAATGGCCTGTCGCGTTATTGGTTGTCCGCTGGTTGCTGCTTTTTGCTCCTGTGTTTTAATCATGCCGACTCAGCCCAGCTGTCGCGATCGAGCGCGTTCTTTCGCAATTTTTCCGCGATTGGGAGCTGGCCCCAGTAGTTGGTTTGCGCCCATGGTTATATCTTGCAGATAAGTCTACTGATGGCTACCCCAATTCGAGCACTGGATGACGTCTGCCTCCACTTGATGTCTTGTTAGTTTTCTGTGTATGATTAACTTCCCGTGGCAAGCCTCCTGGTTGCGATCATATCCTTACGGAAGCATTCAGAAATGCTGTAGCTTCATCGCCCAACCTCAAAACGCTATCTGCCACATACAATTACTTCTAGGCCCATGTCTTGTTATTATTATGTTCTAACTAATAGATCGCGTTGCAGTGTATGGAGCCTCAGATCCCATGTGCGACAAGTTAATCGGAGTTCGATCAGTGCGCCCATCGTTTTCCCTCCACATCCCACCGTCCTTTCGAGCCTCACTTGCCCAGTGATAAAAGTGCATAGTGTTATAACCGCCCTATAGACTGTTGCGACTGTATCCATCGCTACTGGACGTATAGGTGGTTAACCTTACTTATAGCAAGAGAGTGTTGTGTCCTGGCAGGGTCTGCGCAAAATGTCAGACACCGTGCCACCTCCCACAGGGCCTTCAACAACGGACACAGCTCCCCGAAAAGAATCAGATCCATCTCCAAATCATCACAATCCAGCTGCTACAGCATCAGCGTCTTCTGCCCCTAGCCAAGATGCCCCACATACACCGAATCCGCTCCTCAACCCCTCTCCCTCAACCCAGTCACCACAGATGCAAGCTCCAGACCCGCAGCCACCGCAACAACAACAACACTTATCGCAGCATATGGATCCCGTACACCAGCTTCAGCATTACCAGCCTCCATCAGCGAATTCACAGGCGACGATAAACCAAAACCCATTAAGTCTGCCTCCAATTCAATCAATTGAAACCCATCACCAAAATCACCAGATTCCGCAGGCCCATTCGCAAGCGTCCATCTCCTCTGCGATAAATGCTCCAATGAACATGCCCCCACCGAATATCCCCCAATACTATGCTCTCGCTGGAGCCATTCCCGGTCCCGATCCGTATCCAATAACGGGTGAACCAAACCGAGGGTTGTCTAGTGGTCGACACAAAAAGGAAGTTAAGCGACGGACGAAAACGGGTTGTCTTACCTGCAGGAAACGAAGAATAAAGGTAAGAATAGCATTTAATTAACAACGTAAATTCTACACAGACGAATGTGTTGTAAAATAAACGAATGCAGCGTTGGCGGAGGGAATCTCCCCCTTTTTTTTTGTCTGTCCTTCTGCTCCCCCGCATTAATCACTGCGTCGATGCTCGCTTAGAGCGTCGCTAAACGAAAGCTACATCAGCCTCCCCGCATTACTTTTCTTTTCCAAGGAGCTTTGAACCTCCTTTGACAAAAGTTCATATTCACTTGACACACTGTGTCGTTTTATCCCCGCCATCGTCCCCGCACTTTGCTTCCCTACCTTGTGGTTATCTCACCGTGCGCTTTTATCTACCCCTCTCTATTCATCTCACCGCTAACTGGAGCTACTTGGACCGCATAACAGTGTGATGAAAGACATCCCGTTTGTAGGAATTGTGAAAAAAGCAAGCGCGATTGTCTTGGGTACGATCCGGTGTTCAGACCGCAGCCAGGCCCGACAACTCTGCAGCCTGCGCCGTCGCAACCATCGTTACTCGGATCTCCTCAAGGCAGCCCCACGTATACCAGTGCTCATAACTCCCCAACCGGAAGCCAGTCTTTCGCGCATCCACCCCTACCAACAACAAGAGCATCATCTTCATTTTCAGTTCATCAGTTCGATTACGGAACAAACGCAATTGATCCAGCCTTAGAAGGAGCCGCGTCACCAAAGGCCGGTACGCATAACACAAGCGAAGGGGGCCAAACACCAGCTTCAGTCATGTATGGGACTGAGAACCTAGAATGTAATATCTCTTCACGTTCAACCCAATTCCTCATCTTGTGCTAATTTTCCTTTTCTGTATAGTAAAACCTGTAAAGGTTGTGGATCTCCTTTCCGTTCGCGGACATCTCTCTCCAACTCCAGAAATCACAACAATCCCAGCATCACGAATCGAGGAAATCAAACTAGTCTACATCTCATATGCGGTTGCTATTGACAAGTTTCTCGAATGCACCTGGTTTGAAACGAAAGGGATGGTCCATCTCCTGGCCAACTCCCGCCTCTTATCATATTACTCCGCCCTTTTAGATGGTTTCAACGACCGCAATATCCATGACCCTGCCGTTCTGGCACGGGTCGAGAGTCTCGAGGCCTCCGTCATTTGGGAAACGTTAACATTAACCCGCGTCGCTCGTACCAAAGAACCAGACACGAACGGAAATGGGACAACAACCAATACCACCGATGTCGAACTCCTATACGCCGTGAAACGACTAGCCGTTTTCGAAGCCCTGATAACCGGCACATACCTGGACACGAACCCGGTGAGTCTAGACAGCTACCCGGAATGCGATCCGGCACACAGACTCCCCGGCATCGGTAACCAGATAAAATCCCGCGAGATCGAATTTTGGGAATCCGTCGGCCGTTACCTTACTATCTCCGAGGACGAAGCAAATGCACAAAAACGAAAAGAGGAAGCTTTGGCAATGGCCCGTGGGCTGCTGGATACTTTTGAGAACCGCGATGTTATCTATTCTATCGTCATTGTGCGGCATATTGCTAAATTCCAGCCGCGGAAACTAAAGCAGACAACTGCCAGCACGGATGAGAAGGATGCCGCCGCGAAGTTGTATGTTGCTGTTAGGTTCTTGGAGGACGAAAGCCATGGTAAAGGGACGAACCAGGTTATCAAGCGGTTAAGCGGGATGGTTGTCAAATACTGGGAGGATCCACCAGGGGCCTCATAGTCAATTGGAGTTTTATATTTTATATTTTCTCCAACCCTTTTTTTTTCTTTTAAATTTAATTATATGAAAAATGGGTTATTCTCTCTTTTATCTTCGTTGTATTTCTTGTTTCAATTAATTATTTGGATGAATGGGTTGGTTGGGATGTGTTTTCATCTTTATCGACCCTTTTTTTTTTCTCTAACATACTTTGCTACTTATTGTTACTATTTATCCTGTATAACAACAACAATTGTTAAAATTTAGTGGTGAAGATTTGATTTAGATTCTGATTTAAATTTTCTCCTGGCTATCTGTTTCTGATATTGGTTGATTATAACTGACAACGCCAACACGACACAGCAGGCGTGTTCAGGATTGCAGGATGCATCTCCCCGGCCCCCTTTCTCGCCTTTTCCTTTCTATCTCGGACATGTCGCTCTATTTTGCAAATACGATATGTTTTATTATTGGCCTAATTGACAGCGGGTGAACATAATAATTCAGTTGAACTTGCGTATAATCAATTCGATAACTGCAGCCAGTGCAAGAAAGTGGATTGGCTTTGGGCACGGGCAACGACCAGTTCCCGCACCCTAACCCTTACCCCTGCTCCAATTCGAGGTCTTATAAAAGAGAGAAAACGACAAGTCATAGTTAGTTAAAGGAACGGCAATGATGTAATGGAAATTGGCCCGGAAAACTGTCAGCGCGTACACAGGGGGATATGGGAACATCGGTTAAATGCATCATGCATGCGCTGTACCTTGGAACAGAGGCTTTAACGTTGCATATCCAGATATAAATAATTACTATTATATAGGCAGCAGATGACTAGTTAGTTATGTAGGGAATGACTTTACAAATCAAAAATAATAAAACAGTCTTTCCTCCCTTGCTCGCATAACGAGACCGCCCCAATTTGTATTTGCGTATTCGCTTTTTGGCTCCCTCCTCCATTTTATTTATAGCCGTATATCACCTAGGTGTATTATTATATAGTATACTCGGACAGGCGTGGGTGTTCCCCAAGAAGCAAAAAAACAAAAAGGGATAGAAAAAAATGTGAAAGGGCTATCTATATAGCTGGGTTGAGGATAAATACTGCATTTCACGATACCAGCGACATCTCTCCCTGTTCGGGAACGGGAGATTTCAACTTGCCCTTTTCAATGGCCTGGCGCACATTGTCGATCGCCCATTCTTCCATGGCTGTTTGGGTCTATACAACAAGGTGTTTCAGTCAGTAACCGCGATCTCTGGTGTGGCCAGCCCCCCCAAAATTACGTTACCTCGACAGTGTAGGTGCCCATATGCGGCACTAGCATGACATTCGGGTTGCGCAAGAGGCCCGGGTGCACATTGGGCTCGTCTTCGAACACATCTAGGCCGACAGAGAGCACTTTGCCACTGTCCAGCGCTTGGACCATGGCATCTTCATCGATGACAGCGCCGCGGGCGGTGTTTACGACGACCACGCCTTGTTTCATCTTGGCGAATTCGGCATGGCTAATTATGTGCCGCGTGCTTTTCTGTGGAAGAATTCAGCAAATGGAAGAAGAAAAGGAATGGAGAGGGTTGTGTGCGTGTGTGCGAAAAAGGGGTGGGGGAATAAAAGGGTAGATATTGTTGGGAAAGAAAATGCGGCGGGCTGAAATTCAACCAAGACAGAAAGAAAGAACAGCCAGAAAAGAAAGAAAAAGAAAATACACCCACATTCAATGGTAAATTTAAACTAATCACATCGCTCCTCCCCAATAATTCATCAAAGGATACATATTCCGCGCCGTCGGCAAGCTCATCACTCAGTTTTCTGCGGTTATGGTAGATAATCTCCAGTCCAAAAGCCTCCGCCTTCTTTTTCAAATTCCGACCGATTCCCCCCATGCCCAGGATTCCGAGAACTTTCCCTTGAGGGTCATGGCCCAGTTTTGGAGGTGGCTGGCCTTTCCATTTCCCTTCTCGCAGGGCCAGCATGCTTGTGTTAAAGTTGCGCAGTGCCCCAATTATCAAGAACATATTAACATCTGCGGTTGCGTCGTCGACGGCTGTTGGAACATTGGAGACTAGCACCGGTGGCGAGCGCGCGCTACAGGCATCAACGTCGATTTGGTCATATCCAGCTCCTGTGGGCCGTCGTCAATATCGCGATTCCGCGGATGAGACAGGCGAGAACAAATTGGGTTGCAATAGCCACTATGTCATGGGGAAACATGGACGTGAATATTGCAAAAGTGATAAAAGGAGGCAGAAACATACCGCAATGTGCAAGATATCTCAGTGATTTCGGCAGCACATTGACCAATTCCTCATCGACGAGGCCAGTGACGCTTGATGACCCAAAAGTCCGATAAGCCACGAGGACGCCATCGAGCTTGCCAGTGAGGCACTCCTGAATGAATTCGGCACGATTAGTGGCCTTTGTTTCAACAAGCTCTGCAATATCTGCCAGACTGGCCCAAGCTGAATGGGCACTTTGTAGAGATAAACATGTAATAAACCCTATCAGCATATTCCTAAAGAGGTAAAATATATATATGTATATGTAGGGGAAAGTTCTATGTATCAAATAGGAACAAATTGTGGCGTGGTTAAAGTAAAGTATACCATCATGGACAAGTCTAGCAACATAATTCCGTGCAAATGTAGAGATCGATATTGCCAATTGTCCATCGCCAGAGGAGGGACCGCAGCCAGGGGAGATGGGGATTGCAAAAGACTCACTGGTCTATCTTGCCCAGAAGCAGCGCCTTCGGCTTGCTGTTGGAACCCATAACAATTTGAATTTGTAGATTGTGGACTTAAGAGCTTGCTTCTATTTTCTATCAGTTAGTGATGGCTATGCTAATGATGGTGAAAAGCAAAAGAGAAAATAACACGCTGTACTTAAATATCTATGGTAGCTGCTTTACATCCAGTTGATCTGCAACCGGCGGTAATTTATATAAAACTGGGCGCCCTGAATGACCGACCTGCAACGGGATATGGTGTGGTCCAGGCACGGGCAAGATGTTGGCGGCGAGGGCCGCTTAAGAGTCGGCTTGTAATAATAAACTTTATAGAAGTTTTAGTTTATTCAACTCGGCTACGGGGTTCGGCACGAAATATATACGAGTGCCTAAAGAAAAGCAAAAGAGCAAAGGCCTGCATGGGACCACGTTATTTTTTTGCAGCTGGGCCCTCATCTGTCAGAGAAAATGAATATGGTTCTGACTGGAAAATCTGTTGGGAAATGGGAAACGGTGGATATCTACTACTGGTACTATCTCCAACGGCTGGCACGATTTGTCCATATCCACCTTTTGTTCCCCACATCGCGGGGAGTGGCAACATGTTGATGGGATAAGCACGGGGTCTTATTGCTAAAGCAGTTATTAAAGCCTTTAGAATATTGTCTCGTTAATATTGTAGTCCAATATAGTTTCACTGTGGTAATTGCGAGATATTTATCGGCAAAAGACACAGTATTCGGCCGAGCGAAAGGGATCTCTGGTCTGGGATGGCTCCAATTGCAAGTGAAGATGGTGTGGAATAGGCGGCTAGATATGTATCTTGCCTTGATACACGTCGAGCTTATGCATGGGATGTTGCCGGCATGAAGATAAAAAGGGTCGATATGCCCGACCAGCTCGATATCTCGAGACATTCCCGAGTATGGCTCCAAGAATAAAATACCACTTTTGATGGCCGCCAATCCACGTTGTCTTATGCGCGGCAAAATAGTATATGAACAAATGGAGACGAAGAAAAATGCCACCTCAAATCCAACTCCCAAACCATTCATCCTTCCGTCAACATTTTTGTCCAATCAAACTTCCTCCACCGTTTTTTAAACCCATCAACTCTCCCATCAGTTCCCTTGCGCCACCGTCCTTGCCGTTTAATTATATCCGGCTCCAGATCCAGCATACCACCTATAACTTCCCTGGCAAACAGATCCCCACGTGGCCACCGATTGGTATCCTCCACAATATGCCCCAGCCCGCCATCCAATTCAAACCATACGTGAAAATACGGCATCTCCTTCGCAATGGTGCGGCGGAAGGCTAACTTCCCCATTCCCGCGCGCGCCTGTGCCAGGGTGTCGATCAATTTCTTATGCTGCGTCCACTCCTCGTCAGCGGCGAGAATGGCTTCCTTGAAGAAAGCTGGGGAGGTCTCGCCAAGAGCGTAGGGGAGAGGAACGACTTCCATCGCGGCGTGGCGACGGCGTTGTGGTTGTGCTGCGTTCTCATAGAAGATCACATCTCGCCCCTGATCGTGATACATGCGCGTCAGGCTTTTCATGAAGTTTCGGATCTCCTCCCATTCGTCGTCGTCGCATTCGAGGAGATTGCTCCGGTGTTGTATCGGGACGATGCAGGCGCTCCCCTCACAGAGCTCGGGTTCTGTGGGGAGAGTGAGATATACTCTCGTTGCCAATGACACCACGGGGGCGAGGGGAGGCGTTTCTGTGTCTTCGTGGTAGCAGAGTGGGCAGCTATCAAGGATACGGTTCATCTTTTGGAATTCATTGATCGCGGTATTTTTTATGTTGATATCTGATTTTTGTACGCGTTTGGCGAGCTTCGCGGCATTCTCGTCCATATACTCAAGATCATTCTAGAGAGTAAAGAGTCGGGGGGTTAGAACTCATATCACCCTTTTGTGGAGAAATGTCGGGCGGGTATGATAAAATGAAAAATCTCACATCGAATTTTGCATCTTTCGCAATCCTCTCCGCAAACCGCTGTCCTTCACCTCCAGCCTGACCACGGGTCCTACGCTCCTCTCGCACCATATCTTCAATGGTCATATCTTCATTTTCCTGCACTTGGCCTCTTTCATTTCCTCTCTTCGTATCCACTGGTTTAACTTCTCGCCGTTCCCCTCCAGCGAGCAGCCTATTGTCCATCACACCAAGGACCACCAGATCAGGATCCTTTCGATTCGCCATAGATGCAATTGCAGCATTATATTCCGCCTCTAATTCCGCCACATTCGGCGCCTTCCGTAGCTTTGCTTTCATCACCTGTGCCTTGAGCCTATTTAGATCCGTAGAATCGAGCTGTTTCGTCTGCTGTGGAATTAGAGGCCCGGATTCAACAGATTGCCTTGAGTGCAACTGGAAACCGCTTGGATCCTCGTCTTCTTTGCGAGTTTGCCGTTCTTCTTTCTCCTTCAAACCCCTGTCGAGTTTTCTTTCTCGATAAAGCTCACCACTGGGCTTCTCTTTGCCAACATAGTCCTCACCATAAGTCTGCCTCCTCTCCAGCTCAATTTCCTCCTCCCTCGCATCGTCGAAAGAACGCAGGTCCCCAAATCGCTCAATAGCAACATCCTCAACCCTTGCCCCCGTTTCCTTCGCCTGCCTGTATACAGCTTTCAGTTTCGTCATCCGCCATTGAGAACCAGCATCACCAAAAGTATAGTCCACGTCATGTTTAGCCGGCACAACCGCATCTTTGCTATTAGGCTCCGGTTCTCCCTCTTCGTTGATATCATGTAAATGGCGATTAAGCTCTCTTTCATGCAATTTAAGCTCGTAATCCACCTGCAGCATACGTTTTGTTGATGGTTCTGACTGCTTAGGCTTGGGGCGCTGAACGTAGTCTATATCCAGTGCGGAGGGGGCTTCCATCCATGAATCGCGCTGTAGTCCTGTAGGCTCTTCTTTACGAATTGGTAGTGGAGATATATGTGAGGTCAACAGATCCGGCTCTCCCGCTTTCCCACTCTCTTCGTGCCTAGACCCGTGTTTCTGCGAACGTTCGTTGTTCCCATCGCCGTTGCTGCTGGAGTGGCGGGAGCGTTTGTGTCTGTGTCCGTTTTCATTTTCGTCTTGGTAATTGCTGTGTCGGGAGGAGTGATGGCGACGGCTGTGGTGGTGAGAGGAGTGCCTATCTTTGTCTCTTTCTCGATTTCTGTCATTGGCCCTGTCCCTATTCTTTTCCCTGTCCCGATATCTATCCCTATCTTTGTCTCTATGTCTGTGTCGGTCGCGGTCCCGGTCCTGGTCCTGGCGTTTCTCCTGATGCGTTTCCTTGCTTTTCTCTCGCTCCCTTTTCTTCTGACTTGCAGCCAGCTCTTTTTCGAAATCATCCAAAGTCATATTTTTTTAATCTGCAGGTCAAAATCGCGGACGTGGTTGATATTTCCAAATATTGGACGAGGTTTTGTTTCCTCGTTAGCGTAAGGGATTGGGGCTGTCCCAAAGCTCGGGATGACGTTGCTCCATTTTTCTTCTAAGCATCGATCAATTTTCTCCCCGCCACAAAAAACATTTCTCCGCACTGTCAATATCCCCCAACACTCAAAGCTTACTTCTTCGCCAATACTAATTGCATACCATTGCCACTATATCCTGATCATATACCAACATCAATAACCTGTCGAGGACAGCCCGCGACAATCATGGCGGGGCCCGTCGCCGTCGTCTGCGTTGGCATGGCTGGTGAGAATCAGTAGAAACAGTCGCGAGTCCCATAACAAGTCCCCCCAAATACTAACTACAATGAATCCCCAGGATCCGGTAAGACGACCTTCATGCAGCGCATCAACTCATATCTACACTCCAAACTCAAACCTCCATACGTCCTCAACCTCGACCCAGCCGTCCACTCCGTCCCTTTCGAAAGCAACATCGACATTCGCGACTCAATAAACTACAAAGAAGTCATGAAACAGTACAATCTAGGCCCCAACGGCGGTATCCTCACCTCCTTAAACCTCTTCGCCACAAAAATCGATCAGATAATATCTATATTGGAGAAGCGCACGCTTCCTCCCCCTGCTAGTTCAGATTCTAATGCCAACATCGATCCTACAAAGCCAAGCCAGACGCCGCGAAAACCCATTGAGCATATTCTCATCGACACGCCTGGGCAGATTGAAGTGTTTGTATGGAGCGCGTCGGGGAGTATCCTACTCGAGACGTTGGCCTCCTCGTTCCCAACAGTTATTGCATATGTGATCGATACCCCACGAACGAGCTCGACAAGTACATTTATGAGCAATATGCTGTACGCATGCAGTATACTATACAAGACCAAGTTGCCAATGATTCTCGTCTTCAACAAGACGGACGTGAAGGACGCAGAGTTTGCGAAGGAGTGGATGTCTGATTTCGAAGCTTTCCAGGCGGCGTTGCGTGAGGAGGAAGAAGCTGGCGTCTTTGGTGGTGCTGAAGGGGGGGCGGGAGGCATGGGAGGGGGAAGTGGCTATATGGGCTCATTTTTGAATAGTATGAGTCTGATGCTGGAGGAATTTTATCGACATCTCAATGTGGTTGGGGTAAGTGCTATGACCGGTGATGGGATCGATGGGTTCTTTGAAGCGGTGGAGGAAAAGCGGCAGGAATTCGAGCGGGATTATAAGCCTGAATTGGAGAAAAGGAGGAGAGAGAAAGAGGTGGCGAAGGAGGAGAGAAGGGAGGCCGAGCTGGGGAAATTGCTTAGGGATATGAATGTTTCTGGTTCTGGGACCCGCGATGGGCAGAAGCAAAGTCGGGAGCCGGAGACTGTGTCCGAAGCGGAAGATGATGAAGATTCGGATGAGTACGAGGACGTGAAACCTGGTGAAAATGAAGTTGACCAGAGGGACGATACTGGGCTTGAAGAGAGATATAAGCATGCCCTGGAGGAATCGGGTCCGGGTCTATCTGATCAGGAGCGGAGCTCTGCAAGATATCTACGCTCGAGTAATATTGGATGATAGACATAATTGACTTGGATTATTCGATGTATTACTCTCACAATAGTCACTTGAGTGCTTCTTATCTAGAGCTCCGCCAGGCTGGGAGCCATGTCAGGGGTTGAAGCAACTTGAAAATAAAAACAGCTTTTAGCATTGAATTTAACTTACAAAAATAGGCCAGTAAAAAGAAGAATTAACAACAGAAATAACAGTGCGAATTGATATTTTTCAAAAGCGTTTTCAGAGGAGATTTTCTGTGTTGAGCTTCCTCACACCATGCAATGCTTCGGAGAAATATGGAAAAGTGTACAGTTCAGAGTTCAGCAAGCTCTTGCCAAAATAGCCAAATGTACTTAGTGCTGTTATTGCAGTTGGCTTGAGACGATGCTAGTATATACAATTGAATATTCTTCCGTAGTATATGACCATGTTTATTGTATTTGCCTCATGATGGTAGCTCTTCGACCTCCTGTTTGCTGTATGATGTCATACCTAAAGGAGCAATGAAGCTCTGATGACTTTTCCTGCTTCCTGGTTTAGATCTCAACCATCGACGGAAACACTGCAAATACCCGATTTATGGAGATATCTCTGAGAAAAACCTGAAAAGCGGCTGTTTCCTATTGTAGGTTTCCTCAGGAGGTATCCGTTAAATCAAACCCTTTCACCATATACGCAACGAGGCAACCATTAAACTCCGTTCTTGCGTTCAACGATGGATGTATGTTGAACCGATCTATTCGAAGACTCGAACAGACTGAACGAAAGTTGACATCTGGAAATCCTCGCACAGGTCTTCTACGCATATACATACAGCACAGCGGCATGGCTAAGCCTGCAGGGCATTCCGCTGGTCGCAACTCCCAAAATGATCATCATGATTCTGCTCGATGAATCGCGTCCACCTGCGAGTATGACCCCCACCCCGCTCTCCCCAGTTACCACCTACAAGATAGATAGAAGATAGATAGGAACAAGACGGAAAGATTAACTAAACGTCGCAGTGCTCGAAATCTATTTCGCGCGGTGTTTCGGCCTAAGCCTCCTCGCCATCGCCGCCATGACCATCATGCTCACGGGCTCGATACCCCTCTCCTCATCTGCCGCATACTCCATCTCTACAGAAGAAGATGACCCTAAGGCACCCTACGCCGTGCCCACGATTCTCATGTCATCGATATTCCACGCCTCGTCAGCCTGCTACACATACGCCTGGTTCCATACGACAAGGCAGACGGGTTTTGCGCTAGCAATGGTGATGTATGGCGGGTTGGCGTCGGTGGGGCTGTGGTGTTTGTTGTTTGCTAGTAGTGATGGAAGGATTAGCAGGAGGACTGGGGCTGATAAGAGGACGTCGGGGTTCCCTTTTAAAAATGAGCAGGCGGATAAGAAGAGGCCGGGAAAGAAGATGCTCTAGGCCGAGACGAGGAGTTTGGAATCCAGGGTTCATCTCCACCTTTTGTGATCCGCGATATGCTGGTCGACGAGATGCGAGCAGATCGAGGGATATGAATTATTTCCCATAACGACGTAATTGATTAAAGGCTTAGTTGAAGTGAGAGATGCCCGTTAGTGGGTGGGATACTGGTATAAACATCAGAGCCGCGATCTTTGAGAGGAGATTGGGAACTATGTAGATGATAACTGAGTTTCTGTCTCGAGTCCCAAGCACCAAATAAGAGCCTTCATTGTCTTATTTAAAAGTGACTTGAACAATCGTGGAAGAACTCAATCCAAGTTTCAAAGAGCTAGTTAGGAGAACAATAACCACATCCTCATCCTCAGCTTTACATAACTGCATCTACGGAGTCACTCAGAAACCGACATCACTCCGTCATGATGCAGAGGTATGTAGGATATCCAGCGATGCACCCATCCAGCTGCAGCTTGTGAGGGCATCCGCCAAACCGGTTCGGGACTGAAACATTTAACCAAACCCAACTGGGGAATGACATCTCGTGCCGCTTCAAAGCATTCCCAGCAACAAAGCTCCCCATAACCCCCGAATAAGCCTCGACTCTCCGCGCCTATTCTACCCCCTACACCCCCATCCCTCTGGACATCTGGTGAACGCGCATGGAGGATTCGGCTGTCCGGCTGCAGGACAACCTGCGGAGCCTCGACGCTACAGAGGACATCCACGCGCTACACACAGACCCCAGCCTGACCTCGAGAAGCAACCGCGACTTTGAAGCAGCAGCCGCTGTAGCAGCAGCAAACGCTGCAAGCGGGTCACAGCCGTTTGATGCACTCCCGGCGGCGACAGCAGCTGTAGCTAATAACTTGCATCCGTCTACCGTTACCAGCCAAGATGGTGAGAGCTTTTTTACTTCCGCAACGCCGTTGTCTACTAGTATGTAGAAATGAAGGCATACAGCAAATCATAAAATATCTGGTAGCTGCATAATTAACTACTGGATCTGGTTTATTATTTCTTCTGCCACTAATTCTAACAAACCCATTCTTTCGTAGATGCTCTTCTCGAAAATCCAGCAACCCCTCAGTCATTGCGGCGCCCTCACCAGCAGCAACAACAGCTAACACAAGCGCATCACCAACATCAACTCCATCCCCCAAGCAATAGTAATGGATTCCTCGAACACACAAACAGTGGCACGGTCGATATGCTGGATCATCTCCAGACATCTCTTCCGCCGCATCTCTTAAACCAGTTCCACGATGCAACCCCTCCTATGGGTGGCGGCGAATCGCCATTGTCTCCTGCTATTAATAAAGGAGAACCCTACTTTAAAAATATGAAATTAATTTCGAATCCGCCCGATCTTAAAAGATGGCGGGAGCGACTGTTCAATGTTGAGGATACGATCGTCCTCAGTGAAGAAGAGTGCGTTGGGCAATCCCATGTACATGGACATGTTCATCGAAACACCTGGAGAAACCGAATCGTCACAAATCCAAAGAGAATTTTGCTAATATAAGTCCCCAATACATTTAGATTCCAAACTTACTTTCCCCACATCGACAACGTCTACTCCCACCGCTCCACCCAGAAATATAAACGCAAGCTCTTCGTCTCTCATTACTGGGACTGCCGTCTCAAGGGCCGACCACCCGGAACTCCCAAATCCCGCGACCCAAATAAAAAGAAACGCAAGCGCACAGCCCGCGAGCGCGACCTCTGCGACGTCAAGATCAAAATCACAGAGTATCTGCCCGGAGCCCTGACTACACCACCGGGTTTGGGCCCTTCCCTTCTCTCCATCAACTCGCCATCCCTTACAACCACGACCGCTGCTTCGTCAGATATGCAGCCTGCGACCAGTATCGGCTTTCCCGGCTCTGCGGACCAGAGTAATGGCGCGCGACCCCATGTGGCGGGCCATCATCCTCAGTCGCAATCACAGTCACAACTGCAATACCCGTTCGGCGTTTTAGCGCCCAGTGCGACCTTGCCGGAAGGCCACCCTGGCGCTGCGGGTGCAAGGTACTATACAATTCAGAGGGTAAATGGGAATGGGGGCAATGGGAGGACGGATGGAATTGGCGGGCCGCATCGACATACTTTGGAAGAAAGTGATAGGATTAAGAAGAACAGTGTGCAGAGGTATTTGCTGAAGGAGGAAAAGGAAAGGAAGAGGATTATGGTAAGTTGACTTTTTTTTCTTTTTTTGCCTAAATACTACAAGTGTAAAATGACGGGTTTCTTTGTTGGTTGGTGGTGTACCTAGGTATTGCGTGGAATGGATACAATTGAATTGAGTGACGATGATGCACGTCATTTCTGCAAAATTTGCCAACTTTAAGCAAAAGGGGCGTATGCGGTTGGATACTATTATTGTTCTCTTTCCCCATAGACAACACGCAAAACGTCTACGCCCTTCGCACGAAGCACGGTTTTATTATTCCCAAAAGATTTCGTTTTCCGTTTTAAATGCTAGGCAAGAGAGGAGAAAGGTAAAAATGTCTGACAACATCCAAAAGGTACAGCAGAAAACATACCACAAAAAGGCCTCCGGCTCCGCTGCCGTAACGGTCAAAAAACACGCAAAAGAAGCAGACCTAAAGCTCTTCGGAAGTTGTTTCTGGTAGGTAAATAATTATAGAGATCGCCTTGACAATTACCTCAATCCCCAACCTCCTCCCCATTCAAAACAAAGGAATTACCTCCGCTACCCACTTAATTTGCACACAGACCGAGGTTGTTTTTGTTTGGTCAATCACTAAAACTCGAAACCTAACCTCTCATATTTTCATTGATTCACTAGTCCGTTCGTTCAGCGCGTTTGGATTGCCTTGGAGGTAAAAGGGATACCCTACCAGTACATCGAGATTGATCCGTACAAAAAGCCCGAGTCATTGCTGGAGGTCAACCCACGCGGTTTGGTGCCCGCCATCCGCCAGGGGAATTGGGGATGTTACGAGAGCACGGTTTTGCTGGAATATGTATGCCTTGCTTCATTCCCTTTTCCCCCCTTCTTCCCCACCCCCCTCCTTTTTTTTTTCCGGTTCCTTCAACATAGGAACTTGTTGTGCTGACCAGTCGTTCCTCGCTTTTTGCCGTGCCTTTTTAGCTTGATGAACTCGAAGCCAGTAATCCTCTCTTACCGCCAAGAGATCCCCAACTGCGTGCCCATTGCCGTCTGTGGGCAGATCATGTGAGTATATGTATACCAACTCCAAACTCACGTTTTTGCTCCTCGTGATCGCCTTGTTTAATTTTATTATCATTTCTTACCAGGTCAACCGCCATATAATCCCTACCTTTTACCGTCTCCTACAAGAACAAGACGGCCAAAAGCAAATAACTCACTCGGAAGAGCTAAAGGCGGAAATCAACAAACTCGTCAACGCCTCGCATGTCCACGGACCCTTCTTCCTCGGCCCCACAATCTCCTTCGTAGACATACAATTCGCGCCCTGGATGCTAAGACTCAGTCGTGTGCTCAAACCATATCGCGGCTGGCCGGATCCGGAGCGCGGTAGTCGTTGGGAAGCGTGGGTAGATGCCGTGGAGGGTGACGAGCATGTCAGGGCCACAACGAGTTCAGATGAGTTGTATTTGGATAGTTATGAGCGGTATGCTGGTGAGTTGTGTGTTCGAATTGTCGTTGCTTGAAGCTGTGCGTAATGGTGATGATCGAGGATTGACTTTTATTCTTTTGTTCGCCCGGCAGAAAATCGCCCTGGTACGTCACTTCTGGCGAATGCTATTAATTCAGGACGGACATTGCCGTAGCTAGCATCGTATGGCACGGCGGTGGTGGATAGCGTTATGTAAATGTATTACCCCTTCTCTTATTTCCCCGGGGGTGGATTTGATTGCATTTCTGGAACAGGTACAAGCGCTGGCGTATTTCCGGGGTACTTGGGATCGGATCTTGGAAGATTTCGTTTCTCGATCTTTCTCCAGATGGGGGCCGCAAATGTTGGCAGAGGAATTGTGTTTTGTCTCTTCCTGACCCTCCTCTTAATCTATTCTTCTCTAAGTATCCTGATATCGAATGCAAAATAATATCAAAATCTTTTGCCCGATTAATTAACAAACCATGGAGCATGCTTAACTAGCAGGGTTTGAATGAAGCTGATTTACGAACGACTTCGCACCCCGCGGGCTGAAACCGAACCCACCCCTTCCACTCCCATCCGGACCTCTGGGAGTTCTAAGTGGTTGCTGCTGTTGTTGCTGCGGCTTCTCCTGCATCCGTTCGTTTTCATGCCCATTATTCACATAATTCTGCCTCCTGTCCCCTCTCTGCCCGTGGCTAGGGGTCGACCGCCCGGGATAATTAGGATCGTATAGTTGCCTATTGGGTTTATTATTGTTATTGGTAATGGGTGATATCTCCTTCCTCTCCCTACTGTCCCTGTTGCCGGCGTTAGGCCGACCGGCCCTCCCCTTACTTCTCATACCAGGACCTGATCGGTGAGAATGAGAATGAACCTGCGACTGTGATGGCGGTGGCGTCGTGCTCGTGTTACCCGGCGAAGAGGCACCCGACCCAGCCGCCGACGGACTCCCAAACAGCCGCTCTCTTACTTCCTCGTACTTGCGCTGTCTCTCCTCACGTTCCCGCTCGCGCTGTGCCTGCAGCTCTTCTGGCGTTAGCTTCGGCCTTTCCTCTCCCTCATCGTCGTCGTCATCGTCGTAGTCGTTAGTTAGAATTTCCGGAGACATTGCGATAGTGGCAGTGCCCGAGACAGAGAGATGTTGGATACCTGCCGTTGCGGCGTCCGTAGCACTCGAAACGGGAGGGGTTGGGATTGGGGAGATGCCGGAGGGTGATTGCGATTGCGAGTTTCGTTGTTTGACGAGTTGGGGTTTCCGGCTTAGGACAGTGACTGGCTGCTTGAAGTCAGATCTCATTGGGACGGAGGCGGCTCGTGATTCTAGGTAGTGGAAGGTTTGGGGGGACTCTCTGTTAGGAGGGAGGATAGAGTTAGCTGGGGTAATGTTCTTTTGCTCATTTCCCAATTGTGGCATGAACAATGTGATGGACGCTCAAGGGGGTACAGTGACAACGCTTTATGTCTCGAGTCTTGGGCAGATTGGCATACGCTTCAGCCCATAACTGACGGTTAAACTCCGCATGTTGGGCCCGTTTTTGAGCCTTTATGGCTCGAGCAGATAGCTTTTTCTCGAGCGCTGGAGCTGGAACTGGAGCTGGAGCTAGTGAAGGTGCCGTCGTCCCATCTTGTGCATGTGGTTCAGACTTTCCCCCAAAGTTTTCTTAGCATATTGCGCAAGACAGCGCCAAGGCCTAAATATAGGACATAATGAAACTGTAAAAATTGGAAAGCAGAAGAATCATACATCAACATGGGCCTCCCAATTATCATCCCACACATCCGGCAACTTCGCGGAGTCTCGTGCAGTCATGGTGGGAAGGTATAAAACGAGGTCTGCACCGATAAAAATTTATGGTCATTTATAAGAGATTGAGCCGTATGTCCAATAGAAGTAGAATGGGGTTTGTATACAGGAGTTAGCTATGGTGATAGCTTTGCTTCATTCGCCAAAGAAGAAATCGAAGTTGGGTTGAAAATGTTGATAAATGCCAGCAAACGTGGGTTGAGTTACGGTGGGGGGTGTTCACGTGATACTCAATCTAAGTCGGTGATACCACTTGAGATTATCTACTGCGGGCCAGGTTCGGGGACATCTGCTGTGTCCATTTACACTCTGCGTACACTCTGTGATACATCTACTCTCATTCAAATACATTTCAGATTCAGTATCCCGGAGACTGCTATTCACATATATTCACGATGTCTACAGGTACATGGTTTAACAGACTTCCCGAAATTCACCACCCCAACACACATATACCCACTTGACAGCTAAACAATTTCTCGATAATACCTCCCACGGAAAGATTAACATATTATCTTAGATCCAGAAGGCGATTCTGAAATGCTCTCTACTTCCGAGTCCTCTCAAAGCAGCGAACCCCAAACCCCCACTGGCGGCCAAATCGCTGACGAAACCTCCAACTTCCCCAGCTCAGAGCTTTCCCCGCCAGGTTCGCAGGACGCCACCGGCGCAGAGCCTACAAAGATGGAGTACGGCGATGTCCAAACTGATTACGCGGCGGTCACTGCCTCACAACATATTACAGGTGATGGTGCTGGAGGCGGTGCCAGTTGGGACAATCAGAGCTCTGCGATCGCTCGGGCAGAGCCCGGCTCATCGTGGAACAATAAGAAAGCAGAAGAAGAATATCAGAGAGCTCTAGAAATAGTGGTGGATCGCGATTTCAGCCTGAGTGAGTGGACAAAATTGCCATTGCTCTTGTCTTGAAGAATGCCTTCATCTTGCTGATTGATTTGTGAAATAGAGGAATTTGGAGATCCGTTTGATGATCGAGATATGGTAGAACAGTGACGGAATATGAAATACCACTAGTGAGTGGACTGACTCCCTTGACCGGTCATTCAGATGGGTATGTATTCCATGCACTGTTGGGGTTTAGAAGCTGTCTTGATACTGTGCCATCAGGGATCACTTTCGTCCAAACACTAATATTTCCGTGTCCTTCTTAGAACGAGTAAAATTGAATAATGATTGTCCTTGTAAATGGAAATCGGGACAGGCTTCAATCCGCAATGTAAATTGTGTTTTCCCTAGCGCTGATGTGTCGTTGAGAGGATAGTATGGATGAATGGCTCGGTCCAAGACCGGAAGTTGACCCTATTTCACATATTCCGTCAACTCAGATTATCATTGAGTAGTACGTTAAAGGAAAGGCCACATCTAGGGGATGCTACCGCGGTCCCTGTCCGGTATTTCTGTCCCTTCGAGATGCGCAGAGTCCATAAGAGTGAAGCTCTCGGCTGGTCGTTCAGGTGATCCTGGTAGAGCCAGCTAAGGTACAAAACTAGGTACAGAATTTCCACATAACGAAGGCGTAAATCGAACCCATACAATTCTTCCTGGATGATTTTGAGCAAGCCTCTTCCAGCGTCGTAGCTCTTTTGTCAAACTGTCAAAGCCGCGGTTTTTTCATGTAGTGCAGAGGCTGTTGGCCCAGCAACTACTAGCGTAGCCCTGAATGACAACATTCAATTGGCGCCAACAAAGACGCCAAAGAAATTCTCCTGAACTTCACCATCACAAGAATCGTGTTCATTGATACTGCAGCGTGTTTTCTTATTCATGTTTCTTACGTGCACATATTTACGGGATTTGAATATTAGGTATATTTGATATTCGCTGTACACTCCTTCATCCACCCAATATGCCCTCCGCTCGTTGGTAGGCAACCACGACACAATAGCAATTAAACCTGTATCGCCCACCTCGTTGCGCCCTCACGTCCTCCAAAAATGGATCATTCTATTCCACCTTTTCCAAACCGGTATGCCATAAATCACATTATAATTGTATTTGACATATATACCTTCTAGGCTCTTGTCGCGTTGGCGAGAAATCTCTGCCCGTGATTCACGATTCATGTTGTTTATAACTCCTCAATATCCGACTACATCCTGACTGGCTGACAATGCCTTTTTCCTTACGAATATAGGAGAAAAAGCCGACTATCATCGCCAACAGATCACTTCAAGTTCACTCCAATCGCCATATCAAAGAAAGCGCCCCGACTCTGGGATCGCAAACCCATGACCCCTTTCAACTCTCGCTCCAGGTCTCACAAAGTCTGGAAACGTTTCCAGGCCTCTACATCCAATGATGTTGGTGGAGACGGAATCGGCCACGATGTGTTCCTTATTGAGATCAACAACTCATTTGCGCTTCGAGGCGTTTTAAGAGGAGTCAAAAGACGTTGCACTGCTGCTTGTGTTGGGGTAGAACGAGGAAGGTCCTTTCAGGAAACAAAATGGGAAACTGAGGATATGGGTACCCGACAACGTGAGGATTGTCTTATTTCTTATACACACTTTGTCTCTATTGGTGGCCAGCTTCAGGAGAAATTTTAGTGTTAATATATAGACAGGAAAATGTGTCCCGCGGCCGGAAGTTCCCAGGTGGGAGAGCATTGAAGACGCATATATTGACCCCGACGTTGATAACATACAACGGGACGAGAATTTTGATGAGCATCAGTGCGATGAACAGAAAGCTGTGGATCGAAATGATTTTGGTTTGGGTTTGTTAGCTGGGCAGTGGGGTAGCACATCGCCGGTCTCAGACCAAACTCTTGTCAATGATTTGTTGGATTCTGAAAAGACCACGGAGATTGCAGAACAGCACATAGATGGAGAATCAACGTCTATGCAAGAATCAAGCGGAATGCTGACCCCAGAAGATCTCGAGATTGGCGACCGCGGTACACCAGTTTCCCATCCCGATGCAGCAACTGCAATCCGTACTTCAGCAAAGATTGACGAAGCAGCTGAGGAAGCAGCAACGCCCTTGTCAATCCCCCCCAGCCGACTATTGTTTCCAACCCTAGAGGGGGACGATGCCGATTTCATAACCGACTTCTTATCCCAAGCACAAGCCAAGCGTGCCGCCGCTAAATCTGTGCTGCCGAGCAAAGGATTAGAAACCGCTGTTTGGGAGAGCCAGGGCCGGTCTCCAACACCGCGCGCACGAAGAATTTTAGAAGACATTGATAAAAATTCCCCTACATCTCCAAGGCAACAAGTATCACCATCAAAGCTGAGACAAATTTCAACATCGCCCTCCCCGAAATCCAGTGCAGCAAATCACGAACTCGAGGTGTTGCAGGAAGAGCTATGCCAAAACATCGGCGGAGAAGAGGAAGAATACCCACACCAACCGAGAGTAGGCTCTCCATGTCGAAGAAGTACCCGCAAGACCCCCTCCAGAACTCAACGGAATACCCCTGCCATACCGAATCATATCCCTTTTCGCCGTTCCAACGGAACCGAATTCGTATTTTTACAGCGTTCAGAGGAGCAACAGCTTTCTCTGGTGACCAAAGCCAACACTAGACGTAATAAAGGTGATGCTAAGTTCCCATGTTTCGTTCTTCAAGCGATCAATTCAAAAGAATATGAACCCATTTGCATCAACAACGGGGAGACGGTTGCGCCTGTTTCACCGAGGAAGTCTCCCCGAAAACGGATACGCATTGTCAAGAAGGTGATGTGGGACGATGAGCATCTGGTTCAGTACGAGGGTGAGATATACAATAACGATGAACAAAATGAGGATATTGGTCAGGCGAGCCATTCTCCGAAACTCGCCATCTCACAGTCTGCTAAACTGGAGGAGAAGAAGAGGAAAAATCCGAATCCCAATATTACCAGAAAGAACAGTAATAGCAGTAAGGCCTACAAATTATCCGTCCCAATCCATTCCGATCCGCAGTCGGTGAAATCGCCAACGATAAAGAGGAGGGTGCCGAGGCTGGGGTTCTCAGGAAACAATGATCACAGTAACATTAGCCACAATAGTGTGGCCCCCACAGGTGCCGCTGCCGCTGCCGCTCCGGCATCTGGAAAAACATCGACTGGTGCCAGGCATCCCGGGACGCCGATTCATAGAAAGAAACTTGCCCCGAAATCTCCGAAGGCAATTGTATTCAAGGTTTCCGATGACAGAGCTCCGAAGATGAGTACTGCTACATCAACTGATTCTGGCATAATTCCGCGTGTAATTGCAGCTCCTACTACACGTGCTACGACTAGGAAATTCAGCGGCTCGTGTTTGCCAAGGCATACAGGGAGAACGAAGGTATAGCAGCCTCGTCTAACAGGTGAGGATAGGATGTGCCTACTTTGCTTTTTCTTATGTATTTTTGTCTCTTTATTGTCTATGTTTAGCCTTTTGTCGCGTTTTTCTTCTTCGCTTTAGCCTGCAAATCCAAGATACCCAATTGAGATATTTTTGTCGTATCGTGTGTTTTACATTTTCAAGTCAGGCGGGTTGTTACTCTTTATGAGTTGGTTTTAATTCAAGCACTTGCAAAATATTATATGAAAATTTTCTTCTTTTTTGTTACTCGAGTGTTTGCATAGTTTCCCACCGTAATCATCCAGATTCCCGATAGTGCTCGATGAGTATGACGAACAAAAAATGCCTATTCTGTGAGAGATTGTTCCAGACAATTGATTCCCTGTCACCTTTACGGAGAAAAAAATCTTGGACAAGTCCCTCAGCAATTGCATATTGACGTCCCTTGACTGAAAGCAAGCCCTGCTATGAAAATAAAACAGAGCGAACACATTATACCCAAAGGTGTCCTTCATGTTCACACAAACCGCGCATGCCTTCCTTCTGCCACTATTCATAGCCTCAAACTGTTCATCCGTCAATTTAATTTCCTCGAGGTTGCTCTCAATACGACCCACGAAGATATCAGATCTTTTGACATTGTTGTTTTCTCTTAAGAAGTCATAGATAGCCTGTCCGACCTTATCCTCGTTGAGAGATAGAACCACGCACAGTCTCGATGTCTGTATCCAGTTCCTAGAGTGTGCAACGCAGCTGCGTAACTCTCGCCTTTGGTACCCTCGTTTGCAACAGTACCAAATCCCAGACCAGTGATAGTAACCCCATTGCTCAATTTGAACTTGATATCGAGAGACAAATCTGTTTCTGATTGTTCACTTTTGCTTCGTGTGGTTATTCGCCTATTTTTCGTGTTGCGGTCCCCTTTCTCTTCTTTCTAGAAATCCGATTATTAGTGGGCGACTGCTTCCGTCAGCTGTCTCGTGGGATTTCGAAAGATAATAAAATGGAGTGAGGAATTAAGCAGCTCTTCTAGTGGGAAAGACGCGAGAAAGTGAGACGCAGGGAGTGTGAAAGGAGAAATTGGAAATAATCAAAAGTCTGTTGATGATTATGGATCGAGTAGCAGTATGGAATTGGCATCCTCATAGATTTGGGGGATAAAGTACGACCTTGCTTTTTCATTGTTCTTTTTTTCTGATGGTAGCCCTGCTTTTTCTCCTGTTGGCCGTCTATGAGGATCGTTACTATATTGCTACCTTCAATGATGATATCCCAAAACCCACGGACAATTCGCCCAGGATTTTACTGAATTTTTTTTCAGTGCTCCCGGGGTATTATTGCTGGGTTTGGAAATCAAGCAGGAATTTTTATTAGTTTCTTGACATTATTATGAGCGGACCCATCAGTGCAGGGTAGCCGGAGGTTCCCAATTTTTTAAGATATCCCACATTATCTCCCCACGCGTCGCGTTATCCACATTAATCCAGGGAATATACGCAGTAGTATGCATGGAGTCTGCAGGCAGCGAGCGTTGACAAACCCACGCCTATCTAGCCATTCAGGACGCTTGCAATCACCACGGTATTATTACATTATTGCCACCCTGGAAATGGCCAGATATTCCGCAGAGACAAGCAAGCCTTCTCAAACAAGTCCCCGCTCTAATAACGTTAATGGACCCAGAAAAGGCTAGCATTGCTCAGGGAACAAATGTAGATTTTTATCAGTGGTTGTTAACTTTCAGAGAATTATCTGTAAACGGTTTCGCCAGCCATGGGTAGAGGGTGTCGAATGTAAGCAAGCCTCCACTGCGTATCTCCTTGATTATACCACAGAATTTCTTTTGTCTGTGGTCTTTTCACCCGATTCGGTTGCGAAGCTAAAACAGCTTAAGCTCAAGCACTAGAAAATAAAGTTTTCCTCGTGGAACACGATGAGGTCATAATCAAGGAGGCTAAATTGTCGTTGGTTAGTGCCTGGCATTTAAGGTTAATGCAGCTAACGCGTCCCATTGATCCGTGCAACGGATCCACATGGACGCGACCTACAGGATCCTTTGACCTCCATCACTGTAATTTTCTCTTTTTTTAGAATTGATAATTGATAATGTGAGTTCAATGGAGTTTAGGATTTTCAGAGATGTCTCTGTGTTTCATCTCCATCATACGATTCGACAGGCCCACAAAACTGCAGCATAATAATGGACGTAAAACATCAATTCTCTCAGAGCACAGATACCATCTCTCAATATCTCTCAAGGGAACCACTTCCATGATTACCACACCTCTGCCCCGCCCGTGGTGTTGTTGCTGGTATTACCGATCCATGCAGCCGTATCCGTAAGAAGGGGTGCCTCTTGTTAGCCATTGGCTCTGATAGCTCGTTGCAGCATCGCCACTTCGACATCAGAAGCACCTAGCGACTCCTGTGGCTATCCTGATTGTTCAGGGGCATCTGTTAGTCTTCAATGGCTAGAAAAAACTCTTTTCGCACGTCCATAGCGATTGGGTGGTACATGGCTGCGTGGTAGCATTGACAATGAAATACATTCTATCGTTACGCAGAGTATGATATGAACATTGCTCGCTTTCTTGGGTGCCTAGGAAGTGTTCTGTTCCCCGTCCAGGAACCCAGATACAACAGGCCCGCTTTCTCCGAGTAGATCCCAGCGAATAGTCACTCTCTTTCCTACATTGTTGCGGTAGTAATTAGGGCGGAAGAAGAGCTACCGGTGGATCCTCTGGGAGGTGCATGTTATGCACGTTCCCGAACTTCGATTGTGGTGCACAGGAACCTTAAGGATTTTTACCTGAAGATGCATCATTGCCTCCCGGAAGCTACCCGTTGATAATATATGAACATATGAGAGCCAGAATTCGCAGTTTTATCTTGGCTATTGATGTTCTTTTGCTCATCATCACTCTTCCTCTTACTTAAACTACTTCTATTTCACAATCAGATATATATTTCAGCCAGCTGCAAATATTGACAGATACAGAAGATTTGCTATTTTGACATAGATTGCATCTACCCGCAAACATGTGTCGAACTTCTAAGACTGATATCATTCTCTCTCCCAAGGAAGTCTCAAATGGCGAGATCGCTCAAAAGGAAGCGTAGAAGGAAATCCAACTACCATCCGATCTTCAGAGTGGCAAGGCAATCGAAGTTCCCACATCGAAGGGCTCAATCAGTGATGCGGGTCATCTCATGCACAACTTGAGCATATTCCCATCAATGAAATTCAGAAGATCGTGTCGGAACCCCTTGGTACCTCGCTCCCCATTTCCGGATCAGCCCAGGCTTCAAGATCTTCGCTGTCTCCAGATGCCCCTTGTGCCCTGCAAGACATTCTCGCTTCGCAGGCCGAGGATATCTCCAAAGGAAAGGTCAAAGCAGCCAAAAGAATATGGTTGTTGCATTCGACATCAACGGTGTCCTTCTCCACGATGATAAAATCACTCCAGAATCTCGCCGGGTGAGGGAACTCCTCAACGGTGATAACGAACTTGGTATCAAAATCCCGTATATGCTCCTTACAAATGGGAGTGGCAAGACCGAAGTAGATCGCACAGAACAAATATCTTGCATCCTAGGCTCTCCCATCTCCACCGCACAGTCCATCCAATCCCACACGCCCATGCAAGCTCGTGCCGAATAGGGTTTCGCGACCCGCGCTGCCGCAGAGGCGTACGGATTCAAAAACATCGTCGTCCCAGGACACCCTCGCCTGGGGCCCCAGCATCTCTCCTCCCTGGAGAAACTTTACCGAGAAGGACCACAAGCAGGCCAGACCACAGGACTTCGACAATGTCACATTCCATTCCATTCTTGTTTTCGCCGACTCGCGCGACTCGTGCGACTATGCCACCAATTTCCAGATAACGATGGAGCTACTTCTGAGTGAGAACGGCCGACTCCGGACAAAGGCCAATAACTCTCTAGCCAAACAGATGCCCATCCACTTCTTGCAGGGCAATATCATCTTCCAAACAGACCACAAGCTCCTGCGGATGACCCAAGGTCCCTTCCGCATCGCCCTCGAAACGATGTACAAGTCACTCACGACGGATATCTCGAGCGAGTAGTCTACGCCAAGCCTGAGCTGGCTACCTACAAGTTTGCAGATGGAGTCACTATGTTGTGGATGAAAGAGATCCACAACGAGCATATCCTCACTGAAAACATCTATATGATTGGTGGCAACCCGGCCTCTGACATCATTGGTGGGACCGGCGTTTTCCAGGGTAAGGCCTGATGAGAACAATCCAGCCAACTTTGGCGTATTTGACACCATGCTGGATGGGGTGCAAGCTGCCGTGCAGAAAGAGCTGAGCCACCAATTCAAGCTTCGGTGGGGTGAGAATGAGGGGGTCAAATCTGCTCTGAATGGCGATATCATTGTGTCGGCTTGAAGAAAACAGCAATTCTAGAAACAACTTTTCCCCCCTCCACTAGAATTTCTTTCTTTTCCCTTTGTTCTTTCCATTCCTCTCCTTCTTTGCTTCTGGCATCTAGGTACATCCTGGATTTTTCGATTCTAGAGCTTCTTTTTCCTTCTGATCTTCCTTTTCCATGTTCACTAGTCTTCGCTTTTTCTTATTTGGGTATTAGGCGTTGGGCCTCTCGTCAGACTATGGACGGTTGAGGGTATTCCGAAACATTTCTATATTTCATTTTCTCACTCATGATATGAATGCATAGATAAACAGTGCGGATTGGCATTGCCGCCACTAGAAATTCAATTGCCACAATAAGGGATGTAGCTCCTGGTGTGATCATTCGAGTTTCGCTTACCCTCTATTTCCACCCTATTTACGGGTTGCCATATGAGAATTTCGCCCTTGTCTTGCTTTGAAAACTAAACTATCAAAGTCGTGCCTTGCCTACCCTGACCGCTATCCCTCCTTTGAACGGCCAGAGGCATTCTATATTTTTACTGTGTCTCCAGATATTACTTTTATTTGTCCATGAAAGTGCCAGATCTTTTCGATTGAAGAAGGATATTTCAATCCAGCATGAGGCTGTAGTTCGCACCCCTGCATATCACGTAATTCCAAGGATTTCTTGGGCGTAATCACTTCCCAGGATTGGAATAGTTCTTCGGCCTCCTCATTCCCCTAAACTCTTGATCCACTTTGCATAAGAACCGGGCAGGCTTAGGCTTGGCTTGCATGCCGGGGGGGGCGTGCGGCTATATTCCTGGATCAAAAGTTACTTTCCATAGGCCGAGATCATGAGCCATGAACATGCTTGATCATTTTCAGCTGAAAGGTAATAGCAGACTTCTTCATCCGCATACCGACACGGATCCAGCGGATGAAGACAAGAGCGCTGCCAGGAATCGCATAAACACCCTAGTATGCTCACGGACAGCTAATCTGATTTCTACGCTACAGCCGTGCATGTCTCTTTCTCCATATTCATTATCCGTGACGACAAACATTGGAGGCGTCCACCACATAAGAGTCAACAGTGGGATAAGTGTAGTCAAGAGGTATATATATTGTGGAATACTGGCGAGACCTCAATTGAAAGCGGTGGTTATACTCAAGCACAAGAATCCATTGCGGCCAGTGATGAGGGAGCCAATCCACGGTAGTTAAAGGGTGATTGGCCCACTGTTCCGCAGCAATTTCTCTCGAGAGAGATATATATATCTCACGGCTCGCCTCTGGTCTGTACTACAGATTCTCTTATGGGATCCAGGAGCACGAGGTCCCCAATACACCGCCTGGGGGTTGACCGACAACTGGCCTAATATCAAGCTGGTATTTCAGGAGGACGAGCCATTCCACCCATTCCACATATAAAAAGACAGACTTAAGTGATGTGCAAAAGGGTCATTCTCTTTTTTGATCTTGTAACGAATGTGTATCGCGGGAGGAATATCAGATATTCGATATCAATTCGGTATTGATTTTCCGATAGAAATGGTAACTATGAGAAATAACACGCATATGTTTTTGTTGAGGTACCTTGGCTGTACACCGCAACCCGCCCCCAACGCCGCCAAGGAGCAAGTATTCCACAGGTTTCTTTGTGCCCTCCGCCCCGGGTTACACCTGGCATGGAGATCTGCAGCTGGTAGCTTGGCCAGGCAAGCTCGGCGCTTTTCCCGGGTTCGAGTTACAGCAAAACGATACAAAGATAAATAAATAAACCGTCTTTGTATTGTGGTAGGACTCTGAGGACAGCATTAGAATCCACCTTTATTCAATTCGTTGACTATCCGATATTATTTGAATATATGGCATTGACAATCATAACTTATAGTTATGCACTGCAGTTAGTTAAGATAACTATTGTGTCATCATGACCTCAGCCCGCTAGTCTCGTCAAGAAACTTTTCTGGCAAAACTCAAAACATGAGTAGGGTTCTTTTGCACTCAGCGGTAATATCTCTACCTATTTCTATTGGGATTGTGTATCACTATCGCCTCTTCTTCTATCTCGTTCTATTGACCATTCCTCATCGCGCTCCATCGATTTTCTTCTGCGCCGGTAACCCACAACTTGTCTTACACCCCCCGCTCCATCCCCACGTCGAAACAGACAGGGTACGGCGATATAATACCACCGCTGCGGATATTCCACCCCTGCTCCGCCGAGAGGGCAATCTGTGACTAACAGCAACGGTTGCGACTGGTCGCTGCATGCTAGATGCGCGCGTCGTAACAACAAAAAATTAAAAATTACACCTTATTCGCCCCCAGAAATCCTTGTTGTGTCCCGTGACCCCGCGCCGAGCCGCCCCTGTACCGTACCGTTACGGTACTGTCGTATTGCCAGCGTTCCAACCATCCACTGCCGAGACCAACACCGGTAACGAGTACGTATGGGTAACATTCCCCATTGTCAGCTCCGAGATCTCCTCCTCCAGCTCGGTGCCAGCGCCTGACTTGGTCTCCTCTTTCTCCTCAACCACCTCGCTCTCGTTCTATCTCCCTTTCTCTCCCCTCTCCATCTCTCCTCCCTTCTTCTTCTTCTTCACTATCCGCCTCTCGCTAATCCCCCAACCCTCCAGCCAGTATACATATTCTCCGTTCGCCCCTGCATCCACTTGTCCTCTACCACGTCAAGAGAAATGAGCACCGGGGCTCTTCCCCCTAACTGCGAGCACCAGCACCAGGACCAGCGGGATCACTTCCAAAAGCCTGTTAAGCCACAAAGCCATACCAGAGATAACTCCCCTTCTTCCGGCTCTGAGAGTTCTCGCCGCCCTTCATTTGGCTCTATCAAAGAGGATTCTACAGGTAATATAAGATATGATAATATAACAAAACAACCCAACTGTCGCAACCTTCGAAATATCTGACAAACTTCCCCTGCTCTAGAAATCGCCCAGACATTCGTGGATACAGAGGACAATTCCTCTAGCAACCAGCCGCGCATTGCCAGTAATCCGGCTACCAGGGCCTTGGTCCAGTCCCCAGATTCCCCCGAATTCTGCTGCCCCTGCGGTGCCTTTCTAGGCTGGAAGCAGATCCGCTTGGGTGGACGGCGGCAGAGTAGGAGCTATAGTGACCTCCGCTTGTTAGGGAATGCCCAGTCCAGGGGCTTCGCTTGGGAGGTGAATGATGCAACTCGCATCACGCCTGTTGCAGAAGAACCGAAGAAGTCTGTTAAAAAGGGACAGGCGCCAATTGAATTGCTTCCCGCCGAAATCCTAGGTATGTTTATTTACTCCCTCTCTCATTTTCAAAATCCTTTTTCTTCCCACCCCAAAAAAGGCATATTTTATTAAACCATTATAATAGACCAAATCATCTCCCACTTGGCTATCGATATCCCCCCTAATGGCTATACTCCACGGAATGTTGACCTTGTTTCGTGTCTCCTGACCTCTCGGACACTCCACTCCGCGACGCTCAGTGTCCTGTATCGACACATTACCATCCCACATTCGATCATCTTCTCCAAGGCTCTAAACCATATAAAGCAGTATCCGGCTCTGGGTACCATTGTCCGGCGCCTGGACTTTTCCCACTTCACCTCTGTTGGGCTGGGTCGTACGCAGCAAATGAATGTTGAAATTCAGAACGTCACTTCCAAGACCCTGTTAGAATGCCTAGAGTTGCTGACAAACCTCAAGGAATGTCTGCTACAAGAGCATCTCGAGGACGATTTGAATGTTGACGTGCTCCGAAAATTGCTCTCGCGAACCCCTTCTCTGCGCGCTGTTGATTTCTGCGGGTGTTCATCCTCCATCTTCTCCGACGGCTTCCTGAACGCCGTCACTGAAGATCCTGATTTCCCTGCCACCCTCCCAAGCCTCCGCCGGGTGTCACTTCACGAGTGCAGCGGTCTCGTTCCGCCCGTATTCGAAACTTTGCTCCCGCGCCTAGTCAACGTGACCCATCTCGATGTGTGCCACACCCAGATTACGAATTCTGCGTTGATGTCCATCCCACATAGCGCCCGCATCACACACCTAAACATTTCACGGTGCACCAAGCTCACTGGACCGGAGGTGGTGAAATTCCTAACCACCCACCCAGCTGTGAGGGAATCACTCGTCTATTTGAATGTCATGACTGATAGCTCTAGACACCAACTCCTGGACGAGACGGACGTCGACAATCTCCTTCCCTGCCTAACTTCCACCCTGCGCTCGGTGAACCTGGGTGGGGCAAAGATCCGCTCATCAAATATGCCTTCCCTCCTCCGCCTCTCCAAACACGTCGAAGAACTCGGCCTCGATTCAGCCAACCTTACCATCAGCGACATCAACCTGTTCTTCGCCCTTCCACCGTCCGATAGCGATAGCGATAGCGGCAGCAACGCTACTTCCACTACCAGTACCAGTACCAGTACCAATGGAAATGCAACTGGAAACGCCAACAACACCAAGCATGAAGACCCCAGCGCACATCGGGTCTGGGTCCCTTCTCAACTCTGCTATCTCGATCTCACCAAGAACCCACACGTCACTCAAGCAGCTCTGCTAAACCCCAAGGCCTGTCTCCTCGTCACTCCTCACAGTGCGCCTCTCGACGTGATCGAACTCAGTGAAAAGATCATAAGCCCGCTCCGCCAGCGGAGCCGGTTGAACAAGTATGGAAATGGATGGCTAGTGCGGGACCTGGGGCGGCGAGGTTGGTATGTGCGCGGGCCAGCGTTGGAGGCGCGGCAGGGTAAGCTGGCGGCGAAGATGGATGATGGGCGCCGGCCGTGGAAGATGGGGGCGCGGTGGTGGGGGATGAGGAAGATCCCTGTTGCGGTGGGGGATGTTGGGGGGTTGTATGGGCATTATATGTTTAAGAAGTGAGCGGGTACTAGTTACCATTTGAGTATCCTCTCACATTTTTGCTTCACATTTTTGCTACCGGCGACGGCGCTTGGGGTTCTGCTTCTTGTGGTTTGTTTTATTACACTGATTTCCTCGTTGACATGTTTGGTTTTTGGGGGGGGTTGGAGGGTGTAGGGGGGTGTTTCCGGAGTAGTACTTTCTTCCTCTTTCTCTCCATCTCTCGTTTGCCCCCTGTGCCTATTTCTTTTTCCTAATCCTTCTCCACGTTCTAACTAGGAGTTTGTTATCATTAAGCAGGCCAAATTTCCCCTCTGGTGTTATTCCTATTCCTTTTCCTATTGATAATCTTTTGTACTTGACAGCTAAATATACCTTTTGAGATACTTCCTTTGTGAGGGCGTTTTTCTTCTTCTTCTTCTTCTTCCTTCGAAAGAGAGCATATTCTTTCTGTGTATGTACTCGCACATATTTTAATTGTTACAAAAAATGAATATCAGCATAAAATCTTACATTGTATCCACTGGGCAGATTATGGTCGTCATCCGTTCGTCGTATATAACTTATTTTTGATAGTCCCTTATCCTTGCAAGAACATTGGAAACCGCCAAGGCAGCGCCATCGTAGATCACATGATTACTAGCTCTTGAGCCGCATCCGATGGAACTTGCTCAAGTCGATCTTAAAAAGATTTTGCTGGTGCTTTTGTTCACGCGGGGAACAGGGATAATACTTGACAACCTCCGTTTCCTCCCTTCATACATATACTTTATAGTATACTTCATACGGATCCCACATTCCCGCATTCCTCCTGCAGCTACGATCCTTCTGTCCCAAAAGGAGTGGCGCCTTTTTTTTCCTTTTTCTTTTCTTTTTCTTTTCTGTTCGCAACATCTTGGGCAGAGCCGTATACGGACGACGCGAGCTAGCTATCACGGTACATCCACAGCAGGGCATCGGGGATAGGCCGCGAGCTGGCTATCGCGTGCGGTAAAGGACGGATCATATCAATCAACAACAGAGGAGATTGAGAGACACGGGATCAGAGGGGACGAGGGTGGTTGGGATTTTTTTTTTCCCCCACCCGAGCTCTCCAATAAATAAATAAATAAAATAACGGGGGTGATTGCAAGGCGCGCGCGGCGGCGGGGTGTTTGTTGGTATCAATCATATATTCGGCACCCACTCTTCCTCGCTTTTTGTGTGTTTCGCTCGATTCATTTGCCGCTGAATGATGCGATAACGACTTGGGAGTTTTGCTTCTTTCCTTTCTCTCTTTCGCTCTCTCACACTCTCTCCTCCCTCACTCTCACTTACTCACTCTCTCTTTTTCTTTCTTTCTTTTCCCGGTTCGACTACGACCGGTACTAAAAGAGGGTTTATGGAGGAAAAAGTGATAACGAGTGAATGAGTGAATGAATGAAGGGCCTCTACAGAAGCTACGGCTGCGATTTGCGAGTTTTGTCACGGGTAGGAAAGGTCAGAATATTGGCGGCAGTCTGGAAAACGAATCCGCTACTACCCGGGAAGACTACGCTTGCTGGACTATTGGACGTGAAGTGAGGGTGAGGAGGATTGTTGCATAACACGATAACGCACCATCTATAAGCTTACGCTTGCCCTCGACTTTTCTTGTCTACGGCCAAAACCTGTGAAACTTGAAGACAAATCTGGAAGAAGAGCGGGACGGGGATTGAATAAATGGCGGCTAGCGTGGGCAGCCATGCTGTGGCATATAAAAAGAAAGATGGCTCCTTGATGATGGCTTCGGATGGAAAATCAATTACATGGGCACCCAAGGGGAGTGGTTCCGGTTTGTTGCCTGTGACCATCAAAGTTGCAGATATTACACGTATGTCCTCTCTTTTTGCCCTTTGGGGATGGATGTTTCTGGATAGCTGACTTTACGAGCCCTTTCACGTATACTTAGATCTCCAACAAACTCCCGCGACGAGTCCAAAAGTTATGCTGAAGGTATTCGCACAAGCAACCACTATTAATCCCAGCGCCGGCCCCAGTCCCAACAACGCCCCGCCGGGCGCAACGGAACAGTATATCTTTTCCTTCACGTCGGGAACAAACGCACGTGCCGAGGCTGATGCGATCAAAGATGCTCTCAGTGCAACCATCCAGGCAATAAAAACAGGACAGGTCCCTACAAAAGAAAGCGCACCAGCCGCGATGGCGATTGCAAGTGCACTATCTTCAGCAGCGGGAAAACCATCATGGGACGACGATAGCCGACTGATTGCAGACGTGGAACTACAGCAATCCCTTCTGAAGTTTGATCCAGCCCTGCAGAGAGTGTTTATGGAGACGCTTCGCACGAAGGCCGAAACAGTTAGCAATGCACAATTTGTGTCGCAGTTTTGGTCAACAAGGGTACATCTCCTGCGGGCGCATGCGATTGAGAAGTCACAGACGCGCGGGTCATATAACGTACTCTCAACGTTGAAGCCGCGGGTGGAGGATAACGTAACCAAACTTAATATCAGCAAGGAGCAGATCCAGCTTATATTTAGCCAGCATCCGCTGGTGAAGAAGGTTTACGACGAGAATGTCCCAAAGCTGACGGAGCAGCAGTTCTGGTCGCGGTTTTTCCAGAGTCGGTTGTTTAAGAAGTTGCGCGGTGAGCGGGTGACGGACGCGGATCCGACTGATCCGATTCTGGACAAGTATCTTCGGGTCGATGAGTTTGCGGGCCGTTCGTGGACGGCGAACGTGCCGCATATTATTGATCTTGATGGAAATGAGGAGAATCATAGTCAGAGGCAGGGGAATAGACCGAATTTCGACATGAGGCCTGCAGACATGGACAAGGTGCCAATTATACGGACTTTGAATTCGCTAAGCGAGAAGATCATGGCGAATGTCACGCCGGTTGATGCGGACCCATCTGCGCCGATTGGTCTGAGCGAAGAGGCGTACAATGAGTTGCAGCTTCGTGATTTACGCGAAGACGAGGAGTTGAAGCGAATCACATTAAACGTGCGTGATCAGAGCCTTTTTTTGACTGAGACCAAACCTGCAGAGGACGAGGAGACCCGAATATTCGCGCGGCAGGACCCACACGAAGTTCTCCGCAGGCTACAGAATGACCTAGACTCAACTTTCCCGCCCAAAAACAAGGGTGGTGTTCGGCTCGACCGCATTATTGAGCCGGAAGAAACCGATAGCGATAACGATGATGATACCCGCAACCAGCAAAAGAGCACGAAACCAAGAAAAGAAAGAGTCGGCTCCAGATCCGCCCTCGCTGCCGCGTCCACCCAGATATTCTCCGCTATCCGTGACCGCAAATCTCAATTCTCCTCACCCTCCGCCACCTTGCCAGAAACCTGTGGCCTCCCCCCAGCCATCTTCGACCGCTTGACCCTCACACACGCCACCACGACCGAATTCCTCCATCAATTCTGGCAAGCCTTCCTATCCGGGAATCCGGACCGGGCCGGCGAAATTGCATCTCTGGTCGAGTCATTAAATCGCGCTATGGATCGCATCAAAACCGTGGCGGACGAAGCGGAGAAGGAGCGCCAGGTAGAAATTGAAAGACTGAAACGGCATGCCAGAGAAGTCATGGCGTCGACGGGGAAGAATATCCGGCCCAATTTGAAGGGGGTGGAGGGCGGGGGAAAGACGGTTAACGCGCTTTTAGAGCCGACAGTGAAGGCGTTGGGAAAGGCATTAGACGAGTACAGGAAGGCCTTGGCCCAGGCACAACAGGTCCAAGTTCAGGAGGGCACAGGGGGACCAGCAGCAGGGGGAGAAGGATAGTTTTGTCCGATTGGGCTACACAAATATTTCCTATCACCCGGTTCTGCGGGCATCCGGTTTCTATGGACGCATTGGCTACGATTGCATACGTTGCTCCTGCATGTTGCGCAGGCAAAAATTTACTTATTTTTCCCCTTGTCTATTAGCATGTTTGAGAAAACCTTTAGCCGGTTTTGCCTCACCGTTGGCGGCCCTTTCATATTCGGCGTTGTTCTGTATTTTATTGGGAAATGGCGTGAAGTGAAATTGATGACGTATGTCACTCACTGCCACTCATCCAGCCAAGGGAATTGACTTCTGCAGACCGCTATTCTAGATTAATGGGTTCGGTTCGGTCCGATGGAGCGTGTTTTCTAGTTGTGGATAAATGGTTTTGTGGGCGGGCACAAACAGCAAGACCTGGGGTTGGTAGAACTAGCCTGAACCTAGCTAGACCAACTGAATGCCTTGAAGCCGTATGTATAGTAGCTGAGAAGGGTGACTTAACAGTGCCGAATTGCAGAAGGGGATCCACAACAGGCACAACTGAAACTAGCGAACTAGTACTCATAGACAGTAGAACGTAGCACGAACTCCAAGTACATATACAAATCCCCGTGCGATTCCTTTCAACCTACGCTCCCAGTTGCCCATGCGTAGCGGCGGCAGCGGCAGCGGCGGCGTGGTCCATGTCCGCAGGATCATGATGCCCCGCAATCGGTCAAACTACGGATATAGGGCTCAACCCTGTTTTAGGGCGCCCAAACAGGAAATCAACAACCACAGCTCTCGAGCTACGGACTGCTAGAACTGCTAGACCTCCCAGCCACCCTGAAGCAGCCAACTGGAGGAGACGAAAATACCCAGCCAAGTCGCGTGTTCCCTTTTTCTTTGCTTTTTTTCTCGCTCCCGTTCCTTTTTCTATTCCCTTTTCTCCCTCCTGAACGAAGCGGGAAGAGAAACGTCGCACATAGCACCCTTCAAATTTCCAGGTATTCGTTCCCGTGCATCAAAGGGAAAGGGAACAGAAAGACAGCAGCTTCGTTTGTAGCTTGTGTCTAATCTTGTCTCCTTTGAACGTTTACTTTACTTTCCTTGCAGTGCTGGGTTGGGACTTGGGCCTCCGTGTTCTCCCTACGTCAAAGGAGAGATAAAAAAAGAAAAAAAAAGAAAAAAAAGAAAATAAAGAACAAAAATTCCAGGTTCGGTTGGTGCAGAGAAACAAAGGGTTTATTTAGCCCATTTGCTGTGAGACGCAGACTTTTCGTTTTCTCACCAACTGATATAACAAAATATATATTTAGATATATCCCGCATATCCTCCCTGTCTAATTCATTAAGCTGAACTGAGTTGATAGGTTTTTGCCTACCACATCGTCCCTGAAGACTATCTAATACCCTGGCCTGGAGACCCAGAAGCAAAAAGGGAAGAAGGACAGGAGAAGCAGAGAAAGCCGCCATGCCCCGCAGAAGTTCCTCCAAGAGCACTTCCGAACGCGCCTCTGCATTGAACGCAGCCGCAGCCACATTTTCGCCGACTCAACTTTCTGTTGTCCAGCCCGTCGGTATCGATATGCCCGACGCCAGCTCCGATGGAGCGGATTTCGTTCCGGCCGAGTATGTCAAGGAGGGCGAGGACATTTTGACGGTCGATGGTCTAGCGGCGGATGCTGAGACATACGTGCCGTTTTCGGGGTTTCAGTTGAGGAGGGAGGAAATTGAATGGGAGGCGTTTCAGATCCAAAAGGCAAAATTGGAGCTCCACTCGACACATAGGCTTGAGGTTGAGAAAGTAACGTTGGGCCTTTCCTTAGAAATTGAACGGCTGAAGCAAGAGTTGAATGCGATCAGGAACTCGAATAATGGGAATGGGAATGGGAATGGGAATGGCAACGAGAATAGAAATGCGGTGGGTGGGGGCAATGGAGAACCGCTCGCTTATGCCGAGAAAGAAAATCAGGGCGATATCGACAACGACGAGGAAGCGGAGAAACCTGATGGGGAGGCCGTAGTCGGCAAGAAGATAATCGCATTTCTCCGGCTGACAAAGGATGTTCCTTACCCGCATCGCCTGTATGGTAAAAACAATTACTCAAGCTGGCGGGAATCGATCCTTTCCATTGCTGAGACTACAGGATGCAGCCATATCATCGATGACGGGCAAAAATGCTCTCCCTTCACGGACGAAAATACGTACTTATGGGACCAACAGAATGACTGGCTGTATGATTTGATATGGAACTCGCTAAGTTCCCGGGCAATGGAGTCGGTCACTCATCCAAAGAGACGCTCTGCATATCTTCTCTGGAATCAGCTGGAATCTACATTCCGTCAGCCGCTTGAAGAGGAGCGCCGCTCCATTTTCCACAGCCTGTATCTGTCTCACCAAACCAGTGATAGGGAATATATCAAACAGTTTCAGGAGGCGAGGAGGAAGCTGGAGAAGCTTGGATTTCCAGTTCCTGATTGGCTGTTATATGATATTTTGTATGAGAGTGTTTCAAGCACTTCGCAAAATATTATCCGTACAAATTTTATACTGAAACAAGAAGAGACGCCCAAGTCCGTGCCTCAGACTCTGGATATTGATATATTGATTGATGAGCTGGTTGCCTGTTTACCCCAAGAGGGAAACGTTGTTATTATCAGCACTATTTCGAGCGATGACAGTAATACTGATCTGTCGTCCACCACATCGCCCGTTACTCCGTCTACCACGATCACTGGCAGAATTAGGTCTACTTTCACAAACAACGCCAGCAGTGATGGCGATAATACTCATAGTCTAACAGCTGGGTCACACTCGAAGAAGAAAAACGGGAACAACGGACAACCCTCGTCAAACACAAATTATACAAACAGCATGGAGACGACAAGCAACGACAGCAGCGGTAGCAAGGATGAACGTCACCCGACCCACATCCAATCCCGACCAGACCCGACTGCCAAATGCACATTTTGCGCGCGATCAGGCCATGTGGCGTCCGTCTGCTTCTTAAAACACCCGGAACTGGCTCCTGAGCGTTGGCGTCGCCAGAACCAGCAAGCAATAGAATTCCGTCAAAAGGAGGTTCGGGGACGACAGCTGCGAAATCGACCTTCCGCAGGCCACTCACAGCAGGACCAAAGCAAGAATCGGGGCCGAGATCATAATAATAACACTAATAATAATAAAAAGAACTCAAAGCCGGTATCTGCCAGTCCGAGTCGTTCCAATAATGATGTGAGCCAGGGCATGAAGGCTATTGCGAGCCAGTTTTATGAAGAGATGGACAATGAAGTTTGAGAACCTTGCTTCCTTTTTACTACATTGGAATTCCTTGGACTACATAGGATTCTTTGGATGCGGTTTGGCGTGATGCACCCAACACGCGACTTGACCCTTGATTCTGTTTGTTCTTGCAATCTGCCGTCTTTCTTGCATAGCCTTGCGCCACTCTTTCCGCTCCATTTTTGTGGTTACTTTTTGCCAAATTCGATTGTGTTATAGAAGATCGTTTTCCTGTCGTTCATTATCATTGATTGAGAGGCGTTGAGTTGTAGTGCAAAGAGAAGTGAAGAGCAAGAAGAGAATTTGGATTGACCATCGTTTTTGGATAAGTAGTGAGAGAATAAACTAAAAAAAAAAAAAAAAAAAAAAAAAGTAAAGCCAGCAAAAAGAAACCCGATCCCCGTAGCTTCACGAGTCCAGATTCACCCTTTTTTGTTCCGTGGTTGGTCTCCTTTCTTCTGTTCCTGCGTCGGCATGCCGAGACCCAGGTTTTCGGGAAGCCGTAACCCAAATTGGACATGTGTACTTTAGTTTTGGCGCGGCTGGAACATCAGCGAAGGCCAGTCGAGAAGAACAGCCTGAAAAGGAGGCCATTCCTCATCTCCCAACAGACTTCAATTCACCCACGCACTTCACGCACTTCTCAAGCATTCTCTTGGTTCCTTTATCTGACTACCTATGGGCGGAATCGTCCATTCCGCTGGTACAGAGAATTGAACAGGACTTGTATAAGCTCGTTGGGAAGAAACGAAGTTGAACCAACCGAACCCTCCTCCTCCGCATCGGTCCATATAGAGTGGGCATGCAGTTGGCACAGCCATTAAGAAGGGAGTGTTCGCGAATTCCCAGCACGGAAAACAGGGACAGGAAGAATTAATAGAGGAGGTGGATTGCGCCGTGTTTGGCCTTGAGCTTACATCGGCAACTTCCAGCGTTGACCCCGCGACTACCAGCATCAAGAAGAACCCTCAACGGGAAGGGAAAGGGAAACTCCGGATCCCATTTTTCTTTCTAAGCCCCCAGCAACAAATGACTAAATAATAGGATCCTCTCACGCAAATACCTCAGAATTGCGCTGAAGGAAGCGTTCTGTCACACGCCTATCCCGCACACCCGCCATCCCTCCGTTTTCACATACCTGAAATCATGATCAGTTCCGGGTTCACCAACGCGCCGATTTCGAAATATGTGATGGTCTTCACAATTGCTTCATCGATTGTTGTCAGCATTGCGGACGTGAAATATTTATTATATATACAGATCGTGCCACATCTATGGAAATATTGGCAAGTATGGAGACTAGGAGTTTGGCAGGTGGGGTTTTCCCCCTTCCCTAAAGGACTGTTTTAAACAAAGCTTACGACCGCATTATCTCCAATGTAGCTATCCTACACGAATTCGACAGAAGTACTCTTTGGAGCACTGCTCATTTATCAGCTCAGAGTGATCGAACGGTTATGGGGATCCAGGAAATTCGGCGTATGTGCCCTTTCTTCCTCCAAAGCTTACCACCTAAAAAACAATACTAACATCCATCTCCCAAACCCCCCAAACAGAGCTTCCTCATAAGCACCTTACCCTACACAGCCCTCCTCCCACCGCTCATCCTCTCCTTCCTCCTCCGCCCTCTCTCCCTCAACACCCTAAACTTCCTCCCCGCAGGCCCAACAGCCATCCTCTTCGCGCTCCTCGTCCAATTCTACTCCGCAATCCCCCCCGCATACAAATACCGCATCGCCGCCCCGACCACCACCGCCTTCGCATCGTCCCCAACAGCAACCACACCCTCGATCAGCGTCAGCGATAAATCCACTACCTACCTCCTGGGCGCGCAGCTCGCCCTCTCCCAGTTCCCCCACTCCCTCATCCCCGCCGCCGTAGGCTGGGCCGTCGGTTACGCCTGGCGCTCGGATATATTACCCGGCCGTGCGGCCGCGTGGAGGGTTCCCGGCTGGGTCTATGGAAACACGTCTGTCGATGCGGCGGCGCGGGAGCGCGGGCGGGCACCAGAGGGACGTGCGCCTGATGGCGTGGATGGCCACAGTTCTGCTAGATTTGGCGGCTGGCGGCGGTGGGCCGGGTTGCGGGCGGTGGTGGGGAGGACGGGGGGGGATGCAGAGAGGTTTGAGGGGATGAGGAGACGGTTGGAAAGGGAGTCGAGGGCGGCGGCGGCGGCGGGCGGAGTGGGGGTTTCCCAGGTTGGGTTGGATAGGCAGGGGGCGAATGAAGGTGGGGATGGGGGGCGGGGCCAGGGGCAGCAGAGGAGGCCGCTGGCGGGGCAGATATTGGATCGGTTTACGGGGATTTATTAGGAGGAGATGTGTGCTGGATGTGAAGTGGGTAGCATTTATTTGGTTTTTGCTTCGGTTGTTTTTAAATGAGTTTGTATGTTTGGGAGAGGAGCCGCTATGTAAGGGCTAGGGAAGTTTGCAACGTGTCATACGCTGTATGACGATGGGGGGAATGGGTGAGTGGAGTACCTTGACCTTTTCTTTGCTGCATTTGCGTAGCTATTTCCTTTGAGTATTTACAGCGGGGCATGCTCATGTTTGTATAGTTAACTTTCGCTAATCCTATTTGTGTGTTGCGATTATTGCGTGCGTATAATAATAGACTTGGTTTGAAGAAACTTTTATTGTGTTTCTTGCTTCTTGCTTCTTAAAACGACTAGTTGATAATTTCCAAATTCTATTCTTCCTCTCTTCTCCAAAATACAACTTCGAAAAAAATTATAGCGGAACGTTGTATTCATCAATCATAATAGACAGTGAAAAAAAAAAAGGTGGTGAAGACGCGAAGGGGAAATGAGGATGATACAATTGATAATGATTAAAATCTCAACGGGAGAGTTCTACGTAAGTGGAAGGAAGGAGGCTCTGGACAGTTTTTAAGGCGTTGAAATACAAAAACCGAGCAAGAGAGAAGAGGAATGAAGAAACCCCTCCCCAAGATCTAGCACTAATAAAACAACACCCCAGGCCAAAATTCCGCTATTTATTTGGCGGAATCTCTCTGGCTCGTTTTTCCTTTCAAATCGTGACATTCATGAAATGGCAGCGTAAGGTGGGTGGGACTGGGACAAGAGTTATTAAAAGAGGGCGAGGACTATATTTGCAAGTTAAGTAAAAAGGATCAACTAAACCATGGCAAATTCGATCGATGGTCCATGTCTAGCTTCATCCGAGAGAAGGAGGACGAAAGATGAGCAAGGTGAGTGATAATAAAATAGAGCGGGCAGATTATTACATCTTATTTCCCATTCCCCAATTTCCCTTTTTTCAGGTTATCCTTGCACTCATTGCAATACCATTTAGCTAGAGGTCACAAGTTCGTATATTAGCTAGGGTAAAGACGCAGACAAAGGCAAGTCAAGAAAAATAAAAAGAAAAAAAGAAACCGTATCTCCATTCCTATAACAGGAAAAACAGGTATGGCTCTAAGAATGGGAAAATAGAGAGAGGGGAAATGTGCTAAACTCACAGCTCTTCAGCGGCGCCCTTGATAAGCCCACACACGACAAATGAAACCACTCGCGCGGACACGTTTCATTATCGCAAGCAACCATTTCCCCAAAACTAACTTGATTACAGTAACAATACCTCGGCTCTCCTTCTTCCTCTTCATCATCCCCTTGGCGTGAAGAGTCCTCGTCTTCTGTTGCGGCCGCAGCGACAAGCTGCTGCGCGGCTGGTGCAAGCCCTGCACCCTTTTTATGTGATCGTTTGGTGGTGCCAGCGCCGGAACCAGCACCGGTGCCGCTGGAGGTGCTAGGGCCGCCTGGTCCTCCGCCATCCGCCGCTGTCACAGTACCGCCGCGCGGTCTCGTGGTCCGTTGTGGCTGCGAGTGTTGTTGCGATAGGTCGGGTAAAGCGGAGAGCACTGGAGTTGAATTTTTGGATGACCGGCCTTTTGGTTGGGGTTCAGAGCTAGAGCCAGCTTCAGCTTTGGTTGCGTTATTGGCATTACTGTTATTGATGTTATTGTAGCTAGCAGGAGCTGTGTCCTCCTGTTTTGGTACGAGCTCCGCTGGTCTCGGGGTAGTGGAGATGGAAGGACTCGCTTTCTCGTCCTTATTAACTTCCGCTAGAGTAGAAGAAGTGGGCTCTATTCTAGTAATAGCAGTATCCCTGGATAAAGTGGAGGGCTTGAGGTCTGAAGAAGTGGGTTTTTCTGCGATCGGAACAACCGGGTTAGGGACGTCCAGGCGGGTGATACATGCAGGTGTGGGTCCGGGCAACGTACTTGAATTAGGCGCCCGATTCGACGCAGATGATGAAGGCCGCTGACGGCCATTGGTTACTTGGGTACTAGCTAGCTGCGATCGGGAGGATGGTGTTACCGGAATAATATTGGGAGCGGGGCTGGCAGCTTTTGTCAAAGCGTTAAGGGGGAGTATAGCGGAAGAAGGGAGTAGCGCTGGAGATCCAGTCGCGGACGCCGTTGTGTTTGTTCTGTTTCCATAGTTTCCACTCAGTTAGAATTAAAACTATGGCTCATCAACATTTTTTCCAAAATTGGAAATTCGTCGACATACCTTTTCCTCCCCGTAGGATTAGCATTCGGCGCTCGTACTCTCTTCTTCACGCCATCAGTAGCAGAAACATCTTTCACAGCACCTCGTCCAGTACCTGCATTCGTCGTCGTGCTAGCCGACCGCTCCATTGCGGAACCGGTAGCAGAAGCTATGGGTTGAGGTTTCTCGACTCTCCTCCGTTTAGCAGGAGCAGCAGAGCTCGCAGCAGCAACACCCGCGCCAATTGGGATATTGGACAGCGTTTCACTGCTTTTCCCTTTACCGCCCGTGCCTTTCCGAGTTGGAATCCGCCCGTCTTCAGCATCCACATCACCGTAAGTACGCCTATGTTTTCGGGAAACGCCCTCCCGTCTAGCTTCGCCCTCGAGAGCCGCAGCAAGGTTATGATCACGGGTAGCGGCAGTTTCACGCCGGGGACGCTCAGATGTATTGCCCGTGGTCTTTGCGACAGTCTTGTTCGAATATGCCCAGTGCGTGAGGCTACCTAGCCGGGCCTCTTCACTTATCTCGCCCTCAACGTATGGAAAAGTCGCATCAATGCGCCTAATCTGCTTTTCAAGCTCATTATTCGCATTCCACAACACATGGTTCTTCTCATCGGTAGTAATCATAAGGTCGGAGAGAGTGGAGCGGAGGTCAAAGAAAATCTTCCTGCGGGCAAGTGCCTCGGGCGAGTCGTAGTTGATCGGTTCTTTCGTCTACCAGCAGCCAGCAAAACATATTAACTTAGCTACATAATCCCCACAGTTGTCCATCCCCCTTCCAAAAAAAAAAGAAAAAGAAAAAAAAAGAAAAAACCCACCGGTATACCCCCCTGCATCAACTTCGCATAAGGCGTCGACGCCGTTGCCGCATCCAGCTGTTTCGACAACGCCTCTTCCAACGCCCACGCCTTCCCATCCACCTCCTTCAGCAACGACGCATGCCTCCGAAACTCCTTGGGCAGCGCCGTAATGGCGTCCGTGAAGTGAGTGATAGCCGGGTAGAGGCCGTGCGGGATGTTGCGCGCAGCTGATTCGCGCCTTGCGCCTCCTCCGGCACCACCAGCACCAGCACCAGCACCGCCGAGACCGACGCTGGAACCGAGCCCGTATACGCCACTGCTCCCGTGGAGACCCAGGCTGGCGAAGGTGGTGCGGCTGGCTGTTTTGGACGTGCGGCTGGGGTTTGTGCGGGTTTGGCGGGCGGGTTGGCGGATGGAGTTGGAGTGCGAGGTGGTGCTGGGTCCGAGACCTGTGCTGGTGGTGCTGTTTGCGGCGTGGGCAGCGCCCGGGGCCAGAGCAGTGGCCATGGATTGCGCTCGCGGGAGTGGTGAGAGATGTCGGTGCTATCTAAGGTGGAATCAAGAAGGGGAAGATGGAAATGAGAAAGTGGGAGATGGGGGAAATAGCTCTGTCCCTGCTCCGTTGCAGCTTAGAGCGGGAAGCGGGGGGGAAGAGCTGTGAACAGCTCGTAAAGCTGAAAGATGGGGATGGCTGTATTTCTAACAACCAAAGGAGAAAATGGATATGGGAGGCAGGACATTGGGAGAGGAGAGAAGGATAGAGAGAGATAGAGAAAGATAGAGAGAGAGCTGGAGTTGGGTTGATGAAGGGATTGCCGTTTTGGGCAATAAGCAGGGACCAGTAATACGAAGCCGTGCCCTCGCCTGAAACGGTTTAGCGCGTTGGTTCAGAGCCGAGACGCTAGGCTGTAAATGGAAGAGTGGAATAGGCCAGGGATGTTATATGTAAATATTCAATTCCGCAAGAGGTTATTATAATAATATCGATTATGCTAACGGGATAATAGCTAGCTACCCAGCTATCAAAACAAAATAAAGAAACGGAGGAAAACGAGAAACACATCGACATCTAATTTACATCTTTTTCCTTCTGTACTTTCTAATGAAACAGGGCGAAACAGGGGAAAATACAGATTTTAAGCAATGTTAATAATCTCAACATAAAGATTTTCTTTTTCTGCATTGCACATGTTAACAACTTGAAAAAAACAGTTCCAGGTGTAAAAACCAACCTCTCACAGCTTTTGTTGTAGTCTTGTGCTTCTTTGGTTTTGGTGTTTCGTCGCTGATGTTGAGCATACGTTGTAGAGGCAGGAAGGGAACGAGAAGACATAGCAAACACATATATGATAACAATTTATAAGATAGGAGGAAGGGTTTGGCGGTGGTCTTGGTGTGGTTTAAAAAAGTGACGATCGTGGGAAATTTTACAAATAGAAAACCGAGAAGTGGTAAAAGGAAGGGTAAATAAGATGAAAGGAATAAAGAAATTATAGAATGCAGCTAAACTAAACAAGAGGAAGAAGGAAATAAAAGATATACAAAAGAGGAAAAAAGGGGTTGGGGAAAATAATCAATGTATCTTTCAAGTTTTTAAAAAGAAGAAAGAAGAATAAAATGCCAAGAACAAAAGGTAGACCACTCGTATCGAAAGGGAGGTCATCTACCTCGATGCTCCCACCCTCTACTCACCCTTCAACCGATCTTGATGGACTGAGAACGCATCCTGCAACAAATCCTGCTCCTCCTTCACGTGGCTAGCCTTCAGACCCGTCGCCACACTTGCGCTCGGATTCCGGCCTGCATACAGCACATGGCGCCGGTTATGGTGCACGGTCTCGTTCAGCAACGTTTCGATGCGCGGCTGCATGTAGCTCCACGCACCCGCATTCAGCGGCTCCTCCTGGCACCAGACGATGTCCTTCGCGTTCGGATAGCTGTCCAGGTTCTCCTTGAGCTGCTGCCAGGGGAACGGGTGCATCTGCTCGATGCGCGTTATGGCTGTGTTGTTGATTCCATGCGCGGCGCGGTGTTTTTGGAGGGCGGCGTAGACTTGGCCTGAGCATAGGATTACGCGCTCGATGTCTTTGTGGTTGTTCAAGGAAGGCGAACCGTGTTCTGGGTCGGCGATTATCCACTGGAAATGGGAGTCACCGGTGAAGTCTGAGAGAGGGGAGCGACAGAGAGGGTGGCGGAGGAGGGATTTGGAGAAGAAGATTATCAGGGCTAGAATTAGGGGTTAGCCTGCGAATTTAAATTTTTTTTTTTTAGAGTCGAGGAAGGATATGGGGGACTCACGTTTTCGGAATTGCCTGTTCATCTGTCTGCGCATGACGTGGAACAAGTTGGACGGCGTGGTCATATAGGCAATCTGCATGTTGCAGTCCTGGTGTTGGCGGTCGATTCTATCAGGAGCGGGGAACACTCTTGGATCTTCGTTACACAGTTGGAGGTAACGTTCTATTCTCGCGGAGGAATGCTCGGGACCCTGGCCATCATAACCATGTGGCAGCGACATGACAAGACCGGATCGTTGGAGCCACTTGGATTCGCCGGATGCGATGAACTGGTCAATGATACATTGGGCGTTATTTGCGAAATCACCAAATTGAGCCTCCCACATCACAAACGCATCGGGTGATGTCAGAGAGTAGCCATATTCAAAGCCCAAGCTGCCAAACATGTCAGCGTGTTAGTACAAGAGATGTCGATTATTAAAGATAAAACCAGAGAACCCCCCCCCCCCCCCTTCCACCAAAAAAAAAAAAAAAAAAAAAAAAAAATGAAAAGGGGATATGAAAAACTCACGCGCCAAACTCGCTAAGCGAAGAATTCGAGATGACAAATTTCCCTTGATCAGGGCTAATGTGCTGCAGCGATGTGTATGTAGTCTCGTTCTCTTGGTCATGCAGAACAGCATGACGCTGCGAGAAGGTCCCACGCTCCACATCTTGTCCGGAGATACGCACATGATGGCCCTCAGCACAGAGCGAGCCAAACGCAAGCGCTTCGGCGGTCGACCAATCGATGTTCTCACCTTCTTCGACGGTTTTCTTTCGGTTTGCCAAGATACGTTTCAGGTTGCGGTGCACGGTGAAGTTTTCAGGGATGGATCCGAGGACGTCGCCGATCCTCTTCAGGGTTTCTGTGGGGACGCCAGTGGGCGGGTGTGGGAGGACCTCCGTAGCCAGCTCCTTGGGGGTTTTGAATCCGTTCCATGCGGAGGTCAGCCACTCCTTGCTGGAAGGCTGGTAGTCCTTGCTACGATCGAAGCTGTCGTTCAACATTCCCCAAACCCACTTCTTGTGCTCCTCGATGTCCGCCTTGCTGAAGGTCTTCTCACTGATCAACTTGTCAACATACTTGTCCAGTTGGTTAGTCTGTTCTGCGATGCGCTTGTACATCAGGGGCTGCGTGAAAGAAGGCTGGTCCGTTTCGTTGTGGCCCTGTTTCCGGTAGCAGACGATATCGATGACCACATCACGCTTGAAGGTGGCGCGCCAGTCAGCTGCCATCTGGCAAACGTAGTTCAGCGCTTCAACATCATCCCCGTTGACATGGAAGACAGGCGCGTCGATTGCCTTGGCTATATCAGAACAGTATGGGGTGGAACGAGCAAAGCGGGGATCAGTGGTGAAACCGATTTGGTTGTTCACGATGATGTGGATCGTTCCTCCGGTGGAGTACGCGGGCAGGGAATGGAATCCCATTGTCTCGTACACTACACCCTGCGCAGCAAATGCAGCATCACCATGAAGTAACACCCCCATTGCGGTGTTGAATTCCTTCTCATCGTTGTTGTAATGCTGGATGGCACGAGTCTTTCCGAGAACAACGGGATCCTCGGCCTCCAGATGAGACGGGTTGGCGACGAGAGAAAGCTGCACGCGCTTGCCTGAAGGCGTGGGACGCTCAAAGTTCATGCCAAGATGGTACTTGACGTCTCCGGATCCTTCGTCCGAGGGCTCCACGGTACCGCTGAATTCGCTGAAGATGGACTCGTTGGGTTTCCGTACGACGTTACTAAGTACATTAAGACGACCTCGATGTGGCATACCAATGACGATATCCTTAATACCGTAGTCAACACTACGGTCAATTAGGGCCTTCATTCCCGGAACCAGGGTTTCGCAACCTTCCAAACCGAAACGCTTATCGTTAGGGAACTTGGTGGCAAGGAAAGACTCGAAACTGGAGCTCCAAATCAGGCGATCCAGGATACGGCGTTTCTCATCGATGGAGTATTTGTAAGGGGTGGGGATCTCGACGCGATCACGAATCCAATCGCAAGGCCCTCTGTCTGGGATGTGGATATATTCGATGCCGTACGAGCCGCAGTAAATCTTCTCGCAAGCAGCAATGATCTCCCTCAGGGTCATCTTTTTCCTCGTCTCGGTTTCGAAACGTGGAAGAATACCGGGTCCAAGGGCGAATTCCTGGTCCAGGTCGTTCTCGGTAAATCCATAATGGTCCAGCTCCAACTCCCTAGGTTTGTTGTAACCAAAAGCTTCAGCTTCTCCACGGATTCCCAGGGGGTCGATCTTCGCTTTGTGGTGTCCACGGGCCTGGTATGCGCGCACTAGGAGCTGGACTTTCAAGTGGTTCGATACTTCGGTTCCGGCAACACTAGCGGTCCCGGCGTGGGGCATATGTTGAGGCACGCCGCCGGTTGGGATTGGGACGAGAGTTGGGGGAGGCTGGAAGGCTTGGGAGATGGGCATATTGCCATCTTCCATATTGCGGAAGTATGTTTGCCACGAGACATGAACACTTGTGGGGTCCTTCTTCCAAGCCATATACATCTCATCGATGTAATTCGCAGTATTCCCCTGAAGGAAGGAATCGCTAGGATCCTTAAACGCCAAACACGTCAGTTCCCCATCCAAAAGCAACGAATATTACATGATATAATAGAGACGGAATTCGATCTATCGCAAGGGGGAATAAAATTGGGACGAAAGAAAAAAGAAAGGAAGAAAATGCAAAAGACATACCACTCCTTTACTAGACTCCTCTGCGGCAACAGCATAATATCTCTTCTGATTCCATACCTGCTGGCGGCCAACAACAGCCAACGGTCTGCGCGAGGCCAGATGCAGCTTGGAGCTACTCCGCGACACGGTATTGGCGGGTTTCGACGAAATGACAGAAAATGCCCGGATGTTGCAGGCGCAGGACGAACGGCGGAAGAAGGCAGCGTTCGAAGACGCTTTAACCGTAGCAGTTCGCAGCATAGTTGTGGATCCTTTTTCCTGACCCTTTTCTTTTCTTTCTTTTCTTTTTTTTTTTTCGGCTTTTCTTGACGTACAAGGAAGGGGATCGTCAATAGTTCCGAACGTTCAACCAGGCCGTCACGAAGTCTTCTTTGTAGAGAGAGAAAAATGAACCTTTAACATGGAAGAGGACAACAAGAGATTTTCTATGAGTAAGAATTATGAATTTGTAAAATAGAGAGACGAAAGCCCCATGTTATAGAGGGAAGAGGGGTGGGGGTTAAGGTAAAAAGAAGAGAAGGTGGTGGCAGGGTAAAAGGTAGATTTACTCAACAAGAGACAACAAAATTCCAATAAAAGATAATCCTTTTTCAAAAAATGAAATGAAATGAAATTTCCCTGCTTATCTCTCGAGTTTTTTTTTTTTTTTTTCCTAATGTTTTTCGTGTCCTTCGTATCCCTCTTTCTATTCTTTCCTTCTGTCTGAGTGTATTCCTTCTATTCTCTGTATTTCCTCGCCGGGTTCCCAACTGGCGAACCTAATTAATCTCTTCCGCGAAGGAGAAGAAGAACAAGGCGAACACCGTAAACGATAACCGAGGATCTGGCGGGGCAGCTAGCCAGCCTCAACGGGCAGACGTTGAAGATATACGCAAAGAAAAAAAAAAGGAAAAAAAGCAAAAATAAAGGCGGGAACTGTCGACTAGTACTGTCGTTCCGCCTGGCGAGACACCCGTTTCATCAGAGAAGAAGACAAATGACTCTTCTCCCGCTGGCGGCTTTGCGGGTGGTTTAAAAAGGAAGAAAAATTGGAGAAAAAAGGGAAAAGAATTAGGGCAAAAGCCTCGTATGACAACTATGAACAAGCTTCAAGCTTCAGCTGTGGAAGGGTAGAGAAGGGGATTCGATGTTCGACGGAGGCGGGGGGACTAGAGGACGTGTTGTGATTCCACGCGGGATGGTGCGAGGAATTGAGGTTGAAATCGTGGTCAGGAAACGAGGAAGAGAAGATGCAACGACGAAAAGGCAAAAAAGAAGATGCAACATGTAACAAGCACCCAAGCAGCAGAGCCACAGCCGTCGCCCGAACCGCCTCGGCTGAGTCAGCTGCGCCTGCACCGTGACAGGCTGTGACAGCGATACGGCGGCTCTGCGCCTGCCATTGGCTGCCTCGCTGCGGTGTGCAGCATGTTTTGTGACCGTCCACTGGTACCAAGGTATCATAGCTGTGTCCAGAACCTTGGAGGGCACGAGGGCAGGAGGGCAGGCAGCCAATCAGCGGGCAGGAATTGTTGATTTCTATAGACGCCAGGCCGGGTCAGGACTAGCGCAGCCGCTTTCCCGAAAACGGTACGGTCGTTACATACACAAACAGAAACATGATTTACGTCACCTGGTTGTCCTCCTCAGACAGCACATCAACTTGCATAAAACTAAGGAAACAATGATAAATTATAAATAAATAAATAATAAATAAAATAAAATAACCAAAACATCCTCTGGCCAGGTCCAGTGTAGTTAGTTGGCTAGATGTGTAATATATGATAAGAGCAGTCGGAAGATTCAAGGGAGTTGACCAACCTAGATAGATGACTGTGTGTAGGTAGGTATATTATGGGGCAATATATATATATATATATATAGTAATATCGGTATTACCTAGGCTACATATATGTAACTCCTTGTAGAACCAAAATAAATGGCACGGAAGAAAAATGGCACCTGCAAAACGAAACAGGATATGCATCTCTCCATCCACCCAACAAACATAACAACGAACCCCTTTCCCCACAAATATATATATTTCTTTCACATCCAAGTGGAAAATTCAAAGATCCGGGGGGGAGAGGGGGGAGAATGATATGATGGATAGATAATCAACAATCATCCGGCGCGATCTCCTCTTCTCCTGCCGTATGTTCATCTCGTTCTGATTCCTAGTGAGTGTCCATCGCTCATGGAGATGTGTGTGGGTATCATGTGTCATAACTCATACCGTAGACAGGGGGGTAAAAAGGAAAAGGTGCTATTGTCAAAAAAGAAGAGGCGACAGCTGAACAAGTTTTAAAAAGAAAAGAAAATATTAAAAGGATAAATAGAGAAATCCCCCTGGTGATATTTCAGAGAAACGCTTTTAATGCCCAACAGCTAAGCCAACTATGTTATAAACATGGCCTTGGCATATTTCGTAGTATATATATAAATCTCAGAATATTTCCAAAAAAAAAAAGAAAGAAAGAAAGGAAGGAAGGAAGGGAAGGAAAACGGATAAGATATCTCCTACCTAGAAGTCGCAATACCCGGGTACGATAGAAACGACACGCGAAACACCTGAAGAATAGTTTTCGATTTTTCTCCCCCTCCGCTTTTTCACGGCTTTCCCCCTCATATCAGGCCGCTAGCCATAACTTCCCTCTCCACAACCTCGCGCTCTCCACTCTCACTCGTCCGCCGCCTCTCAAGAACCCACCGGTCACCGCCCGCCTCATCAGTCTCCTTGACGTAGCTGATGCTCTCGGTCGTGCTGTTGGCGCGACTGTGCTGGGATATCCTGGTGCTGGCAGCGGTGCTGTTGTCCTCTTTGGAATCAGAGGTGGCTGTGGCCGTGGCCGTGGCGTCGGTGACCTTGGTTTCGTCCGGCTCTGCTTCGAGTGGGAGACGGGAACGGTCGTGATGATGGTGCTTTTGCTCGGAGTATTTGAGTGGAGAGAGGGGTTTATCCTTGTCGGACGGTGTGGTTATATAATTGTACGTAGAGGAGGAGGAAAGGGGTGAGAAATCATTGTCCGAATGATGAGGATTCTGCTGTTGATGGTGATTGCGATACGGGTGGGAATGGGGATAAGAATAGACTTGCTGCTGCGGGTGGGAGAAACTGCTGCTGCTGCCATAGCTGGTACTTTCCGTGGCTACCGGCGACCCAGTCAACACCGTATTAGAATTATTACTGTGATTATTGGTGTTGGTGTTGTGATTGCTGCCGCTGCTGCCGCTTCGCCCTTGCTCAGCCAACATGTCGTGGAAACTAGTAAAGCTCCCCCGGCTGGATGCCGCCGCTGCCATGGTAGCCGCGACAGGAGAGCCACCATGGCTGGCTGCGCTACTCCGCAAGCTGCCATTGCTTCCTCCCCACGCCCCGCGCCTGAGCTTCATAAGGGCATTCATCTGATCATCGATATTGCCCAGATCACCAAGATGTGCCAGAGGTGGAGGGTTTGTGAATGATGCACCCGCACCGCCAGCAGCAGCAGCAGCAGCATGCGCCGTCAATGAAATGATCGAGTTTCGCGTACTCCACTCGCTACGTTCAGTAATGGGCGTGAGGCTGGGCTCTTGGAAATTGACACGGCCGCTATGGCTCCTCGTGATGCCCTCGACGCTGCGCGTGCCAAAATAGCCTCCCAGCACCATCTGTCCGTCGCAGTTGCTGGCTAGAGCTTGTGGGTAAAATCCGAATTCTTGCCCGTAGAAGCCCTCGTCGTCGTTCTCGAGGGCTTCTGCATTGGCGGCTGCAATTATCGCGTCGTCGTCGAGGTAGTCGTCGTTATAGTCGAAGTCATCGAAAACTTCTTCAAAGGCCATCGGGTCGACGTTTTGGCTGACGCGGCTGTCATCAGCGGTAAGGCCTGGATGGGAGTCGGGTGAGAGCGGTGCGTTGCCTGCATCACTAGACCTTTCGCTGACACTGCCGCTTCGTTCAAATCGGCCGTTGAGCGCGGCTTCGTTGGCCGCCTTGGCGAGGGCGCTGTGGTATTTCTCGAGATTCCCTTGTGTCAGGCCACGGATGGTACTTGGGTGAATTTCCTGCTCTGTCAAACGTCCCGTCACTTCACTTATACCCCCGTTCTTGAGAGATATATTGTGGTGCATCAGACTACTCTGGGCTGCAAGAGGAACCTTTCCATCCTCCTCATCATCGCCATCGTTGACACTATACTCTTCTATCTGTTGATCATTACCCACTGCGATCCCGTCACTGCCAGGCCCCGTCTGCAACTGGGGATTACATTTTGGCTTCCGTTCGTAGAGATGACTGGTCTCATCGTCGAAAACCGATTCGTCGAACTTTTCGCCATCAATATCCCCCAAGATATCATCAATCATGCCATCGTCAAAATACAAATCGTCTTCATCGCTTTCAGGGTAAACCGAAGACCTCTCCTCCACACCTTGGCTAAAAAGCGGGGAAGGTCGTTGAAGCCCTGGTTCGGTAGGTGCTGTCGAAGCGTCTGTATCATTCTGAGAGAAAGCAGTGTTGTTGGCTAGTGGACCATTGGGCGGAAAGATACCGCCAGTCCCGGAGCTAAGCCCAGCAAATACAGGGTTAGGACTTATCATTAGCGGGGTTGGCATGTCGTTCACTGGCGAGAGAGGCGTGGAATAGTTCAAATCCAGCGGACTCATAGGATTAGATAGTACAGGAGGCAATACAGGTACGAACAACTGATTGCCCGGGTGTCCAAACACATGTCCCTGGCCCGTGAATCCATCAAACTCATCTCCAGAGTCTGCATCGGCATTCACGCCGGGAATCCTCTCTTCCAGCCCATCATCATCCATCATGGCATCGTAGTCAAATTCTTCAGAGTCAGAATCATTCGCCCGATCGAGTTGGGCTTTTGCTCTTTTAGCAGCTTCTTTCTGCTTGTGCTTCTCCTCCATAATACGCTCCTGGGACGCTGAGTCTCCGTTCGCCATGTCAAAACTAAATCGGGATGCACTGCTCGTGAGATGTCTGGGTAAACCCGAAGGTTGAAACGAGCCATCGTAGACCGTTGACGCTTTGGACCTTGTACTGGAGGACCTGAGGTCAGAGGACATCGAGGCCCTATGTCCTTGTTGTTTTCTGGAGCTTGCTTGTCGTAAAGGCAGCGGTTTATCGTGGGGTTCGACAGCAGAATGCAGCCGGGCAGAGGATGGAGTACGCCCAGTCGACGGAGTTTCCGTATGGCTTCTGTCACTATTAACAGGTGATTCCTTGTTTTCATTCTTCAAACTGTCCGCTGGCGAAAGAAGGACAGGCGGAAGATTCTTATTTTGGAAATCCTGCACATTCACTGGTTGACTATCTACAGCCTGCTGTTTCATCATGGGTACATTCGGTCTCGGCCGCGGGGCGGAGAAATCATGAAAACGGTTTCCTCGAATCCTTGGATCATAGTCATCTGGCAACGCAGGTAGTCCCAGCCGACTTGCACCTATTTCGTCCAGGCGCGGGGTGAGGGTCTGCCCCGATCGACGACGTGCCAGCAAGGCCATGGGGTTAAGGAGATTCAATCGCGTTTTCCCCGCCCGAGAAGGGGCGGGTTCGTGGTGTGTATCATGGCTGCTAGCATCACGTCGAGAGTAATTGCTATTATTGTTGTTGTTGCTGATGACGATGCTGCTGCTGTTGCCTTCTTGTTTAGCTAACTCACGACCAGGAATAAAAGCATTGCTGCTGCGTTCGACGCCGGAGGAGTCAGGCGAAGAAGGCTTCATCCGTACACTGTTGTTATTATTGCTTCCTGGCGAATAACCACCCGCAATTCCACCGCTGCCCTTCGAGCTGTCCGAGAGTATATTCTTGCCAAATGTAAGCTTCCAAGGAGAGGTAGGTTTGCTACTGTGGGGAGCAGAATCGTGATGATCGGGTCGTAACATTGCTGCCTGTTGCTGGGAATCGGCGGACGGCAGTGGCTTCTTCGAATCACCATTTCCAGCCGAATGTGGGCGCACCATGAGCGGAGGGATACTAACTCGTGGTGACGCTGATAGCGACGTAATATTTTCTCGACCACTGCCACCATTGTTACCAATTTGTTTCTTCTTTGTATCAGAGCCATTCTCCAACTTCCCACAGTAATTATTATGCCTATTATTATTGATGTTGTTGTATTCCGACTGCTGCTGGTGTTGCTGCAGGGGCGGTGTCCCAAACCACGAAGTCGGCTCGCCAATCGTACTCGAAAGCTTGGGCGAATAAGGCGAATCTGGTAGAGAGAGCTGCGGCGGGAGGTGGCTACTAACTGGCAACGCAGTTGACGGGTGGGTTGTCGGCGATGGTGAGGTAGCTGGTGGGCTAGGCCGACGATGCTCGCGCCGCAAGTAAGAAAAGACTGTAGACGGAGGCATGACAGAGGTGAAATGACAAGCTGCAGCGCAGGTGCATTACATAAATGATGAGCACACCCCGTTCCCTTCAAGGTTTGGGAATGGAAACTCCAGAGCTTGTGGGTTGCCCTACAACCGTTACGGAATCAAGATTGGAAGGCCATGGTGTGCTGCGGCGGGGTTTCCTGATTGTTTGAGGATGTAAGCTGCAGCTCTACGGCACCAGTCTCGAGGATCTGCCAGGGAAACCGGGCTGGATGCAGCAGGATAGGGAAGGCAGAAGAAGTTATCGTCGTGTGGCGTAGCTGGCGTAGCTGGCGAAGCGGGTTGTTGTAGATTGTTGTTATGTTGATGTTGTTGTTGATGTTGTTGATGTTGACATTGAATGTTGATGTTTTTGTCCCGTTGCTGATCCCGTTCATTTCCCTTGTCTTGGAACCTTGTCAGCAAGAAAATGTCTCCGCCGCATTATTCATTCCGCATTGGCAGAGTTAGTTAGTTAGGACGAGGTTCGAAGATATGGAATACCAAGGAAATGGTGAGCAACAGTGGTAGTTATTTATGCGGCAAAAATCCCACGTTTACTATGTATATATTGGAAGTCAATGCACGAAGCTTTGCCGCACCAAGCATGTTTGGTTCTACCCCGGAATACGCGCCTGGGGAATCCAAGGATGAGGGCGACAAGTTGCCGCTTCACAGCCTCGGCAGGCTGCTGTCTGGTGCTGTCTGGAACTGTGGGCTCGTTGCTCCCCCCGCTCCTCACCCTCGTGTCAATGTGAATCTCTGCTTCCTGAGGGGGGCCTGCTTGTCCAGCGTCGATGCTGTGCTCACCCGGGCCCAGTCCCCGCGAACCTTAACCCCCCGGGCGTCCTTCATTCTACGTCGACACACCCATGGAAACCTGAACGATGCGTAAAATAAGCTTGCGGGCGACCCATGATCTATGGAGCGATATTCAGCATGTGGTCTCCGCAAGGAAAGTGGTATACCGTGGTACTTTTTAGGCCGAAAAAGCTTTAACATGCGATGGAATACTTGCAAAGGCATAATAAGTGATGTCAAGAAAGCTGCAGGTGCATCTGTTGAAAGGGGCTGGCTTCCGTCACCTTCTTCTGACTGCCAGTACATACAATACATCGATCTTGAAATTATCTTCTCAAACCGCAAATTGTTTTGCGGGGGGAATGCGGTGATTATGCGGTTTTATTTACCCACAGTACTCCCCTCTTGCTCAAGGAAGGGCTTTCTTTTCCCAGTTCACAGATCGAAAGATAAGCCCAAATTTACGGCGCAGTACACTCCTCTCTTTTGAGCGAAGGGAGTTTTATTCAAATATGTGCTTTCAACATATGTACCCTACATGTGAACCCCAGTCACAACCGTCTATATTGCGCAAGGCGCCTGGTCAGAACTAAAAACGCCCGACCAGCCGGAAGACAGGAAAAGGAGAGAGAAATGAAGGTATCATAACGAATTTGTCGTATAGTTAGGATATCGAAATATTGTTCGTACACAAGTGAGACGTTTGGGCGGGCGCTGGAAAGGCAAAATACGCGATGGCAAAAAAAAGATGGCCATGACAATGGAATGACGATGACGCTGATGAGATATAAAAAGATCACAAAAGACAAAAGTAAAAATTAAAAAAAAAAATAACAAATACGAGGCTCAAGAACTCCAAAGCACAAGCCACAAAGTAGAAAATCCCAATGAGACCGTACAGAGTAGCGCCACGCCCCATCACTGGCTTTCTCGCTCAAAAACTGGAAAAAGCAGTCACTAACTCTGTGCCCTGTCTTTTCCCGTTCCCGAGATGGCTAGTTAGTTCCATCACTTGAATGTGATCAAAAGAACGATAGGGAGGATTCAATGGATATTGAAGACATGGCGGTGAAAAATAGAAAACGGAAAAGAAAAAGAAAAAGAAAAAGAAAAATGGAAGGAAATCGCCTCGCTATGCCTCGTCATAAAAGCATCTCGCTATGGGAAATTATTGCCATAAGCGCCCTCCCAAACACACAACAAGGGGGCGGGCGGAAGAAAATAAATAAGAAATAAGAACCTTGAGAAACTGCTCCAAACCAACGGCAAACACACATTCGGAAAACGAAATGCCAAAAAATATATATATTTCTATGTGTGTCGTAATCTTAATCTTCTCTATCCCATCCCTCAATACCGCACGCTCTGCCTCCACCGATCAATAATATCGCGTTGGCCAGGGTCGATAATGGCTTCGCCTGCCCGCGCACCAGAACCAGCATTAATGGCGTTCGGGTATCCATATCCATTCCCATACGACAGACCCGTTCCGAGATCACTCATTCCGGTCATGGTGGTGTACTGCATGCCATTGCCCATACCCGCTCCGTTAACATGGCCGTACCCATATCCCATAGACGCGTACTTGGTACTTTTCCCCCCATAACTCTGCTGTTGCTGCTGCTGCATATTCATAGTCGTACTCGTATTCGCCGGAATGCCATTGAGTGGTATTTGGTGGGAGTGAGAATGACGCATAGCATTTCCAAATCGAGCTCCATTATTGAGATACAGATTGTTCCCGCCGTTACGCGCCGGATGCGCTTGCAGGACACTCGCCATACTATGTCGCTGCTTGGCAGCGACTGTAGCAGTGATATTATTTTGCACCGTCCCTGTTATACCCGCTCCCGCCCCTGGCCCCGCTCCCTCTGCCTCTGCCGCCTGCGCCTTCTCGGCCTGTAGACGTCGCCGGCGTTGACCGAGCGTCTCTTCTTCCGGTCGCTCTGTGGAGTCCGCAGGCTGCGGTTGTGGATCCTTAGACTGCTCAGTCGACGAGTGTGGCTCATCGATCGACGCTGCACCAAATTGACTCAGAAGTTCATTCGTGAAGTCCCTCGATAGCCTTTCGTTAACTTCTTCGGATTTTAATCGACGGGCCCGTTGAGCTAACGTCTCTCCTTCCTCCTCCTCATCTTCTTCCCCATTGTTGTTGTTGCCATTGGCATTAAGATCGCTGGTAGATAGGAAAACCGTGCTTCCTCGTTGCATGGAAATGGGAGACTTGCGTGTTTTGCCAACATAGGGTTCGCCACGGATGCGCGCCCGACGCCGACTGAGAGGTTCATTTTCTTCCAACGCCAGCTTCTCCATCAAGCCAAGGGGTCTATTTTCATCATTTTGCACATTTTTAGGAAACAGCACGGCGAGGGGCACGTCTTCATCGTCTGGTTCGTGTCGTTCAGCGATCACAGGGTCCTCCCACGCGAGGGTGACGTGTTTTTGGTTTCGCGTTTCACGTTGGTGTTGGGCGACAGCGTCCAATTCGAGTAATGTTGAGTGCATACCATTGGGGAACGCTGTGGCTGCCGTACGGTTTCGTTGTTTTTGTTCTTGCTTGCGTATCTGGAGTTCGGCCAGGAGAGTTGTTGGAGCTCCAACGTAGGTTGCCTCCTCTTCCTCCTCTTCCTCCTCCTCTTCCTCCTGTTCATTATCCTCATCATTGCTCCCACTTGAATTTTCATTTCCCCCAAGGCGATCCTCATTCCTTTCCCCACAATCCCGCTGTTTCATATCATTGTGAAGATCTGAACCCACACGGTCTTGATCCCCTTCATACGAGTCCCGGAATCGAGTCACCTCATTACTACCCTCAATAGCATGTCCTTCAGTCTCGTGATCTCCCTCCTGCTCAATGGTACTAAGCTCGCTTCGGGACAGCATGACGCTATCCCGATCTGCGGGAGATTTGCGGGAGCCATTTTTGCCCTGCTTACCGGGAAGAGGCTGTAACTTTTTCTTTGTCTTGGGCTTGCCGTAGACCTCACTACCAACTTGGCCTGCGATTGGGTGATCGGTAAAGGCACTAACGGGCGCAAGGGCTGACGCATCAAGAATGCTATCAAGTGTAGCAACGGCTGAATTCTGCTTGATTTCAATGTCCATCTGGACAGGGGGGAGGTCAAAATAAGCGGAAGCGCGTAGCTGTGGTGGTATTTCCGATAGTCGCTTGGCAGTCCGGGCTTCCTTAGATTCCTTACCATTATCCCCCAGATCTAGCTGAGATGACCACACCACCGACTTCCTTGCACCTGCTGAGAAGGAATTGACGAGCTGCGAGCGGCGTTTTTCGTAATGCGGTTCGGGGGATTTTTTCGATCGCCGGGGGGGGAGGTTAAGCATCATTGGAACAGGCGCAGGATAAAACACCATATTTTCAACCTGGGTTGGATTGTTGAAGGATTGTGATTCTCTGGCGAGAGGTGGTTTCGTCAACGAAACACGGCCACCCGGGACTCTCTCTCTGGGTAGGGGAGCGAAATGAACTCCATCAAAGTCTTTGAATAAAGATTTTGATTGCCTGTAGGTATCCGTTGAACCTGGTGTTGGGGAGCGCTCTTCGGAGACATTCTCGTCGTATGTAGGCTGAGGATGGTCTGGAGCCAGAGGTTGTTGCAGCTGTTGATTGTCGACAAGGTCGTGCTGAGGAAGCTCGAGAGGAGGCAGGAATGGAGGGGCAGAGAGGGGTTCGTGGGGTTGGGTCGACTGGTCCTCATTTTCAGGCTCAGGGAACCCAGCCAGTCGTAAGGCAACTGAGGACGATCTCACGCGAGATGTAGGGGCATCAGTTTGCGAGGAGGAGGCAAGCATGACCGCGTTCTTTTGGGGTGCGACGTAATCTCCTGGGGGGTATCCGCTCGACCTCGTCGTGGTATTTATGCCAATGATCGAGTTCGATTGCGAGGAGGTGAAAATTTCGGAGGCAGGGGAACCACGACCAAATGGATGGGGATCAGCAGCCCTGCCGCTGGCAGCAACAGAGAGCCTTCTTTGTTCTTGCTTCAACTTGCGTAGTTCCTCCCCTATATTCGAGGAGGTGCTCAGGGTTTCTGCAGATTTTTCCAGCCGCTCAACATTTCCCACGTAGGCGCCTTGTAGTGATTGAAGGTCGGGTGTTGGGTGGCAAAGAGGAACAGGACACGCAGACACAGGGGATCGAATTAGGGGCTCAGCTGGCGGCACGGTTGTGGCGTTTTGGAGGTAGTTACTGGCGGAGGAGTCGAAGTTACTGTTCAAAGAGGTGCGGTGATTGGATGAAGAAGAAGACTGTGAATCATTATTAATGTGATTGGCCTGGACAAAGCCATTCGCCAGGTCTCCATGGGTTGCTGTGGTATCGTAGTCGTCTTCGTCCAGAAGGTCATAGCTGTGCGTTGAGGCGGACCCTAACGATCTCATTACCGAGCCTAGCGATGGGCTGGGCTGATCGTCGATTCTCGCCACCTTCATAAACCTAGACCCCCCCAGATTGTCGAGGTCGAGCGTGATCTTCCCGAAAGCCCGGTGGATTTTGTTAGGAGAGGCCTCCGATATATCCGAGACTGAAGCATCGGAGGCCATTTCGTCATTTTCGTCGGACTGGGAGATGGCATTGTACTCCATAATGAAGGCGACGACGGGCGATGGTGGTTACGGGATGACGCCAGCGCGGCCAGTTCTATACAGAGAACAAACGAATGAAAGAGATGCGGATGCAGTCAGCAAGCGAACGGAAGCGTATTGATCGATCCAGGATGTGCGAAAGGGGAGAGGGAGGGATCAAAAAAACAAAAAAGAGTAAGCGAACAAAGGAGTGAAGTTGAGGAAGTTGGCGGATGATGGTCTCGTGAGGCCTGAGAGCCACAGCGAGGGCAACGACTATGGCGGAGGACCAGAACAAGGAACAGGACAGGAACCGAAAGGCCAGGGGACCACCTGCGATCGCGGGTATGATCTCTCTGTTTCGATGGGTCAACACTGGGATAGCAGGGAGTTGTTGCGGTGACGGGATGAGGATGGTTATTGTTCCACCGCGCACAAAGCCGCCTTGCCAACTGGAATGGGGGTGATCTGTCTAAAAACACATTATAATTGCATTGCAGGGAAGCCTAGGGATAAGTTCTTTTTCCACTTCGCCGTTCAGTGTTTGGTTTGGGTTGTAGAACAGAAGCATAGCAATGCAATGTGTACTGTATGTTTGAAGGAGGGACAGAGAACAGTTCTACACCGTGAGAGAAAGTGGTTTTATTAAACAATAACCAAAATATAATAAACTAACATACGACATAAGACGAAAGAAAAAACGTTCCGACAAAATTCTGCGTAGGAAGTAATCAATCCATAGTTATAATATGAAATGGTAAGCACTTCTCCAAGGTTGTCAACTCATTTTAACTGCGTAGGGATCCATGGGTAAGGATCCTCATCTAGAATCGAGCCTAGAGCAAAAAGACAACCCAAACGCTCAACCACGAATCAACGGTGGATGGCAGGCTGAGACAGGGTGCTTACCATATATTTACCATGTTCCCGTTGTCAGTTGGCAAGGCACAGGAAGACAAGGCCCAGGAACACCCGAGAAGCAAAGCTTGCTGCATCCCGTCGATCATCGCTGTTGAGATCTATGCCCATCGATGGACTGGGGATGGACTAACTTATCTAATTTACATTATAAGCTGGGCAGTTTTCGGATCCAAATATCTTTTGTCTCGTACTCCAGTCCGCCGTGCTTATTCGATAATAATTGTCAACTAGCAGTAATAACTAGTCAACTAGTGATGGGACAAACGTGGTGGAGATAAGATGGGAACTAACCATATTGCATCGTGGCATGGCGCATTGTGGTACTGTACATGTTGCCGGGTTTGTTGCACGATATATACTCCATACATCGATAAAAGATTTTGTACGGAGTAGTTACAAACTCAATGGAGCTTGAAACAAAGAGACCAAGTTCTTGTCCTTGTTCTTTGCCTTTTCATTCTTATTTCGCGTGGCTACTCTGGAGATAACCAACTTTTAATTAGTTGGACATTTATATTTAGTTGACTTAAGACTCAGTGCTCCTAATATGGGCAAAGAATGGTTGTTTTCTACTTCTTTCCCCTTCTCACTAAAGATACTTCTCTGACCAAACATCCATGTATGCTCCGTATACACTCTGAAAAAACCCCTGCATTCACGATTGCACGATTGAGAGTTAAATTCTCTACTGGATAGTATCCCAGCTCGGTTTTCCAGGGATGCAATTGACAGCCCCAGGAGCCGAAATTTTTGTGAGACAAAGCGTAAACTACTAAAAAGTTCAAATTTGCCGACGATAGTAACTTATATTACGGGTTTGAAAGGTACGCAGCATGCTCTTTCGCCCGAGGATGTTCACGCGAACTGCTATTGAATTCCTGCAAGACTAGATGAGGTGAAATAAAAGTTGATCCATAGCTAGCTACCCAATTATAAAATACTATTACTAGATAGAGGCGTTGATGATCCGTGAAAGTGCAGAGAAACAAAATAGCAAAATTTGCTTCTCCTTCTATTACTATTTGTTGTTTGTTGTTACTTTGATACATCTATATATCCAAAGATAATGACTAGATTAATGCCAACAATGGAAGCTTCTATACAACTGAATACAAGCATCCTCACCCATTTATACATACATATCCACCCCGCAATCCTGTCTCTCATTGCAAGGGAATCGGGGAATAATCTTATCACCACGTGACAATAAGCGGTTTCGAGCTCGACGCGAAACGGAGCAAATATTGATGGACCTGGCTTAAATCGAAGCGCAGAACATGAATAGTCCCTTGATCAAAAATGGCCTATTATGACATAGATGCTATTCTTACAGATGCCCAGGTATGGCATTCATCCAATCTATTTGTGTCTTTTGTTGCCCCTTTTGAAAAACAAATTTCCAGATGGCTTTTGATAATGGCTGACGGCGGCGGGGTGCTCGCTGGTTGGGGGGACAAGAAACTACCATGCACCTTCGAACTCGAGGTTCCAGGGCTGGGTTACCTGGATGGCAATGTTGGGGAGGACGTATGTTATTCTCTTTTTTTTCCCCTGTAGTCTACGCGTCTTGCCTTTTGCCGTTTGCTTTTTAGTCCTGCTGTTCATGGCGTCGAGTCGAAGATATCCCAAACTAATCCCATCCTTTCCACCTCCCCAGATAAAACCAGGTACCCGAATCGACCTCCCCCTCTGGCTCGGCGAGATGCTTGCTGTTGGGTTCGTCCTCTACTGTACCCATCCTTCCCCAAACTACCATCTTAAACAACGCAAACACCTACCAAATGCTCTCAATTTCCCCCAATTCCTCCAGGCTCACACTCGCACAGCGCCCGCACCGACTCCTCCCCCCTCGTCACCCTCGACCTGCCTAGCGCCCTCTCTGAAAAGGTCATGAACGCGCTAAAAGCCGACCCGCGCACCGTGGACCTGCGCTCCCTGGCGCCGCACTTCTATAGACTTGGCGTGCGCATCCTGCAACTGTTTGAGGAGGAGGAGATGGTTGATGTTCTTATGGAGGTGAGTTGGTGGTATATATATATATATATATTATATACACATATACATATATACATATTCGTGTGCCAGGGAGGAAATGAGACGGGGTTGCGGAGAGGAGGAGAGAAGAATAGGTAACACGGCTTGGTGGGAAGGTTAACCGTGCTGACCAGCACACACATATTTTTTTTCTCTATATGGGAAAATTTAGACATTCAAGAAACGCGCAATGGAGATTGCGGACCATGCGCATAACTCGCGCGGCGCGCTGGGCGATGGGGTGGAGTTCTTACGTGGGCTGGATGAGACGGAGAGGCAGTGTGAGTTTTCTTTATACTTTTACCCTTCTTCTTCTTCTTCTTTTTCTTCTCTCTTTCTTTCCGTGCCGTGTCGTTATATTTTGTATTTCTCCTTGAAGTGTTGCCTTGGTTTCTTACCCCGCTAATGCTTACTGTTCCGTGTGTGGGCGGGAACATATATCAAGTATTCCGAGCAGCCCATAGCAGCGCAAAGGAGATGCGCGCCTGGTCAGGGGAGACGAGGAAGAAATAGGCGAAGAGGAAGCAGGATGGGAGGGGAAAAGTAACCGAAAAAACAAAACAACTATTATACAACTGGGGAAGTTGAGGGTATAAAATGCTTTGTGCCAGCAAAGAATTCGTAGATTGGGATTCGCTAAGAAATCGTGATTGGGGAGTTAGAGTTGGGTGTCCATATAGATATATATCAGGGGGTGGGTGACTGATTTTTTTTTTTTTTTTAAAGCTAGGCGTTCAAAGGGAATAGCATACAAAGGAAATTGTTATTTCGTATAGTTTCCTATTCTCATATCTTGCTGAAATTATTATTACTATGAAGTTCAGGAACCGCATGTGATTGCTGTATCACTCCCCGACATCTACACAGTAGAAAACAGTAAAACGTAATTCGTTTCATGTCACTAGCCAAGCAAAGCAAGAAATTTAGACGCGGAAGGATGTAGTGATTGATGAACATGATTGGCTGGATGGGACGGCGAACCAGCAGCTTGCACTCTATCCGCCTCCTTTTCGGTCGTTGGAAGATACCAAGTAGGAATGCCTGGACGGGAATATTGACAGAGCAGTCCCGCAGAACGCAAACATGGCTCTGCTGTGTTCCCTGCTTGTTCGGTTTGGATTCATTATTCCAAGTCAGTTATTGATCCAGCCCGGTTCCCCGGTTCCCCTGGCCCCTGAGCCTAACCTAGAAGTGGCTGGACAGGGTTGGTTCCAGGGCTAGCTGCGGGGAGCAAGGGATAAAAACGTCTGGCTGGGAACGCTGGGATACGAAGCTTGAGAGGGTTCCTGGCCCGAAGCTTGCTGGATTGGCCGGTTTTATGTTCTTCTTCAGCTTCCAAACCGCGGATTTGTGAGAACCGAATAAGTAAATTATAATAAATAAGGAAAATAAGTTAATAGCAATTCTTCAGTAAATGGCAGTTTTTCTACAGACTTAGTAGCGGAATTTACAGGATTGACTCCACTTGTGATGTACTTTGTGATGTACTGCGTTAGTCTGATAATGATAGGTTGCGGGTGGTGCTCTGATCGCGCGGTGGTTTGCTGGCGGATTGCATAGAGCTCTCTTTGAGCCAGTGGAAAACTTTTTTAAAAGGGGGTAGACTACATCATTTCTTCTCTGAATGAGAGCGATGAAAGCTTTCATAATAAGACAAAAGTAACTAATAATAAAAACAGCTCTGATGAGAGATCCTTTTATGTTTCATCCTCCTTCTCTTCAAGTAGTAGGAAATATTCGTATAGGAAGATAAAACCGTTGTGAAACAAACTTCGGTAAAGGATAAACCAAATTTTTGTCGAAGCTTCATTTTTGATAGAAGAAGGCGAATGCTTGGGGGCCACAAAATATATATCAAAAATAAATAAAACAAAATCCTTTGCAACTGAATTTATTTCGGATTGATTGTTTTATTTAGGAGTCGATTGAGGGGTTTGTGTGAGTTCTAGCCCAGCCACCGCCGAAGAAGAAACGAAGGCCGTTGCGGCTCCTCACGTCCTCGCCTGCCCCTGAACCAACTTTTCACTCTCGATTCAATTCAATTCTCCAATTGACCGCTTCGTGGTTCCACCGTTCTCTCTTCTTGCATTCTCTCTTTGCCTTTCTACGGAACTATTATATTCATGTTCTATCATATCTGACCAACTTAGCTCTTCCCCTCCCACCCACGGCTGTCCTTCATCTGTAATTCTCTCGCTGATACTGCAATCGCATCCTCGATAGCTGTTCCCACCCTGTCACTTACATACCAGGCAGGACTCGATGCTCTGCAAGTCTAACGGAGGCATGTTCGTTTCGACAATTGAAGCTCTGATCTGAGGCCCTGTTCCACGTCCAGTGATCGACACGGCAAGCTGCCCGACTTCAACAGCAACAAAACCCTTCCTATCCATTATTTGAATAGAGGGGAATGTTATACAATCGCTCCTTTATATATATATATCGCCACATCCTTACTGACGATTGATTCCTCATCTCGTTCTGGCTCTGTTATAGGACATCGGATGTCTTGGCTGAAGAAAAGAGAGCTTCATTATTAGCCATCAAACATGGATACTCAACAACACTACAGGCACTATCTCGCCAACGGCCCCGCCTCATCTCCCACAGTCAGGGTCGCCTCTCGCTCTCAGAGATATTTCTCCGGTCAGTTTAAGCTAATTTAAATGTTTTCCTTTTAACCAACCATTGAATTGCTCCTGATTATCTTGACAGCTGAGCCCTCAACCCCCGATCACTCGCATCCCATCAAGCCCACTTCCCAGAGAAGAAGTACGAAAAATACCACTACCAAAACTTATACTGGTATGTACACAATACCACTCTATCTCCTTGAAGTGCGTGCTCGGATCAGGATTCTAACTTGTGGAATATGTTGTAGATGCATCCAGAGGATCTGCCAGCCCCACTTCCATTCAACATGATACCCCACAGCGTAAGTTTACCACCTAGCTATCTATTTCGCAAGGCGCCAATGAATTCTGCTTGACATATATAAACTGCTATTATTATAGGTACCAATGACTCCACCGGATCAACGCCCCTGGTCAACCCCACCTCCTCCTTTCTCAAAGGCTTGATAAATGAACAGCGGGCCAGCCGCAGCGGGCGGAGAGCGGCGTCTGAGCACCCGAGCGACATCCACGTCCAAACGCCCACTACAGCTCCATCTCAGGATGATTCGTCGTCAGAGAAACAACGGAAAGTCAACACCATTTTATCCGCTGGATTGAAACAGCCTAGGGAGATGGCGATGAGAGAGATGGACCAGGTAACGATTCTTCTGATGTCCAGTTCACTTATCTTGCTAGCCAGCATCAGCTGTACTGACCATATTTCAGTATGTTTCCAAACTGAACAAGTTGAACTTCGACCTGAAATTGGAGATCTATCATCGATCCCAGCAGCTCATTTCGCTGGAGAAGAAGCTAGAACGGATGGTGACATTAGAAGAGGAGGTTCAGAGGCTCCAAGGGGTAGAAGCGGAAGTGCAAGAATTACGCAAAGTAGAAGAGAGCAATCAGAGGCTTCGGGATTCAAACGAGCACCTTCGACTGGAGCTGGATAAGCGAGACCAGGCGGTCAATGAGGCCGTGGAATTGATTTGTCAGCTCGAAGCGAAGATAGACGCGCTGGAGACTACTACTCATGATGATGATGATGATGGTGACGATGATGGGAGGCCAATGACTGCTCGTCCGCATACCAGTGAGGGACTCGTAGCTTCTCCCAGTATGACCCCAAAAGGCGCGCCCATTTTTGATATACCAGATCGTACCTCATCGTGGAAAGGGACCAGCTCCGCGCGTCCATTGCGATCCCGTATGGAGGCAGGGGGTACTTCAGCACGGATGGCCCGGCGGCACCCGTCGTTCCTTCAGGAAAGCAGTGGGAGCACCAGCGCTCTTCGTAGCCTTTATCTTACTGCAGACGAAGAACCTGCGTTGCAAAATGGATTCAACACAGATTCTCAAACTGGGAGTTTTCTTTCAGGAGACGAACCGTCAGAGCCAGAATCGCCCAGACTCAGCATCCTCAGTGAATGCAGTTATCTGAGACCGTTAGCTACCCCGTCAAAACAGGTTGAAATCGAGTCCGCAGGCAATGGCGCGCTCCCGAGAAGCTTCTCGCAACCCATTTCCAAATTGGATCTGAAGCAGGAGGAAGAAAAAGATGTTAAAATGTCGCAGATCGATCAGTGGATTCAGCCTCAAGATGGCCTGCTTGTTCCGGCTGGGCAAAAGCGACATAATAACTACTTTCAAGCGGAGACATCGGAGACCAGATTAAAGAAAAGGCAACCTTCTCTTGGGACAGCATTCCAAGCGCACCGCCCTGCTAAACCATACAAATTCACCACATCAAAATTGGACGGACAGTTATTTAATGGAGGGCGGTTACCGCCTACACCAGATACCATGAGTACGTCCAATGCAGACGCAATGAACCGGTCGAATTCGAGTATCATCGCGGAGAAGAGCCTTTTGGACCGGGGCCGTTCTTTCGCCAACTTTTCCGGGGGGAATATATCTCTACGACGGCCCAGGTCTGCGGATGACATTACAACACGGCCAAGTACCGCGAATACAGCTCTATCTGGAACAATGGAGACGTTGACCAATGCCACGCAGCTTGGAATTAACCCAGGTCGGGACCATCTTGGGAGTGTGTTTCCAGCTTTTGGTGGCCATGTTCCTGGTAGGTTGGAGCCGGCAGAGCTTTTCCTTAACGGAGATCTATCTAGGCAAGATAGTCAGGAATATGCTGGCCAAAGTACAACCACCAATATTAATACTACTACCCCAGAGGATAGTAGTGGAGGTAATACCCCATCGGCACGGCGGAAGAGATACTCTCCGTCCCTGACATCCACACATTCGGAACCACAATGTGAGGCCTCAAGTTCAAGTTCACCACCTCTTACTCCCCAGGACTGGTTAGAAGCAGCATTACCAGCCGATAGCGGCAAGCATCGCAAGCCTTTGAAAGTTTCCCGTCAGCACCCTCATCAACATAGGAGATCCCATTCCACAAATACCAAAGAGTCCTCTTTGCTCTCAACTGGTGACCCCGCCACACCGACGTCCACAACAGAAACAACGCCATCAGGCAAAGAAAAAGCAGTATCCAAGCCCGACGAGCTATACCTGCCGTCCCCCACAAATCTCCGCAGTCGCATCACAGGCAGCAAAAAGAACCAGCTACAAACAGAAAACGCAGATCTGCCCCGTCGCCGTCTCAGCCTCCGACCACGCTTCTTCAGCCGCGCCGTGACCGCTGCGGCCGCTGCCTCCCATCGCCAAACCAACCCTGACTCTGTAGATGACCTGGATGGTGCGCCATCGCCCAAGATTGGCAGGAGCAGACGAATGAGCTCCAGTCGCCGCAAGAGTTTACATATCGAACTACCGTTACCGTCTAGAGTTAGGGCTGATTTGGGGTTAGGAGGTAACGGTGGCAGTAGTGGAAGTGGTGGTGGTGAAGGTAGCAGTCATAGCAACAACAACGCGCAAAATGGGGGCACGGATATCTGGACATCACCGGCTTCGATGATGTCAACACCACGAAATGGGGCCACAGACAATCGCCCGTATACATCGGGGAACCCAGAGACGGCGAGCAAGCGACGTCCTAGCTCTTTCGGTATCTTTGGTTGGATGCGTGGCACGACGAGCTCTGGTACCACACCAACACAGACACAGGGTAAAGAAAACAATAACCGCAACAGCCGCAGCTTTACACCAGCGAGAGATACGCCTACACCCACCGCCTCAAGAACAACCGTAAGCGCTACGGCGTCCCCCACGACCACGATGACATATTCAGCCCAATCCCGTCCCAAATCCCAATCCCGCAAAGCAAGTGACAGACCAGCAACAGCCTACACTCCTATCACCGTAAATGATCGTCAGGCCAATACCAATACCAATAACAAAAAAATTAATAATATACATATGAATACCAATACACCGCTAAATACGGCCATTGCATCATCTGCGCCTACTACACCTGCAGATGACTGTGGGCTAGAGAAGCGAGGATCGAGATTTTCTCACAGGCGAGCGTCATGGAAGCCCGTTGTGTGATTTGTTTTAACTGATTCTATTACCTGGTTGATTCTGTTTTATTATTATTAAAAGCCGCGGGAAGAGGGGAAAGGGGAGGCAAGGAGGAAGGGAGGGCCGCCGGGGCAGTGGGTTGCTCCACTTTTTTATGTCTTTTCTTATGTGATTCTTTGTTTCATCGCTCTTATGTCTTTCCCTTCTTTCCCACGATGTATTGTACGTGCACACGTAATGATGAGTGCTGATTCACGGCCAATGTTTCGCAGACCTACTACTTCCGTTCCCTTTTATGCGTTCGTTCTGAACTTTCTGCTATTGCGTTGCTCACTTGCATTGTCCCCTTTTTATTCTACTTTCAACTGAAATTCACTGTGTACTTCCATTTTTTATAAACGCACTGCAAGCAAACGCAATCCTAAGGGAACCATGATATGAGGATGTTTTTTATGCTATAACCATGTTTATTAATGGCCGCTGGTTGATTTCTGCCCTTCTCAACACCCCTCCCCCTTTTTCTTTCATTTTCTTATATCCTTTATATTTTCCGTTCCCATTTGTCTTTGTACGCTCAGGTCATGGGTTCTTTCTTTTCTTCGTTTTCAACACCATGTTTTATTATTAAAAATACTTGTGGGTCCGGGAACCGAAACGATAGTAATGTGATGGACAATCCTCACTTCAGAATTTCTTTAACAACTTGCGGTAGAAGATACCCCGGGCCCAAGGGGAAGGAGAGGGAGGTTGGAAATGGGGATATGGGTGGATGGCGTTCGTTATTATTTGAGTTATGTTCTGTTTGTTAGTGATTGATTGACCTGAGGATTTTGTTATTTTTATGATTGTTGTTGTTGTTTCTAGCGCTTGAACTACTTTTCTCTCACACATACAACAAAATGTAAAAGTAAAATAAACAAACACAAGATCAAGAAAGGCAAGAAGTCAAGTAAGTAAGTAACCTTTGCTTAAATAAATCTAGCTTTTCTGAGATCTGAATATAGAAAATACATGGTAGGCGAATAAAATTTTAAAACGGTGATCGACCTGTTTTATACATCCAACTGCTTCGGTCGAAAGCTATACATCGAGAAAACAAAGAAAATGCTATATGTATGTATATATACATGGAGCTGGCCAGTTTGGAAAAAACGAATTGCAGTTAACAGCGGGTTGGTGACTCGTTGTGGATTGTTGCAGATAGGGCCAGAGAGGAGCCGGGTATTTACTCCAATGTGTCAATGCCTGCACGCGTTTAATCGCTGATGCTTTTTAGTTTTGGGCGAGAAAAATTTTTCTTACAGAAAAGGTTAGTTGTGTGTGTGTGTTCAATTAGCTATATACACATATACTTTTAAACAAATCGCTGCTCAGCAGCCTTCCAGTTCACGACGTCCCATACAGCGGAGAAGTATTCTGCTTTGCGGTTTTCGTATTGAAGGCTGGTAGGTAGGTGGATGATATGTTAGCTTTTGTGTTTCTATTGAACAAGAGAGGGGAGGACTGACTAGTAGGCATGTTCCCAGGCATCAATGCCGAGCAGGGGGACAAATTGGCCGACGACAGGGTCTTGGTTCTACAGTGGAAATGAGGGTCAGTGAATTTAGTTCCTAAAGCATCCAATGCTCTCATTATCTTCACAAAAAGCGAGTGTGGCCCTTACAGCGTAGGTCTTGATCGCAATCTCCCCCGTCTGCTTGTCCTTAACCAGCCACGCCCAGCCACTGCCCTGGATCCCCGCCAACGCCGTGTTGAAGGTCGACTTGAATGCGTCATAACTTCCAAAGGAATTTTCAATGGCTGTACCCAGGGTCCCGGAAGGGGGGTCACCGCCTCCAGCGCTCCTTGGGGCCAGGTTCTCCCAGAATAGTGTATGGTTGATATGGCCACCGCCGTGAAAGTTGGTGAGGGCTTGCAGTGCCACCTGGGACTGGATATCTACTTTTTCTTGTGCCGCGGCTAGTTTCTCGACGGCATCGTTGTAGGAGTTTACGTAAGTTTGATGGTGTTTTTTGTGGTGGAGCTCCATGATCTTCCCGGAGATGGATGGCTCGAGGGCGCCGTAGTCATCTGTGTTGGGCAAGTGTTGGCAAGGGATTGGATCAGTTGTCAAACGGACATGGCTGATCTGAAGGGCTTACATTTGAGATCTGGGAGGGTTGCTTTGGTTGAAATGAGGCGTGCTCCTGCAGCTCCTGACATGGCCACGGCATTTGATCGAGTTGCCACAGCTCCGGCTCGGAGGGCACCGCATACCGTTGAGCGGAAGACGGAGGTAGCCATTGTTGCTGTGTCGAGGACGATGTTTGTTTTGGGAATAAGGGGCAGTTCGTTAACAGGTCTATAGGAATAGACGATGGCTGTTTGCTGGATCAGAAAGAGCCTGGAACCTGGGATTGTATATACGTAAGCATCTATACAAAGACTGTTTGCTTCCTCCGTGGGTATGCCGTCGGGCGTTCAAATGTTGATGTTGTTGTTGAAGTGGGAATCGTCCCGGCCAGGTTTTTGTCGTTGCCGATTCCGGCTTGGCCTAAGTGATACCGAGCAACGGCTACGTCATTCGGCTGGCAGAGTGACTAAGCAGAAGTCAGCCCGGGGGAGTTATGTCAAATGAGATCTTGAATCGGATGAAATTATATATGAAACCAGAACTGCTATTTCCAATAATGGGACTTTTTAAACATGTAGCTCTGGTCCCGTGCATGGTCACACGCCCATTCCACTTGTAAAAAGAAATAATAAATCCGAGTCTATTGATCTATTTAAATTCTAACAGGAAGACCAGTTATTACGAGTATGATGATGTTGATTGCGGATAACTAGAATAACATTGTGATTAAGAGGATATACTAAAACTGACAGATATTTCCTCCGCTAAGTTCAGTTGCATAAGATTCATCATTCATATCATCAAGGTCCATGTCTGAAGCCTAGCCAGAATAGCTTGAGTTCACCAATCAAAGCCGGCCTTCTGACATTCTTACCCTCATTGTACACGCAAAACTCATCTGCAAGAGGCCGGGCAAACATCGAGGGGTGGGGGGTTTGGGGGTGTTAGGCGTCACAGTCTCTCCAGTTGTTTGATGAAGCGTTAATGGTCGAGCAGCAGCTTCCTCCTACCCCTCGCCAACATCGGTAATGGTATTGCATTGGAGTGCTTTCCAAAGACTACATGTTCCTGAAGAGGTAATCATGAAGGTGGAGCTCTGAGCGAATAACTCTTTTGGATATTCCCTCCTATAGTCACCAATCCATGCAAGTGATTGAAGTGGCGCTCCATAATAAAATCTTCCATATCCAGCGGATCCCTATTCCCGGATGCGGTCGGGGCCAGAGTTTGGCATTAGCATTATTAGCACTGCCTGGGTTGAATTTTTGGGCAGCGCAGGGACAATCCCAAGAAAGAGATGGGTGTAGACATCTGAGTGCCGCGTTTGTTCCTCTGCATCCCGTCGACCTTGCTCCGCGTCTTGTCGACAGTATTTCTCATACTTTAAAAGGTAGAGCAGCCTCTGAAGCTCATCGTCAGCCATTGTAATGACAGATAGAGATGTTTAGTACAATAGACATGTTACGAAGCCATAAAAAGGTGTCGTTGACGATGGTCACGTGCGCGAGAATGAGCTAAAACCAGCTGCTCTGAGTGGCTGCAAACCGCCAACCTTATCGTTTTTCGTCATACGGAAATTTTGAGTGTGCCTAGGTGAGGTGGCCGTGTTTTATGAGTCTTCCTTTTACAATAAGAAGGAAACAAGGCCGGTTGAGCAGTTTTTAGACTCGTCCTCCCCATGGATTGGCCACCGCGAACATCTTTTGCTGGCCAGAAGCGGAAAATTAACGATGTCAATTCTGAAGATGAGGAGGAGGGGGACCAGAAGCCTGCTGTTGGTTTTCGCCGATTTACACCACCGACAGTGACACTCTCTCCATCACCCCCACCTACCATGAATGCAAAATCTGGTCATCGTTCAACATGGGCAAATGGCGGCGGTTCCACTCTCAAAGGACAAAATGGGGCGGGCAAGGCAGGGCCTGGTGGAAGTGGAAATACATTTGCCGCCCGAATGATGGCTAAAATGGGGTACCAGAAAGGCCAAGGCTTGGGCGCCAGTGGACAGGGGATGCTTAATCCAATCGAAACAGTATTACGACCTCAAGGAATTGGTTTAGGTGCTGTCAAGGAGAAATCGCAACAGGCGAAAGATGAAGCAAGACGTGAGGCTGCTAGGCGAGGGGAGGTGTTGGAAGATAGTTCGGATGAAGAGCGTGAAATAAGGCGGCGGCGGAAAGAGGAGCGGAAGAAAGGGAGTCGGAGTGGAACAAATACCCCTAAGGGCCCTGTGAAACCAAAGTTTAGAACTGCGCGCGAGATTGAAGCGGATACGGCTGGATTGGAGGTTCCGAATATCCTCAAGTCGTTGATCGATGCCACTGGCAAAGAGCAGAAGTTATTGACGTCGACGGCTGGGCTGATGACACCGCTGGAGTTCGTGAGCGCTGACGAAAGTGAGGCTCTAAAAATTGCAAGGAGAGCAAGGAATGACCTCGAAGCTTTTGCAGATGAATGGAAGGCACTGGCAGAGAGAAGGAAATTTGTGGAACTTGAAGAAAACGAGGTCGTGGCAGAGTTGGATACGCAAGAGACTAAAATTGGACAACTTTCTTCATTATCTTTGGCTGTGGAAGCGTTGGAGAATTTTAGACTTGATGACAACCTAGCAGGACGATGGGAGCGAATCACCCGGCAGTTGGAGGAGCTGGAAATCCAATACGAAGATGTATTCGACGAGTATCAGCTGTCTGAGCTGGCTGTTGCGGCGGTTCACCCTTTATTTAGGGAGTCTATGGAGGAATGGGAGCCACTGAATGACCCCACTTACTTGGTGTCCAATCTCCAACGGCTTCAACCTATCTTATCTCGAAAACCTCATAACGTGCAGGAGGGTGATGGCAGGCAAAAACATTCCACCACCCCGTACGAAACCATGGTATATACTATATGGCTCCCAAGAATTCGCTCTGCGATCCTCAACGACTGGGACGTACATGATCCGTCACGCGCAACAGCTCTGATAGATGCCTGGAAAGATGTGTTACCCGAATTCATATACTCCAATGTTCTTGACCAGCTTATTGCCCCAAAACTTAGTACGGCAATCAAAGAATGGAAGCCACGAAGTAAGAAGAAACGAAATGGAACTTCGTCCCAGGCATCACAGTTTCCATGGTGGCTCTTCGATTGGCTACGATATTTAGACGAACGACATACAAACCCCAAGGCTCCAACCGGACTCCTATCTGATGCGAAGCGAAAATTCCGCTTGATGTTGGATACCTGGGATTTGGATAGTGAGCTCCCTGGTGGCCTTGAATTTTGGAAAGAAGCGCTAGGCTCGGAATTTGATACGGCATTACGAAATCATCTCCTCCCACGTTTAGGCAGGCACCTCCGCGAAGAATTCGAAGTGAATCCACAAGACCAAAACATAGACCCGTTCGAAAACATCTTGAAATGGAAGGATTATTTCAAACCGGCCGTCATCGCTCTCCTCCTCACCGCTGAATTCTTCCCGAAATGGCATGCTGTGCTACACCTCTGGCTCACGTCCGAGCCTAACTACGAAGAAGTTGGCCAATGGTTCTCATGGTGGAAGTCACAAGTTCCCGATGAAATCAATGCCGTCGACGAAATCGCCGAAGAATGGGAACGGGGACTTGAAATGATGAACCTTGCACTTGACCTGGGTGACAGGGCCAAGACAGAGCTGCCACCGCCAGTCACCAGTCAACAGAGACAACAACGAGACTTGCGAGATCATATCAAGCAAAAATCCTCATCCACGCAAGCACCGGCGGGAGCCTCCAAATCCCGATCAACGCAATCAGCCAAGCGCATCGAGGAGCCGACATTCAAGGACGTCGTGGAAGAATGGTGTGCAGATGAGGGACTTATCATGATCCCACTACGCGAAGCACATGTCCAGAGCGGCTTGCCATTATTCCGTATCACAGCGAGTGCCAATGGAAAGGGTGGAGTGCAGGTGTACCTCAAGGGAGACGTGGTGTGGGCGCAGAATAAGAAGGCAAGAGACGTATGGGAACCGCTTGGGTTGGATGGTGTGCTTGTAGGACGAGCAGAAGGGAAATGAATACCTTGCCCCCCTTTCCATACTCTCTTTCAATCTTTTTTCTCATTTAGCTTTTGATACTATTCTCATTTATGTCAGTCAGTGGATTCGTGAACGATATAAAGAAGCCAAATTTTATGTTTCCCTAGTAGGGCTTTGGATATATTCCTAGTGTTAATGCAATACAGCATATAAAGAAATAATAACAATGATAATAATAATACTCCCTCTTATACCCTCTTGCCAACTTCTTCATATGGTGATTGTATAGCACCGTGATAGTAATTAAAATTCTAAATCCGGACCGCATCAACCCTAGTTTAAATTTCAGCGCAGATAGTTTCTGTAATGTTCATAATATCTTGACAATATCCAACTGTCCGTAAATGCCATCTGCAGTTTCTAAAAACTGAAGAATGGAAAAAGTAGAAAGCAAAAATCAATTTAAATGACATTATAACGAGGCTGTGGGTGGGGTCTCTAGTTATATAAAAAGTAGCAGAAGCAGTGATAATACCACAAAAAAACAACACCATGCGCAATACATGGGGACGAAGAGCAGAATTGAAGATGAATGTACGTTTCATAAATTTTTGCGAAAATAAAGGTGGGCAAGGTTAAAATGTTCAATCTGTAATAGAAAAGTAACATCGCTAGAGGTATCCCATTCCTCTTGCGTTTAGGGCGACTTTTAAACTGTCCTCCCCTTCCCCCTTCCTTTCACCCTCACCCTCACTCTATTATATAAAAGCCGTTATTTTCATTTACGTGCGTGACTTGCAGGAAGGTATTCATTTTACCCCTTTGCACTGTATTTTTCATTGAATGCATTTACAGCTGGAGAGAGAAAATTAGTTTTGCTGACAAAATAATGGAGTCAATCAACTTAGACAGTATGTCAAAGCTCAAACATACCAATCGCAATCTGTTTGTATAGCCAATTTCTTGCACTCTCGTCCTGTACGGGTATGAATGGGCCGTTTGCACCACCCTTGAGAGTGATACTCATTCCCGTTCGCTCTTTGGAAATGGTTTGGATATCGGTTAGCTTAATGTCCCACTCTGTAGTCAGCCGCTTGGACCGAACGAGCATAATGCGATTATACGTGAGCATGATCAGCATGTCCTTGCCCGGGAACTCGAAATGCGCAATATAGTCGTCGTTGAAGTATTTGCCATCGTCTGTGGTCTTAAGCCAGAACTGGCCTAGCGCTTCGCGCTGTGAGTAGGGCCGGACGATGCCATCCATGCCAATGAAGCGGGTGAGGCGGACACGGTCCAATCCACCAGAGTCGAAAACCGTGGTGGTGTTTCTAACTCCTTCGGCGAGGTCTGCAAAGTGTTTTTCGTTAACACGAATAATTATGTTAAGAGGAAGTGATGGAAATTCTTACTGGAGGCGAGATCGAAAGCACCTAGAGCTGGCTTGGTCGCAAGACCCAAAACGCCCTTTCCCACCCCTTTCACGAAACCTTGGAATCCTTCCCTTTCAGCACCTTCCAAAGGATGTCGTGCTAGACCACCGATACCACTGGCCATACTTTGAGCAAATGCATTTCCGCCGGAGGTGACTCCATATAATGCATGCTTAGGCCGGTTGCGTGCCCTCGCCATTCTTCGTTGATCTTGGAATTCTTTGTCCAGAGTGGCTGCCGCCAGGCCCTTTGACAAACTTCCGGTGAACTTTGCCATACTATCCGAGAACCCAAAAACGGACTTTTTGACGAAACTTGTAGCGCCTTTTGCAATTCCAATGCCTAGTTCCTGTGGTCGGTCCGACATCACGAGCCCTTGATACGGCTCATAAAAGATGTCAACGAAACCTGAGCTTACTGTATTAAACAGGCCAACGGGGTTTCCTAAGAAATCTGCCGAACCAATGACGACGTGGATTTGGCGGAGGAATTCTTGAGTGTAATGGTTTGTGACACTGGAAAGCAACATAGGAATCGATACCCTGGCGTTTTCCAACATCAATGCGTTTAGACGGACCGGAGCATCATTGACATTTCCCATAGACATTGTCAGGACGTTGATGAAAAACATGATTGGATTAGATGGCTCCATGGTGTCCTCGACATTCACTCGCTCAGTGCGCACGAAAGAAAGATCTAATTGCATAGGTTGGAGATGTAATACCTCAAAATAAACGTCTTTGCCATGTTCCTCGTACTGTGGCTCTGGGATATCTAGATCTTCATCACAAAGTCTTCCTTCTTTCTCTTCAGACCATGACGCACCAGGCACTTTCACAAAATCCAACATCGCAAAAATGAAATCCTCGTCAAGCTCTAAAGTCATTTGTTGCAAAAGGAGTGTGGCGTATTTGATATATAAGACGCCGTACGAATCGTCTTTAACACGGGTGATTTTAGCATGGAAGATAGGATGTGCTTCCATCTCTTTTCCCGTTTTCTGCACAACACTCGGATAGAGCAGCATCGGAAAGATACCACCGTAAAGTTGGTTGTCAACCTGGATCCATTTTATTGTCGTATCGATGGTTTGGTAGAGTTTTGATTCGCTGAATTTGAATTCAATATCCCGGAAGGTTAAGTAAACTAGCTCCTTAAGTTTCTGGTTGATCAAGGATATTCCAATACCACCCAATCGAAGCTGAGATCTAAAGTTGACATCAGACTTGATATCTTTCACTTCAAAACCAGAGGAGACACTGGTAGGAGAGGATACAGCATGGTGCTGGAGGTACATGCTCTTGGAAGGCTTATAGTTTGACAGAATAAGCGTTTGCGTTGGTCCCTCAGCCGAGATATTGAGGTCAATGATCTTTGGTGGGCCGTGCTCTTCGGTGGGCGGAACTTTCATTGGAATCAAGTTTCCAATCTCAGCTAGTTTGATATGTCTCTCCTTACCACGACAAAGCAGAACAAGGGATTTGTTTTTGGCAGCTGGATAGTCCCATGCATAAGGCATGATGCTTCTAGGGGGAAGCCGGTACCTGATTGGACGCCAGCCGGGTTCTTGATAGTCATCGTCCTCCTCTATATTTGGATTCTAGTGAAAGAGTCAGGATAATGTCTCCAAATTTCGAGGAGTGAGACTTACAGCTTGGGAAAACATAAATTCGGTGTCGCTTTCATTGCGCATTGAGAAAGGCCAATGCAAAGTTTCGTTAGTAATATGGAGGTATATTGTGGCTGCTTCCATGAGAATTTCTATTCGTAGAAGTTTTTGGCGCTGGTTCACTTTGGCAAGCTTGACATGGATAGCTCCCAAGTCCGATATGTTAAACGGAGAAGACCACTGGTTATTTACACCAGGGAAACATAAGCAGAGCTGCTTTTGGGGAGCATTTCGCAAGAAATGGAGTGGAACTAGATCACCGGTTCGGAGACTGATCACAGTTGAGGAACCCGGTTCACGAGCAATAAGGTCTTCATTCAGCTTGTTGTTCAGGATGAAACGAGGAGCAACAGTGACCACTTTCGTAAGTTTGTATTTTCCCTCGCCTTCCTCAACTGATATGCCAGCATGGTACTCGGATCTTCCGTTTGACGCAGGTAGAACGGTCTCAAACTTACTCCCTATGGCTTCAAAACTTTGAGGCTTGCTCCAGGAAGAACCTTCTACCCGTAGAATGGACCTGTTTTTGCGATCCGTCGTAGGATATGAGTACATGTATGGCAAAGCTCTCCTGACGCCACTGCGCCCATCTGTCCTTATAGCTTGACCAGGAGTTTTGGTTGACTGGAAAAGGCTCTTGCTTTGGAGGTTAAGATCCAATCCCGTCTTATTTAATATCAGATAAGGGCTAAAGATCGAAACTTTGAAGGCTCCTCCACTATCCGGAACAGTAAAATAATGCAGCCCAAGCCTTAATTCCGTACCAAGGTCATCTTGGACTGTAAGTGTGGACTCTCTCCGGAAGTCTTCCTGGGAATTTCCGTTTATTATAGCAAATTCGCAATGTCTAAACATCGTGTCTTGCATATCGATGCTGAGGAGCAATAGGTGGGATAGTTCAACGACGTGTACGGGGCTAATACCGCCTTTTCGAAGAAAGTTTGTCCAATCTTTCCGATTATTCTTGTCATAGATACGGTACTTGAAGTCGTATGGGAGAAGATTCTGAATCTCAATGGGGGCAGAAACTCGGATTCGCATATAAGGGTAAACATTCAGAATAGGATCCTTAACATCAAAATTTGCGCTCATTTGAAAATAGAATGGTGGCGCCTGCTGTCCGTTTTCGCTGTTGCACATTAGTGTTCTGGTAGGCCTTTTCAGTAGAGATCTCCAGAAAAGCCTCTCGTTCGACCAGTCATACCCGAATCCCTGGTCGGGTCGAACCACTAAAGAATGCATGTAAGCAGCTCCTACAGGTGCAGGTCGAGCATCTCCAGGCAGTATCTTCTCAATCTTGAGGAGGTGACCATCCTCAGGACTGAATACGCCCAGCTCCACTGGAATTTGCGTTTTATTCTCGACGAGTAACGGCGAACGGAACGTGATATGTTTAACGTTGTCCGCTCCGAGTATAACTTCAACAAGGAGCTTGTGAAGGACCTTTTCTTTCTTTGGCTTCAAGTTATATAGCGTTTCGCCTTCTCGTATAACGGGAATCCTGTTAATTGCATCAAATCCACTACCCTCCAGCTTTATGCCTACGATGCCAGCATTACTTTCCGGTGAGAGATTTTCCCGCATCACAGTCGCATCTTCAAATATCCAGGGACGCTCTTCACCGTCACTCAGCATTTCGGCAGGCCCTTCTCCATTTTTGCCAACATCAGCCCACACTCTCAGGTCAAACCCTGTGTAATTGTGTAATCTATACGGCGCATCAGCTCCCCGGGGTTTCGATAGGACGTCTTCCTCAGTCGACAAAAACTGGAAAGATTTTGACGCCAAGGCAATAGTCGCAGATGTGATCGTGAGTTCCATGTTTTTATGTGAAAAGGCTTCAATGGATAGTATATCTGGATTTATTTCTTTCGACATGTGGAATCCGAATTTCCACGGCTCAATTAGTGGCTCCCAAGCCGATTTCGAAAAGTTGAACACGTTGAGGAAGGTGTCGACTGAAGAATCTGCACTCATGTTGGTAGACCAGTCTCGAATGTCAACTTTGAATTGTTTAACACTCCAGTCAAGAAGCGGAAGCTCGTGCAAGTCCCCGATTAGAATAACCCTGATGCCATCAACCTGTGCGGTCATTTCCTCTCTTTTCATTACCATTGATTGTTGGATTTTTGCAGGTCTTATATCTACAACGGGTATTTGACGTGAAGGAGCGCTTAGAGAGTGGGAAAATGAGCGTCTACCTCCAGCAGATCGTTTTCGAGAGGGCTTTGTAGACTTTTGATCTTTGATTTCCTCCGAGTGTTGAGCCCCCATTTCAGACGCCTTGTTCATAATTTGAACAGCAAGGAGAATATCTCTGAGTGATAACCGGAGTACTAGAGGGTCAATATGTACATCGATTCTTGTCATTGAAGAGCATTTTCCTTTGGGCCGGATATCCATGGAAAGAGCAATTGCAAAGTCATCGAGCAGTCGAAGCCGGCTGGTCTCAAATTTGTCCATGCGACAGAGGAACATGCCGACTTGGGTCATTTCCAGCGTGGAGGCATTCTGCTGAGAATAAAGTATTTGCTTCGAACCCAAAACTATGGCTTCAGTATTTGTTATTGCCGGATTAGCCACTAGAATCATTTGCGCATCAACAATGTTGACCCTGAAAGAAAATGTCATCTCGTTTTTAGAACCGTTGGCAGACGCGGATGGCGAAGTTTTCGCAGGGGAACCGAGCGAAGGAAATTCTGATTGTGTCTCCCCCTCCTCTTCATCCTCATCGGTTGCAGATTCCTCGTCGTTCGCAAAAGCTGCGGCTGCAAAGGATTGCAGCGCGAAAAGATAATCCAGGGCCAATATGACTCTCGGGCTATCAATAGTAAGCATAACGATAAGGTGCTTTTCTTCACCTCCGGAAATTGATATGCTGGCCATAAACTGCTGCTGGACATCTGTATTGATCAAAGACATAATTTTGCGGAAGCGATTCGTTTCTTTGGTTCGACTGTCACGGATATTGAATGAGTGGACCAGGAGTTCCGATTCAAGGGCACCATCACTCAACATTCGGAGCTTGATATTTGTATTGTTCAAGAAAAACTTAGACAAGCTTGCTTCATCTAATGGTCCAACTGGTTGGCGGTCTTTCGCCAGAATTAACTCGAGACCAATTGTTTCAACCTGGAATGCCATATCAAGTCGTATCCATGGTTCTGACTCAACTTCACTATTGCTGTATGGATGTGACTGCACCGGGGTCAAATCCTCACTCGGTCTAGGTGTGCCTGGCAATGCAGGCACCGTGGTGGAAGCCAGTGTTTCAGGTGCCTTTGCTTCCTGGACATCCTGATCTGGCAGTAGCGCAGCCGGGATAGTCTGTGACAACTCCAGTAAAAATTTAAGCTGTGGTTGAGATATTCTGAGATTGATAGGAGACATGGACCCATCAACTTCAATGTCCGGGCGAGGTATACCAGCCTGGTGGTCGAGATAAAGTATGGTAAAATCGAGGTCCACTTTCTCAATCATCTGCAATTCTTCGCAATAATCGTCCTCATACCAAAAGTTTGAAGTCAATCGAATATGGCGAACTCCGGCTGAAATTACGTTGACACTTGGGCTATTCCTTTCATCATCAAGCGGGCTGAACTTATTGTTGGCATAAATTTCTCCCAAATGTGCAGTCACGAAATCCCTTGGTCGGTTTTCTTCAGTAATCCGAGGGAATACGAGGATGGGTGTCTTAACCACAACATCGAAGCGCATGAGGGAAGCGTTCTCCTGGATCTGGTTCGCTTGGTTCGCTGCAGCCTGGCGCGCAGCATTAAAAATAGCTTGCATTTTTCCAAATTTAACTAAGAAATTGATGATTCTCTGATAAGGGCCCTGGATAAAATTAATTTTAATCGAGCCAGATCGCAAAAATACTTCAGAGTTATATCCAGGATAATCTTCGGACTCGGGATCGAATGTCTGGTATTTGAAATCTGCAAAGTCGTCTCCTTCGATACTCATTAACCTCCGAACTGCCGAGTGTGAGCCATTCATATTATCAAAAAGAGTCAAGCTACCCATCCGCGCTTCAATTCTCATTGATGGGCCAATTAAAACGATGCCAACGTCAGCAGTATTTAAGCTAAGAGTAGCAAGCCTGACTCCATCATCATTGAGGATAAGAGAAATTCTTTCCAGTTTCGATTTGATGCGGATTTTCCCAGCACCAGGTTGCTGTTGTCCCTCCTCAGGATGTTCCAGTAACGGTGTGACTGCTTGGGCTTGTTCGTGGCTACTGTGAGGGTTAATGCTATTGTTGTCCGGGTTCGTGAATGTTATAAGGATGAAGTCCAACAGAGTTAGAAGAGTTTTCCTCGTGACGACAAGGTTTATCGTGGATATTGCAAGGTCCAAATTCATTTCTGTTGAATCATAGGTCGATATAAACTCTGGAGAGTTCGCATTCACACGAACGAACCTCAGGTTGAACAGATCTCTTTCTTCATTTGCGTCAAAACCTTTGGAAGAGATTATTTGCTTAAATTCTGGGGCTGGTGAATCCTCGATATAATCGTCGACGCTAAGAGACTTCAGGATAATTTCTGCGACCATATCATATCGGCGAAGGTAGTAGTCCAGCTGGAAATGATTCGCAACTAGTTCTACCAGCAACCTATCAGCGCTCTCATCGTGAGGGTCAGAGCGATAAAGCGATCCGCGAAGTGTATCAACAGTAAATTTGAATTCAAATGTTCGTTTGTGGATATTTGTAGGTTGTTTTTTAGACCCCGGTTCACTAATGTGACCCCGAGACTCTTCGGCATCTGAATCAGCTTCATCAAGAGCGATCTCCGGTAGGCTGAGCAGTTGAAATGACGATGATCTGGGTCTTCTGGCAGAGGCATCTGTCCCAGACCTTTCCCTCGAGGGTCCTAGTGATTTAGAGCTATCTTGAAGATCATCATCAATCTGAGGAATCGCAATGTCAATCAACCTCATGAGATTTTTGTACTTCGTGTCTGACATCGAGGCATGCAATTCTTGCAAGTGACCTGAGACTCGCGTCCGCGTAAGTTCAGTAGATTTCGGAACAATGCACAATTCAAGCATGAAATTCATACTTATTCGGTCGATGATATGGAAATTTCTCGAAGCGACACCAGAGGCTAGTTGTGCTTTAGTGGCCTCAATTCCAGGACCGATAAGGACTTGAGTGGAGTCGAGCTTTAGGAGAAACCTGTCGTACATCAAACTTTCCAGTTGCTTGTAGTCTTGTTCACTAAACTCTCTCTTTTGTTTTCCTTGAGAGTCTCTAATCATGTCCTTAGATACCAATTCGCTAGTTACACTGACATGACCAGCGTCAACGATCAAACATACAGTGCTCTCCTTGTCAATACTTTCAGGAACTATGATGAGAGGTGCTTGGATATCGAATTGCGCATTGATTGTTTTGTGCTCTTCCAGTGCAAACTCCAAACTGGCACGGGTCTGTTGTCGAATCTCCTCGACGGTGGCACCGGCAGTTTCAAGCAGGGCGCCAATGGATTCCATATGTCTTTCAGGAGGTCGGAAAAACCTGACTACTTCAACGAGGACCGCGGGGTTGTAAATAACTTCAATACTCGTCAGTTTCATCTTGATTGCAGAATCTGCACTGCCATCGAGAGGGTTTTGTTCCAATTGAAGATGGAACAGACTGTCATCCAAGTCCAACGTTTCATCCTCCCGAGACTCAAGGTCTTGACTCTCTATCTTTTCGTTTGCTTTGTCTGTAGCCTCTGTCACCCTGTCCTTAACTCGAATTATTTGCGGAAAAAGTGTGCCTTCTGTGGTTCCATCATATAATCGAAGGCCTCCTAAGTCAATATCTACGACAAAGGAATCCGGTCGTTGTTTCGCTTTTGCTCGGAAACCGTCGAAGACTAGTTTCAGAACCTCGTTTGCTTTTCCTTGAGGATCCCGTTTCAAAGTAAAGCTGCCTGTTCTAAGACTTGAGTCTACCTGGAACTTGACGGAGTCCTTGGGAAGCTCGACACTCTCAGCGATGGCCTTCTTCTCGTCCCAGTCGATTGCGTCATACAGCTCCTGTTTTTGCTCCTCAGTCATTGTCGTACTTTGTTCCTCCTTCTTGCTGCCCCAAACCCATTCGGACCATGTTTGGGCTTTGGCAGGTTTCTTAACACCAACATTTTCCTTTCTTAGTTGGTTCCTTGCTAATGACCTCCAAAATCTGAGATCCTCATAGGAAAGTTTCTCTTCTAGGCAGGTCAGCTCTGCAGTTTCTTCTGGAGATAGAGGTTCATCTCTCTTTTTCTTTTTGAATAGGTTGATATATGCGATCCGGTCATCTCTTCGTTCCTTGATATAATCCCATGTCCAACGCCGATTCCTGTCGTGTATTTTGCCAAGAACAGAATTGGCAGCAAACTGTAGCCAGGCTCTTGGGTCTTCCTTGGGCCGAACTTTTGGTTGGTGTTGCTTGTATTCTTGATGCCGAATAAAGTAGTGAAATAAATCTACAAGCATCAACACGTCACGGTACTGCTCTTCATCGAGAACAAAGCCAAGTTCATCAAAAAGTAGTCTCGCCCTGATTCTTGGTCTATCTGTCCGTCCAGTCTTATCAATCTCGAGGCCCGCTCTGCCACTTACAGGTTTCAGCATGAACTGATGGTTTTCTTCGCTGATGGCGGCCCTGAGTCTACTGATCAACTCACTACGGCCTAGGCCCATGCCTTCGCTGTAACCTTTCGTGCCTGACCCAAATAGTTCTGCATCGGTATTCCAATAGATGGCGAGGGCTTCAAGAACAGCCAATTTATGGCTTGTGCCGGATGTCGACTGAATAAATGTTGGTTTCCATTCAGCATCCGTGCTGACAGCGCTGAGCTCCTTGATCGTGATACCCAAGGCGAAAGGATGTCCCGGGGACGCAATGGAATCCTCATAGCGGAAATGCACGTTCTTAATTTCCACTTGCAGGTTGTCAATAATTGCGGTAGTCAGACTTTGGGTAAAACTCTGGTTTTTCAATCGCTCTTCCTGGGACATCCCGTCGGTATTTTGTTGCTCCTTCAGTATTTCCGCACTTTCGAGTTTCTCCATCTTGATGGCATGTTGCCGTCGTTTTTCCTCCTCTGGGTCGTAGGTAGCATCCTCCTTGGGTACAGAGAGCAGGAAGACGTCTTGTATGAGGACTCTCACCGGCTGGCCCCTCAAATTTGACCAAGGTATTGACAAAGTAAGTTCTCCAAGATAGCCTTCGACAACATTTAATGGAAGACGGAGCTGGTCGAGGGCTTCCCGCCGCAGTTCAAGGTTTCGTAGCGTCACATCGCCCGACCATATCCCAACATTGAGCTGTCCGGCATCAAAATTTTTGACGTACATGCCCAGAAACCTGTTTAACAGGTTCGCGACAAGGCCTTCTAGCATGGTGGCAGTCGGCGGTCGTGTCCGACCAACGGGGAAATTCCTTCAGGTATGCGACGTTGGAACGATAGTAGGCGCGAGGGAGAGACTCCCAAGTCGAAATGAATGGGAATTAAACGGATTCAGTAACCCTCCATGATTCCCTAGATTTCCATAGATGTTAGTATCCACGGAGTGACAGGCTAATGATATCCCGAAGAACCTAGGCGGGGAAAAGGAGTTGGAGGGTTGTTTAGAGGAACGGATCAAGTATATTTTCCCACATGGCTGGCAAGCAGTTCTCACAGACCCAACCTACTTCAGGAACACCACATACCAAAGCCTTGCTAGTATGCTGGAGGGAGAACGGTTTACCGCATGGGTTTGGATTCCCTTGGGGTTGGGAAGCGGCGGTTGGTGCACTATTGATTATTGCGCATAGAATAGCGACAGCGCAATTTTGTTATGCCCAGAGCTTTCAATGTTTCGTACACACATCCACGGTACAAACTAGAATACGCGATAGTTAGAGGATTTTTCGAAGTTGGCCCATGACATGAAGCTGGAAGTAACTGTTGACAAGCCGTGGCCTGTTCTAAGGCGAGTTTACGTCACCACAGAAGGATAACTAACTAACCTCGCAGAAAACGTTATATTTATTGTATGCTAAAATTGTACTAAAAAGTCTCCGCAAAACATCCTTTTTTTGCAGACATCTTGGCTCCGCTGATATTAGGGTCCCAAGAGAAAATTTCCACAGTTGATAGGTTTATTCTGAGATATATGGAATACAATACTACAAGAATCGTTGCTGAGAGTGGCTTTTAGTTTGCACCTTCCCTCGTTCTCATTCCAAGCTCCGAACCGGGCATAGATGTTCTCATCTGACGAAGAGAATGGACTATTGGTATTCTTCTACGACTGCTTCATGACATATCCACCATTCATGCGCAGTATACTGTGTAAAACGCAGATAATTGATGATATCAATTCGAAACCAAAGGATAGTTTATGTCATGTGACTTTAACGGCGCCGCGCTAACCGAGGAGTTCAGTACACCAAATCACGATTGAACAACCTCGCCCAACACCAAATTTATCACCACATCACGGCAACTCATCCCTCTCCTCTCAAAGCCATTCTCGGCGACCAACCTCTCTCCACTCCGCTCGTAGGGGCCTTGACTCCGTTTTCAAGTGCAATTGGAGGTAGGCTGCAGCCAACCCGCCCTCTTCGATAGGTGGCCATACGTTTCCGACTCCCTCCAACTGACCCCGTCCCTAAGGTACATCCTTACTTGCCCGCCATGTTTTTCCGAACAGCAGCTACTCGCTCTATCCTAAGAGCGGCATCTAGCTCAAATGTCTCTACTACACGCTTGGCTTTGTCCGGCACCATTTTCAAGGCCCAATTGACTTCGTCTGTCCGCCAACCGGCCGTTATCCATGCAACATCCCTTGCTCTTGCACCCAGAAAACCCACTACGACCGCTCTTATCCGATATGCGTCGACGGCTGCTGTCAAGACCAGCGACGCTGTACCACCGCCAAAAGCTGAGGAAGAGGAGGATGTCGATATGATGGCTGGTGTCAAGGGTGATATGGTGGGTGTTGCACTTCAGCCCCCTCAAAATCGGGTGGAGTCCGAAATTCGGGATTCCCATTGAATGAAATACTGACATTAGGCAAAATTTCCTACAAATTTCCATAGAAAATTATCCGTGACACTTTCTCCCTAAAGGATGTCCCCAAAGAAGCCTTGTATCTCGGGCTAGCCGGTGTTATTCCTTACGTTGCGACTTCGCTCCAAACTGTTTACTTGTCCTGGGAAATGAATAATGCCATTACCACCGGTAGCGGTCACTACATATCCGGACAGACTGCAGAGATGATGATGAGCCTTATTGAGCCTGTTCAGGTTGGATATGGTGCAGTGGTAAGTGCATCTTAAGATATCTTGGTTTTTCATCTTGGGTTTTCCTTACATAGTTTTGTGTGTTCTAATTCTTTTATAGATCCTCTCTTTCCTTGGCGCCATCCACTGGGGTTTGGAATGGGCGGGATACGGGGGAAAGGCTGGCTACCGACGATATGCGACTGGTGTCATCGCACCTGCTGTTGCTTGGCCTACCCTGTTCATGCCCATTGAATATGCCCTCATCTCTCAGTTTTTTGCTTTCACCTTCCTGTACTATAATGACGCGCGTTCTGCGGTTAAGGGCTGGACTCCATCCTGGTACCACATGTATCGCTTCGTCCTAACCTTCATTGTCGGTGCCAGCATCGTTATGAGTCTGGTCGGTCGTGAGAATCTTTCCACACACTACGAATCCCGAAACGAACTGACTAAGAAGTGGAAGGAATTGGAGCGCCTGGCGAAGGAGAAGGAGGCCGTCAAGGCAACCGAATCCAGTGAAGAGCAATAAAATTCACAAGTCGCCCAAGTATCTGTTTGTGTCATAGGTTTAAGTACCCAAAATTTCCACCCTCTCTATGGCACTCCGAAGCCATTCCAGCCATTTCCTTAATACCTTTTGTAAATTAAAAAGAAAAGCAGAAAAAGGAAAATATATCTCTCCAACCACGAAGCAAGACACTGCATATTTCATTTGTATATATACTGGCCAACAATGGTTACCTTATTCCTGCTATTCTTCGTTGGAAGTACTCCATACATGGTTATCTATTCATCCACGGTGACGCTATGTGTGTCTACAATTTGTTCTTTTGGAAAAAATGTCCCAGCTACTCCAGCCACTTTGGGGATCCAAAGGCCTAGCTTTATCTGGCCCCTCGCCTATGTGATGGCTGTGTTGGCGAGGAGGGGGAAAAAAGCGTGAGGATGCACCCAGGCAACCCCATTGGATTTGATCTCATAACTGCTCTGTCACTGGAGAGCATGGGTGGAATTGCAAGAGTAGGTGGCATCATGATAACTTGCGCCTCTTGCAGTTCGATATAGAGCAACAAATGAGCAGCAATAGGAAATATAACAGGATAACAGGGCCAAGGGGACAAGCACAAACTGAAAAATACAAAAATTTCCCCCTCTGCATTCCCTTTGATACTCACATCTTTATAGACTTCTTGTTTTTGCTTTTTGACTCCTTGGGGTGCTGCTTTATACAAGCTGACTAGTTATCTTATATTTTATGGCGGGCTGCGCATGACAGGCTACTACTACTTTCACTTAATCTTGCTCTTCTTCTTCGTGTGCATGGCATGTCACAAGGAGCGGCAGTTTCAGAAAGTCGACAAGGCTGATGCCTATGCCATTGATTGAGCTGCGTCATACTAGCTAGACCTGAAGCCCCTAGGATCGGAAGAAATCGATACGACCAGTGCGCAAACTAGCGAGAACGGGGTAGGTAACAGGTAATTGATGATGGATAGTGTTGGGGTTTTCTTTTTCAACTAAGTAAGGTATACTCTCAACGCAGAATGGAGGGCGCAGCCAGGAGTACGCCGGGAGAATCAATGAATAACGATATCGGAGGGAGAAAATGCCTTTTTTTTTTTTTTTTTTTTTTTTTGATTTGATTATTTTTATTCAAAAGTTTTTTTGGGGAGGTATATACCCCAACCGCCCGATATCTAATTAATAATTTAAATATCATGTCCAATCCTCAAAGGTCAATCTCAACTAGTTATCGATAACTAAATCTTCTCTCCAACTGATTATTTTCATAATCTAACAGTACTAGGAAGGGTTTGCCAAAGGCCGTCCAGAGTGCGCCTGAATCAATACCTTATATCGGGGCTGCTCACTGTTTCTTATTTCGAATTGGCCGATCATCCGAGGAATATGGCACGGAATGATCGTCATAGGAGCTGTATCACGACTGCATAAAATCCCGAATTTTGGCCATAGTGAAAATGGCGAAAGAAGAGGTTACTATATATTCATGTCCAGTACAATGCAAATCCAGGTTGCATATACATCCAGACAGAGGTTTGGAATTGCACGCACTAGAAATATAAATGGAAATCTCAATACCAGCGACTCGATTACAGCCGAGCTTTACGTTCCAAGCGGAACCGTTCGGGGGGCTACATGCCTCCGTCCTCTTAGGCATCTAAGACTAGCCAATAGAACTCAATATCAGGTTGTCAAGCCCGGCGAAAAGAAAGAGGATTCCTTTTGTCCCGCGCTTTACGCGATCAAACAGCGCTTGGTTGGTTGATGATCGCAGTGTGGGGCGCCCAATTAACCCGACGCCAGTCGTCCTAGCGGTGTTCACTCGGTCGTCGACCCAGGGAACGCGGTCTGCAGGATTTCTTCATGCACGTAATTACATGATCGGAACCATGGGCGGAAGTACCCTGACATGCGCGCCGCCATGTACTGTATGTACTATAACGATGAGCAACAATGCCGTCGGAGGAGTGTTCCTATCCAATTAAAAGCGGTGTTAGGATATTACGCATGTTTCCATTTCCCCCTCGAGGCTGGCGACGAGGGGATGGGACGACAGAACTTATCGATGTTGGGCGAGCGCCATGACCTGGCAAGAGAGGGAACTTACCCCTGGCCCGCTTAGATATGCGAGTGACAGGAACTTGGCCTGTGTAAAAGTCTGAGCGAGTGGCCTTGTTGAGACGGTGTCAGGGTATGCACTGTTTCATTCACCACGGGAGGAATTATATGTCAACCGCGTCGCTGGCTTTTACCTTGTGCAGAACGCGTTTCAATTGATTAACAATAACAAATGTTATCAGAGTTGTCCTTCTCTCTCTTCAAGTCCCTTGCCCAAAAGTTGGTTGGACCAAAGGTTATCACTTGGTCGTTGCCCCACGCCTTGCAAGTACCAGTCCACCAAAGTTGCTTGCCTGAGCAACATCGCCATACCTCATCTCCATCATCATCATCGTCACCAACACCACAGCCTCACTGTCCTTCCGCTCCCCTCGATTCCATTTCTTCATCGATCTCCGCTCCTCATGGTCTCTTGAATTCACCCATTTTCTTCCCGATATTCCATTCCTCATCTTTCAGCAACCCATCATTTTACCCCTTTGTAAACCCTGATTCGTCTTTATTCCGGTCCTAAAATTCTTGAACACCAGTGGGCCTTCTTGATAGGGATCAAACCCATCCTGTCCAAGATCATCTCCGGGTTGCCCGGTATTCTGGTCAAAATTCACAAGGCATGATACGCGATTACGTCCTCAAGCACGTCCTATCCACGAACCTCGATTCTGGAAGCAGCCCCCAGAAGGCATCGAAACCAGCTGATCAACCACCTCAACAAGGGTCAGGTCGATATATAGGCGCAATCGACCAAGGTACCACTTCATCGAGGTTCATTATCTTTGATACTGAAGGGAATCCAGTCGCTTCTCATCAAGTGGAGCTAAGTCGCATCTGCCAGCATTCTGGGTGGGCGGTCCTCCCCCTTTTCAACGCCTAGAGGGTACCAGGCTGACAAGAGGAAATCTATTTTTTAATTTTGCAGGTGGCATGAACAGGACCCTGGAGAGATAGTCTCCTCGGTAGAGAAATGCATTGATCAGGCAACTAGAGCGTTCACTTCTCTAGGCTTCTCGGTCAGGGACCTCCAGACTATTGGCCTGGCCAGCCAACGCGAAACCACAATCGTATGGGATTGGGAGACCGGAAAACCTCTGCATAATGCGATTGCATGGCCAGACACGCGGACCACCTCACTGGTTAGAGAACTGAAGTCAAAAGAGGGAGCAGACAAACTGCAGGAGATTTGTGGGCTTCCACTCTCCACCTATTCCTCCTCTACCAAGCTGGTTTGGCTCCTTCGCAATATCCCTGATGTGAAAAAGGCATACGACGACGGCCGGTTAGCATTCGGAACTGTTGATACTTGGCTCGTCTACAATCTAAACGGCGGGAAGAAGAGTAACGTGTTTGTCACAGATGTGACCAACGCCTCTAGAACTATGTTCATAAACCTCCATTCTCTTAAATATGATGAGGCATTGCTTAACTTCTTTGAGATTGACCAGTCGAAAATAAAACTCCCCAAAATTGTTGTGTCTGCTCACGAATCGGCATTTGGGTCAATGGCGAATGGTCCCCTGAGAGGTATCAAAATCACGAGCTGCCTTGGAGACCAATCTGCTGCATTGATTGGCCACTGTGCTTTCTCTCCTGGCCAAGCTAAGAACACTTACGGGACTGGCTGCTTCCTCCTCTATAATGTGGGCAAGTCGCCGGTAATTTCTAAGCATGGTCTACTTGCAACAGTTGGATATCAATTAGGCGAATCACCTGTATATGCTTTGGAAGGAAGCATTGCTGTTGCTGGAAGTGGGGTCAGTTTTCTAATGAACAACTTAGGCTTCTTCAGGGATGCGAGAAAAATCAATGACGAAGCCGCCACGGTGCCCGATTCGGGTGGATGCGTATTCGTTACTGCCTTCAGCGGATTGCTTGCCCCTTACTGGATCGATGATGCAAAAGGCACAATTTTCGGCCTCTCACAACATACTCAACGAGGCCACATAGCCCGGGCAACCCTGGAAGCTGTGTGTTTCCAGACCAAAGCAATTCTAGATGCTATGGAGAAAGACAGCGGCGAGAAACTGAAGGAGCTGGCAGTCGACGGTGGCTTGTCAGCTAGTGACATATGTATGCAATCCCAATCGGATATTATCCAACTGCCCATTTCACGGCCAGAGATGCACGAGATTACCGCACTTGGTGCGGTTATTGCGGCGGGATACGCGATTGGCATCTTCAAAGACCTAGAGACTTTACGAGGAACGAACAAGTCGAGAAGGACGACGATCTTCAAACCCGAAATAGCTGAGTCAGAAAGCGCGAGGATGTATAAACAATGGTCAAAAGCTGTCGAAATGTCTCGAGGTTGGCTAGACAATGCGGTCTAGTAGATTTGATTGTTGAACAATGAACGATGGTCTCTTCATTGGTGGAGTTTTGGCCAATGTCGATTACCTTCCTCCTTTTTCTCATAACCTTAGCAGGCAGGATTCTCCTTTGGATACCCAATTTTTTCATTTTTAAGAATTTCCCTTTGCAAATATACATTTCGAGTAGATGGTTAATAGTCAGTTGTTCTAATTTTGATTTTGATGCATATGTTCGTAATAGATTGGCTCGCGTTGCGCCGGTTTTGCCGCTCCACACTCCGAAATTGGGAAAGAGGCCATCCTGTGTCGTTGTGTCGTTGTGTCGTTGTGTCAGCGTGTTAGACAGCCACGGGGTGTTTTCTGATAAGGCTATGCTGGATGTTGTCTACATCGCATAAGCCGAGTCAGTTTGGGGGATATCTGTTCGTCCTTCTGCTTGTTAATGCTCGGACAGCATTCTTGTCCCTCCTGAAGTGCATCCCTGTCTGGTCGCTCCTTGATTACGATTCGTTTCTGACGTCGCCTAGATGTTTGTCTGCGCCTCAGTGGAATGTGTCGACCACACAACCACAATTGGGAAAGTCGGTTGGTAACGTCGATGCACAAGTAGGGAATATCTGCACAATAAGCAGGCTTACAAGCATTTAGGGAACAGGTTTTTTCTGTCCGGGACTAATCAATCAACGTTGAGGATATACCCCTTCTTGTTGGTGATAAACAGCACTGGAATTTGGTGTGATGCTCATCCTCAGTGTCAAGGGGGAATATTTGACCTCAGGGGGAGGGAAAAACCACCAGGTGCAAGTGGGACCTGCCGAGAAGAAAAAGGCTGAACCTTCAACCTTCAGCCCTGCATGAATCATGTTGCAAGATCATGCTATTTGAAACTCAAAATACTGCAAAGCAAACGCAAACGCAAAGCGCCACGACGGACAGCTTTTCCTGCGAAGGTCATTTGGGGCGGCGAAACAAGCCTTGGGGAGGGGGCGAGCCGATCTCAGTCGTGACTGGTAAACCCTAGGTGAAGCTCCGCACTCTTATTTCATCTTCTCGTTTGTTCGCTCAACTACGAAAGTGTTACCAGATTCATTTTACCTCGTAACTCCATTCGGAACTTAATAACTTCGGTTTTGGTGCTGGAATCCTTCCACGACTGGGCTTGATTCTATTAACAATATTTCCCCCCCCCTACATATCATTATTAGGTTCCACAACAGCGAACAGTTTTTTCTTTCCTGGTATACAAAACCTAGAACCTACGATATGGATAAGCCCTGTGGTATTGCCCGAACGAGGGGTTTACCCTCAGCTCTCTTGAGAGGTAATAACCAGTTCAACATTGCATGTTTAAAGCTCTTCCTTTGCGCCTGGGCCATCAATCCACCTCCATTTTCTGTATTGAGGGGAATCATTTAAAAGCCATTGATCAGGACCGCTACTACGACATATCAAAATTTGTCCCCAGGCAAGCCAGCCAATACCCTAGTTTACAACTCATACGCCTAAGCACGCTACCCTGTTTTCATTGCGGATTTACGCAGTCAATATGTGCGATCATAAGGAAGTGGAGCATACCTGTGGCCACAATTTGTATTTAATCAAATCATGGTGCCCCGAGTATCTAAGGACGCAGATAAGGTGCAAGCCAAATGTGGTCGAGAGGTACGTTTGAAGCCCCTTTCTATTTATCTGAAGCACAAGATACCAAAGTACAAACCAAGCCCCTGGGTACTGGAGTTTTTACTGATTGAAGCATTCACGGATTTAGGGAAAAATTAGCAAAAGAATGCAGTACGTAAATTCCTTCGTCCCTCCTTTCCCGGACCTTTCCCTGACCTTTCCCTCAGAAACACCCCTCGTTCCCTATTATCAGCATTCACTTTGGGTGCGATGAAGATAAGGGAGCAATATGCTATGTATACAGCAGCGATATGTTGTGAAAAGAGAAATATATCTCTTGGCTATGCACCTCGAGTATTGACTAACGTTCTCGTTTCCAGATATGTGTATGGAAATGCGGAAAATTAGATCCCAAGGTTCGCGGTCGTCTGGTCCAGACTCCTCCACTTCCACATAAAAGAACGAGCCTTGACACGATAATCTCATTGCGAGACATGGCCGAGGAGGTTTTCGAAGAGATACCATTATCGACTCTTGCATAGTTCGCAATTTTTATTTCATCTCCCCCTACATGGCATCGATACGAAAAGACGAAAGTAATTAACGAGGAGGAGTAAACCAGCTCGTGGCCCTGAACCCTGTTTTTTCAACTTGAACTCGTGAGGTGTGCCTCCAACCCTTCAAGATCAGACTCGCCTAGCTGTGGTTAAAATGATGATGATGCAACTACGCACGACATTGGTGACGAAGAACCGACAGGGAAAAGAAAATCAAGGCTGATGGAAACAAGCTGTCGATCTTTTTCCGTCCAATCACGCGGTCCTTCGTTTTGCCCATCGTCTTGGTTTATTTTTAGGGCGGCATGTTTCGTGGCTGTTTGTTTGACCTTTTCTTTTTCCCTTTTCTTTTCGTTCTCTCCCTTTTTTTTATATTTTATTTTTAATCGTTTTTTGTTTGCAAAATTTTTATTTTCGTGGTTTCTCAATGGGTTGAACGGTTACAAAGCAAAAGTGGCCAGTAATTATAATTTTTTTTCTTTTTATATTGGATTCTTCAAGCTAATACCCTCTCTCAATTTTGGATATTTGACCTTTTAGATACCATTTGATAATCTTTTTCTATACTTTTATAATTTACTGTTACTCTCTTATATATCGGATGGTCAGAACACAGTTACTTCAGTTCGACTTGCGCTTTTCATCCCCCCCACCCCTCTTATCTTTGCGAATGAGAGCGAACATGCTCCCCTTTCTCAAACCACAGCATTCTTGGTAGACTTTCTACCATCTCCCCTGCCCTCAAGAAATATAGTTCATTTATGAACATTACTATCTGTCGCCGTCTCCTTTGTAGCCTTTTCCTAAGATAGAGAAAAAGGGGGGACAAATTGGGAAGGAAAAAAAGAACAAGGAGCTGCGTAAGAAAAAGAAATGAGCTCAAAAGGGTATCATGATTATTAATGACCAGGGGCATCGATGCCATACGTCCCATTCCGCCTCTCGTCCTCTCCCACTCGCCATAATCTTCTCGGCTCTGGTATCAAGAGAACGAAAAGAGGAAGAGAGCGCAAAGGAAAAACAGAACACATAAGGATTCCGGAGAATGTGTTCGGTTTTGAGCGAATAGTGTATGAATAACAGTTCCGGCGGGTTCATCATATTTTCTTTTCGATAAACAATTTTCCATTTTTTCTATGTTTTCTTTTTCTCTTTCGGATTTTTTTTTTTTTTTTTTTTTTTAAAAAAAAATTTCTTTGTATTTTCATTTGATACCCCACGCTTTTCATAAAACATTTTTTTCTCCTCTTCGCTACGCACATAATAAAGTTCCCGGCCGTTATCCCCGAAAAACCTAGCCCTCAAACTGGGCAAGATACACGTTCCCTCTCTTCACCAGATACAACTTTTTGCTTTCTTTCCTTTCTCCCCCAAATGACGTCAACCAATGACATGGTTGATGAAAAGTATTCCAGCCTTAGGCATGCGCAGGCACATATGCACTGCATTCTAAGCGTCGGACATCCCTTCCTCCCCCTCCAGTTCTTCCAGGGGAGAGACAAGAAAGCTTCCGAGAGCTGATAACCATGGCCCTCGCTTCTATCAATTTCCGTCTTAAAACGCCCTCCCGAGCGGCCAGGCCACATATGTGAACGGGGTCTTGTGGTCCTTACATATCTATTCCATGCAAAAATGTATGTGCATCCGAATGTATGGGAAGAAACCCTTGTATGCGGCTCGCGAGCAGTAGCTGCATATTCCGTCAATGAGAATGAGATCAGGGGCTTGCAGATGGGCACACTTACATGCATGCATGCATGTGTGTATGCACTCAAGCACGCAAGCACGCACGGTGATCCATCAGGGCCGCGCTTCAACTTTGAGATTGGAACTGCGGGGTCGTTGGTGGGGGTTGGTGATGGGAAGGGAACGGGGAAAGACGGGCCGGGCCATATGGCGGTTTTTGGTATATGACAGGTTACATTTGATTCCATTGAGTGCTGGGAGTAAAATGGGTGTTTTCCCTCGCACACCCCCTCTCATCCGGCCATCCAGTGGTAGTTGGATTTCGAAGAGTCCTGATCTAAATTGGACGAACGGGAAAACCTCACAAAGCGCTCGGAGGGATGGAGAGTTGGTTCGTTATAGAATTTCTGTGAGAAAGGAAGGAGGGCGAAAAAACTATATATATATAGCCCAGGTTAACTCTTCCCATCATCTCCCGTCTCAACAGGATCAATCATATCAAGTGACAAGAATTTTTAACTCGCTCCTAGGGGACAGGTATCCTATCAATCCTTCTCACTCTTGATCTTTTAGTTTTTCCTCCCGACCTTGCTTGACTTGAGAGTCACGCATGGAGAAATGTATGCATGCATCATTCCTCACTTTGTTCACTTGCATACGCCTGCAATGCAAGTGTCAAAAATAGGAGATGAAACAAAGTTCCATGGATTACATGAACAGGAGATCTGGTCTGGAGCCGTCGTTTTGTCTCCCTTACTGGATTGAATGAATCCTTTCCTACCTCTGTGCACCAGTAGGTTCCGCGCCCCATCCCACCTTTGTATTTCTAAATGAGAAGCCAATAAAAAAAAAAAAAAAAAAAGGCAAGAAAACTGTCACAACAATGAAAAGCGGAAAATGAAAGCCGAGAAACGCCGCCTGATCCCTCTACTCGCATGCACGATCAGCAAGAGATGATGGGTCTTTTTAAACCTTAAAAAGCCACTTTCTTTTGTGACAAGTATGATTGGGATAATTTTTGAGTGGAGATGTGCAGAATATGCATATCATCAATTCGAAAATTTCGTGTTATATCAATAGTTAATGTTTCCAGTCTTCTCGCGAGGAGGACGAGGATGTGGATAGCTATAAGAAGTACTGTACAGTACATGTACTCCTTGCATATTTTCAACAGTGCTTCCTCTTGGCTTTCCAATTTTCCAGATAAACAATAGGAAGAAGTTTGCCGAACAAGAAAAAGTGAAACAAAGTGCAAAGCTTAAAACGGGTAGATCAATTGTTTTTGCAGTGATACATTTATGCTCCCCGACAAAAGAAAATATGACAAGAACAACAAGGGAAATAGCAAAGTCACTTGGAGGATATCAAGTGCCAAAATAGCCGAACAGATAGTGGTATATCTGCGACATGCAGTCTAAGGAGATGAGTGTTGATGGTATGCATGTATATATGCTTCCAAAGGGCCGGGAGAAAGGCATTGAAAATAAGTTACAGAAGCTATGATTGAATAAAAAAGTAAGAGAGACAGAAACAAGAGAACCAGTTGAATAATATAAGTCAAGGAACAAGGAGGTATAAAATAGGAAGGTACCAAATGATAATCACGCTCATTTTGGCGCAGCAGATTCTCCCGCCGGAGGCTTCAATCCAGCCGCCATCAGCGCATCAGGTAGTATAATTGGTGCCTTGGGTATCGATTCAAGCTTATCCAATTTTTCTCCCCTCAATACTTTTTCCATCTCGTCCTTCGTCAGTGTTTCATATTCCATCAACGCTTTGGTTAATAGCTCTAGTTCCTTTCGGTGTTCTGTGAGAATTGCCGTTGCGCGTCGACTTGATTCCTCGACTAGGCGTCTGACTTCAGCCTCGATTTCTTGCTTAGTCTCTGAAGACAATGATTTATAGTTTGAAATAAGGTCGATAGAGCCTAGTTTTTTCGAGTATCCATATTGTGTTACCATCGAGAAGGCGGTGTTGGTTGCACGTTGAAGGTCCTATTCGCACAAGAACAGGAAGTTAGCTAAAGGACGAAACAGCAATCAAAGGTGCAAAGACTAAACAAGAGCAAACATACCGATGATATACCGCTCGTGACGTTTTCAGGTCCAAAAACAAGCTCCTCAGCGGCCTTACCGCCCATAGACACGTCGATATCCGCCAAGAACTCGGTATAATTCCGCGAAACAATGTCCATTTCCGGGAGGAAATGCGTGGTACCCAATGACATGCCTCTCGGGACAATAGTAATTTTATATAATGGGGTTGCAGCAGGAGAGAAGTAGGCGACAAGAGCATGTCCTGCTTCATGATATGCGGTGAGCAGCTTGTCTTTCTCCCGCATAACCCTGCTGCGCGCCTCAGCCCCCATCATTATTTTGTCCTTGGCCCAATCAAAGTCTTTCGGGCCAACCTTGGTTTGCTTGTTCTTGCTGGCATGAATGGCAGCTTGGTTGACAAGGTTTTCCAAATCGGCACCAGAAAAACCAGGCGTTCCACGAGCAATAACGGTAGTATCGACATCTGTGCTTATTTGGACGTTTTTCATATGGTGCTTTAAGATATCGACGCGGCCACGGACGTCAGGAAGGCCAACCACCACCCTACGGTCGAACCGGCCAGGCCGTGTTAGCGCTTTGTCGAGTAGTTTTGGATAGTTGGTTGCCGCAATGATAATGACGCCAGTAGACTGGGAGAACCCATCGAGTTCGGTCAGAAGTTGATTCAGAGTTTGCTTTACGTAGGCGGCATCTCGCTCATTTCTCTTTGCTCCGATTGCATCCAATTCGTCAATGAATATGATCGCAGGCGCCTTGGTTCGGGCTTGATTGAACAGTTCCCGAACACGCTTGGCTCCCACACCAACATATACCTCATCGAATTCAGACCCAGACATATAAAAGAAAGGTACACCAGCCTCTCCGGCAACAGCTCGAGCAAGTAAAGTTTTCCCAGTACCAGGGGGCCCAACGAGGAGAACACCTTTGGGGAGTTTACCACCAAGATTGTTGAAGCGTTCAGGGTTGGTCAGAAATTCGACCAGTTCTTGAAGCTCCTCCTTAGCTTCGTCGCAGCCATGGACATCACTGAATCGAACTTGCTGGTGTTGCGGTTGGGCTTCGTTGGGCTGGGAACCTCGGACATTTTTCAGGATGCCGGTAGTGTCCGCGATGATGTTGATCACGACGAAGGAGACGTAAGTGAAAAGCAGGAAAATAAAGATGAACTTAACCCAGCGGTAAATCGAGCTCGACAAAGATTCCTCCACCACAACGTAGAGAGGAGATTCCTTTGCTCCAGTACCGTCCTTTTTCGTAGATAATCCGATTTGAGCTCCATTCATATGGGCAGCGACCGCCTGTCCAACTGCTTGTAGTTGGTCATTGTTGAGATTCTGATTTTGAGATTGAAATTGATTTTGTACAGGTCTGAGACCAACTGAAGCATCCAAGCCGCCGACCCGCTCAAGAGCCTTAAGGTACGTAGCCTCACTGAAACCATCACCAGCATATTTCCCACTCCGATATCGTTCAATGATAATTGCAGGCATGTTCGCGCGCAGCAGGGCGCTGTAAAACGCATTTTGCGCGCTCACGCTATGTGGTTTGCTGTTTGCAGTTCTTTCAGTGTGGGCCAATACATTCTGAAACGGACCTCCGTAAAGGAATCGGTGTTGTTGAATTTGCGGAATGCCTTTCACTTTCGGGATACTCCGCGAGCGGTCGAGTTGAAGGAGAGAAATGGTAGAGAACTGACGAGGCGAGCTCGATTTGACAATGTTCGGGGCCGAAGAAAATCTGCTGGTCCAGATAGTTGTCCGAGTTGCTAAAACCGGATTGTTAGTCAAGTAGAAGGGGATCAAGGCAGTAGGTTTTAACGTACGAGAATAAAATATCGGCGACAAGGTGTGCTGGCCAAACAGGGTGTTCGTTTTGGAGCCGTTTCGCAGAGCTGTCATTGGGACTGACTTCAAGCAGTCAGGGAGGACCAGGTGAGATTGAATCTGGGATAATTAGTTACACCTCCTGTGGTAATTTTTAGCCTAGCGAAGACTTACTGTTGGAGATTCATCCCGGCGTCTCCGGAGCACTTCATTACATTCTTTGCCCGGGGAAATCTCCGATGATGGCAGACTGAAACGCTTCCATGGAGTTGCCAAAGCATTAGCCACCGAGGGCCAGAGATCCGTTGTCACAGCTGCCGCATTCTGCATATTGTTTGCTACCAGTAAGCAATGTATTTTTTTCCAAATGAGGGGAAGAGATGGGTGTATTCCTTACAGGCAGGCAGAGCGGAGAGGGAAAAGCCATCTTGCAGAAGGCGGAGTCAGCCAAACGATGGGAATAACTCTTGATTTGGCTGAATAAGAGTTAGGGTCTCAGTTGAGTGAATCCATTCAGCATAAATAAGACGCCAGAGCCATTGTTGAGGAGCCAAACAAGACCAGGGCGTTGTGGGTTGGAGATGAGTCGTTCTCGTTCGCGACAGTGGCGGCGAATTTGACTAAAGTTCGATGATATTGCCACTTTGGTCTAAGAGTCGCTCCGTAGCCAAGGATCGCCGCCAACAGGAAGAGCTATTCATCAGGACCATATAAAGTTCCGGTATTTGGAAGCAGCAGAACGGAAGACTGGTTTCCGTTTTGCTCAGCGTCTAGCAATCGCCTAAGGAAATGCCATTTTTCTTTCAATCAACTTCCTGTGAGTTAGGAATCAACAAACTCCATACATGTTCCGTAGATACAACCTTAGTATAGCCCAACAAATCACGTGATTTAATGAACCTTCCAGAACAACTAGGTGCGGACTCGATGCTCATTCGACGATATTAAATTCTCTATGGAGCGAATAAAGAGTCTAACTAGCTGCGTGGGATGCCCAAGCATATTTAATGTACCGATCCGCTCTTTTGCTTTCTGACTGATAAACGCGACATTTTGTAAGGTTCTTGGTTGCAAATATGTGCCAAGTGGAAACTCGGCAATCAGCTATCAGCTATATGCTATGTCCGGGATGTTTGTTGCTCAAACACTGAAAGTTAGTCGCCATCCATGCCGGTGAAGGTTTTAACCTTAACGGGAGCACCCCGCCCCAGTGCTCTCAAGTGGGATGAGTCAGAGCTTCTGAACGAATGCTGGTTTTGCAGCCTTAGTTTTGTTGATGGATGTCGTGCTACAACGGCGGGCTCGGTTCGTTGGCGGCGTGTTGAGGAACGCGAGGGGCATTACGGCTTCCCAGGAGAGCATGACAAAGTTGACAAGATTCATGATGATGATAATATGAATGATGGAGATACGGAGTTTTTTGCACTGGGTGGTGCGATTGAGGCGCACACTGGTTTACAGGCAACAATGGATACTCAGGTGGAAACTGGGTCGGAATTCTACGACCATTCCTTTGCCCTGCATGAAGGAGGAGGGGATTCTAGTATACCGAGCGGGATGGAATCATTTTACGCAGAATCCAACTTCGAGACTACATTGGACGATACCAGTATAGTCAGTAGGGCGGACCACTTGACGGAGTATCATAACAGCCCTCAGCATCCTCTGCCACCACCTTTAACAGGAAATTTGAGTAATCTAGAAGATATCCCTAACGCTGCTTATCTCCATTCGATTTCCCCTCGGATGATCCCTATCAACCTGATCGTGGCGATAATCACAATATACCCTCGCAAACGAGTACGAACTCGTTGGGGTTATGAGACCGAGGTTGTCGAGTTTGTGGTGGGTGATGAAACGAGGTCGGGATTTCAGATCACTTGTTGGTTGCCGCTCAAGGGTGAACCGCGAGATGGCGCGAAGGAAGATCTCTATGGGTCGATACTAGGGTTGCGTCCACGAGATATCGTTCTTTTCCGGTCTGTGGCGCTAAACAGCTTTCGGGGTAAGGTTTATGGCCAGACTTTGAAGGGTAACATGACGAAAGTTGACCTTCTGCATCGTGCGCTCGTTGGCCCTGACGATGATGGGGGTCTGTTCACTCTCCCAGGCCCTTGCTGACGGGACCGACCGATTGTCACCCACAAACTAGTGAAGGTGCGCAGAGTTAGAAGATCGGAATTTTAAATTTTCATCAGTCCTCATATTTATGGAAAAGGTCGGGGCAATCGTCAGTTCGACCCCGGAGTGCCAGGAGACGAAAAGGTGTCTCCCCCCCAGATACCCAATAAGTGAGAAAGAATTTTATTGATCACGTTTTGGCAAAGAACTAGAATTTACGTTCTCGGCTTGGGGTCCAAAGGTGGTTGGTTAACTTTCGGCGTGTTTAAACCCTCCATTTCCACCGTTTGCAGTGGGAAGCCGTGCAAGACAAAGATCCCTGGATCATCATCATATGATGGCATGGGGAAGGATATTCCGGACTGACTTTTTGTATTTTAGTCGTTGGCTCGATGTTTCGCAGTGCAAATTTAGGGGATGTTTTTGGTCATGAGATGGAGAACGACCATTGGAGAGCGCTAAGTTTCAGGGACATTCAATTATGTTTTTGCTAATATTTTGTTTAAATTTTTTTTTTTTTTTTTTTTTTTTTTAATTTTCTTGGAAGGTGTCGAGATCAAGTCGTCAGAATCCAAGTTTCAATGCTACCCATTATTTCCACTACAGCTTTTTGGTTACTTGAGTTGTATCTTTAATAGACAAGCGTTCTTTGTCCTCGTCCTCCACATTGAACAATTTTCCCCGTGACTGATCGGTTGAGCCGAGGGGAATAGAATCTGGATTGAACAGACGATGATATCCGGGAAAAGCGTCCATGCATGGATCAATGTCTTATTATAGCCTCTACGTGGACAAATTACAAGCCCTGAGCCAGTCACGGGCGGGAGATGGATCGCCAGCAGCATCAGATGACAGCAACCGGCGGCGTCTTAAATTTAATTCAGTTGTCTGGCCCCGTCGTGCGTTGATGGTACTTATGACAGAGGTACCATGGGAAGTGTTCCTCACGTAATTTGCTAGTGATCGCCGTTGGGAGTACTTTGCACCGAAGTCACCGCTGGCCCGTGTCTGCTAGTGTTGTCCAAGTGGAATCGTTGCCCTTGGCTTAGCAACCCACATCTTTTCCTTCATCCCCTTTCCTCTGTTCTCAACATCCTCCCCAACACTCAAATAGTTTCTCATACTATTGCTCTCTTTGTTATTTACCCTCTTTTCTCCTTACCTAGTCCTTCGCACGCTCATTTATACTCCACGTCACTCGCACCCTCAGAATCGAGGCCAGTCTTCGCTGGCGCCATCTCTTTGCTCCCCCTTAGTCCCCACATTTGATATCCCAACCCCATCATGAAGGGTAAGATTCGGTCCCGTTTGCGATGTTCCAAACAATGCAATTGATCCCATTCACTGACCTTTTTCTTTTCGTGTTTTACAGCCCTAATTCTCGTTGGGGGGTTTGGAACTCGTCTGCGCCCCCTGGTATGTGCATCTCTCACCGCAAAATACGAACCTCCTCTCCCTCTTTCGAAAAGGTATAAGGGGCGTGTCCGATTCTCATACCTTTGACTAGACCCTTACCCTCCCCAAACCTCTTGTGGAATTCGCCAACCGTCCCATGATCCTGCATCAAGTTGAAAGCTTAGCCGCCGCCGGTGTAACAGATATTGTTCTCGCGGTTAATTATCGACCAGATGTCATGGTCTCAGCGCTTAAGAAGGTAGGTGTTTACATATTCTGGTATTAGCTTGTGGTGCTACTGCTTGCAAATCAAAGAAAAAAATATGCTGATCGGTGGCGGAAAACTACACATCTAGTATGAGGAAATATATAACGTAAAGATCGAATTCTCAGTTGAATCGGAGCCTCTAGGCACTGCTGGGCCCCTCAAGCTTGCAGAGAAAATCCTTGGAAAGGACGACAGCCCGTTCTTCGTTCTCAACTCAGACGTCATTTGCGAGTATCCCTTTGCAGAACTAGCTGCTTTCCACAAGAAACACGGAGACGAAGGAACTATTGTGGTAACAAAGGTGGAGGAACCGTCCAAATATGGTGTCGTTGTACATAAGCCAAATCACCCATCCCGCATTGACCGCTTTGTGGAGAAACCTGTTGAGTTTGTGGGCAACCGCATCAATGCCGGCATCTACATCCTGAACCCTAGCGTCCTTAACCGTATTGAGCTCCGTCCTACCTCCATCGAACAGGAAACGTTCCCGGCCATATGTAAAGATGGCCAGCTTCATTCCTTTGACCTGGAGGGATTTTGGATGGACGTTGGACAGCCCAAGGATTTCCTTACCGGTACCTGCCTATACCTCTCTTCACTCACCAAGCGCGAGTCGAAGGTCCTCTCTCCACTTTCAGAGCCATACGTTTATGGAGGAAATGTATTGGTCGACCCTTCTGCCACGATTGGGAAAAACTGTCGTATTGGACCTAATGTCGTGATTGGGCCGAATGTCGTTGTTGGCGATGGAGTACGACTTCAGCGCTGCGTCCTGCTCGAGAACAGCAAGGTGAAGGATCACGCTTGGGTAAAGTCGACGATTGTCGGATGGAATAGCGCTGTGGGTAGATGGGCACGACTGGAGAATGTTACCGTCCTTGGGGATGATGTGACTATTGGAGACGAGGTCTACGTCAATGGAGGTTCTATCCTCCCTCACAAGAGCATCAAACAGAACGTTGACGGTATGTATTTTGTGCCATATTCCTCTTGTGTTACATTCACGTGTATATCCGTAACTGACAACAACACTTGGAAAAGTTCCCGCCATTATCATGTAACCCCACCCCACTTCTCGAACGACTATATGCACCTTCTCTGCTTTCCGCTAGAAAGATCAAACACCTCAACAACCAAGAAACAAGAACACATCTTCTTATAATCACATTTGAGAATCCATTTTCATTTATGGACCGGAGTCGTGCCTTGCAAGATCATTATCAACGGTGTACGGTGTGATGTATGTTGCATGTTGCATATGAGACGCCAAAAGAAGGTGACAGAGGGTGTGTGCAGTTGATGTTCGGATCTACTTGAAAGCTCACCGGAGCATCCTAATTAAATGAAAAAAAAGAAGGTTTAAAATGGGTGGGTCATGTCTATAGATCGGAAGGGTGTTGAAGAGGTTGAAAAATTCCTTTTTCTGCTTAATTTGTTCTCCTCTTCCCTAGTTGTCTTCTCAATACGTCGTCACTCATTTATGTCAATTGGGTGGGGGAAAAAAAAGAAAAAAATCTTTTGCGAGCGAACTTTTCCGTCGCGTGGATTCTGTCGGTTTATCTACTTCGAGAGAGATCCTGTATGCTCATCTGCCTTCATCATATATGCCTGCATCTTCTTCGTTTTCTTCTTCTTTTTTCTCCGCTCCGCTCCATTTTCTGCCTTGGTTTTGCGTTTTCGCCTGGGGTTCGGGGCCTTGTTTTATTTTTCCTCTTTACATTCGCCGTTGTCCTCATTCATGCAAGCTCTGTGGTTCATCGTCATTTTCCCCTTCCTTTCCACAAATATATTTACATAATATCCAAACATACATGTTATTTATTTTATTTCCCATGTTTGGCTGATACGCTACAGGATCTGGCTCGAATTTTAAATCTAGTTTATTTTCTCTTATTCCACTTTGACTGCCTGTGTAATGTTCAGGGCCTCGCCAATTTCTCCACGTTTCCATACTGGGAAAATGAATACGAGAGTATAGTTAAACAGCGTAGGACGGGTAGGTAGGGGCAACAGAGCATGGAAATGTGAGAGGCAACGGACCGCGTTGACAGTCGACAACTGTGTATTATTATAATTAGCCCCCGCTAAGCGGGTATTATCCGGGTGGTGGTGTAGGTGTTGTGTCTGGAGTGAACGAATCTATGACAACAATTCTAGCAAGTGTTCAAAATATGAGTCAAAAAAAAAAAAAGAAAAAAAAAACCAGCACAAGCGCCGGTAATAAAATGAAAAACAGAAAGACTGGACCCAGTCTCACAGGGGGAGGAAACCACCCCCAAATGTGTCTTGCCAATAGGACCAATCTTTCCAAGGAAAGGAAGCAATGGCATTAATCGAAATCACACGGATCCACTTAAAAATAAGACAAAAGATATTACAACCCACCCACTATCCCCATTGCCTCCTCCTCCTTCTCCAATAGCTTCTCCCACTGCACCCTCAACTCCTCCATCTCCCGCCAACATCTCCTCCCCAACTCCTCAAACTCCAACTTCT